GACTATTACTTTGTTGCTAAGTACCTCCTCTGCCTTTTCCATTTCAGGCCTGATCAGACAATCATTTGTAATTTTTGGAGTGGACAATGGGGAAAAGCTGTGTTAGTTGCCTAGCAATTGCAGGCTTTGTCTCTCAACCATTTGGGGTGATTCAATCTGAGTCACAGGCAGAATACCAAGAAACAGTTAATGTAGTCGATGTAAGATATAGTTTGGAGAGAGATATACTTAGTACATGCAAGGTGGATACCATAGTATGTCTCTTCCTCCCTCAAGGCCTGTATATTTTAAGATAAATACATGCAATATCCAAAAGGTGCTTTTCCAAAGGGCAACGAACCCATTCCCCACCATTGTCAGAACTGAAGAAGCTTCCTAGATGAGAAGCGAAATGTTTCAAGAAAAAAAAAACAAACCAAGACAGTTCAGTTTCCTTTTGGAAAAGTACCTTTGGGACAACCATGACCTGGATGATTGAGATTCTGTAACAATTGTCATCCCACTGTTCATGCAATATCATGATTGTATTGCAAAATTATGAGAAGAAACAAAATAAATTTGAAAACACTTCTGTGATAACAACTCTAATTTCCTTAAAATAATTAGAAGACAATTATTCATATTATGGCTTTTGGCTTTTCCTCTTTTAATGCAAGTAATTCCAAATATGAATTTATTATTTTTAGCACTGGTGATGATTGAGACACGTTTCACTTGCTATTGAAAATGTGATGCTATAAATTCAAATATACTTTCCCCATTTCCTGCTCATAGAAATGTTCATTTTATAAGAATGAAAATATAGTATTCCACAGGATTAAAAAAAAAAATCTCTCAGCTCTAAGTCCAATGGTTTTTGCCTTTGAACTAAAATGTAGGAAACCTATTGTCCCACAAAATAATATAGTCTATCAACAGAACAATATAACTTAGGTTGGAGCAAGGAATCTCTAAAGCAGATGCTGAGCTTTTCTGTGGCCCATTAATCTAATACTATACATGCCTGGGGTGAATGGCTGTTGTTCTCCCTTTTTTGTCCCTAGTTATGTTTTAAATTAACCTCCGGGAAGTTTCAGAGGGAGGAAAATAACTATACCAGCTGCTAAATTGGTGTTATTTCTTTAAAAAGCAGTTTTTTGAAAGGTAGGAAGCAAAAGGTTCTCAAATCTCTACTTCAGCTGAGATGGCAATGGCGGTGATGTACAGGAAATGTAATTAACCAGTGTTTTGATAAATAAGCATTTGCATTGTGGCACTTCAATTTGACTCCCTATGTGATTGCCTCCTAATATGCGTAAAATGCTGTGCATACACTCATAATTAAGCATCCATTTCAAACAGTTCTTTTGCCTTTTTTTGGAATTTTTTCAATCTGAAATCTCAAGGGCTTGAGATACTATTGTTTTATCTCAAGGAAGATTAACAATTAACCTATCTTTTCCTGATATCTGATTTATTTATTTTTTGCAACTTAAAGCAATGTTTTCTCTTTGCAAAGACTTTTTAAACTATTCTTCTAATAATTTTCAGCCTTACTTCCTGTAATGCTCCATTTCAAGCTCTGCTGTGGTACAACAGTTTTAACTATTACAGTGTTAAAAGAGAAGTAAATTTTTGCCTTGTGCAACCTCTTCTAATAACTCAAAATATAAAGTTGAAAGATTGATTTTAAAAAAAAGGTCAAAATAAATACTCCTAATCTTTGTCCAATAAATTAGAAAGTGCAATTTGAAATATTATTTATGATTATATTGGTTATATTAATGCACTGTTCCAGTAACATATCCACAATTGCACATTACAGTATCTGAAAGTTTAGTTGTGGTAAATATGGCAATCAACTATGGAATTAGGTACATCTCAATCTAGGGTGAGTTCATGAATTTATCAAGCAGTTTATGCATCCACTTCTTGGCTTTCCTGTTTTATAAAAGATGTCATCTTTCCACAGAATGAAGCTTTGGGACAATACTCCCTAACTTTGTAATTTGTTTAATCAAAATTAACCAGAAGGATAATCATAACTTGACCTGGGTGTCTAGATTCCTGATTAAAACTCTTGATTATATTTTACTACAATCATGTTGGGCAAAACATGGCACTGAGCCTGAAAATGAACATTTGAAGAAATGGCCAAATTGCTATAAAGAAGCGAAAATATCCCATTCCCTCTCTGAGCCATATCAAACATTTATCTATAGAAATATGGACATCAGACTTAAAGACAAAGACGATCTTAATACTGCTATTCTTTTTCTGTTCACACCAGCAACCTTTCCTGCCACATTTCAAGCACACAATAACACGCTAGACTCATAGATCTAAATCTGTTTCTGACTGGCTCTAAACTTTGCAGTTTAGATAACATGTAGGTAATTCTATTCCTGCTTTTTTTTTTATCATTGGGCGTGAGAAGATATATTGGAGAGAACAATAAAAGAAAATATCCTCTCCCCAAATCACACATTTTTGTTGCAGCTCCTGAGAACTGTGAAAAGAATCTGTTAGTTTGATCCTAAGTTGCTACAGTAATAACTTCACTTAACTTCTCTAGGCCGGTAAAGACTTAAAGAAAAATCACAAGACATTCTTATTATAGCATCTATATTTTTCTAAGTTATGTAACATAAGTGTTTTGCGTTGAAGTCAGATGAATACTGAGGAAAGCTGTGGACTATTGTTTCAACCCTACTTCTTGTCATTCAGTTGACAGCCTGGATCAGTATGACTTCCTTTGCTGCCTACTGAGTAAATGTACTCAGAGTGACAAATCATAACACCTTCCCATGACTTAATACAAAATGTAGCTGTGTGGCTCGACACAGATTACAGAATACTGTAGTTCACACCTCCACACTGAAGTGAATTGGGAAGAATAAATTGCCATCGTGTGGGTTGCTGATCTGTTTTTTTATACAATAAGTCCTCCTAAGGAAAAAAAACTCATGCCACTGAACCACAGCAATTAGTTTACCCTTAAATAGTCCACAGGATTTGTAATCTGCAGGGAAATATAATAAAAAAAATTAGAATGTTAATATTTGTGAACTTACCTAAGTTTGTTAGCTTGGACCAAGATTTCTCATTAGTCTTTTGTACAAAAGAGAAGGTGTTCTGTAACCTAGCTCCATCTTTTTATAACTAATTCTTGTGACCACTGATTAGGTGCTTCTTGTGTCATGAAATGTTACTATTAGAACGCTGGCTGTAGGAGTTACTCTAATGTTGAACACAGCTATTACTATCTCTTCCAGGAAAACCATATTTGATATTCATAATTATAAAAATTGAATATTCATTTGGAGAATAATAGAAAGAATTTCAGCCCTGATTATATTTGATTTTGAAGGTTTTCCCTACTAATTGCATAGAATCATTTGGTACAGTATGGTGATCTTACATATATTCTTCTCCTTGGTATTTTAGAAACTTTAGAAATATTACCTGAGGCATATAATGAAGCCATCATTATATTCTGATTGTTCCTCCTCCTCCTCCTCCTCCTCCTCCTCCTCCTCCTCCTCCTCCTCCTCCTTTCTTGTTGGCTCCTGGCAACTGTCTAAACTATTGTTGTCCCTGCAGTTTCTTAGCAAGACTTTCAGAAATTGTTTGCCATTGCCTTCTTCCTAGGGCTGAAAGAAAATGATTCACCCAAGATTCTCCCTTTCAATCCTTTTCATATTCCTAGCTGTTTAAGTCAAATGAACTGACCACTCACATTGTGTTATAGTGATGGAGGTGAATCCAGACCCAGATTTGGACTTGAAACAGTTGTAGCCATATCTAGCTAAGAAAGGAACTAAAGGATACAACTGGAAAAGCTAGGAGCAGAATCTGATATTGACAGGCCAAGCAGAATGTCATGTTTTTATTTGATCTTTTTTTTTTTTTATTAGCTACCTGACAACTGCAAAGGCTGACAAGGCACATTCCTATTCTTTCTGTGCCTGAGGGTGATATTATTCTGAAGTCTTTTGTCATATTGTTTTGGTATCCCTTTGGATGTTTTACCAAGAACATAGTTCAGAGCATGTACAAAAAAGAAAGCCATGCTGGAAGTGTATGACTCTGATACTTGTGTTCTCTTACGGACATGAGGCTAAGACACAACTTGATTGTACGTCTCTAGATCCATCATATACCTTGATATTTTGCATTTTAAGGAGTATGTGGAGATATTTTTCGCTACTTTCTTGCATGTTGCAGTCTTAGTGGGCTAAGTAAAAGTCCTCTGCTACCTCTATAGCATAAGGGAATAGTTATACATACAGAGGCCAACTGATTTCTAAAACACTGTCATCTTGGCATTCTGTTGTGAATTGGATATGTATAGATTCTAATGCTTTGAGACCCTGGGTGCTACATTGTAACTCTCTTCATTGGTCAGCTTGTTCTGCCCTTAAATGCTCTGCAGCTTAAAGCATATAAAATAGAAGAGATGACCCTTATAAGGGATTAATTTGTCACATGTTTCAAATATTTGAGTCCTGCTAGTATACATCAAAGGACGAAATAGTCTTAATTGCTTCTTGAGTACAAAGTAAAAATGAGGGTGTAAGACCTCATCTATCTTTGGCCTAAAAGTGTTTAAAGCAATGCCCTTGAAAGTGGTATCAGTAATTGAATTTCATTGGCCCTGTAATCCCATCAGGTTTTCACAATAATATTACTCAATAACTGGTTAAAGGCATCTGTAAAATATTGCAACATCTCAGATTCTTTTTATTTCTCAGTTTTTTCTGGGTAAGCTTCTGGTTTCACAAAAACAGCATTCATTGACCATAACATTATTATGGTTGGTTGCATGGTCAGCCAGATAATAATAATAATATTTACTATTATTATTATATAGTAGCAAATTGCTATTAAATATTTTAAAATTAAAAAAAAATAGCAATGAAAAGATTCCACAATGATTTCAGCAGCATGTCAGGCCATGACTGTTTATAAACACATTCTTATGAAGTCTTTTTGCATTTGTTTTTAATGCTCCTGGAAAGTTTATGAGAAAGGTAAGATATTTCTTTAGATGTTTTATGTTCTGAAGATATAGTACCAGAAGACATTCTAAACTCACAGGTAGTCAAATATATACTACAGCTGATGCAGATCTGGCAAATGCAGGGGATTCAGGAAAAGCAGCAAATAATTTCATATTGTACTTACTGTCTGTGAGTTTGGAACTGGATTTTTTATCAGCATCCAAAATATTTTCAATGAAAATAAACTGCTGACCTACTATCTGCTGCATTATGTAATGCAGTCACTAGTTCTGCAATAATTAAGAGGACACTAGTGATCCTTATTTATTTTTTTTTAATTTGATTTATATGCCGCCCTTCTCCGGAGACTCAGGGCGGCTTACAATGCGTTAAGCAATAGCCTTCATACTTTTGTATATTTATACAAAGTCAGCTTATTGCCCCCACAAACTGGGTCCTCATTTAACCTACCTTAGAAAGGATGGAAGGCTGAGTCAACCTTGAGCCTGGTAAGATTTGAACCTGCTGTAATTGCAGGCAGCTGTGTTAATAACAGGGTGTACTACCAAGGCTCGTTATTTGTTTGTTTACTTCATATTTTGATTTTATTTCCCCTCTCATAGAAATTGAGATGATACATACAGTATTTCATGGTGGTTTCCCATAGCAATCTTGAGTTTCAGTAATATTATTGCATCATATATCTATATTTTATACTTTGGAATAGCTCTACACATTTGTCTTTTTGGATCACTGCCCTCAATCTGAATACTAGAGATACTCTTTTTTTCTTTTTCTTTTCCATAGTGGCCTGCCAAAAGAAAAGAGGAATAGGGAGAGGTGATCCATGGGTCATGACATCATCATGCATACAATATTGTAGATAGAGATATTGGCTAGTTATAGATGCTTTATTTTTTTACCTCTTTGCCATATGAAGATTGAATGTATATGTATATGTATATGTATATGTATATGTATATGTATATGTATATGTATATGTATAAAAAACAGAACGTAAGACCCAGATCATTCCCATCTAGGAGTCAGACAATATGTTATAAAGCATCCTTTTGATTTCTTGCAATCTTTCATTTTAGAATGAACTCTGTTACTTCATTCATGTGTATCTCTGTGTATGGGCATGTCATTGAGAAAAAAAACCCATAACACAACTAGAATGGTCAGAACTTTGTCTATGTTCTACCTAGTGCTGGGATAAATAATGTCTAGAATCTTGCTAAATTTAAATGATGATTAATGGATCTATAACCAATTTTCACTGTATGTTCTCTCATTTGTACTAATACAATTTTAAGAAGGGGGATGGGATACACACATCCAATTTCTCTGCAGATTAGCTAACAATATTTTGATAGTTACTTCCAATATCTGTTCAAATCTTCTGCTTATTTTATAATTATTATAACTCCAAGCATATTTGACACTTGTCCTTGAGCCATATAAACAGTTTCAGAATTGGAAATTGATCTAATTGGACATCCTTTCCCCCCAAAAAATGATATGTCTATTGCTATTACCATCTAAATCTAAGCCTAAACAAAATTCTCATCAGACTTCCAGGTGGTCTGTTTTTTTCTTTCTTAAATAAATCCTTATACTAAACCTACCTTATTCAACCTTTCAAATCTATGATTCTTTTTAAAGAATTTGATGCAAAGGGCAATATATTTGAGGAAGCTGTTAGAACATGATGTTAACTCTATCTTAAAATACTTCCTTGATATAGTGAGATCAGATATCTGGATGCAGGTACTTTCTAGTTTTGTATAGATAGTGTTATTTTATATGATATATAAACACACCTGCATTTTAAATTTATATTCTGTAGATATAAGCATTTTAGAAAATGCAACTATGTTTTTCTAATTTTGTACTTTATTGAATCGAAATTAATATGCTTTAGATTAATTGATTTATAGAGCAAAGGCAATTTCCCAATTTTGATAGCAGTTTGTAAGCATTTATTTTTTTTACAATAGGATTATGCGCATATGAATAGAGAAATGTCACTGTGAACATACAGATGTTCTTTTCAAGAATTGGAAGTACTGTTAAAAAAGAGTGTGCTATTTTTTTAACCTGTAAGAAAACATGTAAATACTCTTGTTTTCAATCATGGTGAGCTCTCAGCTTCTGCATCATTTATTCTACAGGCAGCGCAAGGAGGTGGTCACAGAACCCTGCTGTATGGCCATGCGATTCTGCTTCGGCATTCTTTCAGTGGAATGGTAAGAGAGAAGGAGGGATGGAGAGAAGAACGCGCAACAGAATAAAACTAATAAAATATTTGTTGGAGCTCACTGCCCTTCCAATGCCATCTTGGATGTTCCCCAAACTGGGATGAAAGTTCTAAGTCCACATCACAGTGCACTCTTCACTTAAAACAGATTAAATAAATCATTTGTCTCAACCAGGCACTCTAGAAAAGGGGCCTCCAACCTTGGCAACTTTAAGACTTGTGGACTTCAACTCAGCTTTGCTGGCTGAGGAATTCTGGGAGTTGAAGTCCACAAGTCTTAAAGTTGCCAAGGTTGGAGACCCCTGCTCTTGAGGGCAGAAGGGATAACTTTGATGGACAGTGGGAGATCCATTACAAAAGGAATTGTCGGACAAGCATAGGTTGACCCCAATCAAAGAAATAAATTTAAGAAACCATCTCAGTCAGGTCCCTTCTTCATTCATATGAAGATAACATGAGGGAGAAGAGATGCACAATCAGATTTTCAAGACTGTTGCTGTACAGTGGCTATTCTAATAAGAGATAGTTTGAGACGCTTATTGGCACAGCTTTCAGACTTCTCAATTGATACGACCAATTTTGAGAAGTCCAGAACAGTTTCAAATTCAAAAAGACTGAAGTATTGTAATAGTGCTCAGTGTATGATTAATTAAATTAATTAATCATGATGAAAAAATTAGTATGATTAAAAATTAATTAAATATGTGCCACTTATCTCACCACTGAGTGACATTGCATAAATTTGCAGCTAAATTTGTTGCACAAACTATTTTAAATTTGTAGCTTTGATACCATTTGTCTGTTGAATTCCACCATTCCTATTTTTAAAAAAATTTAAAGGTTTTTAAAATAAAATGATTTAAATCTTAAATTCTTTATGAAGTCAGCCATGGGAATTAAACTGATATTCATAAACATTCAAATTGATATCTATTCATTTCAGTGCAAAAGAATTTGAAATATTGTCATGTTATTCAAGAGAACAGTAGGCTCATATCTCTCAATTCAGATCCAAGGCTTCATTGAGACACACTTACACAAAATGATTTGAAGGGTCTTATTAATTTTAAAATGTTTTTCAGTATTTGACATGTTTAACAACATCAAGATCTCAGACAGATAAACTCGCATTTGATGTGGGCCTACAGGAAAATGCAATAGGTACGTATGCAATATCAAATATAATATCACTTTAGGTTAGAAGGCCTAAAACATCTGTAATTTGTTTGTAAGATCTAGTTCATCAGTCATGTAAGGTTGACATAATTTTAAGGGTTGATGTAGCTTCAAGTTTTGGCTGCCTGCCTAGAACTGCCAAAAGCAGAATAATTATTCAGTCCTTGGCAAATTACAATATATGATTAGTAGCCTGTTATGCATTCATGCGATATTCATGTACCTGTGCAGAGAGATGATACTTTCTTATTGTATTACACAAAATTATTCTGAAACAAATATATGAACTGCAGTTAGGGAAACAAACTACAGTTAGGTGAGTATGAATAGTGATAATTCTTGTTCTTATCCATGGAGAAGATGAAAAAAAAAAGCATTACTCATTGCTGCATGCAGAGAAAGTCTTAATGAAAACCAAAGCCTATTGAGCTTAAAATTGTAATTATCTATGTTTAAGTATGTGCCACATTAAGTCATATATACTGGATTCAGAAAGGCAATTGTGGCAGGCTATATCTTGACTTCTGCAGTATGCATACATGTATTTTAGCAGGCTCATTGTGGAACCCTAAGAGAATGTCCATATGATAGGAATCCTGTAGATAATTTATTTCCAACCATCTGTGGAGAACTTTCACCTTCTGAGTAGTTATCCATTCATTGTCTCTGTCAGAACTCATCCTTCGTTCCAGCTCTGCTTCCCTAGCTGCCAGCCTTCCATAAACTATGGGATGAGGTAGCTGGGGGGATAGAAAACCAAAACTAAAGTTAGTGCCATCTCGAGACATCAGCTGATCACCCCAAGGTCACAGGCTTGGAAATGGAATGGAAGGCCAGTTTAACATCTAGCCTGCCTTTTCAGGGACAGTTCCAAAACAACTTCTTTGAATAAGACTGGACAAACAGGAGAGTGGAACGAGAAAGGGAAAGTTATCTGGGATGCTTTTGCATGCAAAACCTTAGTAGTTGGTTTTGTTTTACTGTAAACACTTGGCTTTTAGTAAAAGTATTCTCTTCTCTACAAATGGAGTTGAGAGTTTTGCTTTCCTAGAAGACCAAGGTGGGGCAGGGCTGATAGTCTCACTGGTTTAGTCGTTAGCAGTTTTCAAATGGAGGAGTCTAAGAATTTGGTGAATATGTTTTCATATTTTTAGATATCCTGAACTTGCTTGAAATGGTCTGAGACTTCTTTCCTCAGATGTAATGTGGGCACTTCTGCTTACTATAGGTGAAGCATGCTGGTGGACCATACACCCTGCTTCTAAACAAAGGTCAGAAGGAGAAAAGGTACGGATTGGAGATGATCTTATTCTAGTTAGCGTGTCCTCGGAAAGATACCTGGTAAGCAGAAGTGTTCATAATAACTTTAATGTTACTGATTAATGCTTTTGTTGATTTTAGCCTTTTTCCCCAGTTAGAAGCATACCTATTTCTTCTTCATAGAATTATGATCAGAAAAATCTTTAAATGAATCTGAGTTTGGAAAAAAAACCATGGTGCTTTACTATACTTTAAGAAGAGTTTGGGAAGAATGGATAGGTCTGAGACCCTTAAAGAGGGATTGTGAAAAACAAACTTTAGTTTCTGCTGAAATAAATTGATGAAATACATTATTAAATCTCTTTTAATAAAATGCTCCCATGATGAAATAGGAGAGATAAGAAATAATGCTAAAGAAAATCAAATAAAAGACTCTTGAGAATGGTAAAATTTGTTCTTCTTTAATATTACATAAGCTTTAGCTTTAAAAAAAGAAGGGAGTAGAATGCTATTTATACATCAATTTACCAAATATTGGGATTAGTTTTTTCTCCCTAAATCTTATAAACCCCAAGACGTAAAAGTTAACCGCTGTATTTTTATACTTTGCAATAACAATAATAGTTTTCTTGTGTTTTCACTTTTTCTCTTTCAGCATCTTTCTGTGGCATATGGAAACACACAAGTAGATGCTTCCTTTATGCAAACACTCTGGAATGTGCACCCCACTTGTTCAGGAAGCAACATTGAAGAAGGTTTGTTCAGTTATGGTTATGCTACTAGTTGAAATCACTACTTATTTGCAAGTGTGCACTGTAATTTCTATAGCTAAAAATATACTGTAGTTGCTCTTCAGATTTTAAGGCCTTTGGATATTGTATAGTTTCCAATGACAAATCTATTCTAGCATAATCCTTGCAGAATATTTAGATTCCTGAATGAAAGCAAAGGAGTCTGTGCATAGATTATTCTGCCTTTACTTACAATGTGAAGAGGTAATATAGAATTTCCTAGATGGCTTGAGCAAAGAAAGAATAGAACCAAGAGTTGAAAAAGAATTTATGGTTTGTTACAAATGAGCTGAAGGAAAGTACCACATCCCTCCCGGCTTCATTTTGACATGGAGATTACTACGTACAGTATGTGCTATGAAAGTATTGATTTTTCACTGAAAGCAGGTGTCATTTGCCCTTACTGACCTCAGTAAATAGTGTATGTGACTATCCAGGTAGATTCTTAATGTCATCACTTTGTGTATGCTACCTAATGAATTTTAAGATTCTTTGATTATGTCTTAACATTCAATTTTTATTCCTCCCAATAAGAACTATTTCATAAGAGAAAGCAGGTCTTTTATATTTCCCACTTGCAGGTCAGATATGCCTATTAAAAGACAGTATGTGCAATAATTTCTGGTAATGCTATGACATTTTGGATCAAACTGGTGTATAAAACTTCCTTCCTTCCTTCTTTCCCCCCTCCCGTCCCTCCCTCCCTCCCTCCCTTCCTTGGAAAATAAAATTCCAGGATGTTCCTCTGAAAACTCAATAGGTACACATACAAACACCCTTTATCGCATTTAGTAAGCGATTGGTAGAAAGGTGAATGGACGGTATACAATATTTTGCATTTTGTATGACAACATTCAACATTTAAATAATGTATTTGAAATTTCAAATCTTTATTGTCAGTGCACAACATATGTACAATGAGATTGGTTGAGCTCCATCAGTGCCCTCCCAATAAAATCATTGAATGGAAACTCAGGGTTGACTAAAAGGGGAAGGAAAAGTGGGCAAGTCTCATAGATCATTGCCAGCAACGTAACTTTAATAATATAATTATGAATAATGGAAAAATTTAACAAGTTATTAGATACTGTATGAAGAATAATGCACCAATATGTTTGTAGCATACAGTTTTGCCAGCAGATTAAAAACAGTAATGCATGACATATTTATAACAATGCCTAAAGATAGTTTGTATTTGGAATACTCATGATGGCTTGGGAAGAAAGTGAGCATTTTTAGCAAGCCTTGGAACACTCTACTGCAATTGGGGATTTGAGGAAAGAGCCAGAAGGAAAAGGGGAAATCAGGAGATTTGTGAAAACCACTGTAGATTGGAAAAAGAGTTCTTAAGACTCGTTAAAATCTTCCATTCATCTAAAAAATAACCAGCTTATTAGTGCCAACATCTTATTGTTTGGCCATCAATTGCATTTTGTATTGCAATCATGTTTTTTCGTGTTGTAATTTTTCTCTACATAAAAAAACTAAAAACCTTTTAGCAAAAAAAAAGGGGGGGGACAGAGGGAGAGAAGAAAGAGGGAAAAAAAGAAAAGAAAAGAAGGGAGATAGGGAGATGTGACAGCCACTGTATGCATTCTTCTTGTAAATGACTAAAAATAGTTCCAAAGAAATCAGATCCTTTGACAATGTTCTATTTTCAAATGGAAAGCATCTGCTCTTTTTTTAATCCCAGTATGAGTAAAATGTGAAAGCTTTTGCTTCAGAAAGGTTTGCAAAATGTCACCTTTCAACTTGATTCTGACGCTTTCATCACACCCAGCAGCCCATTTCTTCTTCTGCTGCTGCTGCTGCTTCTTTTGGCTCCCTTTGTGTTGAAGTCAAGCCCTATTCTGATAAATTCATATGTGCTTTGAGATATATTTATTTATTTTTTGCTAACCCTCATATGGCTTTTGTTCTGCATAGGTTTTCCCAATGCAGAACTCTGCAGGATCCCACATGATTCCATGAATTTAGGGGAGCTTGCCTGAAACAGTCTCAGAACCTCTGGGAAGCCACATGGTCTAAAAGTTCTTAAACCCTTTGTGGCTAATTTTAGTGTTGGGCTTGAATTTCTATTCATTTTAGTGTTTTGTGTTGACAGCATTATATTCAGATTTGTATTCTTATGTAACATTTGTTTCCAATACATATTAATGGGATTATTCAGCAAGTGAATTTAGAACAATTTCACCTGGAGATACTGATGAATCATTTTCCTTTTATTTGCAACAAGACAATGCCTTCATTTATCCTGGCCTCTCAAGGTTTAATGGGTTGGAAATTTATGTTCCCTTAAAATGTAAATCTATAGAAAAGCCAAGCTTTTTACCTTTCCCTGTTCACCTGTTACCTTATGCAGTATTGATTTTATACAAAGGATTAATTTGATGGAATAGAAATAGTGTCCCTTATCAGTCAACAACAATTTGTGCTTGTGTTTTAGTTGTTTATCATGTACCATTGCCATACACTTAACATTTTTCTACTGCATTTATACATTACAAAGTAACATTTCCAGATTGCTTTAGTTTTTATCAGCCAATTCTCTACCAGAAGAACACAAGACTATAGTGCTCCCTGAAAGTTTCTTCTGCTGTCCAGGGGTTCGTTGCTCAGGGTTTTATAAATCTCTTATCATCATTAATATAGCTATCTTCTCTGCTTTTTGTTTTTAAAGCATCTAGGAAATTAGCTGTTATAATAGCACCATATTCTGTAAATGATACCTGTTATGAAGTGATCTTCACTTTCTATGTGTTTCAGAACTGCTTCTCAAAGTTACACACATATCTACGCACATATATCATGCAGAGACCATAAACTGGGTGATTAACCACTAATAGTCATCTTTCCTCCTTAGAAAAAAAAAGAAGCATTCATCTTGCTCTTTAACAAAATGGTTTTTTTTTAAGTCACCATCATCTTTTCTCCTGGATTCCTTCATATTACTTTGTTTGTCAGACGAGACCTTAGAATATGCCCACTCGGCCAGATCTTACTGAGCAGCAGGGACAATGGGGAATAAGCAAGTCCCTTAGATAGCTAGGCCCTATGCCATGCGGGTCTTTGTAGATAAGAACCTAATTGTTATCTACAAAGATAAGAGATAAGATAAGGTGGCGCAGCAGACTAAAGCACTGTTAAGTAAAACCAGCTGCCTGCAATTACTGCAAGTTCAAATCTCACCAGGCTCAAGGTTGACTCAGCCTTCCATCCTTTCGAGGTAGATAAAATGAGGACCTGGACTGTGGGGGCAATAAGCTGACTTTGTATAAAAAAGAACACTGCTTGGGGGGGGGGGGCGAAAGCCCTACTAAGCAGGTATATACAAAAGTATGAAGGCTATTGCTTAATGCATTGTAAGCTGCCCTGAGTCTCCGAAAAAGGGCGGCATATAAATCGAACCAATAAATAAATAAATAAATAAATAAATAAATAAATAAATAAATAAATAAATAAATAACCTTGAATTATACCAGGAGCTTATGGGTAACCAGTGCAGTTTGCATAGCAGAAATGTTACATGAGCATACCAAAGTATACCTTGTCTACAACATGCATTCTGAATCAGCTACAGCTTTTGAACGGTCTCCTAGGGCAGTCACATGCAGACCAGGGGTGAAATCCAGCAGGTTCTAACAGATTCTGGAGAACCAGTAGCAGAAATTTTGAGTAGTTCGGAGAACCGGCAAATACCACCTCTGGCTGGCCCCAGAGTAGGGTGGGAATGGAGATTTTGCAATATCCTTCCCCTGCCACGCCCAGCAAGCCACACCTACAGAACCGGTAGGGAAAATTTTTTTGAATTTCATCCCTGATACAGACTATATTACAGAGATGACTAAGGCACAAGTGAATGTGAAAATAAAAACCCTCCACCCAGGAAGGAGCACAATTGGAATACTAGATGAATTTGAGTAAAAGCCCTCCTGGCTATAGTTAGATCTGCATTTTGAGCAGGAGTTGTATGTCCAGAGGACTTTCAGATTGTACACCAGTTCTGTCTGGCGAATGTATACTCATTCAGAACTATAGATGGACAATGCATTATTCCAGAGGAACCCGGAATACACTGTCCTGTCATTGTTGAGTTCAAGATTGTTCTCCTCCCATCTCCATTCCATAATTCAATAGCCCTCGGTGCTGAGACAAGCCTCAACAACATCACTTGATAGCCCTGAGGTCAAGACATACAGCTGGTATCCTCAACATACCTAATGGTAACTGATTCTGTAGTCTCCCATACATGTTAAACAAGAGAGACAAAGTCTTTGTCCTGTTGTATTAAATAGAAGTATCTCTTGAGGCAGGAAGATAATTACTACAATACCATTGTCTTCTACTGGTAATCAGTAAATCCAGTTGGATCTCATGATCAGTGGTATGAAACATTACTTGTTATTTGTTATATGAAAGTCATGTATTCAAGTAATATTGTAGCCTAGTGCTGTGTTCAAAATATTTCATATAAATTTGGGGCTCTTCCAGATGGGTTGTTAGCACTAAATCTGTAATTATTGTGCTTCATCCTGTCTTGTTTAACAGCTGAACAGATTTGCAATGAAATCCAGATTTCTTTGAGGTGGGCAGGTAATGATACTCTACAAAGTTGATGAATAGTGACATTGTGTTCTGTCCCCATCTCACACACGCACACAAACAGTCAGCCAGGAGTTAAATAAAGCTTGCAGACAATAAATTCCTTCGATAACAGGATTGGCAGCAACCCAGTAGCTGCTTGCCAAGAACTTTACTCACAGAGGGAGGTGTTCCTCCTCCGTCAGATAAACCAAAACAAATACACAAAGTCAAAGAATTGTCAAGTCCAGTCCATATTAAATCCAAGGCAGGCAGATAATGTAGTTTCAGAGATACAATGCGACTCGCTAGTTGTTTAGTTTTGTCCGTCACAGAGCCTGAATGGCCACCACACCCCCTTTTATCCCCTGTGGGGTGTGGTCCAGTGACTCAGCTTAATCTCTGGCACGCCTCCTTTTCTGCTGCGTGTGCTTGTCTCTCCGACGCTGGCGTGGATCCAGCCAAGACTTATCTCCATCACTGTCCGACTGCGACTGCTCAGAGATACCTGGTTCCTGGCCAATCTCTTCTCCCTCGGGAGACACCTGAGGCATTGCCGGACAGGAGGGTCCTGGAGAGGGAGGCCTGGCCAACTCCTCTCCTTCACCTTTGGAGTCTTCTCCCTCCGATTAGATGGGCTCGGGGGTCGGAGTCACAACACATTGGCAGAAAACCATAATATGCCAACTCAGGCATGGTGACACGATCTTGCATATGTTGTAATTAAGTACTTGCATCCTGACCTCTGACACAAGTATGTGTGTCACCATTTACATGATAATACCAACACACATGGTTCATCATCATAACCCTTGAAAATGCCCATGGCAAGTAAGACATTATAAGATTATGGACCACCATAACCAACTTGTGATTATAACTGGTCTATTTTCCAGTTGGTGAGAACCCTTATCTCACTCTCTGCAGCCTGTCTTCAGTAGACACTGCATTTTGTTTTCCAATTGTTAAATTGGATTGGTAGCTTTGTCATCTCACAAATCCCTTTCCCTCGCCCAGTTCCTTTCATAACAGTTACTATTCCCAACATCTACTTGGATATTTTTTGTATGACTTGAGTTACATGGCATCCTGTTGATTCTAATTTAAAATTCAGTCAGTATTAACTTGACTTGTTTTGATTTACAGATCCTTGCAGTAGTTCCCAGGAATAGGGAATTGGGGTGAATTTGACAAGCATATAGTCTTTTTCTCCCCCCCCACCCCCCTCTCAGGAGACCAGTGGTTATGTAAAATGTCAAATTAATGCTGACCTTTTTTTCCAAGAGATTTCCTTATGGATGGAATGTTGGCAATTTTTATTTCCTTTTTGTATGGAGTAGATATTTAAACTAATTTCAATTATATCCATTTAGTTTTATGTTCAATACAGTGGTACATATTGCATCAAATAATATGTTTTCAGAATACTTTTAAACCACCTTATTACAATTAAAGCACACAGTAGATCAAGTAGATTTGTTGAGCCCAGGTGAAAATAAGTGTGGCTAAACAAAAGCAGGAGCAAAAACATCTGAGCTATTTCTGTGCTATGTGGGGAAATGATCATAGGTGTTAAACATCAATAAACTTTATTCCTGTTATTTTATATTTGGTGATTTGCTTAAGGCATGTTGGTAGACCTGCAATTGAGCGGGCATTGGAAAGAGAAAATAATATAGAACTTTTAGATATTAATGCAAGGTAGATATACTTCCATTTCCAGATAAATATTGTTAAAATGCTGTCCAAGTTAATTATTTTCTCTTCCTCTAGGATACCTACTTGGTGGTCACGTATTACGTTTGTTTCACGGCCATGATGAATGCTTGACCATTGCATCTACAGAACAGAACGATTCACCACATAAGTGAGTTGCACTATAGATTATGCATATTTTCCATTTTTAATTTCAGCTGTAAACCCAAACAGTCTTCATTCAGAAACAATGAACAAGTATTTGTGGCACATGGAACATATCAGATTGACTTTCGTTGTCATTCTTCTGTTGATGTAAAATAAACCAGACTCTTCCTACAATTATATTTAGGCAGTATAATTCAAGTTAGATGCACTAGAACAACTGGCATCTCATCCATCCATCATCTAGCTAGCTAGCTAGTTAGCTATCTATCTATCTATCTATCTCTGTCCTACAAAAAACATGAACTAGTATCACGTGGTCCAATTAAATATATGAAAAATATCTCCCATTCCAAACTTATTTACTCAGCACTATATTCTATAGGCATGTTTTTCGTAGGTAAGAACCTTCAAGTATCCTTGAAATAACATCACTGTTTACTGTTAAAAGATGAGAATACTTGGCATTGGAGATTAGCACTGTTGGTCCTGTATCAATAGTCACATCACATGCCAAGTGCCCTCTGGCTACGCTGCATCTTGTCCTTGTTGCTTGTTCAACTGTCTGTAAAGATACGAACATAATAGCAGTGAGGCAAAACAGCTGCATCTTGCCCTTTTTGTGAGGGAAATAAAGCAAATAAAATAAAGCACTGATGGAAGCAAAGGGAAAATTAGCAAAGGGCATTGTGTGACAGACATAAAAAACCTGAAGCAAGTAGTTATAGTTAACTGCTATTGCAAACTAAGATTGTTTAATTTGAGATAAGTGGTATTTGCCCACCTGTAGTTGTTGCATTTCAAAATGTACCTAGCAGAATTGTATATAATACATATAATATCATGTTCCCCAAACTTTGTAAAGGACCATCAGCCAAAAGTTTAGATTTCGAAACTAAAAGACCCACTGCATGCTGATAAAGAAATGAAGATGTATTTAATCTTGATAGAATGGATGAAAATATGCTTAGGTAAGATCAAAAGTTCTTACTGACTCTTCCTAGCTTTGCCATGAAAACTGTTCAGCAGATGGTTGGTCTCCCTGTTGGGATACCTATCTGGTTTGTTTGGCCATGACAAGATGTTTGTTGTTGGGCATAATTGAAAGCATAATTGGACCAGTTCTGTCTTTAATGATATAGCACAACTTGGATCACAAATAAGGCTTCTTGTATTTGGGAGGAGTTTTATATTATATGACTGTATGTTCTGTGTGGCTTCCTGACAAATTTGGCCTGGGATTATTTCTCATGGTCTTTGGGAATGAAATGGAGTTGTGATTATTGGCTCCTGAAGTAGAAGAGGTGGTGGGATGGATTTATTGCGATTATGGATGATTATTGTGCAGAATGTGTAGGGTTTTCTTTACCAATGGTATTATTATTGTTGATATTGTTATTATTTGCTGTTTTAAACTTAGTTACTAGAAGAAAGAATTATAGACTGTTCAGAGTCTGGTCAACTAGAGTGACATAGTCTGGTCAACTAGAGTCTAAATAAACAAATAAAGCCCTTAATAAAATGGAAATATTTTTTGAAATGTGCATAGTTTCATTCTTTTTCACCCATTTTTTCAGTGTTGCATTAAAAAAATCTTGTAAAATTGTAAAAGATTACAGGCAATTTCAGAGGGGGAAAAGTGCCAACATAGTAGGATAAAATGATTACCCTTAATTCTAAAACCATCATGTTTCTCCTAAATATCTGATTATTAAAATCTGGAAACTAATGGAAATATTAGTGATTTCAAATGCTTTATTAATAAGAAGAATTTGAGGTTTATGCGATTCAGGTCCTACTGCACTCCTGATTTCTTGAACAGGATTACAAGAGATTCAGTTCTGATTTATTAATGATTGAATTATTTTACAGTTGTTCAGTTTATATAGCAAAATCTAATTCTGAGCCTTACTGAAAGAAGTTATCAATTATTACAGAAAAAGCTGCAATCTCCAAATGCTGTGTATATTTCAATCGCAGATTATAATTCTGCATACATTTAATAATGCTAAATCTCCCATGCAGTGCATCTCAGCATGCTTAATCTGTTTCTAGGCGGATCTTTTATGAAGCTGGGGGAGCTGGAGTCCGTGCAAGATCACTATGGAGAGTAGAACCTCTTCGAATAAGGTGTGGTGATTTTATGTTATATTCATTGTTTTTTGCATTATGCTGTCCTAGATCATAGAATATACAGTATTTAGTTCTGGGAAATCCAGCAGGCTTTCTTGTCTACCAATTTATAGATTGATAGGCAGGACTCAAAAAGGAATTTGCTACTTCCTGTTTTTGTTGTATACTATTTCCTTTTAGGCTTAAATATTTCAGTTGCTCCAGTTTTCTCCTTTTCAATCCCCTATCTTATTCTCACCAAGCTTCCTTGTGGATGCTCCTTTCCAAAGCTGGGAAATCATCCCGAGTGGCCAGAATGACAGACAGAAATGGGCTTATTTGTTTGTTGCAATTGGATTCTTCCTTAAAAGTTGACCTATGTTGGTTGTGTGTGTGCTGTTTCAAGGCTATAAGATTAAAGCCTTAGAGATAACTACTGAATTTAGGTTAATGATGAGCCTGAAAGTGACTAACAGTTTCCACCTCAATTTCCGAAGGAAAAGAAAAATGGAAGGCACTATACATGGTAAGAAAGAAGCATCGAAAATTCGAAACATCTAAGAAAATAATGAATGTGAATCTGAGTTAATTTGTAATACTATTATGAGACTGTTGAACCTATTAAAAGATGCCCCTAAGAAAGATCTTGGGTTGAAATAAAATTAGAATAACAGAATTGGAAAGACCTTGTAGGTCATCTGCCATCACTGACTATTGGGGGTGAGTCTTTACCCCCCACAGAGAGGGCCCACAATCTGGGCGTCCTCCTGGATGCACGGCTGTCTTTAGAAGAACATATGACGGCCGTGGCCAGGGGGGCTTTTTATCAGGTTTGCCTGATCCGCCAGTTGCGGCCCTTTCTGGATCGCGACGCCTTGCGCACAGTCACTCACACCCTTGTCACCTCCCGACTGGACTACTGCAATGCTCTCTACATGGGGCTCCCCTTGAAAAGCACCCGGACGCTCCAACTGATCCAGAATGCGGCCGCGTGGGTGGTTATGGGCGCAACTTGTTGTGCCCACGTGACACCCCTCCTGTGCGAGCTGCACTGGCTCCCAGCGGTCTTCCAGGTGCGATTCAAGGTGTTGGTTACCACCTTTAAAGCGCTCCATGGCATTGGACCTGGATACCTTCGAGACCATCTTCTGCCACCAGTAGCCTCCCACCGGCCAGTTCGCTACCACAGAGAGGGTCTCCTCAGGGTGCCATCGGCCAAATTATGTCAGCTGGCGACACCCAGGGGCAGGACCTTCTCTATGGGAGCCCCTGCCCTTTGGAATGAACTGCCCCCAGAAATTCGTAAAATCTCTGATCTCCGTGTATTTCGCTATGCCCTCAAAACCTTATTGTTCTGCCAGGCTGGGTTATCAATGTAAAGATTTTAATTGGTTTTAAATGGGATTTTAAATTTGGGGTTTTATAAATTGGGCCTATCATTTAATAATTTTAATTATTTTTAAATTTTGTCTGTCTTTGTGCTTTTAATCAGGCTGTACACCGCCCTGAGTCCTTCGGGAGAAGGGTGGTATAGAAATAAAATTAATAAATAATAAATAAATAATAAATCTAGTCCAGGGGTCTCCAACCTTGGCAACTTTACGACTTGTGGACTTCAACTCTCAAAGCTGGCTGAGGAATTCTGGGAGTTGAAGTCCACAAGTCGTAAAGTTGCCAAGGTTGGAGACCCCTGATCTAGTCCAACCCCTTGCTCAAGCAGGAGACTCCATACCGTTTCTGACAGATGGCTGTCCAGTCTCTTCTTGAAAGCTTCCAGTGATGAAGCACCCACAACTTCTGTTCCATTGGTAAATAAATACTTAGAATAGTCCATGTAAACCATAAACTAAATATTCTTTAAATGATTTTTAAGCTGGAGTCGAAGTCATATTCGCTGGGGACAACCATTTCGCCTTCGACATATTACAACAGGACAGTTTTTAGCATTGACAGAAGACCTGGGTCTTGTTTTATTAGACAGAGAAAAGGCTGACACAAAATCAACTTCCTTTTGTTTTAGAGCATCCAAGGTAAGTAATATTTTTACATTAAATGAATATGGAATGTAGAACACGAATGTTCTACCCAAATCAAGTCTATCACGTAGCAGAAATGAATAAATGTCAACAAACTTCGCTGAAGAAAATACTATGTTGGGACAATATAAAACTGTTCAAAGAAAATCTATAGACATCAAAGAAGATTTAGGAGGCACCTCACTGATGTATCTGTTTGCTCCCTAAATTGACCTATTGCACCTTACAGTTCATTATGATTGAATTTCACCTACTTTTTGCACATTTACATTTTTGTAAGTGTGGAAAAAAATATGTGACATTCAATCATAATAAGCATTGATCATTTTTATGGTGCTTTCCTATTGGATCTCATTTCTAAGTGACCACTGTTTATTTTATTTATTTGAACAAAAGCAAGAAACAAGAGTAATTGTATGAAATCAGAAAAGGATGGGAAGTGGTTACAAGCCGCACCATACCAAAGCTTTGGGTGAACCCAAAAAGCTCCTGGAAATGTTTATTTGACATAAGGATATCATTATTGAACACATGGATAGCAATCACGCTAACTACTTTTCCTTGTTCTTGTCTTTGTTTGACTCTTCCTTTAAAGTTAATGCTGAATATATTGTACTATAGGAAATAAGACATTGCTGAGAAATTATAGTTCCATTTGACCAATTCAGTGAATCTAAACATTTGTATAGAGTGCCAGTTTGGTACAATGATTAAAGGTACCAGGCTAGAAATTGGTACACCATGACTTTTAGTCCTGCCTTAGACATGATGACACCTGAGTGTCATCATGTCAGTCATTCTTTTTCAACCCAAAGAAGAAACCAATGGTAATCTGTTTCCAAAATGTTGCCAGGCAATTGCTAGGAATCAATACATACTTTATGATTAAATGTAAATAAATGATCTTGACGTACATTCAGAAGTATATGCATTCTTCTTTACAAGATACTATACTAAAGCTTACTTCTCTACATAATCTTTTTTTTTTCTGGATTGAAATAATATTTTATTTATTTATTTAGTTTGTCAAACATGTACGAGATAACAGATATAAGTATAAGCATGAATATGAACACAGGAAATGGATGCGAATAAATGGGGACAGTAGGACAGGGACGGTAGGCATGTTGGTACACTTATGCATGCTCCTTACAGACGTCTTAGGAATGGGGGTGAAGTCAACAGTAGTCAGTATCTATGACAAATCACTGCCAAGGTATTTTTCTTGCTTACTATTCAACTTAAAAGCAGCAGCCAGCAGCATTAAAGATGTAACAGCATTTTCCATTTCTCTGCTTTCTTAATTTAATCTATTGATAGCTTTCTTCTGCATTGTAACATCTCTTTTTAAATAAACTTTTTGTATTTCAAATACACTTAATAAAACTCATCAGTGAAGAACTGATTGTACTATATGTTAAGTGATAGAAACATACACTCTGTACTGAGAATGTGAAAAAAAATATTACTTTTGTATTTATGAGATTGAAAAAGCTGATTATAATGTGAACTTTCAAGTTGCAAAACACTATTTTTTGCAGAGGAACCTATTTTTCCTTATTGTTAATATTCCCTAAAGCTGAATACCCAGGATTCAATACTTGAATAGTGTCTGCTTCTGGATAGACTGAGTAGACTTGCACTCTTTATTTCATATTGCAGTTCTCCATTTCTGAGAACTGAGAAGTGAAATAATTTTTCTCTGCTATTAACAGGATAACGAGTAAATTGAAATTCCACTTTATCTTATGACAGAATTATCTGTATATACACTGCTCAAAAAAATAAAGGGAACACAAGCAGAAGACATCCGAGATCTGAATGAATGAAATAGCCTTATTAAATACTTTGTTTGTTACATACAGTAGTTTTGTGTTCCCTTTAGTTGTTTGAGCAGTGTATAAACTACTGTATATAAAGAACAAAGTATTTAATAAGGCCATTTCATTCATTCAGATCTCGGATGTCTTCTGCTTGTGTTCTCTTTATTTTTTTGAGTAGTATATTTAAATTGATGCTGAAATTTGACAGCTATAATCCATAAGTGTAAAATATGAAAATAGGACATGGAATTGTAGTCCTGAAATACACAAAAGAGGAGGCCTTTTATTTTATTTTCAATAGAAGATGGAGGATGTTGAGCCTCTATTTAAGATCTGGAGAAAGATGGGAAAGTGGTAGTTCAACTTTGCCTTCCTGGTTCCAGCAGTAGATTTCAATGCAACTTAGAAATTGATGTTCCAAAGATATAGGTATAGGTAGTCCTCCACTTACAACAGTTCAATTAGTGACTGTTCGAAGTTACAACGGTACTGAAATACTGTAAGTGACTTATGACCATTTTGCCCACTTATGATTGTTGAAACTGTTGTCCCCAAGGTCATATGATCAAAATTTGGATGCTTGACTCATATTTATGATGGTTGCAGTGTGCTGATAATCAGGAAACAAGATTCAGTTAACAACCGTATATTAACAATTGCAGTTATTCACTTAACATCTGTGACAAGAAAAGTTGTAAAATGGGACAAAATTCACTAAACAACTGTCCCGCTTAACAACAGAAATGTTGGCTCAATTGTGGTCGTAAGTCGAGGACTACTGTACCCTCTTCCCTGACCTCCAGAGAGAGGAAGGGTTGTTGCTGTTGAATTCTAGAGTGGTTTATCACAAAGTCCCAACTACCTACTAAGTACACAATGAGTTTTTTAATCAACCACTGATATAAAAATTGTTCATGGAATAAAAATATATATATCTTACCTTTCTTCACTTATGCACACAACTTAGGGCAACTAACAATTGAAGTTAATAAAAACACAATCATATTCCAAACATTAAGAAACACTAGGCAGCATGATAAAAAACATCTCTGACCAATGAAACACATGTCTAAATGTGCAAAAATTATATATCAACTTAAATGAAGTGTTACCATACAATAAAACACTGATCTAGGTATTTTTGGAAGGCTAAGAACTATATAATTTTGGTTCTGCCACCAAAAAAGTTCATTTCTCTGATACGCACCATTGTTATGAATTACTAATAATTTGCTAATTTTCTTCTTTTTCACCCCTGTTGCATAAAGGAAAAACTGGATTCTGTTCACAAACGTGATATAGAGGGCATGGGATTTCCTGAGATAAAGTATGGAGATTCTGTTTGTTTTGTGCAGCATGTAGCTAGCACTTTGTGGCTGACATACAAAGCACAGGATGCTAAAACATCACGTTTAGGACCACTGAAAAGAAAGGTAAAGAGAACATTTGTATTTTTATTCCATCATCTGCAATTGCGAATAACTTGCACATGTGGATGTGCGGAAGCTCATACAGCCAGAAAATATTGCACAGTATTTAATTGTCTGCACTGTTGCCTAGAAAGATGCAGTGTGAATAGTTTTTGGGCATGAGGCTTTTGAGAGCTGCTCACTTGGGCTCAGTTTATTCATGTGTGTGTGTGTGCGTACGTGCGTGCGTGTGTGTGTGTACAAATAGGCAGGCAGCACCATCTGTTCTAGCTATTATGGATATTAATTAGTTTGCCCCACTGGTCCTTTTTATTGAGACATATAGACTCAAGGAATTGCATCAGTCTTCTTGAGACCCATTAACAATAGGTGCTTCTGTTTTCTTCAACACTCGAGTTTACTTTCCAAAGTGTGCGTTCAGGTCTCTTGTATTCTTTTTAAATTGTCCCAGGTACATCTTATTTTCATATTAGAAACAAGAAAGCATTCTGATTTCTATAAAGCCCATGGATTAATTCTATAATTTCATCTCTAACATATTTGGACTGGCTGGACTGAGATACAGTAGTATCTCATTCTCTTTATCAAGGTTAAGAATATAGGGAACAAGCTGCATGCCTTTACATGACATGCCTGACATAGCAGAACATTTTATGGTTAGTTAAACTAATACTCTTTCTTTCTTTCTTTCTTTCTTTCTTTCTTTCTTTCTTTCTTTCTCTTTCTTTCTTTCTTTCTTTCTTTCTTTCTTTCTTTCTTTCTTTCTTATTAATATATTTATTTATCACATTTATATGGCCATCCATCACAGAAGTGACTTTCCCTTGATTTAAATCAGGGAAGTATGATTTCAATGATATCTTCTAATCGTAGAATAGGACCCAACAGATCCATCCTGGTTTGCAATCCTGATTTGTAAAGATTGCTCAAACCACAGTTTGTTCATTGGGATATCTCAGCAAACTGGGGGGCCTGACAAATTAGAACACATAAAGGATGGAGGACAGCAGCTTTATTCCCACATAGCTACCATGACCCTATGTCCTTTGTTTCAGAAAGCTGTCTTTTAGATTCCATTTTTCAAAAACTCACTTTTGTCCTTCATTTTGGTCATTTCACTTTACCATGGTAAATGATACCACTTAATGGACAGTCTTTCACATTCATGTGAAAAATATGGAAATGTACTGTCTTTTAAAAACAAATTTACATATACTGTTTGATTTTAGCTATTTTTATCAGAATATGCATTTCTGTAAAGTTTTTCTTGGTTTTGCTCATGATTTTTCTTTTATAAAGTAAAGTTATAAATGTAAATAATTTTTTGTTCTTAACCACTTTCAGGTTTGCTCCTTTTTCAGGTTTGTCCTTTATTTTTTTCCAAGATAATATGTCAACCGTATGCCTACACTGTTCTACACTTTTGCTCTTGCTATTTTTCTTAGCTACATCTTATAGCATATTATGTAAAATCCAGCTGGGACATATTATCTGAAATTAAAAAGAACATCAGCAAATTAAAATCGCAATTTTCTCCCAATCTCACACACTATCATTAGCAAGCTGCATAGTAATATTTGAGAACATAATTGAAAACATACAGGGAGTCCTTGACTTATAGCCACAATTGAACCCCAATTTTCTGTTATTAAGCATGGCAGTTGTAAAGCGAGTTATGTCCCATTTTATGATCACATGAGCCTGTGCCATATGTCATAAACACAAGCCAGTTGCCAAGCGCCTGGATTTTGGGAATGCTGCAATGTTCCTAAGTGTGAAAATCAGTTGTAAATTACATTTTTCTGTGCCGTTTTAACTTCAAATGCTCACTAAACAAATGGTTGTATTTTAAGATATTACTTTGACCATATATTTTAGGTTATATTACACCAAGAAGGGCACACAGATGATGGACTCTCCTTGCAAAGGTGTCAACACGAAGAATCCCAGGCTGCTAGAATTATTCTCAATACCACAAAATTATTCAGTCAATTTATAAGGTATAATTTCTTAATATAATAATTAATAATTAGCATTTATAACATTTATAGTTGAATCGTACCAGAATCTATTTGGAAATACATTCTGCTGATATTGGATTATAATTTATTATTGTTGAAGATTTATTTTTAATCAGTTCAAATAAAATTTGCAAAAATTTCGCAGCACAATTCTTTAACAATAAATCATCTTGATACATGAATATTCTTCCACAGATAGAAGATAATGGTGTATTGATACCCAAAACCTAATCTTGATATTTACAGCTTTTTCAAATGTCTTTCAAATATTCACTACATCAGCAATCCCCAACCTTTTTGGCTCCATTGAGGGGGGGTGGGGATGGTTTAAGTGCACACAGCCTAATCCCATGCATGTGCAAATAAAGCTTCGTGCACTCGCCCACCACTTGTGTGGCCCGGGGGTTGGGGATTCCTGCACTATATCATAGAAAATCACATTTGCTAATCATCAAGAGTCTTCAGCAGTTCAGTCTGCAGAAAACCTACAAAGATATTTTAGCAGGATGATTTCATTGACCATTTTTTGTTCCAACATTTACCATAGGTGTCCTCCAGCTGTATGGGGACCCATCATTCCCCGAATTCCGGTCAGCACGGCTATATATAACCCTAAGGAAGCAGGTTGGAAAATGCTGCTCTAGCCTAGCCTCTCTAACCTCTTCCTTCTCCATTCTTACCATACTCTCAGACTTTAGAATGTAGTGACAGAAAATTCCTTTCCCCCCCACCCTTCAAAATATGCATCGGTTGTATTATACTGATTGTGCTACACAGACTGGAGCCTTTTGATATTTCTTCTTGCATAGGCTGTAATAACACATTTGCATGAATGAAAGTTACTTTAAAAAAAATCTATTTGAGTGATATTCCTTTTCTTCATCCTATGGAAAAAATACTGGTATTTCACAACACTCTATATTGCAAAGTTAGCAATTCCTTCCCTAAGACTTTTATCATACAGACATTCAGATGATAGTCTCAGGACATGGGTTGACCAGTTTTGCCCTTCTGTATGTAACTCTATTAGCTTTTTAAATTCTGCATCTATGGATTATGTGATACAAAATATTCTGTGTGTAACACAAACTATATAATAGTAATAATTGTATGCTGATTATTGTTTTGATTCTAGTAATGTATTCTTTTTTTATAACTATTTGCTTTATCTTTTGATTCACAGTGGAAACAACAGTGTTACAACTCCCATCACTCTTCCCATTGAAGAAGTAGTTCAGAATCTACAAGATTTAATTACATATTTTCTACCTCCAGAAGAAGAGCTAGAACACGAGGATAAACAAAACAAACTTCGTTCTCTTAAAAACAGACAAAATCTATTCAAAGAGGAGGTAGAAAAGGCTATATTTAATGCATTTTCGTTTAATCAGGTGTTGGGATTAATAGTCAAGTGTATATTTGATTAACCTTTCAAAAATGCTTTAAATAACCATTATTATTATCCTCTGAAAAACTCAAAGTCTTAGAATCTTGGTTATTTTAATCTTTTTAAAGGTGAGATCCAAATGGGACCTTGGAAAGATGATACAATTGTGAAATGGGAAGGGGTCACAAGGATCACATAGGTTAAAAAACACTGGTCTAGTCTATAACAGAATACAATTATGCTTCAGGGTTTTCTGAAAAGATCAGATTGTTTGCTCCACAGAATGCTAGTTTCTTTTTTCTGAGCTGTTATAGACAATTGATAACTTAGATCAGGGGTGTCAAACTCAAGGGCCAGTGGCTGGATCTCGCCAGCAGGGTGCTTAGATCTGGCCCACAGGGCCGCTCTAGAAATAGCAAAGGACCGGCCTGAGCTCCGTTTTCGCTGGCAGAGGGTTGCAGGAAGCCGTCCCAGCCAAAAATGGAGCTTGGGAGCCCGTTATTTGCTGGCAGAGCGCTCGGACCACCCCAGGCACCTCCAACACAAGTGATGTTGAGCTGGCCACGCCCACCCTGGCCGCCGAGGTCAAACACAACCCTGATGCGGTCCTCAATGAAATCAAGTTTGACACCCCTGGCTTAGATGAATATGAAGCATCATATATAAAATTTTGTTTAAAGAAAGGCTGGCTAATGAAATATAATTTTCTGTTTAAAAGCAACTGTACAGTTTCCTAATTGAGGGATTAAATCTTTGTAATTCACAGAAATAACTAACAATTTGAAAACTGATTTTAACAATTTGAAAAAAATGATGTTCTGGGAGGATATATTTCTTTGTTCCCATCTGGTTTCATCATTTTTGCTGACAGTTGGGTGGCATATAAATTTAACACATTATTATAATAATTATATAATTAATTATCTTTTCCCACAACACACACTTTATTGCTGTTGCTATTTTATTATTATTAATAGTAGTAAAAATATACTTTAGAGCATATTTGCATTCTTCTGTTAGTAGTATCCAATAAGCAAAATTATTATATAAATTTAATGTTTTAAAGACATAAAAAATTAAAGCATAATAATATGATAAAGAAGAAAACAATGAACACATACATTTAGAGCCACAAATATATCAGTTAAAGTATCAAGAGCAATAAGGTCATTCCAAAGAATATAGGTAAAGAGATCATAAATGAACGATTCCAAAGACTGGAAGACATAGTCTGTCATCTATGTGAGAATCAACAAGAAAATATTTCTGAAGGAGAAGATTTTGGAGGTGTGAAGCCAAGAAAAAGAAAAGGCCTTGTCCCTGGTGGAATAATTTCTGCTAAAACAAAGAGCAGAGCTTCAGATGCGTACATAATCCTTGAGCAGGAACATTATAATATGGGTAAATGGATTGCAAAGCATTTGCAAAGGGTTTGGAAGTCAATACCAGCCCCCTAATTGGACTTGCAATTGAAAAGGCAGCCAGTGTAATCAGTGCAAAATAGAAGTAATGTGATTAGACAATCTAGTTGCCACAGATGTTCTCATTACTGCATACATTCTACCAATAGCTGATTCCAAACTGAGTTTCAGGATAGGTGTGTGCAGCAATCCAATTTGCTAATGGAGGCAGCAGGATGATTTTCTATTGGGGAAGTGGCTCTGGGGAAGAAGGAAGGCTTTCCTCTCTTTAATGCTATGACTCTGGTCCAAATGAGACCTTTATGACTGCTTTAAGCAAAATGATAGTTACAATGGCTGCTTTTGTATCTTTGAAACCTATCTTCTCCCACATTTACAGCTAGTTATTTTCTTTCTGGGAAGAAAATGTATTATATCCAGTATTTTATAGTTCAATACTGTATTTGAATTGCTTGTTTAAACGTTTATGTGAAAAGGAATATATATTTGAAGATACAAAGAGTGTTTATAATTATGTTTTTACAGGGGATGCTGGCATTGGTTCTGAACTGCATTGATCGATTAAATGTATACTACAGTACCGCTCATTTTACAGGGGTTGGTAGGGAAGAAAATGGGGCAGCGTGGAAAGAAATTCTGAATCTTCTTTACAAGTTATTAGGTGAGTTATAGGGTGTAAACATATATGTTGAAGTAAGTGATGCAGAGTTCAATGAGTTTTTAGGGAAATTTTTGAATTAAATCTAAATCAGAGGAGCTGAATAATTTTCCCCATAATGAATAGCACATTAAAACCAACACTAAAACTAAATCAACATGTTATTAGATAGTTGCAATTTATGTCATGGTTATGTTAATAAAGTAATTTTAATAATGTACTTTAAAATTTTAAAATGTGATTTTCGATAGAAGAGAATATTAGTAGTTGAGAGTTGAATTGGTGCTCTCTGAACTTGGTTGTTTTCTTGCAGATGTTTCATTACCAAACTAGATAATGTCATCAGTGTTAAATGTGGTTCGCTTTTATGATTAAGAAAAGTATGTGTGTACAGCAAAAAAACCCAGAGACGAAACAGAATTTAAAGACAAATACATGCCCTGCTTTCAGATTCATATTTTTCTTCACTGTTATTACCATTCTCTTTCTGAAGTTTAGTAATAATTAACAAATGTATTAAAAGTGGATACCTGTCACTGTTTTTAATCTCTTCCTGTTGAAGATTGCTGAATTTTTCATTGTCATCTACTTTAGTGATGCAGAAACTGCTGAATAATATTTTTTCTTCTACAGTGCCGTCCAGTTAGTAGGTGGACCTAAGAACTGTGAGCCTTTTCTGCAGCTGCATGAAATCTTCATCTGTGGAAATTTAGCAATGTAGAGACAGTTTTGAAAACAAACTATTTTATTTGTAGATTTGATTGTGCTTTTTAAAAACTCAATTGCCTAATAAACTCTTATATAAATAAGCAATGGCTCTGCTGTACAAATATATAGAAAAATAGGTTCTTGATTAGATCAAAATATTTCATACCAAATATGTAACAATGAATTTAGAACTGGAGGTGATGGGTTAATCGGGAGTCCTTCGGGAGTAGGGCGGTATACAAATTTAATTAATAATAAATAATAAATAATGGTATCAAATGTTTATCCAGTGTCAGAAATATTTAATGCCTACTGGAACGGTAATAATCAATTATGCCTAGTGAAGGTAACAGTAAACTATATTCCTTTTATATCTAGAATATACAGAAAAGCATATAGTGAATATATCCTGAATATCAACATGTAGTTGATGGAGACATATTTTATATTTTGTCTTTATTCTAAAATATCTGTATCTATAGTTAACTGATCATTCCAAATCTATCTTTCAGCTGCTCTCATTTGTGGTAACAGAAACAATTGTGCCCAGTTTTCCAATAATCTTGATTGGTTGATTAGTAAATTGGACAGACTAGAATCTTCTTCAGGTGAGATATACCAGTCTACTTTTCCATAACCTAAAAAAAGGCTGTTAACTCTTAATTATGGATTTTCATTCAAGAATTCCCCATACTATTCATCCTGTTTTCAAGGAACAGTTATCTGACACATTAATTCCTATAATGATAAAATGCATTTAGGTATTTACAGTACAATGCTATTTAGATTCTACCACACTATTCAAATAAAAGCTGGATTTTTTGCTTGGTATAGGAGATTCTCACATTTCTTGAATTAATAAGAAAAATGTTATTGATCAAATATATTGAAAAAAATATTGTTGTAATTTAGATCCAGACACAAACTGAACAGAAACTCTTAAGAATGAATGGAATTCTACTGCTACATTTAGCTTTAGGGCTAAGGGATTTATGTTTCTAAAGATAGCTTCCTTTTTGGTTCAGTTGTTCCTTAATTTGTTATCTGTCCTCAGATAAAAATACCGTAAAAGAAAAATCTCACATCTAAGTTATTTTGTTTTCTTGAAGCTGGCTGCCTATTTCAGGCATCTTCAATTTTTAAATTTTAAGCATTTTTAAAGAACTTAAAGAAGGAATTTTTTCTTTCATTTATTTTTTTTTCAGTGCTTGAATTATATGTTATGGATTCTACCCCTGAAACTCAAAATAATCTATTTGTCCCTGGCATTCAAACAGGTATTTTAGAAGTGTTGCGCTGTATCTTGATTGAAAGCCCAGAAGCTTTAAATTTGATAGATGAAGGCCATATAAAATCCATCATCTCCCTGCTGGATAAGCATGGACGCAACCATAAGGTATGTTTTAGAAATGCAAGATGCATCTTTTCTATGCAACATATTCAATAAATAAAACAAAAATTATTATAACACCTGTAAAATATATTAAAATAGAAGTAAGCACATTGTTATAAAAACCTGCTTTTGCCACAAAACAAGTGTAAAAATTTAAATAGAAGGGTTTTTTTTTTTCTTTGTTTAGGCTACTATTAGATTCTCAGGAGCAATTTCTGTGGATATATAAATAACAAATTGGTTTGATCTATGTAAACTGTCTTTAAAATGCTATGTACAATCCAGACAGAGTTACCGTATTTTTCGGAGTATAAGACACACCGGAGTATAAGACGCACCTACCTTTTTTGGTGAGGAAAAGAAGAAAAAGAAATCTCCCTCTGCCTCTGAGCAATTTTGCCTCATTGCAGCAAACAGCAAACAGCCTGCTTTACTTTCATTTTCGTTTTCAGCATAGCTTGATTAGCACAAGGAAAAAAACAAATCTGCTCCAGCAATTTACCTCTTTGCAGCAAGCAGCAGAGCCCTGTGCAAAACAGCTGAGAGCAAATCAGCTGAAAGTCAGGAGGCGGATCCAATCAACTTGTGCTAATTAGTCTGTGCTGAAGCTGAAAGGAGCTGTTTTTTTTCTTGCTTTTTGCTTGCAAGGAGGTAACTGCTGCGTGGCAGAGGCCAAAGGGTGGAGGCCAGTGGGTGGGTGGGGCTACATTCAGTGAATAAGACGCACCTAAATTTTCACCCCCTTTTAGGGGGGAAAAGGTGTGTCTTATACTCCGAAAAATACGGTATATAGATGTTACATTATGTTGTGCTCTTATTTTATCAGGTTTTACATGACTTGCTCCTCATTCCATCCCACAAGGAGGAGAATTTGTCTATTTTTATATCCTGTGATGTTTTTATATGTTGACTACTAGAAGGCAGTACACAATTGTTGTGCCCTGCTTGGAGTCAACGTGTATGCCTAAATATGTACCTGAGAAGATTCTTTAGTCCTCTGGAATGTGTAAAGTTCCTATAGAAAAAAAAATCCCACTTTCCAGGAAATAGTCAAGAATGTTAAAAACATTTCACATATCTTTCAAATTTTAGATAAGTAGAGCATTGATTATCTTGGATACGATTAGCATCTATGCCAATAAGCTATTTAGCAAGCTTAAAAAGCAGAAGGATTTGAAGATTTCAAACATCTCATGTATAAATAAATTTTAAAAAGGTTTTGTGCCCCTACTAGCCATACATATAGAAGTTCATATTATTGGACATGGACAGCATAATCCTGTGTATTTTACTCAATCCCAATGAAGCCACTAGGACTTGGTCCCCAGATAAGTGAATATGGAAACAGTCTGAATGATGAAGCAGAATCTGGAGGAATGCAGTGGAGACTTCTGAAGAAATATGCTTATATTTAAGAAAAGAAAAATGTTGACAGGGTTATTTGTTTGGAGAATAAATTGAAGCAATAGCTTTAAGGCTCAACTCTGCTACTTTGGCATCTCTTCTACAGTGCTGTTTTAGACAAGCTGTGCTCAAATGTTTGGGTAAACAAATGAGAGCCAAAGCTTTCCTTAGTATCTCTTAAGCAGAAACTGCTCATCAAGCATTTCAGTGAATGCTTGTGAAAGGGCTTGTGGGCAGGACATGTTCTCATCCTTTCAGCAGTTTAAGCCCTGCATATTCAAGCCATATCTATTCCTTGGGCAAGTTGCCCACTGGATGCCTTTCCGTCCTTCCTTTGTTCATTTTTCCTTCCTTCCATCCATTTTATTTTACATTATTGACTGAACTGTTTATTATTCACTGGTCAAAAAAACCAAACAAACAACCCTTCGACTCTCACATCTATTCTAGCTCCCACTCTGTCTCCTTTCTTTAAAAATCCTGAAGTTGGTCTCTCTTAACTAGAGACCTGTCTTGCTCATCATAATCTTTGTGGTTCCACTCAATAAGGATGTTGATCTGGTCCTGCCACTGAGACAGCTCTCTGTGAATTGTTGAATGATGTACAGTATCTATTGACTGTGCTGCTCCTCTTAGAAAATCAGCTATGTTTAATATTCTTAACCGTCAAATACTTTCATCCTGATTATTGAATTGTTGGGGGTTACTGATGCATTTTCCTCTAGTTTTTGTTTTTTGTTTTTTTCCTTCTTTTCCTGTTTCCTTTAAAAACTCTTGTTATTGTAAATTTCCCTTTACAGTTGGTATAGTTCAAGGTTTACTCCTGGGTCATGTTCCCTTTATGCTTTATACCCTTCTTTAGAGTGACTTAATACTAGAGTTGGTTTTTGATATCACATCTACTGTGATCATACCCAAATGTACTGATATTCTTCCAAGTTTGATTCAGTGACACAGAATTCCAATGGGGTTTTTTTTAAAACAGCAAATTTCATCTTGGATGATTGCCCATTATCTTGAGCTCAGACAAAACAGAGCTCTTAGTGTTTTGCAAAAAACAAATTCCATCTGTCTCCAGGGCTATGAGATTGCCTCCATATCAGTTGCCAGGAATTTGTGCCTGCAGGTGGATAATAAATTGTCCTTCAGTCATTCGTTGCGGCTACTGTGAAGATCTGCCATTTTCAACTGTAGAGCATTTGATGTATTTTCCAATTCTTGACACCTGATGCAGCAAAGCTTCTCATTCATGCTCTGATTGTGTCATGCCTTGATTACTTCAACATCTTAGTGGAAGGCCTCCCCACCTATTCTTGCTTCATTGATCTGGGTTCCAAGTACTATAGTCTGGATTTTTGTAATCTCTTTTTTCTCTCATGTGTCTATGCACCACATAGTCTGTATAGGGCCAGATACCATGATATAAACTTAATTTTGGCTTTTGGGGTATTGTTGAGAATCCCCACAAAATGCATTATTTGGCATCCTTGGCATTTTGGCTGTGTCCACTACTCTGACAGTAAATTTAAGATTGAGAGCCTTTCAGGTTCTAGGCTTACAGCTTTAGAATCAACTCCTTACTCTGTGATTTATGGATGATTTTCTAGTTTTAATGGGGGCCTTAAAACTTTTTTGTTTGATGTCATACAGGGTCAGAGGCATCTGAACTAGCTTTGATAATAGGCTTCTCTGAATTTCATGTTCTACATTGGTTAATTTTACCTAATTTAATTAGTTTAATTTATTGTAAATACTTGTTTGGAATTCTGTTCTTTAGAAGTGAACTACCAAAGTCTGTACTACGTCAGTTTTGTAGTTTTTTTAAATTTTCATTAATTAATATTCCTTTATTTTTGCTCCATTCTAGAATAAGAGTAAGTGTAAGAATAATAAGAATAAGAATAGTTATAGTTATGCCTGTCCCAGGTCTTTGGAAACACTCAATAGGTAGACAAAAATGCCAAATATCTGAATGACTGTGCAATGTACCATAATAACGGTATTAGATTTCTAGGTAGATTTCTTTAGAAGTGAAATTAAAACTCCTTGAAACTAGCATTGTATTATGCTCTATATAGTTCTAAGACCCACTTCTATGAATGTTTTCTAGGTTCTTGATGTCCTGTGCTCTCTTTGTCTCTGTAATGGTGTAGCAGTGCGTGCTAATCAGAACTTAATATGTGACAATCTTCTTCCTCGAAGAGATCTGCTGTTGCAAACACGGCTGGTGAATGATGTGACAAGGTATCATTATATATCAATTATGTTTATTAAAATATTTCATCTCTGTAACAGGAATTGAGCAGAAAAATCAGTCACAACTAATACGCTGTGTGAGGATACACAGCGGTTCTTTATCTGTTATATGCTTTGTTGGATCTGTGATTTTTTTCTATGATTTTACTTATGCATTGCATCACATTCCCTCTTTGACTTGTCAGTAAAATTGAGTTATAGGAGACAGTCTTGAACACAGAACAACTGAATGTCCTAGAAGCAATGAATTATTCTTTAGAAGGATAATTTGTATATTGACTTTACCCTTATATATTAGATAGTTTGAAAAAATGTTTGAGACTACTGTTGATATATTAACTATGGTTAGCATGATATCAAGGTATACAGGCATATTTTTATTTATTTATCAAATTTAGGGACTGCCCATCTCACTCTCAGAGTGACTCTGGGCAGTTTATAACTAAAGTATAAAAACTATATAATAATCAAATATATAAGTAAAATGGGAGCTAACTAAAAATAAACAAAGATAGAATAAGTTAAAATGCAGACGGAACACCTTCCAGACACTAACCATTTCCAGGGTTGAATCCCACTCTTCGAGCTCCAAGAGAGTTGGCAGAGCCAAATTTTAAAAGACCAAGAGAGTGGGGCTTCACCCTGGAGGGGAGAATATTCCATAGGGTGGGGACAAGAGTAGAGAAAGCTCTCTTCCTGAGCCCCAAAATTATGGTGTATTTTTTACTGCCGTGTGTTTTATATGCTCTTCATTCTCTTCTTTTTTAGCATAAGGCCAAATATATTTCTTGGAATTGCTGAGGGCTCGGCCCAGTATAAGAAATGGTACTTTGAACTAATCATTGATCAAGTGGAACCATTTTTGACAGCAGAACCTACACATTTGCGGGTTGGATGGGCCTCAACATCAGGCTATGCGCCTTATCCTGGAGGTGGGGAAGGATGGGGAGGAAATGGTGTTGGTGATGACCTGTACTCTTATGGCTTTGATGGACTGCATCTGTGGTCTGGTAAGAACTGATTTAAAATGTGAACTGCGGTAAATAATATGAAGGTTTGCAAAGTAGAATTGTTTTCTTTTCTTTTTAAGGAATGTTTTTGTCTCCTTAAAAGAATAATTTTCTCTGCCTTAATATTCAGTGTTCAAAATTGAGTATCTATAAAGCTGAATTATGCTTGAAGGGGGGGGGCAAAAAGAATTAATACTCCATCTAAATTTGTTTTGTGTCTCTTATTCATTTGTTTATTTATTTGTTTGGTTTTATTTGGGAGCTATAATGTCTATTTTGTTTGGCTTTGTTTAGGAGCTACGCTTAGAATCCAATGAATAGCAATCATGCATAAACCCAGTTTAAATTCTTGGGGATTGCACACCGAAAACTCTTGTTTTGTTAAATTGAACAGAACATTGGAAATTCATAGCATTGACAATTAAATAATGGAAAGACGAAAATGAGTTTTCTTTGCAGTTTGCACTGGATGTTGCCTGCCTATGGAATTCAAAAATAATTCCATCAATGACTAAAAAGAATGTCATGCAAATTTGCATTTAACAATAGCAGACATTATCCTCCTGCAACCATATGATTTCTGTTTTTCTCTAAAATATTCATTTATGTGTGACAAGAATGGCATTATAAAATTAGGAGTATGCCATTGAAAAGATAATTGCATTCAGATCTGTAATATACATATACATATACATATATGAATGTGTGTGTGTGTGTGCGTGTATAAAGAAAGAAGCAGACATTCTGCAAGCTCCAGAACTTAAAATTTTACGTTCTGGAGCTCGCAGGATGTCTGCTTCTTTTTTTACTAATATACCTGGAACCTGTATTTTTAAAATAGTTTATATATATATAAACTTGCTTGTGGGGTGCCACAAGGGTCGGTCCTCTCGCCCCTTCTGTTCAACATTTATGTAAAGCCGCTGGGTGAGATCATCCGTGGCTTCGGGGTGGAGTTCCATCAGTACGCTGATGACACCCAGCTGTACATCTCCACCCCAGGCCACCCCAATGATGCCCTTAAAGTGATGTCCCAGTGCCTGGAGGCCGTGCGGGCCTGGATGGGGAGAAACAGGCTCCAACTCAACCCCTCCAAGACCGAGTGGCTGTGGCTTCCGGCGTCCCGATATAGCCAGCTGATGCCATCGCTGGCTATTGGGGGCGAATCACTCGCCCCCACGGAGAGGGCTCGTAACTTGGGCGTCCTCCTGGACGCACGGCTGTCGTTAGAAGATCATTTGGCGGCCGTGGCCAGGGGGGCTTTTTATCAGGTCCGCCTGATACGCCAGTTGCGCCCCTTTCTAGATCGGGACTCCCTACGCACAGTCACTCAGGCACTCGTCACTTCCCGCCTGGACTACTGCAACGCTCTCTACATGGGGTTCCCCCTGGGGTGCACCCGGAGGCTCCAGCTGGTCCAGAACGTGGCCGCGCGGGGGATTTTGGGGGCGACGAGGCGCTCCCACGTGACACCTCTCCTGCGCGAGCTGCACTGGCTCCCGGTGGTCTTCCGGGTGCGCTTCAAGGTGTTGGTGACCACCTTTAAAGCGCTCCATGGCTTAGGGCCGGGGTACTTACGAGACCGCCTTCTGCCACCAATAGCCTCCCACCGGCCAGTACGCTCCCACAGAGTGGGCCTCCTCAGGGTGCCGTCCGCCAGACAATGTCGGCTGGCGACCCCCAGGGGGAGAGCCTTCTCTGTGGCAGCGCCCACCCTCTGGAACAACCTCCCCCCAGAGCTACGTACAATAACAGACCTCCGGATTTTTCGTCGGGCCCTAAAAACCCATTTATTTCAACTAGCTGGGCTGGCTTGAGTCAAATTTTAAACGGATTTTAAATTGAAATGTTTTAATTACGGCCAAAATTATTTAATTATTTTAAACAGATTTTAGATTTTGTATGTTTTGTATGTATGTCTTGTTTTTACTTTGGCTGTTCACCGCCCTGAGTCCTACATTGGAGAAGGGCGGTATAGAAATTTAAACAAATAAATATATATATATATATATATATATATATATATAAATATTTATTTAATGTGAACAATTTTTTTAAATATCATGGGAATTTCACAGTTCTTCCCCAGTATTTCTTAGATCATTTTTCCCTATGATTTTCTGCTTATTAGGTCGAATATCCAGGGCTGTTGCATCCGTGAATCAACATTTATTAGCATCTGATGATGTGGTCAGCTGTTGCTTGGATTTAGGGGCACCCAGCATTTCTTTCCGTATTAATGGACAACCAGTGCAAGGAATGTTTGAAAACTTCAATACTGATGGACTTTTTTTCCCTGTGGTGAGCTTCTCAGCTGGTGTCAAGTAAGGAAGATTCTGCTTTCATATCAACAGTCCCAAACATTTGTATTGAATATTGTTTAGTAGGGTTAATGTACTCTAAGGTAGTTTACAGTTGTCAAACATTCTCAGAAAATCCAGATTTTTTAAAAAAAATCAGAATATGGAGAATGAAAGAGAATTTTGACACTGCCTATTTTTGATTTGGATTCTCCCAAATCTTATACTAAATGAACTCATAATGAACTGTTGAGTTTTTTCATGATCTATGTGAAATTATTCACTCTCTCTTATATAACACTGGAGAACTGCTTGAAGATGATACTATTTTTCTTTGGCAGTGGTGACAAGAGGTCATGTTCTCATCTGACATACAAAGATTAAACAAACAATGATACACTGGTATGGTGTATGATTTATTAATCTTACCTTTCCTATATTCTTCCCTTAAACAACAACATTCCCTTTAACGTTCCCTATTATTCAGCAATATGCTATAATAACAGTAATTGAAAGCTATATTGGATTGTTTGTTCCTATTTTATTTTCTATTTCATGCTATATTCAGTTTCTAGGCATTCTTTATGGTGGTATGACACAATCTATAGTTTTCCAGATATTGCTGGATGGCAGCTCCTCTAATTTACCCAATAGTGAGGGAAGCTGAGAGTTGTACTTTGATAAGAACTGATGAGCTAAAGTTCCCCAGTCCTATTTTTTTCCTGAAACTTGCCAGACTGGAGTTTAGAGCATCAAATGGTGAGGTTCCATTTTAAAAATATTTTCCATCCTTTACACTTTCTAATATAGCTTCCTGTGGCCTGTACACTAGCATAAAATGCCCAGTTTGGATTTTCAAGTATTTTTGGTAGTTTTAGGGACAGTTTGCTTTAATAAAAGTAAACTTTGGTAACCTGCTCAGCCCAGATATCATTCTAAGAGCCCTGGTGGCACAGTGGTTAGAATGCAGTATTGCAGGCTACTTCTGCTGACTGCCGACTGACAGCAGTTCAGCAGTTCTAGTTTCACCAGGCTCAGGGTTAACTCAGCCTTCCATCCTTCCAAGGTCGGTAAAATGAGGATCCAGATTGTTGGGGGCAATATGCTGACTCTGTAAACCGCTTAGAGAAGGCTGTAAAGCACTGTGAAGTGGTTTATACGTCTAAGTGCTATTGTTATTCTCTTCAAACTATTTGGATTCTTAAAGAGATAGCCATGTAGTCTAAGACACTTTTTTTTTTTTACTTCAACTCTTGGTTTCTCACCCGACATGTTTGTTACATCATTGGATAGAGAATGCAAACAATAAACTTTTTGCTCCTTAGAAAAACTGAATTGAAAAGGAAATTTTTGGAGAAGGAATAAGGTTTAGGATAAACTGGATTCAAAGAGGAAAAGGTAATTTGGTGGGTGCATAGGTGTGTCAAGGAAAAACAAAGTCCAGCTGCCTTTTGAAAAAGCACTTTTGGGACAATATTCATGTTATACTTGTTGGCAACAGGTAGGATACTGTCCTTTTCCTGGGATTGCATGGCAGCAATCATATAATCACACAAAACACTTCCATAGTTTGGTAACAGGTGTAATATGTGTATCCTGAAACCAAATTTATTTTTCTGTTTAAATATAGATCATTGCCCAGTCCTAAAACCTAGCCATTTAATGTCCATTCCTGCACCTAATATATTTAGATAGCAAACATCCCATTTGCTTGAAGGGTGGTTAAATGTTTATATAGACTGCCAATGACTTTCTGTGATAGAAATATTCTTAAGGAAAATTTATTTCTGTATTACTAAACTTAGTGAATAACTACCTCATTTCTCAACAAAATGTCATTTGTCTGAAATAACCTCCAGGCCGAAATTTCCAGTATTATTTTTGAAATCAGATTTACTCTGGTAAGAATATTCACTAAGGAGTTATTTTAAGCAATTGACTTCCAACATAACGAATGCATTTGTAAAACCTTTACTGGAAGAATATTATTATGATCTCCAGAGAAATAGTTGTTGCTTTGTCCAAGCTGCTGCAAAATGACATCTTAAAGATTACTGTAATATCTTTATAAGCTTCTGTAGTTTATATGTTCATGCATCTGATATTATATTATATAAAATATATGCCTTAATGTTTTTCTCATCAACATGCCATATAATCTTTTATTATTGTTTTTTGCTAATAATAAACTGAATAAAATAAACCCAATCATAGCTTGAACTAAGAAGCAGGCCTTTAATGTATGATTTCAAACTTTCAATAGAAATTGCAAATAGGTTTGCAATTATGTCGCTGAAATTAATAGAAATTATATGCTAATTAAATTAGAACTTAAACTTGTAACTACCTGTTTAACTATGGCAGATAAAATGTGACTCCATACTGGAGATTGGCAGAATACTAAAAGAAGTTTGGAAGATATCTCCAGGGAATTTGAAGGCAGCCCCCTTTGCTATTCAGTCATTAGTTGGGTTTTTCAGTGGCATTTTGCTTTCTATTGATTTATACATATTGTTTACCATACATAAAAATTACAGTGATTGTTGGACAGGTATAGGTTTTGTGTTTCTCAGAAAGCCTTTAGGTTTATGTAGATAAATGCGCTGTGTGCTGAAAAACAGTGTGAAAGAATCTAGCAAATACATCAATCTCACGTGCTGAAAGAAAATATAACAGTCTAGATGTGTTGACATGAAAAGTCAACATCTTGGAGATAAATGCCTTCTGTCTTTTATAATTGAACAGGTGGTGTGTTAAATAGTGATGCTGGAGGGCTCCTCTATCTAAGACTCAATGTAGTGTTGCAGGAAAAAAATTCTATATTTGACATGAAATATCCTCTAGAAATGTCCTCACATCTGCTCAGGCAGTTAGCAAACAAGCCTAATAAGATGTGTTGAAGTGAGTGTTCTGATCATTTATGTCATTTCTAGTAGTGAAGAGATACTTTTCGTTAAACATTATTATAAATATTTGCATAATTGTGCCTTGTAATCTTCATGTGCTTCTCTCATGAATTCATAGTTTGCAAGATAATATTAGTTTCAATATATATTTATTTTATGTCTTTTACATTGTGTATGAATAACAGAATAAAGAAGTTTATTATGAAAATCATAATATATTTTAATTTTCTGGAAACCTCATTATAAATAATATTCTTTTAAAAGCTTACCATATCAGAAACAACAACAGAATTTTCTGAGTAGCTACCAGTAATTCTGATGTATATTTTAGTATTACTAAAGTCTTTACTTTCTTTAATCAAAGAAAGTACCCCACATGTTTTAACTATTTTTCAACATATACTATTACTTTTACAAAGAATGTGTGGCACATTACATAGTAATTAATTCACGTATCATATAAACTGTTCCAGAGCTTAGTATACTTTAGCAGATCTGTGGAATGAAATTCTGAGAAGGGGGTTCATGTGTTAATAAAATTCTTCATGGCCTTAGATGCAGAGGATGATTCTTGAGATTATATTTTAAGTTAAATTCATCATGGGTGAAACATATTGAATATTTAAATACAAAGCAGAAGAAATCCTAATCTTGAATACACTTCTACCTTATCTCTATTCAGGTTATCAGCCTTGATAGACAGTGAGAATGTCTGAAAATGTAGTGAAGGTTATCTTTCAAGGTTAGTCAAGAAAACTATTGGCCAGTCAAAAATCATGTTTCCATTTCTTTAGAGTGCGTTTCTTAATGGGTGGCCGCCATGGAGAGTTCAAGTTTTTACCTCCTACCAGCTATGGACCTTGCTATGAAGCTTTGCTTCCAAAAGAAAAAATGAAATTGGAACCAGTAAAAGAATATAAGAGGGATTCTGAAGGAATTAGAGATTTGCTTGGTACTACTCAGTTTCTTTCCCAGGCTAATTTTATTCCTCGTCCAATTGATACCAACCAGGTAAGTTTAATTAAAATATCATAACACATATAATGACTGAATATTTAATTTGTCAGGATATCTTTATTTAGTAATAAACCACTTTTAGATTTTATTATGTGATCATCAATTGGAAAACATGGAGGACATTGCTGAAATATTTTATCTTGATAAAAATTTACATATTTTCTTCATAGATTGTTTTGCCTTTCCATCTTGAAAAGATTAGAGACAAGCTTGCTGAAAATATTCATGAACTCTGGGGAATGAATAAAATAGAACTTGGTTGGACCTATGGCAAGGTATATTATGAAGAATTCTTTGTGACAAAATCACTCATTACATAGCTTTATTCAATTACAGGAAACAGATATACTCTTGACACAATAGAGAAAATTAGAGAAAATTAAAATAGTAATAGATTTTCTCTGAAACAGGACAATTCTGATTTCTTTGTACTTAGCTCCAGAGCTTCCTTCAATGAATCTGGAGAATAAGTAGTAGTAAATAAATAACTAAGGGAAAATTGTGATAATGCAGATATTTTCACTTCTTCACATAGTAATACAAATAGTCTTTGAAGTATGAGACCATAATTTATTGTTAGACAATAACAAGAGTCTGTAACTTCTAGACAGGCCATAAGTGCAGTTTTCAAGGTCTGCATACTTTTTGGGACATGGGTCTGGAACAGTGGTGGGATTCAATTTTTTTAACAACCAGTTCTGTGGGCATGGCTTAGATGGGGGTGTGACTTGGTGGTCATGTGACTGGGTGGGCATGGCTAGCAGGTCATGTAATTGGGTGGGCGTGGCTATGTGCATAGGGACTACTCAGAAGGCTGAAAAAAGTCATTTCTGACTGGTCCTCGCATTTATGACCGTCCTCACATTTATGCCCATTGCGGCATTCTTAACAACCGTGTCAGTCATTTCACCATTACTTCTCTTCACCATGGTGACAAGATAGGGCGTAAAACGTAAAATGTGAGGACAGTCGTAAGTTCAAGGACTGGTCAAAAGTGCGAGGACCGGTCAAAAATAATTTTTTCAGCATTCTGACTAGTCCATATGCACATAGGGACTATTCAGAGGGCTGAAAAAAGTCATTTCTGACTGGTCCTCACATTTTTGACCGGTCCTCGCACTTATGACCTTTCTCACATTTATGCCCATTGCAGCATTCTTAACAACTGTGTCAGTCATTTCACCACTACTTTTCTTCACCATGGTGACAAGATAGGGCGAAAAACATAAAATGTGAGGACAGTCATAAGTTCGAGGAGTGGTCAAAAGTGCGAGGACCAATCAAAAATAACTTTTTCAGCCCTCTGAGTAATCTATATGCACAAAAGGATACAGCAATAGAGAGGGATGAAGGAAGGAGAAGAGAGATGGAAGAAAGAAGGAGAGAGAGGGAAGAGAAGGGAAGAAGGAAGGGAAGGGAAATTAGAGTAGGAGTGAGGGTAAGAGAGGGAGGAAGAGAGGATGAGAAGGAGAAAGGAAGAGGAAGTAGGGAGGAGAAGAAGCGGGGGGGAAGAAAGTAAGAAGGAAAGAAAAGAGAGAGGCGGTAGGATTGAGGAGAAAGATTGCTGTACAGTAAAAAAGATGAAATGGAAGAAAGGCAACCCCAAACAAATATAAAGGTATTAAGATAAAGAATGAATTGTTAAACTTTAAAGAATAAAAGAGAACAAATATGAATAAATAGTAATAATTAGAAACACATATTCAAACATACAATTTATTTTCTTTGAACAGAGTATTTGGCCGGTTCACAAATTTAAAAAGTGTTTAGTCATTTCAATTAAATTTACAATTTCTATATTTCCTTTTTGCCATATTTCTTCCTTATCTATTTTTTAAAAAAACAATATTAACCTTCATCTTCATCTCTAATCTTAATCAAATTCAATTTTTCCCTTCTATTCTATATTATACCCCTTCCCATTGTCATCTATTTTTATATCCATCCTCACATTGGTTAATTATGTAATATTACAGTTGTTTAATATAAATTCAACATTTTAATATAAATCAATTAGTTATATAACTATCTTTTTTGTATATTAATCAATATGAACATGAATATTCCAATTATTTCCATGCAATCCAATTTCTTACAAATCAATTAATTATATTTACCAATAATAATAAACCAAATAATTTTCCCCATATATTCCTCCAAACCACAACTTTACAATTTCTGCTTTCAACACAATATACAATTAATAGTATCTCAATTATTACAATTCCCTAGTTAAATAGAGCTTTTTTTCTTTTGTGTTTTAAAATGTTGAACTCTCCTCTTTTGCCCTAAATTTCCCATTGTTTGCACCTACCTTTTTTGGTGAGGAAAAAGAAAAGAAATCTGCCTGCCTAATTTTCCAACATTGCAGCAACAGCAAAGCCAACAGCCTGCTTTACTTTCAGTTTCGATTTTCAGCATAGCTAGGGGAAAAAAAATCTGCTCCAGCACTCTTTGCAAGCAAGCAGCAGAGCCCTGAGCAAAACAGCTGAGAGCAAATCAGCTGAGAGTCAGGAGGCCATCTAATCAACGGGCTAATGCTGAAGCTCCGCGGGCCAATAAAATTACAAAAAAACACCGAACCATTTGTTAAATTGCTGTGTCACCCGCCCCTCGCCCACCACTATTTATTGGCAATAATAAATAGTGGAGGGGCGGGGCAAGCCAGCAATTTAACAAACGGTTTGGCCGAACCGCCTAGAACCGGCAGAATCCCACCACTGGTCTGGAATCACATGAGTTATATTCAGTAGGGTCAATAGTCCTATATGGGAGATTACTTGAGAATTCCAGAAGTAATGACTAGGTTTTGGAAAATTAAAACATCAGGAGAATTGCATAAGACTGACATGAAAACTGAATGGATGCATTCTCCATGAGCTAAGCTCAAAGTAAAGGCATCTTGTGTCTTCTCTGGAGGCAGAGGAACTTCACACCATTTTTATTTTCCCTGCTTCGTGCTTTTAGTTAAAGCAAACCTATAATCTCCATTCCAAGATGACATTTACTGATTTGCAGTCTCATGTTTACTTATTGGCAGTCCTGAGGAATATTTTACAAAACAAAAAGTTGGAGCTTTAATAGCTGGAACATTTGGGGGAGGAAAAATACCCACAATGACAGGATAATAAATAAGTCCAGTTTATGGCTTATGGATTGTTACAGCCATAAATAGAGGTTTACTTGGCAACCAAGATGCCTGATAAGAAACTTCAGATCCAAAACTTTTGCCAAGGTCACACAAGTTCTCCTTCCATGAATTGGGCAAAATTTTGGTTTTGTTCTTGTTGTGGCCTTCTTTTCTTGATTTGATTAAGTGCCATCAAGTCATTTTCAACTCCTAGTGACCACGTAGAAAATTTTTCTCCATGATCTTTTCCTAATGCATGCTAATATTATTTTTCAATTTTCAACCCCCCCCTCATTTTCGTCACTCCAAATCGGGTTCACTATATCCATCTCTAACAAATCACCATCCCTCACTGCCAGTTCTGCCTAGTTATTTGCTGAGCCCATATCATCTGCCCAAGGCAGCATATAAAATAAATTAAATAGTTAGTTAAATAATTAAATAAATAATTAAATATGAATGAATGAATGAATGAATGAATGAATGAATATCTTCTCCCTTGAAGTGTCCATTTTATTGATGCTCCTTCACAGGATTTCAAAGGTTCACACTTAGCCAATTGTCTTAAAGTTACTTTATATGACTTTATAAGTCAAAAGAAATGCAGAACATTATGAGGAATCGAAGTTTAGTTCTACAAAACATCAGTTATATCTAGACTATAGAATAAGTCATAAAATATCTGTGGTAAGAATGTGCAAGTATAATTTTCTGCTGCAGGTAAAATTTCTCCTGGTATGTCCAACTGCACATCACTTTTTGAACAACAGCTGGGCAATGCAGGTCAGAATTTGCTTCAACACATGGGACATTTATTCATAACTTGTAGAATAAATAAATAGAATAAAACTCTATATGAGTTTTCCAGTGGCCATGCTGACATGATGGGATAATAATCCTGTCTTAGAGACACTTGATTGAGGAAAACTGTGATGGATGACTGTGGTTTATTTGCAGGAAAAAAGGGTCTATTTTTGTTGAGCAGAAGTTGCTCTAAGGTTACTTACAGTCTCTTTCATACCTTGTAGATACGAGATGATAATAAAAGGCAGCATCCTTGTCTGGTGGAATTTTCAAAATTGCCTGAAACAGAGAAGAACTATAATCTGCAAATGTCAACAGAAACTCTAAAGTGAGTCACAAAACAGAAAGAAAACTATTCTGTAAGGTCTATGGAAATTCTCAGTCATCCAGGTCATGGTTGTCCCAAAGGTGCTTTTTCAAGAGGCAATGGGACTATATTCTGTAAGCTTTAATTCCCTAAGAAAGCATTCTGTTTAGTTACTTTTTATGGGCTGTCTCCAGACTTAGCCATTGATAGCAATTTGTTAGTCCTGAGAAATTCATCTTTCTGATTTCAACTGATCTGGATTTATTGGAAAGGATTTGGAAATTGCACTTAAGAAATGGACCAGAAGGGCACCTGCATACAAGATAATAGTGGAGGAAGATTTATTTCTCATGACAGGCCCTCAACTATTCATTTTTTATACCAGAAACTACCAAGAAGTACCAGGGCTGTAGGCTAGGCAGGAAAGTTGAAAGTATCCTGGAAAAGTACTATGGTGAACTACTGTTGCCAGAGCACAGCATGGAGTTGTCCATGAAATCACTATGGAATGTCCATGGAATTGACCACAACCTGAAGGAATCTTAACAAATAATCAATATATTTACTCCCCATTAGCATTGTTCAAGAGAACAATTGATTTTTTTCTTAATTTTTGAAATGGTAAATTTCATTTTTGTTAATTTTTTACCCTTTTCTGATCTTAAGATTTTTTTCTACATAAAATAATATATTATCTGATAAATATTTCCATTTCATTCACAATTAAACCTGCTTATTCACTTCCCTACAAGTATTCATCAACTCCAAAAATCACATCATTTTCCTTCAGATATATTACATTCTTCTCCTTCCTGCTAGTTTGCCAGAGAGACAACATATCTATCTCTTCTTTCATTCCCATTATAATTTCATGATCTTGAACATGTACTCCTCGTATTCAAAATTACAATCTTCCATATTCTGTGGTCATCACCAAGATCCATTAATATTGACTTCTACTATCCAGGGGTGGGTTCTACTTACCTTTACTATCGGTTCATAATGGGGCCGCGCGCAAGCGCAGAGGCATTTTGATGACATTGGGATTGGTGGGTGGAGTCTCCCACCGGTTTTACTACCGGTTCTATAGAACTGGTGCGAACCAGGGGCAACCCACCACTGCTACTATCCATTATAACTTGATCGAAAAGTGTTTGTCATAATGCTTTTTAATAAGATAGAGAAGGCATAGGGTAAATTACTAGCTTTAGCTGTATTCATACCATGTGCAGCATACATTGCTAAAGTATGGAAAAGTTTTTGGCATCCCAAACATGTTAATACTATTGCGTGCAAAGTAAAATTTCTAATCTAAAGATTCCCTTGCAACAGATGTTTGCCCTTATTCCAATAACCAGGATGCAATATCCTGATGCATATTTAGAATGCATGCTATACTTACATTTTACAATTGATTCTATTTTTATAGAACTCTTTTGGCCCTTGGATGCCATGTTGTTCATGTAAATCCAGGTGCAGAAGAAGATCTTAAGAAAATCAAGCTTCCTAAAAAGTAAGCTCATTTATAACAATGATTGTCACAAGTTGTTTTATGTGAAGTTTTTCATGTAAAGTATTAAACATAGAACAATCAGTAATTAACTATATGTTTCTGGATACAAGCAAACATTTTGTGATGCTGTGTCTTGTGGATAAGAATAGGCAGTGGGACATATTGTTAATGCTGTTTAATAGTTAAAGTCTGCAGCTGATGCATGGCAGTTAAAATGGCGAAGCTATAGGGTTTATTTAACCATAAAAGGTGTTCAAAATTTAAAAATTAGTAATCGTAATCACAACCCCACCATATACATTGGACTTGTTTATTTACTTGCAAACAGGGATTCATAATCTCATTTTCTGAAGAGTTTTTTGTCCTTATTTGGAAGAATATGAGGGATGCATCATTATTGATCTATGGTAACTATACACCAAAAGTGTCTCCTTCTCTTAGGAATCATATATGAATTCAGTATGAAAGAAGATAGAACAGATTGATTTGGATTTAAAATTCCTATTAATAATTAAAGTAGACTAAACATTTACTAAATTATAGATATACACAGAATATTCTCAACAGCTCTTTGATTAATTAAAATGTAGGTCCATATTTTTTCTGGTTTACAGTTACATGATGACAAATGGGTACAAGCCAGCTCCTCTTGATCTTTCTGAAGTTAAATTGTTACCTTCGCAAGAAATATTAGTTGATAAACTTGCAGAGAATGCACATAATGTTTGGGCAAAAGAAAGAATAAAACAAGGTTGGACCTATGGTATTCAACAGGTAAAAATTACTATAAGAAAGATTTCAAAGAAAAATTGGGTGATTATAAAGGAAGAACCATATCTAAAGCAATATTATTGGGTAATATGTTTATTACTTAATTAATAATTCTTGACAACTACTGTACTTATTGGAAAAACCTGGAGTTGTGTGTGTTATTGTGTATAGTAGGATGGCCTGTATTTTTTTAAAAAAAGCATTTTCACATTTAGTCTTTCTGTGTTTTGGAGCATAAATTTTATTTATTTAGTGCAGCCCAGTTTCTAAACGACTCTGGGTAGATTACGAGAAGGAAAAGAAACAGATATAGTATATAGAGGAAAAACTCCACATTGGTGCATAGAATGGACTCCAATGTAGGGGTGCAATCTGTTCTGGGATTAAGAGATTCTTTGGAGCATGTCTGGGCAATCATTTGGAGAAGAAAAGTGAAAGATAGTCGTGTTCAAAAACTGAGTATCTTTCTCCTTAATAATTATACTGCTAGAAAATAGAAAATAGAAATTTAGGTATTAAAATGTACTGTTCTAAATTGCTCTATATAACTAAATGTTATACTGAGTTATGGTGGCACAGTGGTTAGAGTGCAGTATTGCAGGCTACTTCTGCTTACTGCCGGCTGACTGCAATTTGGCAGTTCAAATCTCACCAGGCTCAAGGTTGACTCAGCCTTCAATCCTTCCAAGGTGAGTAAAATGAGGACCCAAATTGTTGGGGGCAATATACTGACTCTGTAAACCACTTAAAAAGGGCTGTAAAGCCCTATATTATTGCACCTATTCTTTTTAGGATCTTAAAAACAAACGGAATCCTCGGCTGGTTCCTTATGTGTTATTGGATGAGCGCACTAAAAAATCAAACCGGGATAGTCTTCGTGAGGCTGTTCGGACCTTTGCTGGATATGGATATAATATTGAGGCCCCAGATCAGGAAATAGGTATGTTAATACATATTTTGTTATTAGTATTTTTGGAAGCACTAAATTATTTCTAACATGTTTTTCTGTTCCTTTAACCTTCAAGAATACTCTGTAGGATTTTTCAGTATGTTAATGTTTGAGTCTATGAGGAGAAGAATTTATTTACCCAAATTGATGTCTTTTAAACTTCCTGTTAGCACTCAGTGAATGAGGAGTACACTTGGGTCATAAGAAAAAGAAAATCTCCTTGGTGGTTGCTGTAGTCTTCTTTCCCCAAGCCAAAATGTGAACATAATTTTCACATGGAATGAATGCAGCATTTTTCTCTATGTGGTTAATGAAAGTTTACAATTTCACAGCCTCTCTTGACTTATTCACTGTGTGTTATCATATCTTCTTTCCCAATATAGATTGTTTTCTTTCTTTGTTTGTTTTACTTTGAGAAGAAGGAAAGACAATGAGAAGAAAAAAGAAAGCGCAGAGGCTATGTGTCATAATTCAAGAAAGGATAGCTAAAGGGAAAAAGCTTTGCTTTTCTGGAAAATGTTGCTTCTCTCAGAGGAGCAGATGTACTTGAATATTAAAACACCCTCACTCCGAATTTTAATTTCTACAATGCACACATTCTTGCTTCTGTGTCATATATGTTTATATAATTTCCATACCAAATATAATTTCTGACAAGATAAGTAAGTAATTATTCTCTGGCTGCTTCAACATTTTTTTTTCTGAGTACAAAAACCTGGTGTGTAAGAGCATCTAGACTGGGGTTCAAAAATGTCAAGATGAGAGTTTAATCACAATGTTGCAGCTTCCATCTTTTTTGGGGAGTGAACACCCCCCCCCCAAGTGCCCTTTCTGATATGTTCAGTTATAATAACTTTTTTTACATTGTATTTTTCACAGCTGATCAAACAGTGGAAAAAGTGCGCATTGATAAGATACGTTTCTTCAGAGTGGAGAAATCTTATGCAGTTCAGACTGGAAAGTGGTATTTTGAATTTGAAGCTGTAACTGGAGGGGATATGCGTGTTGGATGGGCAAGGCCAGGCTGCCAACCTGACATAGAACTAGGAGCTGATGACCAAGCATTTGTATTTGAAGGCTCCAAAGTTAGTATGTTTAATTATAATTGGCGGGGTTTATACAGCATAAGTCAGTTTATAGAGTTTTAGGTCATGGGCACAATTACGCATTCATAATAAATCCAGTCCATTGCGAGATGAAGCATATAAAGCTTTAATCTCCAGTAGGCAAAATTTGTTTTGAGTTAAAGTGCCCTCTCATAGATGGACAAGTCACGCAAATACCATAATTCAGTACAAAATAAGAGTTACCTACCCCCACCTTCCCTAGTCACTGTTGCAAGGAAAAGAATTTAGGTTGCCTTTCCCTTGTGAAAGTAATTGTCAAAATCTTTACAGTTGTTCTCCTTTTCCTGTTCGATCTCCATTATTCTCAGCTCATTGATGGAATATGAGATGATGTCATGAAGTCTTGCCAGTATTCTTTATGTACAAGTGTTTGTGTACCTAAATTCTGCCAGAATCAATCAATGAGAAAGTGTGACGGGTTAGTTTCATAGAGAAGGATTGAAGGGCAGGAGGGAGAGCCACTAACAAGGAAACTATAAGGCAAGCCCAGGTTGATCTCGTTCCAAGAAACTATTTTGAGAAAATTCCTCAGGCCTCTTCAGAGTTTACATTAATGTAAAGTTAGGGAGGAGGGAGGTACATTCAGACAAGCAAGATTCTGTTATAGTAAAAGTAGATGTAGATCTGTATGATATTGGGTTTTTTTAGCTTGGTTTACCTTGTAGGCTGACAACTGCTAATGTAAATCAAGTACTTAACCATAATTTAATCTATAATACAATTTATAACAATTAAATTGCTTGACATAGTTCCAAGTAATGTTCCCAACCAGTACTGATAAGGACCCTCATAAACCCAAAGAATCAATAGATGGGAAGGGGGGATGGGAGGGGCTATTATGAAAAAGTAGTTAAATACAAATAGGTTTGCATTCTATTTGATGTGAAAGTGTAATTAAGCATTAAAAAAAAAACCACTTACTGACATAATTCAAATAGCCATCAGGTAACAACAGCAATTGGGGCTGGAATTTTCATCACTATATTGCAGATACTGACTTATTTTCCAAAATGTTTCATTAGAGATTGATGTGAAGAACGTTTAGGATAATTACACCTAGGCTGATTTCCAGGGAAAATGGTTGATTATGATAAATATGTAAATAATAGGGGTGAAGACTTATAAGGATAATATCTGTGCAGCAGAAAATAGATCCAGTATTTCTTCCTGTAAAAAGTCAATTGAAGTTAATTCTACTAAAATCTTGGAAGACAATTTGCTGCCTTGTTTATTGTTTATATATCTATTCATCATACTGTGATGAACACATTTAAATCATAAGTACCATAAGTATACTTGGTAATCTTCAAAGTTGATGCCATTAACAATTTATGCCCAATCTGACTATGGAATATGGTTACCATTCACTGAAATCTTCCTACAGAATGTGAATGCATATATGTGAATATATATCCTATATATTTTTGTTGGTTTTTAGTTCTTTCTTTCTTTCTTTCTTTCTTTCTTTCTTTCTTTCTTTCTTTCTTTCTTTCTTTCTTTCTTTCTTTCATGTTGTACATTGTTTATTTTTCTTTCTGGATTTGTTTTCAGTAAATAAAAGCAAAAAGGCCACAATAAGTTTGACGGGAAAATGGTACTATTTTGTTGCACAAAAACCAATGATGAATCTTATATGATACCTAAAAACATAACTTATTTAGTGTAGCACAAGTTTTTGTGGAATATATTTATTATGTAAACCATTTTACTTTTCAGGGGCAACGTTGGCATCAGGGGAGTGGATTCTTTGGACGAAACTGGCAAGTAGGAGATGTAGTAGGCTGTATGATCAATCTGGAGGACAAGTCTATTATATTTACACTCAATGGAGAATTACTTATAACCAGTAAAGGTTCAGAACTTGCTTTTGCTGACTTTGAAATAGATAATGGTGAGCTCATTGCTGACCTTTAGAATATATCACAGCCTTATCTCTCAGTTGTCTAATAGGAGTTAGTAAAGGAGTGTGTAGTACAGCGGTGTCAAACTCACATTGTCATGGTGGCGTCACATGACATATTGGGACTTTTTCCCCCTTTGCTAAACTGGGCATGGGCGTGGCCAGCGTGTGACTCATCCAGCCCATGGACCAGGAGTTTGACAGCCCTGGGGTAGTAAAATGCAGCCCAATATAATAAAGTATATATACAGTCATTAATTAAGAATAATAAAGATTCCAACAATGATAGCATTTTAGTTAGCTATTGTAGAATTTTCTGCTGTCATTGAACATGACATTTTAATATGTTGGTTACTATTTGGTATTTTTTTAAATGTTGTGGTAAGTCCGTTAGTTTTATTGGCTTATTCTGCAATTTTATTTTATTGGCTTATTCTGACATTCTGAAAATCTCCATAGACACTTATTCTGACAGTTGTACATAATCATGTAAATACAGCACTAATTAAAATGAGAAAAAAACATTTTGAAAAAAAAGTGTCTTCATCCTTGGAGACTCCTTCTATTCAAGAAGAGAAGCTACTGAATACAATTAATATTTTCTGCACTAGGACATGCTTCTAAGTAGCATAGACTTCAATATGCATTTCAGTATCTTTAATCTTGCAACCTCAGACAAAGTTCCTTGGATATAAAGCCTGCTGGCCTCAGTAGAATTCATGTTTGAATAGAAACATTTAGTCAAGTATGTTAATGAATTGTAACAAATTCCATTTAAATTATGTTATCTACCATTTATTGTAATGAGCTGTTCAGTAGGTTTTGTCATCAGATTGTAAAATTTGTTTGAGTCATTTTATTGTAAAAATGAAATCAGACTAAATATATTTGCTATTAATGATATGTATATTTGTATTAATTTTAAGAGGATTAATCAGTATGCGTGTTATGTGTATAATTAAACACATGCAGATACATATGCAGACATAAAATCCTATTAGGAGAGAGAGTGTGAGATCTCATAATAGCTTGTTTCTCCTAATAGCTTATTTATCTCTCTTCTTAAGGTGCAATCATATGATCCATTCAGAGCACGCTAGAGATGATTGTCATTGTCTTATTTTTTTTTCTTCCAAGATTGGATAGAAAAGCTATAAGACATGAAGTCATAAATACTGTTATATTTAGCCATTTCATTCACCTTCACTTCACTGCAATCTTAGTTGTAGTTTTCCATATTATATGCCTTGTTCACTACCCAGATGTACCCATAGATATTGTCCTACTCTATCCATGTAACTTTGATCTATTGAGAATTTTATATGACTTTTAAGAAATTCTGTGAAAGGTACACTTTCCCTTCTTTTAAAATTTGAAACTAGACACCTATAAGTGACGTTATTTGTCTGGATATAATATTAGATCTAATATTAGATATCAGATGTTTTAAGACCTCCCCCTTAACAGGATTTTTAAACATTGTATTACACTATCATGTTTAGTATTCACCATTAGAAGCCACTATATGACCATTTTTAACTTTAATTATCGGGCATGTATAAACTAGGTACCCCAATCTAGAAAATATCTTTCAAGCCAACATACTGTTGCCCACATCTCACCAACACAATGGTGAAATTGCATGTAGTGATTTGTTGTTTTAACCATTCAGTTGTGTCTGACTCTTGGCAACTTTATAGGCAAGTACCTATTCCTTGCTTTCCTATCAAACACACTTCTTTTAGTTGTTGGATGTTCATCTTTTTATCAGTTTTGATGTTGTCCAGCCAGCATGTTCTTTGCTTGCCTCTTCTTGTTCCACTAACCATCATTGACTTTTCCAATGCATACATGACATGGCCAAAGTAAATGAGATGTAGTCTTGTGATTTTGGCTTCTAATTATGTTTTTGGTTTTATTCAATTCAGCAACTCTGTTGGTTGCTCTGGCTGTCCATGGTATATGCAATAATTTATGCCAGGACCGCAGTTCAAAGCATCAGTTCTTAAATCAACCCTTCTTATTGTCCAACTCTCATACCCATACACCATTCAGTGTAGTGATACTTACTTAGTGTGGGCATTCATAGAAAAAGTGCATAAAAGTGCACACAAGGGCAGGTTTTCCATCAGCCTTTCTTTTCTTAACTGAAGATATGTTCATCATTAGGGTTTTCAGAGTAGTCATATAATCCTGGGAGGTGGTATAATTAATTTAATGAATTTTTACATATTCATGCCTTTGCACAATCCAATGCACCATTCAATTTTAATCTAGTGAACTGCCCAGCTGTATTAATCATGACATTTAACTGTTTAACTGCTCCTTCTTATAGACCACCTACTTTTTAGTAGTCATTATATTTTAACTATTTCCAAAAAAAGAAAGAAAGAAGGAAAGAATAACAAAACCCAAATACCATAATTCTTGAATGTTCTCTTCTATTACTACTGTTTGCCTAAAATCCTCACTGGGCATGTTTAGATTCTTGTTATTTTATATTAATTGCTGTAGATCTAACACGATCAGGTCCCCATTAGCTGTCTGCTTTACAGACATCCAATTTATGCCTATCTAATATTCTTGTTAGTGATGTTAACATCATCTTATTGCTTGTTATAGAAGCCTTCAGGCAGATCTTTGTTATTAGACTTAAACAATGTTTTTATAAGACAGTTTATATGTAGTTCAGGAACAGCCACTTCTTTATGTTTTAATCTGGGATACTTGGCTGCCGATTGTTTGGCAGGCTGGAAGGAAGGAAGGAAGGAAGGAAGGAAGGAAGGAAGGGAAAGAAAGAAAAGAAAAGAAAGAAAGAAAGAAAGAAAGAAAGAAAGAAAGAAAGAAAGAAAGAAAGAAAGAAAGAAGGAAAAGACGTGTTTATATGACGCTTGATTATAATATTTCAATATAGTAAAGTTCTCACTATTTGAACAAAATACTTTTAGTGGATATACTTTAGTCATTTTTTAAATATTTTTTAAAAAATCCTCAAAATATGAATAGCTTAAACAAATCTAAATGTGATCTAAATTTAAATCTAACTCCATTATAAACTTTTGTTGTTTCAGGTTTTGTTCCTATATGCTCACTGGGTTTGTCTCAGATTGGCCGAATGAATTTTGGAAGGGATGCCAGCACTTTCAAATACTATACAATGTGTGGGCTTCAAGAAGGTTTTGAGCCTTTTGCTGTCAACATGAACAGAGAAGTTGCTATGTGGTTTAGCAAACGCTTACCAACCTTTGTCAATGTGCCCAAAGGGCATCCTCATATTGAGGTAATACTAAATAGTAAGAAGAGCCATAACACATTAAGTGTAATCCATAATTAAGTACTCTAATAGGTCTGAGGTGTACATTTTGAATGTTGGGAACGTCGCATGCAAATATTCAAAATAGATAATCATGGGGGTTTGTAACCAGTCACAAAATGTAACAAGAAAATAAGTCAGTGAAGCTGTTACTTGTGCCCTTCTCATCCCAGAAACTTGCTCTTTTATCTTTGTCTTTTTTTATTGGGCCACAGTCACCACCATGCTTAATTTCCAAGATTCAGAGGGGCTTAAAATGGAGATGATACTGACATTTGTACTTTATTCACTACAATAGAAATTTTCAATTTCCTTATGAGAATATGAAAACATATTTTTAAATAATAAACAAATTAAAGTTAAATGGAACAGAGAGTCTATGGGACATAAAAAGTTATTAGCAGGATGTTGATCACCTCAACATTATCTATCTCTCCTTTGTGTCATTAAGAATTTATATTGACAATATAACATAGGAGATAATTTAGTAAGTCTTATCATGGGCTGGTAGTGCTTTTTTTTTTTTAAACAAATGCTTGTAAAAACAAATTTCTGATAATTTCAGGTGACAAGAATTGATGGAAACATTGACAATCCACCACGTTTAAAAGTTACTCATAAGACATTTGGAACACAGAGTAGTAATGCAGGCATGATGTATTGTCGCTTGAGCATGCCAATTGAATTTCATTCGTCTTTTACATACAGTCATGGTTTTGAATTTGAGGGCTTCTACAAAAGGTTAGATATATTTTCAGTCCTTTAACTGAAACCTATGTTTTTAATTCTGTCTCCCTTTTTACTTAGGGAATTGTTAGTTATTTCCACTTAGCTTGTATCGTTCTATGGCAATGTTCAAATCTTTATTCCAAAACAGAAGACTTATTGATTTTGCAGCTAGTGATTTTCAGTAATCAGAAATACAAAGAGTCAGGAAACAAATGAATTCTAGACATGGTTTGTCACTGAATATCTTGTTTCAGGTGTTATATTCTTCTCCCTATGTTACAGGTAATCCTTCTTCTTAGCATATATATGATTTTTAATTAAAATAGTTATAGAAGTGTATTCTGAGACTGCCTGAATTTGTTTTTGAAATGACAGAATTCATGCATTACTTTTATGTTTTAATTTTGTCTAGAATATATTTTATTCCATTCAGCATACAGGTTAAAAATATTTTCAGTTCTATTTTAGTGTTTTATACAGTCATTTAACTCTCTATTATATTGATAATCTTATTACAGAAAACAGAACCAGGAAATACCTATTCATGCCAAGACAGTAAGTATTTAGGCTTTTTTTTTTTTTTAAATGGATTAGTTATCTTAGTTTGAAGAGCATTGGCTTAGATTTTGCCCAAAATTAGAACATACTTTAACTTAATTGAAACAAATTCTGAGAAGTTAATCCAGTTATGTTGGACTCTGATCCCTATATGTGTGTTTATGTATGTATCTGTGTATATGTGTGTATACACACACACATACATACATGTGTATATTTGTGTGTGTGTATGTATAATTTTTTAAAAGTCATCATTTACCATATTTTTCGGACTATAAAATGCTTCCGACTATAAGACACACTTAGCTTTTGGGGAGGAAAACAAGAAAAAAAAATCTGCCTCTGCCTCTCAAGCAATTTGCCTCCTTGCAGCAAACAGCAAACAGCTTGGTCAGCTTCAGAACAGCCTGATTTAGCACGAGCAGCTGATTGGTAGTTGGATCGCCTCCCAGAATACCACCTATCAGCTGTTCCAGGCTGCGGGGATTGCCACTGCCCATCACCACCATCGTCACCCATCGCTGCTGCCGCCTATCGCCACCTCTGCGTGCCCCATTTTCGGCCTCCGCACGTACTGTTTTCGGCTTCCGCGTGTCCCATTTTTGGCCCATTCCAGGTGGCGGGAATGCCCGCCGCCTGGAACGGGCCAAAATGGGGCATGGATAAGCAAAATATTTTTTCTATACAAGCCACTCATGATGATTCTATCTATGAAGTGTATAATTCTCTCTATTTAGTATGGAATACATTTTCTCTTAACAAAATTTTCTCTAAGTATTGTATTAATATTTATATTTGTCATTCCAGTATTACTACTCAGTGAAGATCTTTGCTGGTCAAGACCCGTCTTCAGTCTGGATTGGTTGGGTAACTCCTGACTACCACTTTTACAGTGAACAGTTTGACCTAAATAAGAATTGCACAGTAACAGTTACTTTGGGAGATGAAAGAGGAAGAGTCCATGAAAGGTTTGGATTTATAAATTACCTAATGAATACCTTCCTTCCTTCCTTCCTTCCTTCCTTCCTTCCTTCCTTCCTTCCTTCCCACCACAAGAACAATTATCATTGAAACAATATTTGAACCATAATGTATACTCTGTAACAATACTTAGCAATTACTTTATCAAGAACAACAATTTAAACTAGATGGTATAAACTATAGCGATCCATATTTGAATAATTTAACCAACTCTTTAAAGTCACTCTGACTTTAATTTCAGTTATAACTTAGTTATGGAATAGCATTTTCATAAATTAACAGTGTTAAAAAAAATCTTTTAAAAATTGCTTTGTACTAGTTATCTGAAAATAAACATTTGAATGGAGCTTTTGGCTGATCCTTGAAATACAAAATAAACTGGATTTTAATTAATCCTTAATTGTTATAGATGTCTAATGCCTTATGTTCACTGAACTTACTTTCTGAACATGGTGATAATTACCAGATGGTTTATGAAAGCTATAGAGCCTCCTTGTGGAATATCTGCAGCTTCAGTTCCAGCAAATCCAAACTTTTATTTTATTTTATTTTTTATCAAATTTGTATAAGTTATTTCTGCTTTTTCTCTTTCCAAGAAGAGAATACAGTAGGCTATTCCACGTAAAGTATATATTTAAAAAAATCTTTGGGCAGCACTTAACATTCAATTGTTTTCTGGTTACTTTATTTCAGTGTAAAACGTAGTAATTGCTATCTGGTTTGGGGAGGAGAATCATTTGTTAATTCTCAAAGATCAAATCGTGGTAATGTTGATCTAGAAATTGGATGCCTTGTCGAATTAGCTACTGGGATGTTGTCATTCACAGCCAATGGAAAAGAACTGGGAACTTTCTATCAGGTATCAAAATTCCACTTTTCATGTTTTAATAATATGAATTAATGTTTTATGAAAATATAATATCATTATGTTTATATCGAGTAGGTTGTGCAGTCTCAATTATGCTATAGGATCTCCTGCCTGAGCAGGGGGTTGGACTTGAAAACCTCAAAGGTCTCTTCCAGCTCTATTCTAATCAATGAATTCTGATGAATTTTGACTCCACCATTTTAATTTTATGAGAATGTTTATTGCAATACTAGAAGAAAATAATCCAGGGCTCCCTCACATCTGTTGGTTAATCATTTGAAATTGTATTGGAGTTTCTGTATATATTCTGTACAGCAAATTCTTTCTCACATTCCTGTACTAATGAATTGATACTGGTTGTGGAGAATGTAATTGTTTATAACCAAAGTTATGATGTAAGGGTATTATTTAACATGTGTTTAGTTGTGGAGCAGAATATTACAGATTGGATGTTGAAAATGCATTACTGCTGTATCCTGTTTTAGTAATCCGTCCAATAGTTAATATTTGAGGATAGTAATAACAGTGGATCACAAATAAGCCTTCATTTTTTTAAAAAAATATTAAACTAAATCTAAAGATAGGTCTACCTGAGGATTAAAATTCATCACTGTGCTAGTCAAAACAGGCTGCTGTTTATATCAACCCTATACTTAAAGTCTAACCAATTTTTGTTGCAATTTCCTCTGAGAAAAAGGCTGTCATTTCTTGTGAAAATGTAATGATTCTGCCTGTGACATTCTCTTCTACTTCAGTAAAGTGAAAGATTAAAACTGAGGATGACGTTAGTAATGCTATATTTAGGGAGATATGTGTTGAACAGAAAATAAACCTGATATGAAACTATAAATGATGAAGCAAATGTTACACAATTTCTATGAAGACAATTGATTTGAATATTTTGGGTGGTGGAAGATATGGTGTTTGGATAAAACATTAAAATATTGCACTCATTACACAATTCCATAACAAAGCACAGAGCAAAATTGTAATCATTTTTAAAGAATAATTGTTAACAGTTTTGAATTCTTACTCAGAGTCTTTTTCCTACATTGTTCCTAGGTGTACAGCAATTATTATTATTATTAATAGTAGTAGTATTTGTGGCCTCTGCCATTGCACATATAATTTTGTTTCTGCTTATAGTACTGTTCATTATATTTCTATTACTGTCAGATGTCTGGAATATTGTAAAGGTTTTTGATGGGACTATGATCCACATTCCATTGCACTTACCTAGAGGCAAAACAACTATTTTTTTAGCAGCACAGAAGCAATATTTTGAGCATTTTTCACCTATATTTCTTCAGATAGTTCAGTAGTATAGATCTCAAACTCATTTCTATCCTCAGACCTCAGACAAAATCGTCATCTAAACCCTTCCACCCTCCATCAGTGTTCTCCAAGGAATCAGTAATATATTGGGGGGGGGGGGCACAAGCCTGCTGATATCTCCAAGTCGTTCCTTTGACTTAAATTGTGCCTTGTCTCCTATAGTTCCACCTTATTACAGTGCTTGCTTTAATACTTTCTCTCAGATTCTGGCAACATATCATTTGAGATTGAATCAATTATTTTTGTGTGTTCAATGACCAATACCAAAGTAATGAACATTTTGGAAAAGGTGTATTCCTCATAATATGGTACAATATTCCATCCTTTGTCATTCTTGATATTTTATAGTTCTGTAACATGTGGCCGAATCCATTCAATTCTTAGTTTCTGCTATTTGAGGATACACTTGTCCAATGAAGTTTTAGACAGTCACCATAACAACATTCCTACCCTGCTTCACTTCAATTATTATTTTGGAATGTTAAATAACAGGAATGCTTATTTCTACATCACCATGCTGTTTGGGGTTTTTATTTTGGGGGGGGGGGTCCATTATATGTAACTAATCTCAATACTAACTTTCCATTTTGATTCTGCCAGTGCACATAGCTTTCACACATTAGATAGAAGTAAATAGTGGCTCTTTTTTTCTGGCTCCAGGCAATAAAGCTTTAAATATTGATTCTTAGATTCATTCCAGTATCTTCTACACCTATTCTTTTCTTTACAAATTAGGTTTATGTGTCAACCAGGAAAAATCCTCCCAAAGCTCATTGCCATATGTCAAATTTATAGGTGTGGTAATTGATTTTATCTAGGACAAGATTTTCTTGCATGTTCAAGTGGTTTATTGTGTCACCTCTCTGTATATGACTCTTCAGAACATCAGGTACACTTAATTTTGAAGATTTTCAGCTTAAAATTTTCAACATTAACAAATATTTGTCTTCATGCACCTTTGCCTTTGACTGTGTAATAATGGTTTATCAAGGTGGTATTCCAGTAAGACATAAATTTAAGGGGCATACCTTTTTTCTAAATGGACTAGAGTATTCTACTATTTTTTGCCCAATCCCCTTAAACACAAAGACTTTAATCAAGATGTGTGATAGTAAAATCAGATTGATTACATTCATTATCTGTGAGCTTTGTGTCTAATGACATGGAACATCATCAGCTTTATTTATAGCATCAGCTTATTTGCATATATCTAAGAAACCATTCAGGATTTAATTTCAAAGACTGTTATTTTCTTTTAGGTTCATTATAGTTTATTTGGTTTACTTTAGTTTAGTTTCTAATTTTACTTTTTCTGCCCAGAATTAATGTGTATTTTCTAAAACTTTGGTCTAGATTCTGGAATTTGTACTCTCCAATTCTTTCTATTTCAGGATTTATACTCAGATGACACTGAAGTATTTGACTCCATGACTATTTTGAAAATAGCCTTTCTGGCTGAGCCAGTCAACTACATATTTATTCTACTGACAATTTTATCTTGCTTGCCATATTTAAGTAAAGGGAAAAATATAAGGAACCACCCCCCCCATTAGCAGCCTTGAGCAGTAGATATCTTATCTAGAAGATTGTGATACCCACTTTCTTCTATGATTGACATACTATGAATTTTTCACTGTTTATTGTTTCATTGCACAATTCTCCCTTCAGTCCCATGCTCCTTTCCTTTCCTTTCCTTTCCTTTCCTTTCCTTTCCTTTCCTTTCTTCCTTTCCTTTCCTTTCTTTCCTTTCCTTTCCTTTCCTTTCCTTTCCTTTCCTTTCCTTTCCTTCTTCCCTCTCCTCCCCTTCCCTCCCCCTGCCCTTCTCTTCCCTTCTCTTTGCAATAGAGAAATAATTATAGTTCCTATAATTAAAAATTAAAAATAAGTGTTTGCTTTTTAAAAGAAAATGTGAATTGAACAAATTTGACTTAATAAATATTCATGTTTGTCCAATTGGGAATGATGTTTCAATCCCCACAAAACCTGATCCACTTCTTAATCTATTTTGCATTATAATAATCTTTTCGTTTTGCAGTTAGATAAAGTAGGTGGGACAATTATATTTATATACAGGATCTGCATTCAGAAATGTCTAAGAACCAAATTATGAATATCAAATCATAACCTATTTGTGTTATGTACACATATCAGTCTCATGTGACATAGGTGATTTTTTTTCTTATTTAGAGACATGGTTTTAATAGAAATATTATAACTATTGTATCATAAGCTTAAGCACACAGAACCAAATAGAATCTGTCCATGATTTATAATTATTAGTGTATACTCTAAAGAAACAGAGCAACTTGGCCATCATCCCAAAGTAGGTTTTGAAAAGTGATTATTATAAAGTAGGCATTATTTTATAACCATTAGCAGAATGGAGGACATTTGCACTGATATATTTTCAATTCCTCTTAAAATATGTTTTTTCACATTTTAGGGACAATGTTTTTTCTTTATCTATTATCTTGCCACCCATAAATAATTCACTGTTTTCTTGCAAAAGGATTATACATAAAATGCAAAGTAAAAGGCATATATATGGATATATTTTTACAACAGATTTTATTCTAATCCATTCCTGCATTATACTGGTTTTCTGGAGTCATTTAAATCAGTCTTCACTCTGGTTTCTGGATACGACATGTCACAAAATTTTTCTTGATCTCCTATGCTCCTTTAATTTTCTGACTGCTGGAAGTTGTATTTTTTTAATATTCTGAATAGCTGGCACCATGCTTATTTTACTTATTTGTATGATGGCATCACATGTCATGGTTTCATTGTCAGTGCATCATTTAATTTAATTTAATTTAATTTCCAATTTATATACCGCCCTTCTCCCTGAGGACTCAGGGCGGTGTACAGCCAAGATAAGAACATAGAATACAAATATTAAAAACAGTTAAAAATATATATAAATTTGGCCCGAAAGTTAAGAAGTCACAAACTGATTAAAAGAATTTAAAAATTTCTTCTTAAGCCAGCCCGGCTTGTTGGAAAAGATGGGTTTTAAGGGCACGACGGAAGGCATTGAGGTCATGGATTCTCCTTATCTCAGGGGGCAACTGATTCCAGAGGGTAGGAGCCCCCACAGAGAAGGCTCTCCCCCTGGGGGCCACCAGCCTACATTGTTTGGCTGATGGCACCCTGAGGAGGCCCTCTCTGTGGGAGCGCATGGGTCGATGGGAGGTCGTCGGTAGCAGCAGGCGGTCTCGCAGATAGGCCCTATGCCATGGAGCGCTTTAAAGGTGATAACACCTTGAAGCGCACCCGGAAGACCACCGGGAGCCAGTGCAGCTCGCGCAGGAGCGGTGTTACATGGGAGCGCCATGTTGCTCCCATCACTACCCGCGCTGCTGCGTTCTGGACCAGTTGGAGCCTCCGGGTGCTCTTCAAGGGGAGCCCCATGTAGAGAGCATTGCAGTAGTCAAGGCGAGAGGTGACGAGGGTGTGAGTGACTGTGCAGAAGGAATCCCGATCGAGAAAGGGCCACAACTGGCGAATCAGGAGAACCTGACAGAAGGTCCCCCTGGTAACAGCCATCAGATGTTCCTCCAAAGACAGCTGCCTATCCAGGAGGACTCCCAGATTGCGAGCCCTTTCAGTGGGGGCCAAAGATTCGCCCCCAATAGTCAGTGATGGAGTCAACTGACTATATCGGGATGCCGGGAGCCACAGCCACTCAGTCTTGGAAGGGTTGAGTTTGAGCCTGTTCCTCCCCATCCAGATCTGCACAGCCTCCAGGCACTGGGACATCACTTCAAGGGCATCGTTGGGGTGGCCTGGGGTGGAGATGTACAGCTGGTGGTATCTCACCCCAAAGCCACAGATGATCTCACCCAGCGGCTTCACATAAATGTTGAACAGAAGGGGCGAGAGGACCGATCCCTACGGCACTCTGCAGATGAGAGGCCTCGAGGTCGACCTCTGCCCCCCTGCCAACACAAACTGCCACCGGTCGGAGAGAAAGGAGGAGAACCACCGCAACATAGTGCCTCCCACCCCCAACTCTTCCAGCCGATGCAGCATGATACCATGGTCGATGGTATCAAAAGCCGCTGAGAGATCTAACAGGACCAGAACAGAGGAACAACCCCTGTCCCGAGCCCTCCAGAGATCATCAACCAACGCGACCAATGCCGTTTCCGTGCTGTGCCCAGACCTGAAACCCAACTGGAACGGATCTAGATAAGATGTTTCCTCCAGGAATTGTGGAAACTGTCGCGCGACCACACTCTCAACAACCTTCGCAATAAAGTGAAGGTTGGAGACAGGACGATAGTTAGCCAATATTGCCGGATCCAGGGACGGCTTCTTGAGGAAAGGCCTCACCACCACCTCTTTGAGGGCAGCGGGGAAGTGACCCTCACTCAACAAAGCATTAATAACGCCCTGGAGCCAGCCTCGTGTAACCTCCCGGGAAGCCAGTACCAACCAGGAGGGACACGGGTCCAGTAAACATGTGGCCACAATTCTCCCCAAAGTCCTGTCCACATCATCGGGAGTCACAGCATCAAACTCCTCCCAGATAACATTCTCAAGACTGTTCCTCGTCACCCTGCCCTGATCTACCCAGTCAGAGTCCAAATCCCCCCGGATCTGAGCGATTTTGTCATACAGGTATTGTCCGAAATCCTCCGCCCTGCCTTCTAAGGGATCCTCCCGCACTCCCGGATGGAGCAGGGAGCGGGTCACCCTAAACAGGGCGGCCGGACGATTCCCTGATGACGCAATAGAGGCGGAAAAGTAATTAAACTTTGCCGTCTTTATCGCCACTAAGTAGGCCTTAATATGCGACCTTACCAGTGTTCAATCAGATTCAGCGAGACTGGCCCTCCAACCACTCTCCAGGCGTCTTTTCCGGCGCTTCATTTCCCTCAGCTCCTCAGTAAACCAAGGAGCCGCACGGGATCGGCACCGGGTCAGAGGCTGCAAAGGCACGACTCGGTCCAAGGCTCCACCAGCCGCCCGATCCCAGGCGGCTACCAGGTCCTCGGCCGAGTCATGTGCTAGATCCTCAGGAAATGGCCCAAGCTCCATCTGGAACCTATCAGGATCCATCAGGCGCCTGGGGCGGATCCATCTAATTGGGTCCGCCTCCCTGCGGTGAGGGGTTGCGGTTCGAAGATCTAGGCGAAGGAGTGAGTGGTCAGTCCATGACAAGGGTTCCATGTCTATGTCCCCTATAACAAGACCACTCAACCACTGGCCAGAGACAAAAATCAAGTCCAGAGTGTGACCTCCCCTGTGAGTAGGGCCATGAACTAACTGGGTCAGGTCCATGGCCGTCATGGAAGCCATGAACTCCCGAGCCACCTCAGACGTTTCACCAGCGGATGACAAGTTGAAATCACCCATGACTAAAAGCCTGAGTGTCTCTACTGCCACCGTGGCTATCACATCGAGTAGCTCAGGTAGGGCTGTTGCCATGCGGCAGGGAGCCAGGTACGTAAGCAGCAAGCCCATCTGAACCCCACGGCCCCACCTCACAAGGAGGGACTCACATCCGGCTATCTGAGGCACAGTGGTCTCCCTCGGACCCAGATCCTCATTAATAATAACCGCCACCCCCTCGCCCCTCCCCTGGGCCCTCGGCTGATGGAATGCTCTGAAGCCTGGTGGGCACATTTCAACCAGAGGGACGCCACCCTCCGGGCCCAACCAGGTCTCCGTAATACCTGCCAGGTCCGCTCCTCCCTCTTGTATAAGATCGTGAATGAGGGGGGCCTTATTGACCACAGACCCGGTGTTACACAGCATCAGCCGAAGGCCCAGATCCTGAGTATCTAAGCCACCTAGTATCCGAGCGGAGCCTTGGGGACCGGGGCAAGCAATTGCTCTCAGACAGCGAGTGCGAGCCCCCAACACCTGATATGGTCCCCTGCTCCCGCCATATCTGCTTCTCCCATCTACCATGCCAATGGTACAACCTCATAGATATCGTCCCCCATCCCTTTCCCAATCCCTCGTCCAGTGCCCCCCAAATCGTTACCCTGTGCCGGGCACAGCTCTGACCCTGGTGGATTTCCCCCCCCATCCGCCATAGTCGTCTTCCCAATATCTCTAAAAGAATAATTACAACCCCCTTCCCGAACCCCTTAAAATCTTTAAAAATTTCCCTAAAAAACCCCATAAGTTCTTCCTTGCTCCATGCCATCTCTCCGGACTCCAAAGTCCGTCATCGAGATAGGCCCTCGATAACGTGGGGGGCCAAACCTGCGAGAGGGGAGAATCTCGCAGGGCGAGGAGTTCCGACACCGAATACATATAATCATCGGGGAAACAAAGTCCAAGGGTGGGGGACCACTGATGTTATAAACATAGGGAAAATTCCAGTCCATGGTCAGGCCGCCAAGCTCCACTGTCCTCTCACAACAGTGGCTAAGGAGGTACATATCATTCGACCCCAAAAGTTTCCAGGGCGGCCGTCTCTCACCAAGGCCAACCCATGGAGACTTTGATAGAAGACTCAGGGGTGAGGATAGCCATATTCCACCTCCTCCGGCCTCGTGTCCATAGAACCAGTATCCCTCCTGGGATTAGCAGCATCAGGGAATCCAATATCCAGCTCAAAGGAGGTTTAAGTTCGTAAATGTTCATGCTGGAAACACTACTGCTTTTGATATAATCCAAATCTATCACATTTTGTACTATTTCAGGATTGCATCCCTTTGTGTGAATAGTTATTTATTGACTTAAGTATTCTTCTGTTGAAATGATTTTATAAATATATCATTACGGTTTTCACATGTGCTACTAATAGGCTTATATTGCATTTTAACTCTATTTTTCAGGTTGAGCCAAACACAAAACTATTTCCAGCTGTTTTTTTACAGCCTACCAGCACAAACCTGGTACAGTTTGAACTGGGTAAATTAAAGGTATTTTTAAATCAAATTACAATCAATAGATGTTGTGACTCTTAAGTAAATTCAAACAGGCAAGCTGTGTTAACTAGTCAACATATCAGCAGAGTCTTACATAGAAATAACAATTTAATCATTGTTAAGCAAAGTGATTCATGAATAATCACAGGCAAATATTTAACCTTAGGGACAATCTCTGCTTCTATTATCAGTTTCCCCAAACAATATAGAGTTGCAGGACAACGGGTCAAGACAATATTTTGGCAAACTGTGGTACTTTTAAATTTCATGTTTATTTACAGTGCACTTGAGCTGTTAATACAAGAGCATGGTAATGGTTTTCTCACATTTAAGGAATGTGAACCCAATTGTTTTATACTTAGTTAGGAAAATAAATTTAGGACAGTATAGCAATAGCAGCAGTAGTGGGTTTCAATTTCGTTTGCTATCAGTTTGCTTGCATGTGCAGAGACATCCGGGCGGGTGGGTGGAACCTCCTGCTACCGCCGCTACCAGTTTGCCCAATTGGGCGAATCGGTAGCAGTCCACCACTGAATAGCAGTTAGATTTATATACCACTTCACAGTGCTTTACAACCCTCTCTAAGCAGTTTCAGAGTCAGCATATTGCCCCCAACAATCTGGGTCCTTATTTTACTGACCTCGTAAGGATGAGAATCAAACTGCTGGCAATCGGCAGAATTAACCCGCAATACTGCTTTCTAACCACTGCGCCACTATGGCAGTTTGGTGCTATTTGACAAGATAGCTTTCCATAGATCTGTGGCCGTGATGGTGAACCTATGGCATGCGTGCCAGAGATGGCACGCAGAGCCGTCTCTGTGGGCACATGCACCGTCACCAGCTGCTTTTCCCGGTTCCATTGTGCACATGTGCACCAGCCAGCTGTTCTCTTCCAGATTCTGGTGCTCTGGTGCGCACGTGCATGCTCCAGTTTTGGCACTTAATGCCGAAAAGGTTAGCCATCACTGATCTATGGGGTAAACTCCATCTACATTATATGACGTTTCATATTAAATTGCTACATTAACCCAAGTTGACTTTGCTAAGCTTTGTACCATTATGGTGCCTTTTAAATGTATGTGAACCATTGTTTCATTCCTTTCATATCTGCTTAAGAGTATTGGCAAATAAGGATGAAGAAAAAGGAACAGTATAGATAAATTTCTTCTTTCTGAGAATAAAATGAATGGAACTGATTCTCTACATTCATTTGACACACACATATAATACATTATGCATACAGAGTATTATTCTAAAGGTTCAATTAAAAAAAAAACAATTTCCATGTATGATTTTCTAGAACACCATGCCTTTATCAGCTGCAATCTTTAAAAGTGAAGAGAGAAATCCCATTCCTCAGTGTCCTCCTCGGTTGGATGTTCAAACACTCACACCAGTTGTCTGGAGCAGAATGCCAAACAGTTTCCTGAAAGTAGAGACTGATCGTGTCAGTGACCGCCATGGATGGCTAGTACAATGCCTGGAACCATTGCAAATGATGGCCCTTCATATTCCAGAAGAAAACAGGTATATATATTTAAATATATATATAACGTCCGAGATGGACGTTATAAGGCAACAAGTCCTACTGTTCAGTTCAGGTATTCTCTAAACCATTTCCAGAGCTTACCATTTGTTTTTTATTTGAAAACTTTCAATAAAGAGGAATTCTAAGCAGATCTCATCATCAGGAATTTATTCTAATTTTCATCCTGCATCTCATTTTAATTTCAGTCTGCTAATCCTCATCCTTCTCTCAATTTCAACAGAAAAGTGGGACAACCTTGCTGTCATACTGTTGCATAAAAATGTTTGTACATGTTGAGCTGATGGTCTATCACTATTACTGCAACTACTATTCCTAAAACTTTTTCACACATACGTTTTAATAGTCAATTCACAAATTGACTCATCAAGTCTGCTAGATTTATTTCCTTTTATTTGTTTTTTTTTTTGTTATTTATCTACAAAATTTATATGAACACCCAATTCATTATATTCAACTTATACCAAAGGTTTTTCAATCACAATTCTTGCAGTATTTTGTGTCTTTCCATTAAGCTTATAATAAATCTAAACAAAAAAAAAAAAGCCCTCTAAAAATACACACATTTGTTTGAAAATTTCACTGAACCCTTGATCCAGAAATTAGTTCATTTTTTATGACCAATTAAAGCTGGAGGGAAAGATATAGAATTTCAGGTCCTGTAAATCACTATGGGGTGGGGTATATAAGCCTAAATGCTATTGCTATGATATTGCTATTACTATGAAGCAGATGCCTTAACTATTGTTTGAGATGCTAACTCACTATTGCTTTTAACTACATAGACAATCATTTTGATGAAATGAATACACTGAAAACAAACAAAAGAAAAAACCCCACAACTACAATGTCAGATATGCAGTACTTACCAACTTCTTTCAAAATTTAGAATCGAAAGCACTGCTTGATTAGAAATCCAAATGATATTATATTCTTTGAAAATATAAGTTTCTGTTACTTATAATTTAAAAGAATTAGAAGTGGCATGAACTCTTATTTCATCAGTTGTTACTGATGAAATAATAATATTGACTGCATCAAGGCATCAATGATAGTAATAGCAATAGCACTTAGACTTATATACAGCTTCATAGTGTTTTACAGTACTCTATAAGCAGTTAGAGTCAGCGTATTGCCCTTAATAATATAAGAGTCATATAAGAGTCAGTGTATTGCCCTTAATAATCTGGGCCCATCAGGATTGAGCTCCAGGCTGTGGGCAGAGTTTGCCTGCAACACAGCAGTTTAACCACTGCACAGGGCTCATAGAGTTCAGCCTTAAATTTTTCTCTCAAAGTATCTAACAATGTATACTTAATAAAAGGAAACATGCTGTAGAACTGATTTTTGTTTGTTTTGTTTTTGTATCATTTCAGGTGTATTGACATTTTGGAATTATGTGAACAAGAAGATTTGATGAGGTTCCACTATCATACTTTAAAGCTATATAGTTCTGTTTGTGCTCTGGGTAATAATAGAGTAGCTCATGCTCTTTGCAGCCATGTGGATGTTTCCCAGATATTTTACACAATAGATAATCGGTATTTGCCTGGACTTTTAAGGTCTGGATTCTATGACTTGTTGATTAGTATTCATTTAGAATATTCCAAGGAAGCAAAACTCATGATGAACAATGAATTTATCACTCCTGTTACAGATGAAACCAGGAAAATCCGATTATTTCCAGATGGATCAAAGAAACATGGCTTGCCTGGAGTTGGACTTAGCACATGCTTGAACCCAAAATTTAAATTCTCTACCCCTTGTTTCATTTTGTCCAATGAGGATCATCAAAAGCCTAGTCCAGAAATACCACTAGAGATTCTTAAGACAAAGACCATAAGCATGTTGACAGAAGCAGTCTACTGCAGTGGAGCACATATACGAGACCCTGTTGGAGGGAAAGTTGAATTCCAGTTTGTTCCTGTTCTGAAACTTATAGGAACTTTGCTTAGAATGGGAGTTTTTCATGATCATGATGTTAAACAGATTTTGCTTCTAATTGATCCATGTGTATTTGGTGAGAGCAAAGAAGAAGTAATGGAGCAAGCAGAGAAAGAGGATGTCACCCAAATAGAAGAAAAAGCAGTAGAGGCTGGTGAAAAGGCCATTAAGGAAACTAAGACCCCAATAAAGGGGTTGCTGCAAACAAGATTGCCAGAGTCGGTTAAACTTCAGGTAATAACCTTAATATCACTGCAATTGTATTATGTTACTGAAACATCATATTCAGTATCCCACTGTGTTCTCAATTTTTCGGTAGTCCTAATATACGACCTGGTTTTCTTACTATGCCAGAAATTTTTATGGATCCTTGATAAATGAAACAAATACATATTTATGACATTTAGTAGTATAAAGAACTGGAAAACATGGTGATGTAGAAACATTTATACTGATTCTTCTCCAGTCTTGTGTAATTCATACATGTGTATTAATAAACAAATGAGAGATTGGGTTAAATAGAAATAGCTATCACTAGACTTTGCAAATATGTGTGCAAAGACATACAAGCATTTGTGTGGTTACAATAGGTAGGCTGAAGCGGAAGTTAAACTATTATAAATACTACAGATATTGGATCTGCTGTATTATCCGGATCCTAAAATCTTTACTTGTGAATGCACCATTTTATTGCAGAAAAATGTTTTTGTTTAAAGCTAACAAGAAAGAAAGTTAGGACAATTTGGATTAGAGTAGTATTGGTCCAGATGTGGCTATCAAGCTGTCAGTCACTGTACTCATCACTTGTTTGTTCAGTGGATTATATCTGGGAGGAGAGGGCCATGCCCAGATTTTCAGATTAGTAAATCCTAGAAAAATGTAGATTTATAGATTCAGTAATGCTGTTGAATGAAATATAACAATGTTTATTTCATCTGGAAAACTCCTTACACTAGTGAAAGGACAGCTTGGATTGAATCGAGTTTCCTTTTTCAATCCCCACGAAATTGTATTGCCCTCCCATTTAGAACTGCATGACACATATACATATATATATATATAATTTCACCAGTGTAATTCATTTATTCTTTCATATTAGATGTGTGAGCTGCTCAATTACTTCTGTGACTGTGAGCTGAAACACCGAGTGGAAGCTATTGTGTCGTTCGCAGATACCTTTGTCTTAAAGTTACAGTATAATCAGAAATATAGGTATAATGAACTAATGCAAGCCTTGAATATGTCTGCCGCGCTGACTGCCAGGAAGACAAAGGAATTTCGCTCTCCTCCTCAAGAGCAGGTAGATGAAGATCCTTCATCTGTTCTAGCAGGAAGTATAGAAAGAGAGAAAAGGGCAAGACCTTCAATAATCTTAAAATGTAGCATCTATTACAAAACTCTCTCCACCATAAAAAATTGCCCAGAAGGAGATCTCTTGCAATATTTCTTTATAATTTGGTAATAGTATCAAATTAGAATAAAGAAAGCTGTTGTTTTTAACTTTCAAACTTTTTTTTTAGTTTTCAATAGAATTTCTGAGAATTATAAAGGGGGGATTAATTTAGGAATCGAGAAAACTATTGCTGAATCTTACACATTGTATATTGTTAGAGAACACTATATCCAGAATTACAAGAACGCTGTATAAACTATCTAGTATTTCTAATGTTGGGCATTCAAATCAGTGGTGGGTTTCAAAATTTTTTACTACAGTTCTGTGGGCGTGGCTTGGTGGGCGTGGCAGGGTGAAGGATACTGTAAAATCTTCATTCCCATCCCACTCCAGGGGAAGGTTACTGCAAAATCCCCATTTCCTCCCGAACAGCTGGGACTTGGGAGGCAGAGAATAGATGGGGGTGGGGCCAGTCAGAATTTTTACTACCAGTTCTCCGAACTACTCAAAATTTCCGCTACGGGTTCTCCAGAACTGGTCAGAACCTGCTGAAACCCACCTCTGATCCAAATAGAAGGAAATAGAATAAAAACATAATCCTGTGTGTTCCAGGACAGAGTTAAAAAGAAAATGGAAGGAACAGGAAAATTATTAGTGGCCTCTGTCTCAGATGTTGATGAGTTTTTTTTAAAAAAAATCTTGTAATGGATTGAAACAAAAATTAAAGTGAAAATCTGAATACAGTACATCCCTCGTTCTAATTTTAATGTTATAATTTCAGATTAATATGCTGCTGAATTTTCAGTTGGGGGAAGATTGTCCTTGTCCAGTGGAGATTCGGGAAGAGCTATATGAGTTTCATGATAAGCTCCTAATTCATTGTGGTAGGTAGCGGGCATTCATTTTGCTGAGTAGTCATATTGTTCCTGTGAATTTTTTTGCCTGTGAAAGATTACTACTTACAGATGTTCCCTTGTTATTGCATTTTTATGGGAACCATAATATGGACAAAATAAAAAATAACATTTTCAATGTAAAAAGAAAAATAACTAATTTGAATAATCACATATTTTTTTTCTAGCAGTAGATCTCACTGAGCTGGTTTTCAACATTTCTCCTTTTCCCCAGAAAAAAATGAAGTATCTCTTAAATGGTGCTTAACTCCTGGTTGTTATTATTATGTGGATATGTCCATGTAGGTTTTTTTGGTAGCAGTATAGATATGGTTTATTATTGCTATTCAATAGGAAGCTTTTTTTCAGCCGTTGGTATTCTCATTGGTGATCTCCCATCAACGTACTGATCAGATCCAATCTATTTAACATTTTCAAGATTAATTAAGGTCAGTTGGATGCTACCACTTGCTGTTACTCATTAACTTCCCTAACATAATTTAATGTCCATTGACCTGGTCTGGGCTGTAAACTTCAGGAATTTACGCAGTACAGCATGATTAAATCCTCATTCAACCATTTGCCTCACCTACCCCATTCATTATGTTTATTCTGTTCTTTGCAATAAAGTTTCCTGGTCCTTTTTTATTTTCACTGGCAGCCCTTCCTTGAAAGATTGTGCTTGTTTAATTACTGCATGAGATGCATAAAGATGGTTCTTTAATTATTAGAATATTGCAAGCATACTATTTTTCTTGTTGTTACACACTAGGTATTCCATTAGATGAAGAAAAAGAAGAGAAAGAAAACATTTCGTGGGCTGGAAAACTATGTTCTTTGATATATAAAGTAAAAGGAATACAAAAAACAGAAAAGAGAGAGGCAACAGAAGAAGAAGAAAAATATCCTAGTAAGAATTTAAATTCATAGCAGTACTCTTTAAATTAAATGACAGCTTTGGATGAACTATAACTTTGCAGTTTCTCATGCACAAGAAGTGCTATCTATCTCACAGGCAAGAGAGATCTAGAGTCCAGTCCATCTGGAATTTAAATTAAGGAATTAATCAGCTATCCACTCTAGAACAGTGTCATGGGTTAAATATATCATGCTTCCATTTTAGGTACAGAATTACAAGTCCAAAACTCATGAGAGTCTTAAATTAATATTAGATTCAGGTTGATCTGAATAATTCTAAGTAAATTCTGTCAATTTACTTATGAAAGGAAGATTTTTACTGGAGAAGGAATATAGTTAGTTGGTATGATTTTACTGATGTTATTTGTGATGTTTTTGTTTAATTTTAGATTTCACCATGGATGTTTACCATAGATGGGCTTCAAAACTTTTAGCAAGGGGTTCTCTGCCTGGTTGCTTGGTGGGTGTGGCCATGGTGGCCATGGCCTAGTCGGCCTCCTGCACCATGGCAGGAGGGGCTTTTTGCCCTCCCCAGCTTCCGGAGAAAACTCTGGAAGCTTTCTTTGAGCCTCCGGAAGGGTAAAAATGGACTCTCCAGGTCCCGGAGGCCCTTCCCGAACTTCCAGTAGGCCCGTTTTTCGCCCTCCCCGAGCCTCTGCACATGCTCTGCACCTACCTGCATCCAAAACTGGCCATGTGGGGACTCCTGGGAGGGGTGGGGCGGGATGGGCAGAGCCAGCCAAGAGTGGGATTTGGGGGTTCTCTGAACTGCACAGAATCTTAGTTAGAGGTTCTCCCGAACCTCTGCGAACCTCCAACAGCCCACCCCTGTTTAAGTCACTTGTTTGCAGAGGAGATAATAAAGTTTCTTAATCCCCATTTTGGATAATAGGAAGAGGAAAGATAAGCATGTGTATAACTTTTTTATATAGCAAAAGAAAAAATGTTTTTTCTTGGTCTAGGGACAGTGTTATAATCTCACATAGATTTCTTCTAAGAATATAACTGCTTCTTTTTTCTTTTTTGAACGGACCATTCAAAAGAATCCTGGTGAACACCTGTTATGCTTGTAGTAATTTTCTTCTCTGATCACATTTCACAGATAGATATTCTTCAGCTTTAGGGTGTTGATTAAAATTGCCTCATTTTAGATAGAGAAAGTTTTGAGAAAGAAAAGAAACAGCGTATTCAAAATAAATTTGTCTTGTTTTTTTGAGAATGTCTATATACCATTGTTTCTCAACCTCAGCAACTTTAAGATGGGTAGACTTCAACTGCCAGAATTCCTTAGCCACCATGGGAATTGAAGCCCACTCATCTTAAAGTTGCACAGAAACACTGTCCTATCCATCTCTCTCTCTCAGGATTAAAAGAATGAAATAGTCTAATCAAAGTAGCTTACCCCCTGAAGAGATCATAAATTAGTTCAAAGTACCTGCCTTTCCACCTCACTGCCTATCTCCGACTCTAATTGTCCATGTCTGTCTGCAGAGACTGGTGTTCTAACCAAATCTAATGAATCATTAAATTCAGGACAAGATGATAGGCACTGCAACTTTCCTTTGAGCTCCTACCCTAATGCTTTTACAATAATAAGCTTTCAAAACTTCCTGCTGAAAAAGCAATTAAAGCTAGGTCTTCAACACTTTTTTTTTTTTTTTTTGCAGGAGTCCTTTGGTGGTTTCTTTTAAAGATATGATCTGCTATGATATGGAAGCTTTTCCCCTTAAATGTATATCTTTTTTAGTATTTTGTTTTGAAACCAAGCTCAGTGTTATTTGGTTAGAATGAAAAGCTACATTTGAACTTTTCTTTAGTTCATTTATAGCTCCAAGCGATCTTATTCCCTTGAGACTCATAAACCTTCCTCCGGGCAGTTCTAACAGCTAGAAAAGGGACTTCAAGAGAAGATCTCTATACAGATAGAAAACCCTCTTAAGCTTTGTAAAACTCCCATATCCATCATTTCTTGCTTTTATTCTCCCCCGTTCCCACCTACTCTGGTCACAGTAGCTAGCCCACTGCTTTGCCAGTGTTGGCAGGCATAATCAAGGGTGTAATTTTTAGTATCAGGACAAAACAAGTCTTTCTATTAGGTGGTTTGAGCAGCATCAATGAAGAATTTACTAGACCAATACATTTTTATATTTCTGCAGGTTTTTCTTATAATTTCTCTGTTATAGTCGGAGGATATGGTCCTTTCCCAGTTCACATCAGAAAGGCCAAGGCTACTCCTCCTTTGAAGCATCTTTGCCAAATGTTGGTCTTGTCTACTAAACCAAGATAAAAGATTGTCCTTTATCAATTTATTAATTTATCAGTTTATAGTTTACTTATGTACAAGAGCTTTATGCTGTTGAAGTAAAAATGAATTAAGTGACTTGCAGCAGCATACTGCATAGACAGGAAGAATTCATTAAGGGAATTTCCTTTCCTTTATGCAACAGTCTGAAAATAATCAATAAGTCACTTTAAGACATTTAAGAAACCTCCCATCTTTGCGGCAAGTATGGAATTCCATCTAAAAATAATTCCTAGCAATTAATGAATTTGAATCCCATTTTTTTGTAAAAAATATTTTCACTGAAAATTTTAATAACAGTAGTAAAAGACAAGATCTTCCAAGGAATTCTCTTTCAAATCTGTCATTTCTTCTTTAACAACTTTTGCAAAGTTATTTATTAATAGAAGCAGGCATCACTGCTGACATTGTGGCTGCTATATTCTGACCCTATTCTTCAAAGATCTGCTGAAGTATTTAATATATCATGCCATTCTCTATCCTTTTCTTTCAATGCTGATCAAAACCAAAAGACAAGCCCCTCTCTCTCCCTCCCTCCCTCCCTCCCTCCCTCCCTCTCCCTCTCTCTCTCTCTTTTCATTTTTCCTTCTCTGCTTGGAATCTTCAATCCCCTGTAGTGCCCAATTTCTGACAGTGTAGCCTCTCAAATTTCTATTATGACTTAAAATAGACTAAACAATTTTGTTTCCATATATTTTATTGCAAAATTCCTAATATTCCAGATTTGTCTGGTCCCTTAATCAGTTTATAACTTATCAATTAAAATCTTATTTAGGTTTTGCCATTTATTTCAAATTCTTTAAGTTCTTCAGCTCCTAGTTATTTTTTCTTTTATTCTAGAATGAAGGTAAACTTGCCAGGTGGCTTTGCATGTTATTTTGAAGATCTCTATTAAACTTAAGGTACCTAAATACTTAATTTCTGAAGGTGATTAGAAAATGAGGTTAACACACCCAGTATTTTTGAAAAGACTTAATCACAGCTGAGAGCTTGATGGCTTCACTTTGTTTCCCAGACAAAGAGTGTCCTGTGGTGGAGACACGAGGAGAAGCTGTCTGAAACCTAAGTGGATAATCTCAGATTCTCTCCTTTTCCGGAGAGATTCCTTGGAACTTTTTTGTGTGTGTGTGTGTGTAATAGCTATCCACTCATTTTGAGACTTGTTAGCTCACTAATCCTCACCCAGATGTTCCAGAATATAGAGGATGGTTATTTTTGGTTGTTTTAAAGATATCTGGAATGTTTTGTCTCATTTTGTGAAATGGGAAATAAAGTTTCTGAGCACTCCTTGAACTTCTTGGACTTAAGAATTCATCTATTGTCTCTTTTAAGAATTCTACTTCATTGATATCTGTATGGTGCATATAATCATGTTACTATGCAAAATTTTCTTCATCTTTAAATGATGATTCTCATGGGAAGTGCAAAATAATATGGGTCAGGTAGTCTGATATGCACTGCACACCATGAATGCTTCTTCATGCTTTAGATATTTGAAAACTAGTGGTGGTGTACTCCTGAAGTTCCATGTATAATGGACAGCTGGCTCAATTAATGGCTTAAATTCCACTCAACAGTTTATTTTGCAGCATAAATTATAGAAGAAAGAGATTTTGCTCTTGCCTATGTACCTCTTTTGGGGGGTTTTACCTATGAGGATTGCATGATCCACCTTTCTTGCAATTCTTAGTTGCAAGAACTAAGAGAACTGTAGAGTTTTAGTAAATCTTGGGACTATATCTTTGACCTAAAGGAGGTGAAAATTCCACTTTTTATGTTAACTTTTCATTCTCCAATACAGTTCTATAAATCTATGAATTCAGTGGCACATATTTGGGGGGGGGGGGGGAGAATAAAATGATACTGAAGTGATAGCCAGTGGAAATGTTGGCAATTTGGAGTTTGGTTTACTGCCATCAAAAGCCAGATATTAGGAAACACAGAGGATATGAGTATGTGCCTTAAGCGTCTGTTTGAATTGTGTGAATTGCATTCACATTTCATGAATAGAAGTATCTCCTATATCAGCCGCTTGTGCTCCTTTTATTGCAAAAGGGGTAATCATTGACTTCTTCCCTAATTCAAGGATAAGAGAAGGCAGATAACAACATGTATACACATTGTTAGCCTGAAAGTGTTGCAACTTATCTACATAAGGTCATTGCATAATTGGCAGGGCTGTGACTACCAGCTGTTCCCACCCAAGATGAGATTCTGACTCCTAAACTCTTTAAGTAATCATTGCTAATTAAAATTTCAGATTCCTTAATTGCAACAAGCTTTTGACAAGCTTTTATGTCAAGATTAGTTTGTATTTTCTCTTTTGCTCCTTTTCTTTTCAATCGCAGTTTCTCTGAAAGAGCTGATATCTCAAACTATGGTTCGCTGGGCACAGGAAGATCAGATCCAAGATCCAGAATTAGTTCGCATTATGTTTAACTTACTTCGAAGGCAGTATGATAGCATTGGTGAGCTGCTGCACGCACTGAGGAAATCTTATACTATAAGTGCTGCCTCCGTGCAAGACACAATCAACTTATTAGCAGCACTGGGGCAAATACGTTCACTTCTCAGTGTCAGGATGGGAAAAGAAGAAGAATTGCTAATGATTAATGGCCTAGGGTAAGAAATAAATTCTTTAATGCCTTAAAATACAGTTAGAACATTCAGCTTTATTGATTCTTAGTTAAGATGTACTCTATGCCCATTTTTCAACCTGATTGGTTTTGTTACAAGACTGTTCAGATAGTCATTAGTGCAGGACTTTCCATGGCAAAGGTCCTCCAGGGCTTAAGGTGCAAGATTTTTTTCAAGCCATCACTATTGATCAAATAACAACCTATTAAGGTTATAATAGGCAAGTAACCTCCTTGTTTTCGTATTAAAGTTAGTGCATGCTGTCCCATGAAAACCTGAAGGATTAAGATGGGGACAGATTGTCCCTGCTATGTGATTGTTAAAAGTCAACATTGACTCGAGATTCATTATCAGTATTATATTTCACAATAGGTCAGAACTATTCTCCTGTTTCATTTCTCAAATATTGTGTGTGCTTTATTTCCTTTTTCCTTATTTCCTTTTAAAACTCACATCTACATGTGAGTAGAATTTATAAGAGAGTAGTTCAATCCCTCCCTTTCTGAGACTCCTGATTCTAATTAAAAATGGGAAGAAAACAAATAGAACAAAACCCAAACCACATAATTAATGTAATTCAAGATTCAATCCTAAATTCTTTTTCTGTTTTAACAATCTGATTTAGATTGAAGAGGAACTTATCTATCTCACTTATTATTGAGCATGATCTCAGCAAAGTTGTCTTTTTTATGACACTAAATTTGTAATCTCAGTTACCTCCTTAGAATTAGATTGTATTCTAATTACATTCTAATATGTAGAATATTACAAATATTCTAAAAATATTTGTAATATTCTTTTCTAATATGTTTTGAATTGCAGAACTAAAAATGGTGCTGCCTTTCATTTTTTTTGTCACTTAGAGAGATAATGAACAACAAAGTATTTTATCAGCATCCTAATCTTATGAGGGTCCTGGGTATGCATGAGACAGTTATGGAAGTAATGGTAAATGTGCTTGGAGGAGACAAATCTCAGGTAATTTCATTGATATTTGTGGTGTTCTATGCTTACTATAAGTAAGTATAAATATGCTATGCACATGTAATAACATGAAACGAGTGGTGCGGTGGTCTAGAGGTGGAGCTCTCGCCTCACAATCAGGAGGCTGTGAGTTTGAGCTTAGGTAGAGGCAGATATTTTTCTTTCTGGGCACACTGAGAATATATCTGCTGAATAAAACTCCGCATTGGTGACAGGAAGGGCATCCGGCCAGTAAACACTCAGCTCCATTCAGTTGCCCAGACTCCATCCCGTAAGAGATTATGGGGTCATTAAAAGAGGATGATGATGTAATAAAGAAAACCTATTGATTGAATTCAAAGTGGCATGAATTGAATGGATGTCAATCTATACAGGTAAGCCAACAATCACCCAAGGGACCACAGCATAATAATTGTCGACTGATTTCTGACACAAATAGGAGAAAACTACTCACAATAAAGAGATGATAAACATATACAATATTCAGCATATAGTAAGTGGCAGTTGTCTTAAAACAGTAACAGTCTTTTCAGTTCAAATAGAAACATATGAAACAAAGTTTCACTGAAGAAAGAAAATTCATTCCATTTAGAGTGAGAACTGTTGCTGTTTATTAATATGTGCGTTTTAGTTTGCTCTATCTTACAAATGGCTGTTTGCTTATTTGTATACAGTGTAATCTATAATTTGTTCAGTTTTATCCCATATACAATTAATAAAAGAATATTTTAAAATTAAATTTATTTCATCATTAGATTGCATCTATAATCAGTCAAAATTTAGTTTATATAGCAGTGATGGCTAACCTTTTTGCCATCACGTGCCAGGACAGGGGGGGGGGGGGAGGGTTGCACACGCATGTGCCTGCGCGCATGTGTGCGCAACCCCCTCCCCCTCCCCCCTGCTCCTGGCACATGATGGCCTGGTAGGCCCGTTTTTCTTTCTTACCTGGTTCCAGATCCTCTCTGTGTATCTGGGAACGGCGAAAACAGCCTTTCCCACTCCCTTGGAGGCCCTACGGAGGCTGAAAAGGCCCATTTCCCAACTCCCAGTGGGACAGGAAGTGACATTTTTTGCTGTCCGCAGCCTCCAGAACCTCTCTAGGAGTCTCTAGGAGCCTCTCTAGGAGTCTCTAGGAGCCTCTCTAGGAGTCTCTGGAGGCTGGGGACAGGAAAAAACATCACTTCCTGTCCCACCGGGAGTGGGGAAATGGGCCCTTTGAGCCTCCGTAGGGCCTCCAAGGGAGTGGGAAAGGCTGTTTTCGCCGTTCCCAGATACACAGAGAGGATCTGGAGCCAGGTAAGATAAGAAAAACGGACCTTCCCCACCCACCCCAGGCCCTCCAGAGGCAGGAAACAGCCAGTTTCCCTACTTCTGGTGGGCCCAGAAGGCCCGAAAATCAGCTGGCCGGCACGCGCATGCACCCCAGAGGTGAGCTGGCGTGCCCACTAATATGGCTCCATGTGCCACCTGTGGCACGCGTGCCATAGGTTCGCCATCACGGTTATATAGTATACTTGCCTCTTTATGCTTTTGTGATTATTGGAGGAAGTTTGATAGTAATGGATTACATATTTTGTTCTTCAAACATTTAGTTTGAAAATAATTTCACATGACTTTCCCATGACCAAATCTGAAAGTAGAAATAAAATCACAAGATTTCTGCTATATTTTTCTAACATATGACACTATGTTCCACTGCAAAGCTAATTACTTAGGTTTAAGATCATTGGCTGAATGTCACAAATTCTGCAATGTAATTATACAAATGTAATACACATATTGTTAAAAAATGAAATGATTTTAATTTAATGCAGATAACAAAAATGGGAGGAAATGATACTTTCTCACTGAGGAAAAAATAAGACATGTTCGCATTTTAATTCTTTTCTCAGACGCAATCAGATGATACAGTGTTAAAGTTATCAAAAAAAACCTCATAAAATAATTGCCTACTGTCAACAAGATTTGGTGCAATAGACTACCATTTATTTTTATTCAAGCTGCTGAATCCTAAAGTAATTTTAATGCAGATACTTTAAGAGGTTTAATGATTACTGTGGTGCTCTGCAATTTGACACTTGAATGATTGTGGCATTTTTCTCAAAAATGTAAATGACTAATGTTTTAAGATGTCAGAAAAAAATTGCTAATGGCTTTGGGTATTGACCCAGACATGTCCTCCCTAATGCAAATGCTTTTAGTATTAGATAGAAATTGCTGGGTTTTCACTTCTGTTACTACATACATAATAATTTAGAAATATTTTGAATTTCTCATAAATATTTGGATAGAGAGATGACTCCTCCAAAGTCAACTCATGATTTTGTTGTTGAGTAGAAGCTTGAACCTGGGTTTTTATTCCAAATCCAGCACTTTAATCATTACATTACATTATTTATAGAGCAAAGAATGAAAAGCATGTTGTACCTCCAGAGTATATAATAAGGTCACATGATGCATACTTCTTTGAGAGTTCCAGTAATTATTTATACCAATGATACAAATATTATAGCATATGAAAATAAAGCTATCTGGACCAAAGTTAGAATACATGCTCTAATATTTTGACTTTTGACAGTAAAAAAGAATGATAAATATAATGCATCTTTCTAATTTTCCTTAGGAGAAATAAAAAGTCAGAAATTAGCAAAGGTTCCAAGATTCATATTTTAATTGTGAGGACTTTAAAGCTAAGGATTTAATAGTTAAGTTTACCATAACTTTAAATGCAAATATGTATACTATACATAATCTTCACTTATTTTTTAATGAGCTAAATAGTAAGATGATGTCACAACCAAAGAAAAAGTAACCCAAAGAAATTAAAGCCATGAGATATGAAAAAGAAAACAAAGCATGACTATAGCTAGTTAATACCAACACAATCCATTATACTTTCTTTATCTTCCTATAATTGCAAAGCATTCTTATGTCAGCCTTATTCATAGGTTTCCTCTTTTTTCTTTACATTTTTACTTCCTATTTTCAGACTCTTAACTTAGTTTTTTTTCCTCATGTTATGTCTTGCTTACCCTTCCAAAATAGGCATAAACACAAATACTTTCATTACTTTTGACAAATGTTGATTCCTCACAATACACAATAGATTACCTGTATTACCTCACAATACACAACAGATTACCTCTATCCTCATGTGTACATCTTAAAAATTCTCCACCCATTCTCTCATTGGTAGTAAATATTCTTCCAAGAATACATACTGTAAATTTGTGTATTTGCCATAGTTTTCTTTCTTTTATGTATAAGTTGAAATTGTCAATTCAATTTTCCCTGTAAAACACAACAACCTTGTTCTTTGATTAATTTTCAGTTCAGTTCTATTAATTTTCAGATTCATACTGCTCATGACTTTGCATAAATATTCCCTGCAAATCATTCATTCAGCCAACAAAGTAACATCCGCAACAAACATACTTACATTCATGTACCCAAAGAACTGTAATGTTACCAAAAGTATTCCACAAACATTCTTGAAGTTTATGGCCTGACTTGCCACTCAAAAGAGGAGGCAATTGACAGAATCCCTTAACAGAATTATTGCTGAGAATAGGCAATCCTGAATAGTCTCCTGATTTTTGCAGATTCTCCATTAGTATTATTAAAGTAATTGATGCAAAACAACAGAGAAGAACATTTTGTGTAAATATTTAAATAAAAAATGTACAGATTATTTAACAGTGTTTTTCTTCCGCAGATTGCTTTTCCTAAAATGGTGGCAAGTTGTTGTCGGTTTCTTTGCTATTTTTGCCGGATCAGTCGCCAAAACCAAAAAGCTATGTTTGAGCATTTGAGCTACTTACTTGAAAACAGCAGTGTTGGACTTGGTATGCTATTTAATTTTAATTTGATTTAATTTGACATATCAACACTTTTAGCTTGTAGCCTGCTACATTAAAGCCTAATTTAACTTATTTTGCATATTGATACTCTTTTTATTTATGTAACTGGTTTTTAAGTTGTGCTGTAGGTTAAAGAATTATAAACCCTCAAGACCTTTTTACAAATCATATTGTAAAAGATATAGAGCATAATCCTATTGTGTCCACCATATTCAATGAGACTGAACCAGGCATTTGTAAGGTGGTTTTTAAGTGACTATTCAAGATTAAAATCTTACATATGAAAGATAAGGCATCTCAAGTGTGTTGAGATCTGCTCAACGTTTGGGATATTATATTGGTACTCTAATGTTATGAAACTATTACTCCAGGCAAATCCTAATACATATAGTATTAGTCAGTAAGCATATATTTACAAATCTGAAAAGAAGACTCATAGAATTCTTTGAAGTTTATATTTATTTCACATTTTCGAACCACCCATCTTCCTAATTTTATGTTTAAACTGACCTGTTTGGACATTAGTTCAGAACTGCAATGATGATCTGTGAACCATAATAGCTCTGGCCTCTATTAATTATCTTTTTTTTTTAAGTTCTGTGTTTGTGTATCCTGGAAAAAAAATCATGTGTATTTCAGAAAGTGAAGATTATTTCATAACATTGCAGAAGCAAGTATTTTCTGATTACTGTTAGTTTCCAGCAAACACCTTCATGTGACATGTACTGTATAGTAACACAATCTATTCTTATGATGCATGCCAATTATTGTATAGGGTGGGAAAGTACCAGGTAGTGCTTCTGCTTGATCCCAGAAGTATCATGCTATTTTGATGACCACACAACATTCACAGTATTTTGCCATTGATACTTTATACCTAAGTATGCAAAGTATGTTATGATTATAATTTTTTATTATAATTTTATTATAATAAAACAATCATAATTTTATTGCAATAAAACAATTAGAAACAAACCAGAAAAGTGAAGATTGATGAATTATCTCCACTAATTAAGCCACAAAATGCTGAACTGAAAGGAAACCAACAGTCACAACAACAATCAGCAATCAATGGATTCTCTCCATAAACCATGAAGAAAAAAACAGGAATGCTTAAATTTTAGCTAACTGCAAAGTAACTGCTGCCCTCTGCTGTACAGTGCTTGTAACTACATGCCTGATATTTTTAATTTTATACATAATCATGTCTTTTTCCTCCAGCTTCTCCTTCTATGAGAGGGTCCACTCCATTAGATGTAGCAGCTGCTTCAGTAATGGATAATAATGAGCTTGCCCTTGCATTGGAAGAGCCAGACCTAGAAAAAGTAATTATTCAACGTCTTGTACAACTTTTCATTTTATCATAACTTGCTATACAGTCTTGATGTTCTCTGATCTTAGTTGTCTTTCTTGCAGAATAGGTAACTCATCAGTGTTGAGACATGAAGAAGTGAGTTTTCTGGCTGTTGATTCATAGCAGCTTTTCCTCTTACATAATGGGGCTTAGTTTTTACTTAGTATATTTACTTAGTATATTATTTATGTGTAGTATATTATTTATGTCTATTGTCACTCAAGTATGGTCTTCTCATTGCAGATATGTTTAATTTCCTAATTTATATTATATTATGAAGAATCAACATGGACCCTGAGAGGAAATGGTAGGGGGGCTCACAGGATTTATTGAGTCCAGTCAACAAAGGGAGTTAAATTTGTCCTGGAGATGCTGTCAAGCATTTGATCAGGGATTCCTGTGTTTGTGACTGTCTTTGACTGATCCCTTGGTTCATCCATAGATCTGTCAGTCCCAGTCACTTTTTGGGAAAAAAGAAAAACTTTATTTGAATTCAGTCCTTCCCATCTGCTCATATTTTTCTCAGTTCTTGTTATGAACTGCTTTTTGGTCTCCATGGCTGGAGACATATTTTTTATGTCTGCTAGTAAATTTGTAGAAATCAGTTTCTTCTGAAAGCAATTTCCTTGCTTATCAGTTAAAGTGATTATCTCCAGAGAAATTGGTTCTTTATGTTCTTTACATTTTTGGAAGCTTAAAATACATGTTTGTTCATACATTTCTCCCCTACTCACACGTATCAATATGTTGTTTCAGCTCACTTTGATTTTGATTGCTTAGAACAAAGACTAAGATGATGTTCATGTTTGTATTGAACAGGTTGTAACCTACTTGGCAGGCTGCGGTCTTCAGAGCTGCCAAATGCTTTTAGCAGCCGGATACCCTGATATTGGTTGGAATCCCATAGAGGGTGAACGGTATCTCTCATTCTTAAGATTTGCTGTCTTTGTTAATGGTAATTTATTTATTTGATTTATATTATATCTTTCTGTTTAAATTTAATTTAAACACCAAAGGCATTTAAGCATACATATGAATTGACATGAGTTAGGACTACACTGCTGAGATTTAATTTTCTGACTTATCCCTGCACAGCAGAGTGAGAGCTGAAACTGTTTTAATAGTGTAATAACATCAGGCTGTATATATACATTTGCAAACTTATACTAAAAATTTTTGTTGCTCTAGAGCAGGGGTGTCAAACTCAATTTCATTGAGGGCCGCATCAGGGTTGTGTTTGACCTCAGGGGTGGTGTGTGTGTGTGTGTGTGGCCAGGGGGCATGACCAGCTTGACATCACTCATGTTGGGGGCGCATGTGGTGGCCCGAGCACTCTGCCAGTGAAAACGGGCTCCCAAGCTACAACGGCCTCCTGCAACCCTCTACCAGTGAAAATGGAGTCTATGAGGGCCATGCATGGCTTCCTGAGCTCTGTTTCCAGCTGCGACAGTCTCCTCCAATCCTCTGCCAGTGAAAACAGAGCCTGTGAGGGCTGTGCGTGGCCCTCCCGAGCTCTGTTTTTGCTGGCAGAGGCACTGCAGGCTGGTTTTTCACTGTTTCCAGGATGGTCTCGCGGGCCAGAACTAAGCACCCTGCAGTCCGGATGTGGGCCATGGAGCTTGAGTTTGACACCCCTGCTTTAGAGAATAATTTACTCTAAATGGCATATACTTTCACAAATTAGAATCCATTTCATTGCACCATGTATATAAATATACACATGGCACAGAAGAATAATGTTTGGCTCATTAGGTAAGAGAGGATGTAAATGCAGATAGTAATTATATAAAGGATAGATGGGTATAAAATGATTACAGTGGCCTCTGGATTGTAATGGCACAGTTTGTTTGCAAGCACACAGGTGCCTAACGGTCTGGCAGACTGAACCTCTTGACTCCTGTGGGGAGATTCCTATATCGGTCACCCACAACCTCCTTGAACCCTTCCCATCTCCAGAATAAGGATATTAGTATTCTGCTATCGCATATTCTATTTCAGCACAAGGTGCTCTTTGTGTTACGTTTAACTTGATGCTGCAATTTACTTTGCTTTCTCAGAGGCCCGTATGATGCTTGATACTGTTTCCAACTCCGATTTACAAATTCTTAGAATAAAAAAAAAAACTGTTATTTCATGGTTTTCAATATTCTTCCGCTTCAGTTCCTTTTCAGAAAATCCAAGTTCTTTCTCCTTCCCACCATAGAATAAAATGCATGCAAAGATCTCAGAGTTTAATAGTACAGTTCTATAAGCAAAAATTTGAAGACACTGCAAAGATTACCAAGATGTAATTTTCACCCGAATCGTCTGTATTTGGGCTTATATTTTGTTCAGATAACTGTGTTCTGTGTTTTGTGGGTTTCCAGGTGAAAGTGTTGAAGAAAATGCCTGTGTTCTCGTTAAGCTTCTTATTCGACGGCCGGAGTGTTTTGGCCCTGCTCTCAGAGGAGAAGGAGGAAACGGTCTGTTAGCTGCGATGCAAGAAGCAATTAAAATTTCTGAGAACCCAGCTCTAGATCTTACTTCTCAGGGTTGTAAGAGAAAATTGTAAGTGAATGTTATCAGGAGGATAACAAACTAGGATAAAGCATAATCTTAAACAGAAATACCAGAAGTGCCTTATCAGTGCCAGCTGCTCCATAGGATTTCAAACAGGAATGTTTCCCAGCAGTGGCAAGAGTTTGATTTGGCAGCTTTCATGCTCAACGTATGTCTTTCTACTAATCAGTTTTTTGTAATTCAGAATCTAAAAATCTGGTGTAGCAGTAATTCTTCTGGCAATACCGAGATGAAGTCAGAATTCATTTCTTCAGTGTTTTCATCCACTCATTTGCCTTATGTAGCTGAATATATTGTTGAGATAAATTTTGACAAATTCAACTGCAGCAATAATTGCACAAGATTACTTTAGTTATAGTTTATTAATCTTTATTCATAGCATACCTCAAATTATCTGTAAAATTTAAGGTTCCTTCAAAAGCCAGAAAGAAATGAAAAGCATTATATTATACTGTATAAAATAGTACATATGCATTTTCAGTTATGGTTGATCAAACTGTCCATCAGATTAGACTGAATTTGGCGTTTTTAATCTACCTGTTGAGTCCTTCTCGAGGACCAGAGATAGGCAGACGTTGTTTGATGATATTAGAGCTACTGTTGCAGGATGTAAACTGGTCCAAATAAGGCTGCCTTTTGCAACTGACTGAGGATAATTTTTTCAATGCCAATAGTTTTTATGTGGTACTCCAGATGTTTTGGGATTGTACCCAAGGCACCTATTGCTAGGTACCTGGTGCTATCTTTGCTTTCTTTTTGCCGCAGTCATTTTTATATCTTTGCAATGGGTAAGCACCTTTTTCTTATCATTATAACACTTTAGTTAGTTGTCTGCTATGTGAGAATAATTAAAAATATGATGGAAATAATGTTTGAATTTCTGCACTGATAACAATGTCAAACTACAATTCAACAGATATTTTATGTAGAATTTTCTTTATCTCCTATATGAGACAAGTAATGCAATGAACTATCTATAAGGGTTAATAGGATTTAAAGCACTCTGTTTCTGCTATGGTCTCTCTCATTTTGGTTAATCAGAGAGGGAGAAAGCTGACATTTTCCTTTTTTTCTATCATTGAAAAAGATTTCCTTTGTAATCTAACTAAACATGATTAAACTAGTTTAACAAAAATCTAAAAGCAGGCAGCTGTGTTTTTTAAGAAAAGTTGCTTAGAGAAAGGATATATTAGTATGAAAATCAATTAGAGCACATTCTCTTTTTATACACCTGCTACTTCCCCACACAAATGATCTTCACCAGGTACTGTTATAATACCTGAAACATGTATTATAATTATGTAAATTAGTTGGAAAAGCAGCTGGGAGAGCAAACGTGATTTGGAGTAAACCTATAATGGAAAGAGAGAAATTAAAACATAGCATTGACTGTATATCAGTCCTTTCCACAATATTTTCCTTCTTTTTCTCCCTCCCTCTTCCTTTTAAAGGCTATTGAGAATTCAGTACACATATATGTATGTATGGTTTAATTACTTTTAGAAAAAATATATATCTATACCAGACTACTAAAATAATTTCTCCTAAGACTTTACCAGTATATGAACTACTATAAGAAAGCATAGCAGGAATTTCAGTTGGAATGTATTCTATTTACTTGATGAAATCTCTAAAGGAATAGAATCAATTTTAGTTTAACATTTTGTATTTGTAACAATTTGCTGTTTAGTTAACATCACAAAAACCTATGAATAGTATACAATATAAGGTAGCAAATAAATTGAACTGCTTACATTAAAGAAGACAAATTGCTTAAAAACAAAACAATGTTTTTGAATTTTCTAAATAACCTCAATATTTATTTGTGGCTACATGGTTTCTTTTCACTAGTCTAGAAGAAGATGAGGAAGAGGAAGAGATAGTCCACATGGGCAATGCAATAATGTCTTTCTATTCAGCTCTTATAGATTTGCTTGGCCGCTGTGCACCAGAACTCCATGTAAGTAGCCTTGTTATTTCTGTAGGAACAGGAAATCTAACACATGAATTTTCTAAATCATCAATACATGAATTACTTCAGTTCATGCCTACCTTCAGTGGTGGATCATTCGTACTCCATGAATATAAATTTATAATTTTGGTAGAAGAAGAAATGAATTCTATCAAATTAAGATCTGTAAATGCAGTAGTATTGTACACTTACACTACTACTGTAAGATGCAGCAGTAGAAAGAATTAGGAATTAGAAGGAATAAGGTATAAGGAAAATAACTCAAATTCATTCCAAGAAACTGGAATGGATATAATATTTCATTCATTCATTCATTCATTTATTTTGTCTAACATGTACATGATAACAGTTAGTAGTATAAACATAAATATGAACATAGTAAATGATTACGAATAAATGAAGACAGTAGGACAGGGATGGTAGGCAGGCTAGTGCACTTATGCACACCCCTTACTGACCTCTTAGGAAAGGGGTGAGGTAAATAGTAGACAGTCTAAGGTTAAAGTTATGGGGGTTTGGGGATGTAACAACAGAGTCAGGTAATACATTCCAGGCATTGACCACTCTGTTACTGAAGTTGTATTTTCTGCAATCGAGTTTGGAGCGGTTTACCTTGAGATACATGGGAAAAGTTCTGGGTTTCTTCATTAGAACAGAAACATTTAAATCATGTTGATGTGACCACTAACCTATCTTCATTTACTGAATAGCGAAGATCTGTTAGATAAGGGGACTTGATGCACAAGGAGCTTTTATATATTTACTTATTTGTTAGGCAGCTTTCCTCCAGGGGTTAAATTACTCCACACTCTTTCCTTCTTCATTCAGTTTGTTTGTTTGTTTGTTTGTTTATTATTTATTTATTTAGCATATGGCATCATTTAGTACATATATGTACTCAATAAAGAACAGGAAACATGTGGCGTAACTCATATGTTGATGAACTTAATTCTTAACTCACCCCAAGTAGCAAAACTGATAGTGGGTCATATTCTCAGTAAATATAAAACATCATAATATGGGGGAAATCACTGGAGGGAAAAAACTAAGTTGCTTTTAGGTAAATAAAAGAAATATTTTTATCTCTTAGTGTTCTTGAATATTTGTAAAAAAATAAGAAAGTATTTTTGTGAAGATAATAAAAATAAGCAAAATAATATAACATTCTTTTACAGCTTATCCAAACTGGGAAAGGTGAAGCTATTAGAATACGGTCAATTTTGCGTTCCCTTGTGCCAACAGAAGATTTAGTTGGGATTATAAGTATTCCATTAAAACTACCAACAATAAACAAAGGTAACTATGAAAATCATTCTAACTCGAGTTGGGATGGAAAATCAAAGCGGCAGATTGCTTTGTTTGATCTTGTTCAGATACTCTCCTTTAAAAGCTTACGCCTAGATTTGTAAAGTATTTTAAGTTTCTCTTGCAATTGTATTAATTTTATCATATTATAATTATATGCCAATAATTTTGTCTATGGAGATTCAAAGTCATCCAGGTCATGGTTGTCCCAAAGGTGCTTTTTTCAAGAAACAAGTGGACTTTCTGGTTTTTCTTTGAAGACATTTCACCCCTGAATTTATGTAAAATAAATGTTAGCTTTATTATATAATTTATATAGCAAGCTGGTTAAATATAATTTAAATTCATTTTGTAATGTTTTACATTCTTATCCATTTCAAATTATTGGCATCCCAAAGGTGCTTTTTTTCAAGAGGCAAGAAGACTTTCTGGTTTTTCTTTGAAGACATTTAGCTTCTCATCCAAGAAGTTTCTTCAGCTCTGCTGGATGGTCAGAGAACGGAAGGATTCTTCTATTTCCCCACCATCCATTCCTTCCATTCCCCATCGTCCAGTCAGAGCCGAAGAAGCTTCTTGGATGAGAAGCTAAATGTCTTCAGAGAAAAACCAGAAAGTCTTCTTGCCTCTTGAAAAAAGCACCTTTGGGATGCCAATAATTTGAAATGGATAAGAATGTAAAACATTACAAAATGAATTTAAATTATATTTAACCAGCTTGCTATATAAATTATATAATAAAGCTAACATTTATTTTACATAAATTCAGGGGTGAAATGCTACTGGTTCGGGCCAGTTCGCCCAAACTGGTAGTTAAAAATGCTTTAAAAAGTAAAAAAAAGAGCAGGAAATCCCAAAGGCCACATTTGGTGTGGTGTGCACATGCGCACACAGCGTGCATCTGGTGTGCACTGTGCATGTGCATGAATGCAGCGTGCATCCAGCATGCACTGTGCATGTGTGCACCCAGCGTGCGTGTGGCATGCACCGCTCATGCACAGGCATCGAACCGGTGGCGACCAGCGGAGGATTTCACCACTGCATAAACTCTTTGATTATGTAATTCCCCTATATCCCAAGCCATGGTCTATATAGAACTATATTTGGAACATTCTAGACTATTGATTGATTGATTGATTGAATATTGCCGCCTATTTGTCCATAGTGATTTAATCTCTTCATTTTCAGCTATCAGTTCTGTAGAGATCTTTTTTGGGGGTACAGAGGTTATTAATTTTAAAAAGTCAGTGCAATGTAAATGGTGGTAGATGACAGAGTACATTTTATAGAAGTGTGGGAATCATTCATAGGAGTGTTGCGCTTTAACAATAATCCCAATAGGATTTCTTCTATATATTGAAGTTCTGAAGGGACTATGCCAAGTCTACAAGACAATGTGATATCTTGACACTTGGAACAGCAGGTTTTGAGAGGCATTTTGGTGTCCTGGGGAATCAACAGTCTGAATAATTGATATACTGTATTTTTCGTAGTATAAGATGCTTTTCCCCCCACCCCAAAGAGGGTGGACATGTTGGTGCATTTTATACGCTGAATACAGCCAATTGAGGAATGTTTGCTTGCCCCGCCCCACTCATCCCATTTTTGTGAAAGGGTTTGGGAGGCCTGCAGAATGTTCATGGGAGCTGGGGAGAGAAAATGGCCCCGTTTTTCACCCATTTTTCACAAAAACAGGGGCATTTTTTCCCTCCCTTGCCCCCAGGAGCACTCTGCAGGCCTCCCAAACCCTCTGTGTGCCCCATTTTTCACAAAAACGGGCCCATTTGGGAGGCCTGCTAAGTGCTCCTGGGGGCCAGGGTGGGAAAAACAGCCCTATTTTTGCAAAAACAGGCAAAAAACGGGCCCATTTTTGCAAAAAACGGTGTGCACAAAGGGTTTGGAAGGCCTACAGAGTACTCCTGGGGGCCGGGGAGGGCAAAAACTTTTTTTTCTTACTTACCTCTTTGAAATCTTGGTGCATCTTATACACTGGTGCATCTTATGGTCCGAAAAATACGATAGAACCCTATAAAATGCATTTCTCTCTAATTTTCTGGTAAAAATGTTTCGCAGGACCTTTGTGTCCACATACATGTTTGTAGCAATAGCAATAGCACTTAGACTTATATACCACTTTACAGTGCTTTACAGCCCTCTCAAAACGGTTTACAGAATCATCATATTGCCCCCAACAATTTGGGTCCTCATTTTACCCATCTTGGAAGGATGGAAGCATGAGACAACCTTGAGCCTGGTGGCATTTGAACTGGCAAATTGCAGGCATCTGGCGGTCTAACCACTGCGCCACCGAGGCTCTAATACTTCAGTAATATCTGGTTGGAATGCATTTCAGAACTTTATTCTAACTTATTCCCATCATGATTTCTACCCACACTTCTTGGAATTTCATTGGCATCCTTCAGTCTCAAAAGACTATGGTATCATGCTCTGGAAAGAGGTCCTAAAACAGCATCTAGTGTGGCTAAAAAGGCCAATTCGAGAGTGGCAATCCCTTCCACACTGAGGGCAGATACATTCTGTCCCCTGCCCAGCCCCCAGATTTTGCTGGTTCCTGGACTGCCTCTTTGTCTCAGCCTGCCGAACAAGTGTGTCTCTTCGAATTGGAGAAGGCCATGCTGCGTCTTTAGCCTCCAAGCTGAACGATCGGAGGTCAAGGTTTCCCAGTTGTTAATGTCCATTCCCAGGGCCTTTAGGTCCATCTTGCAGATATCCTTATATCGCAGCTGTAGTCTCCCTCTGAGGCACTTTTCCTGCACTAATTCTCCATACAGGAGATCTAGATGTAAAACAAATAAATTCCATAGAACATATAGAGGCCATAGTGCAATGAAGCAAAATTGTACTTTGGTGACTTTATTGGTGGCTGCACCAACTAATACCTATAGGTAAACCACAGTTTACTTTGATCCTGAATTTTGTGTTTTGGGATCCGGCATTAATTAATTAATTAATTATTCTTAACTGCTCATCTCCCTCAGACAGTCACTCTGGGCGATGCAGAATGTTGACAGTGTCCATAGGAACTAACAGATCACCATCTGAAAAATCCTTGACTTGTCTTCCTGTTTTTCAAACAAGATCATAAACAACAACAAAAAAAAAGAATGCTGCTTTTTATATCATGAAATAATAACAGCTTTTCAAGGTGGAAGAGCTATTATTTACATAGTTGAAAATAACACATCATACAGACAAAAGATATCAGAAGAATAGAGGAAATTGCAAGGTCTGCCAAATATATAAAAAAAGTTAGGGCCTGTAAAGGAAGGAAAAGAAGCAAAACAGCACAGAACAAAACCAGGATGATAAAAGTGTAGAATAACAGATTTGACTTCTGAACTGGATAACTTAAGAGTGCAACATTTTGTTACATTTATCTCCTACAGAAAATTCAAACTATTGTTTGGTCATCTGTTCTGTTTCCTCATTCTTGGTATAAAATTGTGCTTGTCTACTGACGAACAAAAATCGCTTTTTATTAACCATTTAGAATAGAATAGAATAGAATAGAATAGAATAGAATAGAATAGAATAGAATAGAATAGAATAGAATAGAATTCTTTATTGGCCAAGTGTGATTGGACACACAAGGAATTTGTCTTTGGTGCATATGTTCTCAGTATACATAAAAAGACAAGATACATTGTCAAGAATCATAAGGTACAACACTTAATGATAGTGTTGATGATTAATGATTAATAATGATGATTAATGATTAATAATAAATAATGATTTATTAACACTTTAAGACTTCAGAAGCCCCAATTTATTTCTCTCTATATATCAAAGTTTAGGTTATTTTCATATAACTTAGATTTCAAAGATTTTACAATAGGACCATGAAGTGGATCCGTGAATTTGAATTTAGACTACTGTTATTTTGGTTTTCTGGTTTCTCTAAACCAGGGGTGTCAAAACTGATTTCATTGAGGGCCGCCTCAGGGGTTGTGTTTGATCTGGGAGAGCTGGGGGGTTGGGCGTGGCCATGGTGGGCGTGGCCATGGTGGGCATGTCCAGCTCGATGTCACTTGTGTTGTGGGCACCTATGGTGGCCAAGTGCTAAGGCAGGACTTCCCTGAGACCCTCCCTCACTCTTATTATAAACTCCTTCCTTCCTTCCTTCCTTCCTTCCTTCCTTCCTTCCTTCCTTCCTTCCTTCCTTCCTTCCTTCCTTCCTTTTCTTCTTTTTCCTTCCCTCTTCCCTCTTCATTCTCCTTTCTTCTTCCTTTGTGTGTGGCCCCCTGCACTCTGTTTTCGGCCGTGATGGCCTCCTGCAGCCCTGTACCAGAGAAAATGGAGCTCAGGCCCTCCCAAGCTCCGTTTTCACGGCAGAGGCACTGTGTGCCAGTGCTTTGCTGTTTCCAGGCCGGCCCCACAGGCCAGATCTAAGCATTCCGTGGGTAGGATTCTGCCCGTGGGCCTTGAGTTTGACACCCCTGCTCTAAACTAAGGTAAGTGAATGTTGAAATAATGACAGCCTTAAATAAGTGAATATCAGACCAGCATTGCATTTTCACTTGTTTGGAGGCAGAAGCTCTATATAGCTAAATTGAATAAATGTAGAGCAATATTTGTACTGAGATAATGGCTCTTTCTTTTTTTCTTTTTTTTGTCAGATGGAACAGTCACTGAGCCAAATATGTCTGCAACTTTCTGTCCTGACCACAAAGCACCCATGGTGCTTTTTCTAGATCGTGTCTATGGTATAAAGGACCAAACCTTCCTCCTTCACCTTCTGGAAGTTGGATTTTTACCAGATTTAAGGGCATGTGCTTCATTGGATACAGCTGAGTACTGTTTGCTATTATTCTCTAACTGTATTAAGGAGATTTGCTTCGTGGCAGTATTGGAATTTAGCTAAGCACTATAATTTATTTTCTGCAATTAGAGTGTTGTAATATTAAGAGTTTGCATGTACATTTATCAGCAGTTTATAAATTTAAATAAACTGTGACCTGCCTTTTATTATAAACTACTCAAGGCTTACCAAAACATTAATGAAACAAAGCATTAATAAACAATGATAAAGAAGGTAGTTAACATAAAAATCAAACTCTACCACTGAGAACAGCATCATTAAAGATCTTGTTCAGGCCAAAGTAAATATGTAAGTGATAATAGGACAGAAGCTTCTTCTCGATTCCAGGTTGCATCTCTCCTTGATTATTCTCTCCTTGATTAGTTTCCATCCATTGTTTCTTGTCCTGCCCTCTGGTGCTTTGGAAAATAAGTTTGTGGCAGCCTCTCAAATACTGGAATGCTGTTATCATGTTTCCCCCTTAGTCCTTTTTTTCTCTAGACTAGCCAAACCCAAATCCTGCAACCATTCTTCATATGTTTTAGTCTTCAGGCCTTTAATCGTCTTAGTTGCTCTTCTCTGCATTTTTGCCAAAGTTTCATTTTAATGTTAATTTCTCATATAGGGGATATAGTTACTGAATCCTTGTCATGGTCAGATCACTCTCTCCTTCGTCTCGACTTTCGAACCGCTGCACCCCGCCGCAGGGAGGCGGAGCCGGTAAGATGGTTCCGCCCCAGACGCCTGATGGAACCTGACAGATTCCAGACAGAGCTTGGGCCATTTCCTGAGGTTCTGGCACACGCCTGGACTGGAGACCTGGGATAGGGCGGCTGCTGGTGCTCTGGATCGGGTCGTGCCTTTGCGGCCTCTGACCCGGAGCCGATCTCAATTGGCTCCTTGGTTTACCGAGGAGCTGAGGGAGTTGAAGCGCTGGAAAAGACGCCTAGAGAGTAGTTGGAGGGACAGTCTTTCTGAATCTGACCGGACAGTAGTAAGATCCCACATTAGGAATTACTTAGTGGCGATAAAAGCAGCAAAATGTAGTTATTTTGTTGCTCTTATTGCGTCATCAGATAATCGCCTGGCCGCCCTCTTTAGGGTGACCCGCTCCCTGCTCCACCAGGAAGCGTGGGAGGACCCCTTGGAGGGTAGAGCCAAGGATTTTGTTCAGTATCTGTATGACAAAATCACTCAGATTCGGGAAGATTTGGACTCCGACTGGGTAATCTCAGGGGGAGAGACAGGGGCAGGTCTTGAGAATGTTATCTGGGATTAGTTTGATCCTGTGACCCCTGAGGACGTGGACAGGATTCTGGGTAGACTGAACACGACCACTTGTTTATTGGACCCGTGTCCTTCCTGGTTAGTACTGGCTTCCTAGGAAGTGACACGAGGTTGGCTCCAGGGGATTATAAACGCTTTGCTGAGTGAGGGTGACTTTCCCGCCGCCTTGAAAGAGGCGGTGGTAAGGCCTCTCCTCAAGAAGCCTTCCCTGGACCCGGCAATGTTGGTAAATTATCGTCCGGTCTCCAACCTTCGCTTTTTGCGAAGGTTGTTGAGAGTATGGTCGCGCAACAGCTCCCCCAGCACCTGGATGAAACGACGTATCTGGATCCATTCCAGTCGGGCTTCAGGCCTGGGTACAGCACGGAAACAGCATTGGTCGCATTGGTTGATGATCTCTGGAGGGCTCGGGACAGGGGGTGCTCCTCTGTCCTGGTCCTGTTAGATCTCTCAGCGGCTTTTGATATCATCGACCATGGTATCATGCTGCACCGGTTGGAAGAGTTGGGGGTGGGAGGCACTGCCACTGCGGTGGTTCTCCTCCTTTCTCTCTGACCGGTCGCAGTCTGTGTTGACAGGGGGACAGAGGTCGACCCCGAGGCCCCTCATGTGGGGTGCCGCAAGGGTCGGTCCTCTCGCCTCTCCTGTTCAACATTTATGTGAAGCCGCTGGGCGAGATCATCCGTGGTTTCGGGGTGGAATACCATCAGTACGCTGACGACACCCAGCTGTACATCTCCATCCCGGATCACCCCAACGATGCCCTTGAAGTGATGTCCCGGTGCCTGGAGGCCATACAGATCTGGATGGGGAGGAACAGGCTCAGGCTCAACCCATCCAAGACCGAGTGTCTGTGGTTTCCGACGTCCCGATATAGTCAGTTGACGCCATCACTGACTATTGGGGACGAATCATTGGCCCCCACGGAGAGGGCTCGCAACTTGGGCGTCCTCCTGGATTCACGGCTGTCTTTAGAAGAGCACTTGACGGCCGTGACCGGGAGGATTTTTCATCAGGTTCGCCTGATTCGCCAGTTGCGTCCCTTTCTGGATCGGGACTCGTTACGCACGGTCACTCATGCCCTTGTCACCTCCCGCCTGGACTATTGCAATGCTCTCTACATGGGGCTCCCCTTGAGGAGCACCCGGAGGCTCCAACTGGCGCAGAGTGCGGCCGCGCGGGTGGTGATGGGAGTGACATGGCGTTCCCATGTAACACCCCTCCTGCGCGAGCTGCACTGGCTCCCGGTGGTCTTCCGGGTGCGCTTCAAGGTTCTGGTTACCACCTTTAAAGCGCTCCTTGGCTTAGGACCCGGGTACTTGCGGGACCGCCTACTACCATCAATAGCCTCCCACCGGCCGGTACGCTCCCATAGAGAGGGACTCCTCCGGGTGCCGTCAGCCAAACAATGCCGACTGGTGGCCCCCAGGGGGAGAGCCTTCTCTGTGGGGGCATCTACTATCTGGAACGAGCCCCCCCAGAGATACGGAGGACCCCGGATCTGCGCACCTTCCGCCGCGCCTTAAAGACCTTACTATTTCACCAGGCCGGCCTGGCCTAATTTTCCCCCTTTTATAAAAGATTTTTAAAATTTTAAATATCTTTTAGTATTTTATACATTTAATTTTAAATTGGTTTTAAATGTTTGGGGTTTTAAATTTGTTGGGGCCAAAATTATTTAATCTGATTTTATTCTAGATAGATAGATAGCTAGCTAGCTTCTGGAAGGGTTTAACAGCACATGAAAACAATTAAAAACCTGGTTTGGTAATTGACTTTACCCCCTTAGCTGGCCCTAAGGGAGCTCTAGAGTATCTGAGGAGTTACAGTATCTTGCCCCAGTAGGACTAGCCCATCCCACTTGCTCCAGCAGAAGAGGCCTCCTGCGGACCCCACTGGTTAAGGAATTCTGGCTGGCAGTATAAAGGAGAAGAACCTTTCCTGCTGTGGCCCCCATTCTAGGGAACATTCAGCCACCAGAGATGAGAATTGTTCCTGTCCTTTTGGCCTTCTGGAAGGGCATTAAAATGTGGTATCACTGGTTGGCTTGGGACCCTGAAGGAGACACTCTCTGCTGGAGGTGATTGAGAGGGTATAAAGAACATCTCACCCCTGTGCTGTCTCTACCCTTGGTTTCAGTTTTTTATATACCAGTAACTCTTCTTAATTTTAAATGTTTTTACATTTATCTTTTACTCCTTGTAAACTGCCCAGTCATCTGGGAGTTTATTTATTTAATAAATAAAATAAATCAACAAAAGTAAACAACAGTATATCAACCCTCAATCCATAATATACACATTTAAATGGCTACTATAGGTAATACGCAATGCAAAATTATTTTAAAAACTCCAACATCTTATGGGCCCATAAGACTAACCTCCCAAGCCCTAATCCAGGAACATAATGGATGTTTATAACCTGCAGGATTAAGCTATTATGTTATAATATTATTATGGTATTACATTTATACTGTTATATTTTAATCTTCTTACTGCTGGTATGTCTACATGATGCTCAGAATCAGATATGATTGGAAAGACATATCAGACAGATGATAGATAGATAGATAGATAGATAGATAGATAGATAGATAGATAGATAGATAGATAGATAGATAATAGAGAAAGAAGGAAGGAAAGAAAGAAAGAAAGAAAGAAAGAAAGAAAGAAAGAAAGAAAGAAAGAAAGAAAGAAAGAAAGAAAGAAAGAAAGAAAGAAAGAAAGAATTGACTCACTAGATACAATAAAGATTAAATGCAGGATGAAAGAAAAGAATGAAGGAAGAAATTGAGTGATTTTTTTGGGGGGGGGTTGAGCTACAGTAGACTGCTCTATGGATGCATTACTTGTAGATTGAGTATCTGCATGTTGTAATACATATAAAAGTAAAAACCACAAGGGAAAATACAGAGAGTAAAAAAGAATCGTAATGAAAAAAGCAAATAGAAAAAGAATCTAAAAAAAGAAAAAGATGTTAAAGAAGCAGCTTTCCAATATTCTTGACAGTGTTATGGATAGATAAAGCATTTCAGGTTGTAAGAACATCTTTTTCAGGAGGAAAGGAAAGACTGGTTAAAAAGTATACACTTTAGCTTTGATGATGCTGTCTCCCATATCATGCAACAAGCCTTTCACACTATAGCAGTAATGGCTAACCCTTTTACTGTCGTGTGCCAAAAGTTGGGGGAGCGCGAGGAGGTCGTGTGTGTGCCCACACCCATAATTCAATTCCGCCCGCCCCACACACATGCGCGCACGACCCCCCCTCCCAGGCAACCCTCGTTTTTGGCACAGAAGGCCCATTTTTTGCTCTCCCCAGGTTCCAGAGGCTTTCTAGGAGCCTGGGGAGGACGAAAACGTCCTTCCCCACTCCCCCTGAGGCCCTCCAGAAGCGGAAACAGCTCGTTTCCTGACTTCAAGTGGGCCCGGAAGGCCTGAAAATCAGTTGGCCGGCGTGCACATGCGCACTGGAGCTGAGCTAGGGCAATGCTCCCTGTGCCACCTGTGGCACACATGTCATAGGTTCGCCATCACGGCTCTATAGTATATTCTGGAAATTCATTGACATTGGGCTTTTTCCAAACTATAAAAATAAGAGAGGTAAGAGCTTTCATCAACATGCATTCATGTATCTGGCCTGAAAGTCTTAAGTTATTGTGCGGTCCTCTGAGAAGAATTATGCTCAGAATATTCAATAATAAAATAGAATATATATTAATCAGACAGTAACCATATTAATGTGTATCTTTTATGCAGATTTCTCTAAGTACCACCGAGACAGCTCTTGCTCTAAATAGATATATTTGCACAGCTGTGTTCCCATTACTCACACGGTGTGCTTCTCTCTTTTTGGGATCTGAGCATTACATCTCGTTGATTGATTCCACTCTTCATACAATATACCGTCTGTCCAAAGGGCGCTCTCTTATAAAAGCACAAAGAGACACAATTGAGGAATGCTTGCTTGCTGTCTGCCAGTAAGTATTTGCATAAAATCTTCTTCTATTTCTTGTGAAAACAATATCTCTAATATAATTTATGTGATATTCATTGAGAGAGGAAAGAAACACAGAAACGTAGAACAGAATTTGTGCCAGCAAAGTGAGTACAAGAGAAGGCTATATAACAGGTCCTCGACTTACACCAATTCATTTAGTGATCATTCAAAGTTAAAACAACACTGAAAAAAGTGATTTATGACCGTTTTTCACACTGACGACCGTTGCAACATCCCTAGGGTCATCTGATCAAAATTCAGATGCTTGGCAACTGGTTCATATTTATGACCATTGCTGTGTCCCAAATAATATGATCCCCTTTTGTGACCTCCTGACAAGCAAAGTCAATGGGGAAGACAGGTTCACTTAAAAACCAGGTTACTAACTTAACCACTGCAGTGATTCACTTAACAACAGAGGCAAGCAAGGTTGTAAAATGGAGCAAAATTCACTTAACAAATGCCTCACAACAGAAATTTTGGGCTCAATTGTGGTCATAAGTCAAGGACTGCTGGTATAAGGGAACAAGGCAGGTTTAATTCACTTTGTCTATCTTCATGACAGAGTATGAACCAAGTTAGCTTTAAATAACACATGTTCATCTCCAAATAAAGTAGTATATTCTGTCACCTTTAAAAAATCTATTAAATGCAGAAGGTGCACTTTGGAGGTGAAAAAAGCAATAGTTTTTCTCCAATTTACACATCCATTCTTTCTACGTATTTGATTTAAGAGCAAAATCAGTTACCCGAGCATCAGTTAATTGAGCATATTTTAATAAAAAAAACAATGATTTTGAAAAATAGATGGGATTTCAGATCTAAATTTCTGATATTTCACACTTTGCTGTAATATCATTATTCAACAATATTTTAGCCTATAAATACTAAATTATTCTAGTCATTGTAGAATATAAAAGATTAGTATCCTTTTTCGTAATGAGGAGACACGTTTTTCTTTCAAGAAAATTCTCAGCTTTAGGGGCCACAGGTAGTATGGGCAGGGATATGGTGAAATCACTGGTATATGAGACCAGTCATCACTTTTTGCTTGCTTAATAATACTGTAAAGATCTAAAAAGAGGCGTTTGCATTATATATGGTCTAATAAAGTTTTCTATGAATTCTGCCTTTTTGATGAAATTAATCTTTTAGACAGCCTTTTTTTATCAAGTATTTGTATTAAATGTCCTGTATTTCAGCTGATCCTGTAAATGCTTTGCATATTTATTAAAAAGATTGAAATTGAAAATGAACTTCTTTTTTAATTATAGCCACTTACGGCCTTCGATGCTACAACAACTTCTTCGGCGATTAGTTTTTGATGTACCTTTACTTAATGAATACTGTAAAATGTCATTAAAGGTCAGTATTTCTATTTCTGCCGTGGCATTAAATGTTTGAGTACTGTGAGTGCCTTTTTCCTTCTTTATGTTTTAGAAAGTACATTGAAAGGCAACGTTCCAAATGTTTTTCAATGTATATTTGGTAAAAAGTACATTATTTGTATAAATTAATACTAGATTTGTTACATAAAAAATAAAAGGTCATAATCTGCATTATATCATACCAATGCATATTGATTTTCAATTTGTTTTAATATATTTTTAAATGTATTTTTATGCTGTTTACAGCTTTTAACAAATCACTATGAGCAATGCTGGAAATATTATTGCTTGTCTTCAGGATGGGGAAATTATGGAACAGCAGCTGAAGAAGAATTACATTTGACGGAAAAACTTTTTTGGGGAATATTTGATTCCCTCTCTCATAAGGTAAACATAAAACTTCAAATTAAAAGGCATTGCTTAAATACACATACACCAATATAAGTACAAATACAGCTAGAAAAATTGTCCTGTTTATATCACATTCATAATCTATGAGAACATAGTGATTAATAAGAAGTTAGATAATAGCACTTTTCCTCTATTACATGCTGAGCATTGTTAGATCAGATGCTTCTCCTATGCAAACATACAATTTTCTACTATCCTTATTTTGGCCTTTCATGAGAAGTGAAAAAACAATATTGTTTATTTTTTTTTCATTTATTTATTTTTGTCAAACATGTATAAGATAACAGATATAAGTATAAACATGATTATGAATACAGGAAATGGATACGAATAAATGGGGACAGTAGGACAGGGACGGTAGGCACGTTGGTATACTTGTGCACGCCCCTTACAGACCTCTTAGGAATGTGGTGAGGTCAACAGTAGACAGTCTAAGGTTAAAGTTATGGGGGTTTAGGGATGAAACCACAGAATCAGGTAGTGCATTCCAGGCATTGACCACTCTGTTGCTGAAATCGTATTTTCTGCAATCGAGTTTGGAGCGGTTTATCTTAAGTTTGTATCTATTGTGTGCTTGTGTATTATTGTGGTTGAAGCTGAAGTAGTCATTGACAGGTAGGACATTGTAGCAGATAATTTTGTGTACTATGCTTAGGTCAGACCAAAGGCGGCGTAGTTCTAAGTTGTCTAAGCCCAAAATTTCAAGCCTGGTGGCATAAGGTATTCTGTTGTGAGCAGAGGAGTGGAGTACTCTTCTTGTGAAATACCTCTGGACTCTCTCAATTGTATTAATGTCCAATATACAGTAACTAAATATAAATATTAGATATAAAGTAATATATGTGTAAGTACACATGTGGTCAGAAAAGTACCTTAGACTGATAGGAAAAAGCTAACACAGTCATGTTTCACTCACCTGCAGTAGATTGTACCAGAAGAGGTGTTGTTCAATTCAACCTATTGTAACACAGAGAGAGACATACATACACATTCTTATTTTTCTTTCTTTTTCTAAAACGTTCTTCTCCATTTACTATCAGCATCTACTAATGCTGCTTCTATGGGGATTTTTTTTTTTACCTTAACTAACACTTTGCATGTTTTTTTATTGGACTTTCCAACCAGTTCCTATCTCTCCTGCAGAAGTATGATCCAGAACTCTTCCGAATGGCCTTGCCTTGTTTAAGTGCAATAGCTGGGGCTTTGCCACCAGATTACTTAGACACTCGAATTACTTCATTTTTAGAAAAGCAGACGTCAGTGGATGCTGAGGGAAATTTTGATCCGAAACCTATCAGCACAGTGAAGTGAGTCATAATATCTTTACTTTTTCTAAGGATACTTATTTTGTTATTTAGCACTGCTATGAAATACACTGATTCATTCACAGAATGTAATACGCAAGTTCAAAAATATATTGTTAACTTGATTTTGTTGCTCCACTGAGTTGTGTATAGTCTATTTTTCCTCTGAAATATGAATACTAACTGATCAATTGATGAGTGGTGGTTGTGGTGTAAATATAAATTTAGAATAAGAAAAGACTATTGTTTGGATTCCAATTCCCATCAGCCCCTGCTAGAATGGCCAAAGGCAAGAGTTTGTGGATTGTAATTAAAACATTTTGGGGGATTCTAGATTGTTACCAGCTGGTCAACCCTTTAATCTGGAATAGAATAGTAATTGCAAGATGCAACTGCCATAACATTTATCTTCCAGTCTCTTAATGTAAGTCACACTGTAATATGTACTGTAACTAAGAATTAATATTAATACTTAGTCACATATTTCTTAATCAAATTTATACTAGTACAAAGTTTTTAATGCTTTAAGATGCCTGGATGCCTGTTTGTTAAAGTTATTATTATTTGTTAAATTTATTTGGTGCCTGTCTCACCATGGGGCTACTCTATGCAGTTTACAATAATAAAAGGAAGAAAATCAAAGAACTGTAAACAGAAGTGAAATAATGGAACAGTAAAGGAAACAATGAAAAAGAACACAATAAAAATACATCAATATGATAAACCAAAATATGGCTGGGTGGATAGCAGAGTGCAAAGTATGGGGGAGGGGGAATGTGCCATCAATTCGGCTCAAGTGTGGAACTGCCCCATTTGGTCCCCAGGCCAAAAAGCAGAGCTGGCTGTTTCCATGGCTGAATTCCATGCTGGTTCAGGAATTCTGGGAGTTGAAGTCCAAAAGTCACAAAGGGGCCATAGTTCCCCACCTCTGCCTTAGAGGGTAAAATGTTCCAAAGGGCAGTCACTCCACTTTGTTAGACAGCCATATAAATTGTTTGATTAATAGATAAATAAATAAATTGTAAACAGAATTGTAATAACAAAACATGGTTTAATATATTTAGTGAGGGCATGATTTAAACTCATATTTGTATAGATTGTTCTGTTTGTTTTGGAAAAGAATGGTATGAACTGGTATGGTATTACCTAACTGAAATAAGTTACATATAATAATATACTTTTGGTTTTTAGTTTTATACTTCCTGAAAAGTTGGAGTTTATTGTCAACAAGTATGCTGAACATACTCATGAAAAATGGGCCTGTGACAAGGTATGGATTATTATAGTTCTAACAATTGCCAGAAAAGAACAGAAACCACTCAAAGTGAATTTTAGAAATGTATTCAATTTGTCTCCATGGCTCTGAGACTATGGCAGAACATATATTTTTAGCAATGTCTTTCCATAGTCTTTCTTTCCTTCCTCACACCTGTGGGTTTCCTGACAGCTTTTAAAGCTATTATAAATTGTCATTACATTAGAACATGTGCATTTCAATTATAGCAATTGGAAGAAATTTTGACTTACATGCCTTTTTTAAATAATTAGATGGATTAAGAGCACGGATAAGAAATGGAAGTCAAATTTGCACCACATTTGGAAGGAGCCATTGTACATGTATGAGTGGGGTTGGGCATTTTTGGCTTTTAAAAATGTGCTTGTCTATTCAAACACTTACATTATTCATCTATTTAACATCTCAACATGACAGAGAACTGGGTTTTAATTTTCAGCATTCCAATGGCCACAGAAAGGATATTCAGGGACAATAGATTGGCTTTGACTTCTTTCTGACTTATAAACGTGTTTGTTGTTTGGTGCATTGTTCTTTAAAATGAAAGACAAAAACATATTAACAGATTGACTATTTTAAACGTGGCCAGATAGATACAGAGCCTCCTTAATTCTTAAACTTTTTTGTTGCTATTACATTTGTTATTGGTTAGCAGAGCATTGACATAATTCAAGATCCCTTTTGATATTAATTAAGGAGGAGGAGGAGGAGAACAATTGTATTGTGGTTGCTATAGAGTCAGTTTGATCTAGTGCTTATGGCATCAGGCTACAAACCAGGAGACCACGAGTTCTAGTTCCGCCTGAGGCATGATAATCAGTTAGGTGACCTTGCGCCAGTCACTCTCTCTCAGCCTAACCCACCTCACAAGGTTGTTGTTGTGGAGAAAGAAGAAATATTAGGTATGTTTGCTACCCTGGATTATTTGTAAAAATAATAAAGACGGGAAATTAAATAAACAAACAAATAAATGTCATAACTATATAAAGTTTCTGACCCACATTGAGAACTCTAATTGTCTATAGTTTGTAAACGTCTCTGTGCGCATTCTGACAAATGTTTGTGGGCTGAGGAGGAAGTCAGCTGTCCATTCCTATTCTCCCTATGTCAATATAGATATTATTCAAATAAAAATCTGGTTTGTGGTTTTATTTTTCTCAATTTTGTATTGTTGCCTTAATTGCCCTTTCAATAAAGTTATACAGTGCTTTGAAATGTTCTTTTCGTTGTCAGAGAGCAATCTCTGAATTTTGATGTACATAAAGGATTTATATTTTTCAAGTACAGCAGAGATAAATTGTCCTTAAATGACTGATTAATTCTTATCCTTTCTGCCTGCCTCACCTGTGCTGCAAATTGCACGTTGCATACCTGTTTTTCAGCCAACCTCTTTTACTGTTCCTTTTTCATCCTATTTGCTTGCTTTGATTAGTCATTTTTCATTATTGTGAGCCATGTAGAAAACATAGGCTGAGAGGGGAAAAGCAGAATCAGCCTCCAGAAAGCACAATTAAGCTAATAAAAATAATGTTTGCTTATAACCAAAAATGTTCTTCTAATTCACATAGGATTCTCCCTACTCATTGATGTATAAATCATAGGATAATGTTGGGATGGAATTTTCTAACAATCCACCTGTGTGATGATTTTGCTTTTCAGTTTTATATATGAGATTATCCACCTGCCCATGTGATCTGTATAATACTGATAAGAGCTTCTTTTTCTATGAAGCCATTATTGTCAGAGGTTTGTGCTTTTTTCTAGTCATGCACAGGCCAGCAAACATGGTCTTTTCCTACTCATTAAAAAGGCATTGTATGTTAATGGCCATTATGACTATTCCAGACAATTAATTCCTGGAATTTATTATGCAGTGTGGATTATGCTTTTATTTCCAGAGTAATTGTGGATGGAAATATGCTCCATTACTTGATGAAAATATAAAGACACATCCCTTAATAAGACCTTTCAAAACCTTGATTGAAAAGGTAATGAAGATGAATTTAAATGTTTTTCTCAGGCAAATGTGGGGTACAGTTTGCATTAATGTTCATCAGTGTTCCATTTACTTTGTCAATGGAAATAAAAATCTGAAAATGCAAAATGACCAATTGGTTAAATTATAAATGGAGATTTATTTTTTGTATTCATTTTTTAAATTTAGTAAACCTTGTTTTCTAAACACAGACATACATACGTGTGTGTGTGTGTGTGTGTGTGTGTAAATTTTTAGTAGATATGACTATTGCCAATGATATTAATTTGGTACATACTTTAATATGAAATGACTTAATTCATATTCCTGGAATTAGAATATAATTATCTTCTAGTTTTCATTTTCCTTGATATTGCAGTGCTATTTTTCAAATCCATAATACATACAAAAATGCTTATAGTACGTAATATTTTTAAAAGATATGATATAAAATAGCTTGCGAACACCCATATGCTAGAAGGAAAAGCATAAAAAACATAGTGGTATTTTTGTGTTTATAAAAATATGCATAAAAAGTTTTGTGCAGTTTTAAAGAAAAAGAAACTGAACTTGAGAGAATGTTATACTTATTCATTTCCCAAGATCATCAGTAGCTGGTATGGGAAATTGATATCTCAAAATCAGCATTGAGATCATGTGGAATTGAACAAATGTTCCAGTGGCCTTCAGTGAATTTTGACTCATGGAGCACAAAACTTTTGTGTGTGTGTGTGTGTGTGTGTGTGTGTGTGAGAGAGAGAGAGAGAGACAGACAGACAGACAGACAGACAGACAGACAGACAGACAGACAGACAGACAGAGTCAATTGACTGCAAACTTGTTTATTCCTGGGGGGAAATATTTTAGATTTTTTTTTTCTACATGAAACACAAGATTTTTTTAAAGGAAAAGGAAATCTATCGATGGCCTGCCAGAGAATCTCTAAAAACCATGTTAGCAATGGGATGGAGTCTCGAAAGAAACAGGGATGGAGAAAATATGACTCAGCAACGTGAAAATGAAAAGCTACGTAGCATATCACAATCTAGTCAGGTAAAGTAAAAACAAAGCAAAATGTAAGATTCCTATTTCTTCAGAATTAATGCTACTTTTATTTTTTTTTTACTTTTTTGGCGGGGAAGGGAGAGTTTTATTATTCAATCTTTTAAACTGCCCAAAATGTGTTAAATTCATAAATCTTCATACTTATAAAAATATAATTTCAATTGATCTAAAATAGGTAATTCGGTGAAATTTTATCACATTTTGCAGCATTTTAGAACAGCAAGAATCCATATGTGATAGTTTATGAATGTATATGAATCAGTATTTGCTTGAATAATTGTTCAACTCAATGACAATGATTAAAAGAATATCAATTACTTAGAATGATATTATTTTCCCTCTGTATGCTGATGTTTTTACAGCAGATTGACAAAAATTAATGCCAAGTTGTGTTTCTTCAGAGAAGTGTAAATAGAAGTTGTTTTACCTTCAGCTTCTTCCTTCATGAATTTGTCTTTCTACAGTCAGGGTAGCACACAACAAGCAACTCTAGGCAGGAATCTCTGGTAAATAGAGATTGAGAATCTCTGGCCACCAGATGTACCTAAGCAATCACTTTCACCATCTCTTTCTACTGAAAGAGAAATGCATTAGCTCAACTTAACCAGGTTTATGCCTTTTATATATTTAGTGACTACTTGGAACTCTGCAAAGTTGCAAAATAAAACAATGCCTGTTACTGCAACTGTATGCTAAACCTCTGCAGGACTCTTGTGATAAGTGGGCATAGAATTCCATGTTAAGAGAGCACCAAAAACATTAAGATGAAATTCCTGCAATTGACATTTCAACAGTTCTTTATCTCACTAAAACTCGGGGGGGGGGAGGCGCAGTGGTTAGAATGCAGTATTACAGGCTAATTCTGCCAACTGCTAGGAGTTCGATCCTGACCGTCTCAATTCTGATTCAGCCTTCCATCCTTCTGAGGTTGGTAAAATGAGGACATTATGGTGGGTGGCAATAGTACAGCCCTCTCTGTAAACCGCTTAGGCTGTAAAGCACTGTGAAGTGGTATATATGGATAAGTACTATTGCTATTGCTAGAGTTAATTTCTTAAATCTAATCAACACTCTGTCAAGGTTCCAAGTAATACACCCATAGCAAACAAAACTCCGAGGCAGGTAGATTCCTCAAAGAATTGTTTTATTGGACATATCATATTGGCACAGTTCTGGTGAAAACCGACTTTGAAGGTTTCCACGGTTTTCACCTAATTAAAATTAAAAGTTTTTCCCCTTCCCCAAACTATCAGTCATGTGGTTCAATCAAGGCACTGTCTGGTTGCCTGGTAATGTCACTCTCTCTGACTAGGTGTGAGAATGTCCTTGGTTCTCAGGAGAAAGTATTTTGTTTTGGCTACAAAACCCCAGCTATCTCTATTCCCCCACCACCACTTCCCTATCCCTCAGCTCCAGTGTGGCAACACTAAAGCCTCAAAATGGCTTCAGTCAGGTCAGCTTCAGGGTTGATATACACTCCTTTAACTTTACCTATAGTTATGAAGTCAGACAATGAATTAGCAGAAATCAATTAGCAGAAATGATAAAGCTTACCACTGGTAAATCTTGCTTTACTATATAAACATGGGAAGATTCAGAGTAGCAAAATATAGGAACAACCTTTTTCTCTTAGTGCCCCAGAAGTCAACCTATTTGACTTCTGGCGGTTATTGCTTCTTATTGTTTTTATATTGAGTTTTTATCTTTGTCAATTGCCCAGAGTCACTGAAAGTGAATTGGGCGGCCATATACGTTTTCTAAAATAAATTATCAACAATGAAAAATTGAGCATATCAAGCTCAAATCAGATTTTATATATTGGCTGTTCTATACAATTTCTAAAACTCATTAAAAAAAACTGAGGCTCCTGTTCCTACATAATATTGAAATTTCTGACATGACAAGGATAAATGAATCATAAATTACGTGAGTAATTTTGTATTTTTTTAAAGAAGTCTATAATTAAAACATATTCATTGAGGTTACATAATTGTTATACAATAGGACAGGACTTTGTCAAGGCTTTGTCTCTACAGTTTATTTATGTAATGTATAATTATGACCATTTCCCATGTCACTGAAAGATAATCAAGCAACTGTTTTTTGCAAAAATGTGAGAACTTTAGTTTCTTATATTCTGTTTGTTGCAATGTCGATATTCATACATCGACTTTATCATGTTCTGCCAAAGAACCTAGAAGGATTGTGAACTGTGTAGATTTGAATGCATGGCAATTGTTAAGGCAATGAAGTCCGTAACTCTTCATATTATCTGAAATATAATAAAGAATAAGAACATTCTGCTTATTACTTTATTGTTTAAAATTAAATACAAAATCGTGCATTTCTAAGTCATCTCAAGAATGAACAATAATGGCCAACGTATCTTCTTTTGACAACAGGGGAATGGCTACAGCCCAGCACCTCTTGATCTTTCAAATGTTGTACTTTCCAGAGAACTCCAGGTTTGTCTTAAAGTGTCCAATATTTTGTAGAAATTGAAATGTAGAGAAAATTTGAAACACTTATAGTCTGGCTGAATCTGTGAGAAGAGTTTTGAAATTGGAGAAGTTCCTGACAAAGTAGAACTAGAAGAATTGTGACCCTTCCAGCTGCCTTGAGTGAAGAAGGGAAATTTCTGAAATGTGAGGCGTTCCTAATGAAGTGGAAGATAGAACTATGTGCTGTCTTAGTGTTCTATGTGGAGAAAAGAGAGAGAGAGAGTGACTTGACAAAATGAAATTCTCCAGTTTGGGTTGAAGATAGTGATAGAAGGGGTCCTTGGTGTTCTCTGAGCTTCCTTGTTTTCTTGTAGACGTTTCATTACCCAAACTAGATAACATCATCAGTGCTGGTAAGGAGTGCAGTTTGCTCTCAGTTCATATTCTAGTGGCTTGCCTGTCAGTGTTGGGGGAGATGGTTTTAAAGATTCTTTGTTTGGGCTGTTTGCTGATGACTCTGGCAGTTTCTTGTATTGTTTACTTGATTGTTGGTCTGATGTTAACCTTGGAATTAATCTATGCTGATCTGGGTGCTGATTGCTGGTGGAGAGGTGCTTGGGTCTTTTTGTTCCATTTTGGGCTGGGTGATAGTCTCTTTTGCATAGTCTATAGATGTAGTTAATGTCTATGTGTCTATTGATGGCCGATTTGTCTGGCATTTTTAGACTTGGCTTGATCTAGGATGGTCACATTTTCCCAATTGAAACTATGGTTAAATCTGTCTATATGGTGTGAAATTTAAGAATTTTCATCATGTCCTCTGGCTGCTAGTTGGTATTTGTGGATGTGTTCTGCAAGACTTGTCTGCCCTACATAATGGTAGTTGCAGTTCTTTCATTGTATGTTGTAGATGACTTCTGTTCTATCTTCTGGTGTTGTTGGGTCTTTTGGTCTGCTTAGGATGTTTTGAAGGGCTTTAGTTGGCTTGTGTTTTATGCTGATTCCACGTGGTTGTAGTAATCTGTTGGTGGTGGCTTCTGAGATATTCTTGATATATGGCAGTATGATTCTTCTTAGGGATTGTGTTGGTTCTGCTGTATTGGGTTGAGTGGTCAGTGACTTTTTGACAAAGTTGCACGGATAGTGATAGAAGAAGGGAAATCCCCCTCCCAGTTGTTGGAATCAGAAGGAAAAAAGGGACAAGCTCCCAACATTTCCAGACTCACGAAATGTAGATGGAGCATAGAAATGGGGATGGACTGAGATACATAGAAGTGGCTACCAGACACTGATAGAGACAGATGGCTTCCTCTGTAGTTGAACTTTGCTTAAAGACTTTTTTTCAAGTCTAGCCTTGGTAAAACAGTAGTACAATGTCAGTGCAATATCAGGGATTCTTTAATTTATTACCTAGAGCTGGCTTGAAAGCCTAACAGATACTGTAACTTCATTGACACATATCCACTATGAACATAAATATTTTTGCTGGCAAAAATTTACAGATTCCTTTCAGTGTATTTGTGAAATTGGGGAAAATGCATCACTTACATTTATTTAAATTGAACTGCCACTTTAAATTGTTCCTTTGGGAATTATTATGGGAATCAATACTGTGATTTTTTTGTACCAGGGAATAGAATGGTATCTACAAATGAGCCAGCTGATTGCTTAGATCTAAACCAAGATAATTTATGAACATTTTTAAAAACATTAATCCCAGCAGAGAACTTTGAGGGAGTACACTTCTTATTTTCTTCCATTGAGAAAATTGCTTATTTGCTTTGCATTCTGGTTTTAACCAAATAATAATATTGCTAAACTGTTCAGGAGTTTGAAGATATCTACCCTACATTCTATATTCTGGGTGAAAAAAAAGAAAATCCTCATTGTGATAACAAAAAGTTTTATTAGATCTCTTCGAGCACTTTATAGCACATGGAAAAGCAATATGGAAAAGAATTGTCCCTAAGCAGATATTTTCATTAATGTACCTCCTTTCTCTACATGATACTTATGATCATTTATGTTAATGACATATATCATTACAGCAAATAATGCAATATATGTTTCAATGCAATGATATTATCTATGGTTTAGCACATGGTTATTTTGATTTTTAAATTATTGTTTCTTGATTTCTTGGTGATATAGGGAATGGTAGAAATAATAGCAGAAAACTATCATAACATTTGGGCAAAAAAGAAGAAAATGGAATTGGAAAATAAAGGTAAAAATGAAATGTTTTAATCAGCACCTGACATTTGATATAGGAATATATGAAAATACCAAAAACATGATAGTAATTGTCTATGAGTATTTTCAAAATTTTGCTATTGCAGTAAGAATTACTAAATTATGGTTTTCCTATAGGAGGAGGTGGTCATCCATTGTTGGTACCTTATGACACGTTGACGGCCAAAGAGAAAGCTCGAGATAGGGAGAAAGCCCAAGAACTATTCAAATTTCTTCTTGTAAATGGCATTGCCATATCTAGGTAAGTTATGCATCACATACAAATAAGCTTCTCTGTTCAAATATTTTGTTCTGAGTGATTTTAGCAAAAACTCAAGCAATAACTTAGTATCTTAAATGAAATAAGGGGCAGTTTTACATGCACAACATACACATGGTACTCTGTTAACAACCACTTGTTCAAGGAACCATTCAAAATTAAGAGGGTGCGGAGTAAATGATAGTTGTGATCCTAGTTACATCAGTCTCAACCTTCCTACATTCACATGATCACAATTCAGTTGCTTTGTGCCTGGCTTGCAATTTTGTCATTCATTCATTCATTCATTCATTCATTCATTCATTCATTCATTCATTAGAATTTATCAAACAAAAACGAGAACAAGAATAAAAGAAAAAAAATACAATGACAAGGATGATAGGCATGTTAGTGCACTTATGCACGCCCTCCACACTGCATTATCCTGTGGTCACCTGGTTACCATTTGAGACCTTTTTTGGCAGCTTTTTCCAAGCAAAGCTAATGGGAAAATCACCAGGAAGATAAAAATGGTGACCCCCCATGATATCCTTTCTTAATAACCTGCAGTGATTTGTCAGCAGTGCTGGAATTTCCATCACTAAGTGTGCAATCATGTAATGTCACACTTTATGACTTTGGTGCTTAGCAAGGGAAACTATGTGGTAATATAATTCCCAGCTATGCAAGATAGGCAGACTCTTTTCATTTTTACATTAGTTGGTTTGTAGCACTACTTAGGAACTCTTACCTTCATAAGGGACTCCACAGAAAATTAATAGAAGAGATTATAATTATTGATAACATTTAAGTAAGAACAAATGGAATAGCAAGATGCTAGCCATATTATGGATTGAGAGAAGGTGGTCCTCCCTTCAATTTTTCTCTCCCCTTCCCATTATGACATAAAAAGGCAGCTTTTCCATAGAAATATGTCTCATTTGTGGCACCAGTCAAAGGTCAAAATATTCTTAATTGCTTTTTGCTTCCCGGAGGGAAATATATTTTGACGTCAGGCACCAATAAATTTTATTTTCAAAGATTTTGAGAAACTCATCTTCCCCTCTTTTCAAAGTTATTCCACAGTCTTACTATTTCATGACTGTCTTTCATGCAGATAATTCATGGAGATATTTCCTTTCCATTAGAAGGGGGCACAATCCAGGGACTGAAAACTGCTCAAGTGACAGATGGGAGGAGCATCAAAGGCAGTCAGTATTTGATTGGGTTAGAAGGCACCAAGGGCAATCACGTTGGTTGGTTGGTGAAGTTAGGAAATAGTCTTCATTACTTCTCCTAGCAACTGATGGAATTGCACAGTAAAATCACTGTTCAGTGCAGTATTTCAGAAATAATGTGGAAAAAATGGTTCAGAATTCAGAGGAGTGTAAGCATAACACGCTACAACTCTTTAGAACAAATGCATTGTCTTTGTAACCATGCAAGACATGAACAGTCTTGATATATTTTGATCATGATATAAAGAGAATAGATACATACTTGTAAAAAATACAAACTGGAATATTATTTTCACATTACTGTTAATGTAATGTGAGTACTGTCATACTGTTAATGAGAGTATTGGAAATCTTAATTTATATTTAGAAAATTCATGCTTTCTACACACTGGCCTCAAAAACTGGCTATAGTTCCTCTATAGTTCTTTTGCTGTCAGTGACAATTAAAATCAAATTTTAAGAAAATAAATAGATATTAATACCAATCTCATCCTAGTTGGCCAGTAAATCTATGCTCCAAACAATCTTGTAACCTAATTTAAGGAGGTAAATGCTAAATACGTACCATGTTCAATCATCTAATTTCTAAACATAATTTTTAATAAACTGATTTAAAGTGACAAAAACTTAATTTGCAATAAGCATAGTGTTTCAAGTTTTTTTATGCTGCTTGCTAAATTTTTTTAAAAAAAACTATAGGTTAAACTTTTGTTTCACTAGAGGCTTAAATGACCTGGAATTGGATGCTTCATCAATGGAAAAGAGGTTTGCTTATAAATTTCTCAAAAGGATCCTTAAATATATTGACTCAGCTCAAGAATTCATTGCACATTTAGGTAAGTTTTGTTAATGTTTTTAAAAGCTAGTAATGAAAAAGATACCTATTGTTGCACCATTGCTTACATTAAGTATTTTTATTAGCATTATATTTATTACTGGTACTATAGTAATGAATATTCATTCCCTCATGAGATGATGTGACTCAGAGAGGGTCCAGATTCTTCTACAAATAGGAGATGTTAGAAGAAGTGGAGGCCCTGGCCAGTTTTCCTACTGAAGAATTGAAACCAACTCACTGTCCTCTACCCCGGTTTCCTTGCTTTAGGATGCATTTCTGTGATCAAGAGACAAGATGACAAGCTAACTATGAACATGGTCTTACATGTCCCAGTATTTCTTCTTCAGAGAGGAAAGGGGACTATTATTCTTGGCCACATGAAGTTTTCATTTTAATAGGAATAGGGAATGGTAGGGAGATTCAAATAGGAGAATTAATGTCATTAGGAGCCTAGCTCCACTATGCTGTGTAATATTTTCTTAATCTTGTTTGCTCCTTCAGCTACAAATTGTATGACATGAAAAAGATAATTGCATAATTGCAGTATTTTATTTATTTATTAGATTTATATGCTGCTTTTTCTCAGAAGCTTAAATGGGGATATTTCTTCATTTTATTCTGTCAGCAACCAATCTGTGGAGATGAAAATGAAAGAGAGAAAGAGTGACTGATCAATATCAATTTCAGTAATTAAGGGTGCTTGTTATGTTTTCCTTCAGGAACCCAAGACAATGTCTTCTTTCCTCCTTTTTTCCTCCCACAATAAATCCCTGTAGAGAAACTTGAGCTGACGGATAGTGACCAGCCCAAAGCCACCTTGTGAACCTCCATAGTTTAGGATGAGTGTGAATGAGATCTCTGTGGTCTTTATCCAACACACTGCACTCAACAGAACACTGGATGTCTTAAATATTTTTCTCCATATGTAAAATAAAGTTTTAATAGGGGAAAGCAGCAATTTAAAAAACTTACTCCACATATTATTTTCTTAGCTTGATTTGTACTTGTTTTCACCTCTTGAAAAATCCAAAGCAGCTCTATAATCTTCAACTAGTTCTTCCCCCTTTTCTCACTGAAGCTGAAAATAAATTTAGCAGAATGCAGAAGAAAGGTACTATATGTACAAAAGATACAGTAATGTTCTCTACAATGACATTTTTTTTTCCAGAAAACTCTTTCAGAACTAGGAATTGGAATGAATGGAACTTTCTTACATTGATTCAAATTTATAAATTTGCAAGTAGTATTGACTACACTCAATGGAGAGGATCAATAAATAGAACCATATGTTTAGCGTTCCTGCGGAATAAATTGTTGCTGCTTCTGGAATTCCACAAGCTTAAATACTGTGACAATAATCCTGCCTAATGTTGTTTATCTTTACTTTGTTTCTTCACAGAAGCCATTGTTACCAGTGGAAAAACTGAGAAATCTCCACATGATCAAGAAATCAAATTCTTTGCCAAAGTGAGTAATGTGTTATCTAAAACAATCTTCTTCAATTCCAACATTCTGATAATTTTGAGAGCTGTGTGTAGAATAAAACATCTGATTTCACTGTAGATCATAGAAGAAATCAAGAAAAATAAATAAGAAAAATATATAAAGTTCCAAAATTATTCTATGGAGGTACAAGTTTAAAAATTGTTCTTCTACACTAGGGGTGTCAAACTCATGGCCCGCCAGCCAGATGCGTCACATGCTGACCATGTCCAGCTCTGGTTTAGCGAAGGGGAGAAAAAGTCATGATACGTCACATGACGACAATGTGACACCGCGAGTTTGACATCCCTGTTCTACACAGAAATGGTTGTGATTTAAATTCAAATTCAAAGTATTTCATTTAAGCCATAAAGCCAATAGTAATAATCCACTGAAACCATAATTTCGCCAGTATTATTTGTTTTCAGAGTTTATTTTATTGTCAATATTTCTATGTTGAGCTTTATCTTATGATTATCAATGGTTCTATGTCATTGATTCACTTGTTAGCTAAGATGTTATAAGCATACATGAAAGTAATGCTGTGATAGTGCTATAGATTGCTGTTGAGCACAAATGGTGTTGAGATACATACATTATTCTAATGATTGATTACAGTGAGATATCATACACTTGAGTTTGGTATGCATAGAGCTTCTCCTGCCATAGTAGATAATTGGTTTAGTATACAGGGAGTGTAGAGGGCACTGTAATGAGGAGTTCTCATTCTTCGTAATTTTTGTTATTTACACATATGTATTCTACATCAGCACAGTTTACTACTCAGAATGTTTTAGAGCTCTAGTCTTTCATTGGGTCTGTGCTATATCAGAAGGTGTAGCTCTTTCCAACTCTCTCAGTTCTCTTCTGACCACTAATAAAGGTTAAACCAGCAATAATAGATTGAATTGTTCTTTGTCCTTGTGGCCATTTCTGCTATTTTTTGTTGAAACCAGGAAGTGCTTCTGCTATCTGCTATGGATGTAAGTTCCCATATTGTTGACTTCTCTGCTTCAGTGAAGGGCACATGGTAGATTCTGTTCTTTTCTGTACTAAGCCTGCTAAAGGACTTTACCAGGCTTACTACAATTATTGTTTTCCTTCAAGCATTAAATGGTGCACCTGTAGTAGCCTCAATAACCAAGAAAGCCTTATTTCGTTCATCAGTTATCCCATCGTCCCACATCAGAACCCATTTATTTATTTACTTATTCCAAGCTACTCATGCCAAAACAATTCTGATTATACCCCTTCATACAGTATTAGGATTAAAAACTACTAAATATAACAAAATATAAGTCAAATCAATAACAGTAAGTTATTCATCCAAACCCATCACTTGGCACTACAACCTTGGCAAGAAACAACCAACAGTCCATTTTTTCTTCATGAGCTTTTTAGAAAAGCTAGGATTTCACAGGCTCCCACAATGCTAGGAGGGGCACATTGTCCTGATTTCTGGAGGGAGGCTGTCCCAAAAAAGGGAAAATTTCACTGATAGGGCTTGCCCTTTCTGACAATAAAAGTGCCTCCGGATGTGGAGCCATGATAAACTCTCTTAAATCTCATTGGTTGAGTAAAGTTTATACAGAATAGATAATCTGGAAGGCATTCACATCCAGGCTAAAAACAATCGCAGAAATAATTATAAGCATCCATAGGAGAGCTATAGAAGAGCAAATAACATGCTTAATACTCATGACAGAATCTCCCAACACAAACACATAATTGTTGCATTGTAATAATTATATCAGCGCATGTATGTTGCATTTTGACACCATCATAGTTTACAATGGACAACCTTGGACTCTGCCTTTGTATAGTATGGTGTAGAATAGCGGGAGCTCTTACAAAATGTCATTTTAAAAAGCCCAACCAGAGTTATTGTGCATATGTGTGCATTTATAGAACATCACTTAAAAAGCTACAGTACAAGTAAATAAAAACAATTCTATATTCTTTTGCTAGTATCAGCTCCTTGATATCTGACTTACCCTTGTGGCTTCTGGTGACTTTTCCAGATCTAATAATGATTCTCAATGAGTCAACCATGTCCTGGATGACTGAGAATCTTCATAAACAATGACTGTAAGAAATAGCTATCACTCTCTGTAGGTATTTTATAATCTCTGTAGGTATCTTATAATCTACAGTTTGTATACATTTTTACTTCTTTAGGTTCTGCTACCATTAGTTGACCAGTATTTCACCAATCATTGCTTGTACTTCCTCTCTTCCCCAACAAAGCCATTCGGTAGTAGTGGATATGCTTCCAATAAAGAAAAAGAAATGGTAGCAAGGTATGTAGAAAGAAAACATGTATATAGCAATGTACATTAAATGAATCAGTAATGGAATTAGTTGCATATGATTCAAGTCAATGTGCTTGTGTAACAGAAATCTATCCATAAAGGTAATTCTCGATTTACAAGCACAATTGGAACATTGACTAAACTATGCACCATATAAATAGATGTATTGTCACTATAATATCATCAAGGGCACAAAGTCACATTCTTTTAATTATTAATTACAGGTATGGCACCTAACACCATTTACTAAAATTGTGTGTGGTGGGGAGGGGGTTTCTTTAGTTTCTCTTATTTATGACTTAGTTATGGTAGTCCTGCTTACAGGGGCCAAGTGCTATATTAAATCTATATTGATTTTATTTCATTGCGTAGTATTGAACAATGTAAATGGACAGGATATGATAATGTATTCATGTAATATCATTTTTGTTTGATGCAGAAATATTTGGAGCTGGTAATTCTAATAAAAGACAAAATCCTTAGCCTAAAAATTTAAAATTCCTGGGAGTAAGTTTTCCACAGGGGATGCAATCTGAAACTTCAAAAATATAACCAAAAACAAACCCACCTACCTTAATTTTCACTTTCCCAAGTCCTAACCTTCTGTCCAGACATGTATGCTTTAAATGATCTTTGAAAAATGTTGCTTCCTTTCTTTTCTACACCGTATGTAATATATTTTTTTCTTATAGAACATCTAGTTCTTTTTCCAAAACCACTTTTCAGCCAATTTGTAAGATTTCTTTCAAAAACCTGGCATTAAAGATTACAATCCTAATAGCTCTCATATCTGACAATAAAGGGTTTTAACTTTATTTTTAAAAAGGAAGGTAGATAGTATGACATTTATTTAAAGATTATATATATCCTTACAGGGGTGGGTTCTACTTACCTTTACTATCGGTTCGCAACGGGATCGCGCGCGCTCACTTCACTCCCATGTGCCCCTTGCTTCTCGACAAGGGCGGTGGGCGGGGCCTCCCGCTGGTTTTACTACCGATTCTTGCGAACCAGTCCGAACCGGGGGCAACCCACCACTGATCCTTACCTTGATTACTACTATCACTATGAGGAAAGCTAACAGAAGAACCTAATATATTCCTAAACTAATTCTACATTCTGTCATATTTAGGAATTGATTCTCCTACCATTTTGCCATAAACGATTCAGCCTTTAGGCAATCTGAGGATAAGACTTTCTTCTAATACACAGAGAGCACTCAGTACATTTTTAAAAAGATCTCAGTAGGTATTCATTTCACTGAGCTTTAGATCTCTTATTTATTTTCTTCCCTCATTTCTTAAGGTTTTTAAAATCTTTATTTTAAAACATAACAGTTATCAATAAATTAAATTATTAATGGCACACAAATGGGAATATAATACTTTAGGCATTCAAATTAGTAATATATCACAACCTTACTTGACTTGACTGAACAGATACCTTTATCTTCTCTGAAGTTCTCTTACAAGATAAGGTGGTTCTTCCTCTCACTGGAGGTTTCAATGGGCTCCAATGGCCCCTGGAAAGTTAGACTTTTAAAGTAGATGACAAGTACCAGCTGTCAGTGTGTTTTCCACTCCATTCCCCCCCTCCCAGAAAAATATTTTAATGAATAATTACCATGGGATTTTGGTGAACATATACCAGCATTTTCACAATTGTCTGCTTGCTGAAAAATAGAATTAATAAAATAGAATTTATCATTTCCCCCTAGTTTAAATTGTAATCGTATAAAGCAGGGGTGTCAAAGTCACAGCCTGCAGGCCGGATGCATCACGCGCCTGCCACACCCACCCCCGATTTAGCAATGGGGGAAAAAGTTGAGATACATCATGTGACAACAACGTGACACCGCGCGTTTGACACCCCTGGTATATAGCATTTCAGAAACTGTTTAACTTCAAAAACAGTTAAATAAATGTCACAGGAAATAGAGGGTTTTTTGAAAATAATATTTACTTTTTTCTAGGTGTTAAAATATGTAGGCTTATTGTATTTCTAAAAACAGTTACAGCAACTGTTTTTCAAATTAAAAGGAGACATAGTTTTTGCTTAGTTGTTATCCATGCAAATACTTTCTGTGTATGCTTCATCCTCTTATTTATTTTTTGTTTGTTTGTTTTAGCCTTTTCTGCAAACTTGCTGCTCTTGTTAGACATAGAATTTCACTGTTTGGTAAGTTAAAAAAAGGTTTTGCAGAAGTTTCAAAGCGTATGAAGTTTAGTTTGAGTTGCTTCGCACGTGATTTATTGAGTTTTTCAACCCCCGGTAGGCCAACCATGGATAAATCCAAGAAAAGAAAAGTTTCAGAAGAAAACAGAACATTTAATTCAACAACATATGCTAGCTCAAGAAATAGTCAGGCACGGGAAGGGTTTTGTGGCTTCCGGTGTTTTCTTTTCTGTGGGAAACTGGTCAAATGGCTCTTTGAGTATTTAAGGTTGCAAACGTCTGCTCTACGAATAGGAAGCCAAAGTATTTTTTTCAGCAAGGATCTGAGGTTATGAATATAAATGTGAAATAGAGTTCAGATAGAAGATAAAGAAGATGTACTTTTGTAGTTCCTCTATGAATTTCAGGTAACTTGTAGCTAACCATAGCAGAAATAATTAGTGGAAAGGTTATGAGCTTGTTGTTTAGAATAATTATGGAGTTCTAATACAAAACAAAATGCCACGACAAAATCCTGTTCAAAGGAGACATGTCTCTATTGACATTTTAAATCACAAGTGAGTAGCCTGTAAATGACATGTGGCCTCAATAGCTTCAATGTAGGCCCTCTACTAGTTCCCTAGATTGCACTGCAAACATGCTGAGTTTATCATAGGGAATTTTAAAAATGATTTTAACTGGTATAATAGGTAGAAAGGCTGCTACAAAGAAGTTGCTTATCAATACTTGAAATATAGAAATATTAATGGGGAAAAATTTACAAAAATCAAGCATTAATGTCTGAGTAGTGTTTGCATGCTTAGATGAAATAGCAAGAAAAAAGAAGAAAAATTTCAGCTTTCATTATTAGAATATGATAGCAGGTTTCCCTAGTATAAATACTTTTGGTACACATTTTATTTAAAAACAATTTTCTTGTAGAGAATTTTTAAAGAACAACAATTGTTATTTCCTTCAATTTTGATTAGGTAGTGATGCTGCAACAATGGTTAGTTGCCTACATATCTTAGCTCAGACTCTAGATACAAGGTAAGTTTGATTATTTACTCCTGTTTTCCATTCCTACCAGTCAGTAGTAAAAGGAGGAGAAGCTGTGTTGGGCTGCTGCAGCAAGATAAAGTAATATACAGTCTCAGAGCACGATAAGAGCGAACACATTTATTATGGGTTAGGCTTTCCTGGGCGAGAGTTCATTTCCATGGATCAGTGAAGTGGTCTGTTGTTAGATATTAAATTGCCATTAGGTTTTTTTGTGTTTTTGCTGATGTAACTGAAGTATTTTTTTACAAGTTTTCTCTCTACAATTTCTACTCACTGAAAGATTACAAATTGTAAATTCTTCTTTTATAGAGAAGCTTAAATCATATAAGGTTCCTTTTGCAGTTTGAAACAGGGTAGCTTAAATGCAAATTTACCAAATAGTAAGAATTTTATGATAATATATAAAAGATAAAATATTGTATATATTATCATTCATCTTTTTAATGTACATGACATATAAATCCCACCTGGGATTAACACAGATTGTGTGAATAAATGCAAACAATAACCAATAAACATTAATTAATAAAATAATATTTAACCATACAGATAGTTGCTTTCTAAATGACGTTTTCAAAATTATCTTGTAGAACAGTTATGAAATCTGGCTCAGAGATGGTTAAAGCAGGATTGCATGCTTTCTTTGAAAATGCTGCAGAAGATCTAGAGAAGACATCAGAAAACCTTAAACTTGGAAAATTTACCCACTCCCGAACTCAGATTAAAGGAGTCTCACAAAATATCAACTATACAACAGTGGCACTGCTGCCTATCTTAACATCCATTTTTGAACATGTCGCTCAGCATAATTTTGGTACTGATTTGCTTTGTAAGTCTAATGTTTTAGCTTTTTATTTTTAGTCTAGAAAATTGTAATAAAGGAGGCATGAATGTGGTGTTATTTATCCAAAAGATCTAAAATATGTATAAAAATCAAATCCTGGGTAAGGCTCAAATCTTCAAATAATTCCAAAATGATTGAATGGTGCTAATAAAATACTTTTTCTTCCATATTAGTGTTAAGTCCTCACAGATACGACGCTGTATAGACTTGCGTGTTGCTACCCGTCCCCGATTGGCTGAAGCTTCCTGGGTTGCCGCGCGGGAAGCTGCGCGGCCTCCGATTGGACGATCTGGTTGAAAGCCGGCTATTTAAGCAGCTGTCAGCCAATTTTGTTCTGTTCTGTTGCACTCGTTATGTGTTAGCTGTTACGTTAATAAAGATCTGTTCTGCTAATCTCTAGCCCATGCCTTTGTTCTACAAATAGAGCATTGGCGACGAAGGTGGGATCGGTGGTGTACATCTGAGGTAATTTGACGGCGGAACCTCCACCACCCTCCTAGCGCTGCCATGTCTACTTTCTTGCCGGCGTTCTCTCCCTTCGTTCCTGCATCCAAAACATGGGACACCTATATAGAACACTTTGAGTGTTTCATGCAAGCGAATGCCCTGACTGAACTTTCTAGCGCTCGCAAACGGGGTTATTTCCTCAGCTCCTGTGGGAGCGAGATTTTTGGTGCTGCTAGGGCTCTAGCTGCGCCTCAGCAAGTTTTTGACATTCCTTGGGAGAGAGATTAAAGAACCATTTCTCCCCTACCCTGTCTCGCATTGCGCGATTCCATGCGTTCTGGCAGCGCTCACAAACGGAGGGTGAATCCGTGAACGATTACATGGCTTCTTTACGCTCAGCAGTCCTTCATTGTGAGTTCCGTGATCACTTGGATGAGATGTTGTTGGACCAGCTGGTCTGCGGGATCAAGGACTTGAAGCTACAACGGCGCCTTTTGGCCCGCTCAGAGCTGACCCTCCAAGTCGCTCTGGACGAGGCCAGGGCTGCCGAAATATCCGGCTGATCGGCCGCTGAAATCCACCGTTTCCAGACGCCCTCATCAGCGACTCCTAAGCCCCTGTCTGTCCATTACAAGGACTCAGACCTGGTGGAGTCCTTCGAAAATGAGAGGGAGGTGAGCCGCCTCAAGGCGACTCAACGGAAGTGCAGTGCGTCCACCAAACTTTTAAAGCTTGCGCAGGACAATTGCTTGGGCTGTGGCGGCAACCATCGCAGAACCGACTGCCGTTTCAAGACTGTCGTGTGCCGCCACTGCGGCAAGAGGGGCCATTTGTCTGCAGAGCGCCCGCCCAATGTCCGACATTCCCTCCGGCCCCCTCCCGGAGTGCCGCCGTGGACGGAAAGTGGCTACTCGCCGCGAGGATTGCCTCGCTGTCACCCGCTACAAGGACCCTCCTGACATTGCTGTGAGCAACGCCTCTTCTTCAACTTCTGCCAGCAAGCTATTCCTCACAGTGGGTTTAGAAGGAGCGGCCTGTAAAATGGAGGTGGACCCGGGGTCCTCCAACTCACTCATAGCGTGGGCGACCCTCTCTAAGTTGTTGCCGGGGTTGTCCCGCCGCCGGCTCAAGCCGTGCCCTGTCCTCTTAAAGGACTATCAAGGGAAGGCTATCCCCACTCTGGGGTATGACACTTTCCTGGTGTTTTTCCGTTCGTTCTCTGGTAAATTGCCACTAATTGTGGTAAGGGACGACCGCCCTACCCTCTTAGGGATGGACTGGTTTGCTGCTTTAAAATTGTCCATTTCTGGAGTACATAGGGTAGCCCCCGACGTTCAGTCTTTCCTGGCCTGAGAATTCGTAGACGTGTTCTCGGACCAGCTGGGTAAATATACAGGTAGGCCTATATCCTTCAATTTGGACCCCAGATGATGCCAGTCCACCTCAAACTGCAGAGAGTGCCTTTAGCTTTGCACCCACGGGTAGATGCAGAGCTAGATAAGCTTGTAGCGCAGGGCGTGTTAGTCCCTGTGGATCATTCGGCTTGGGAGACTCCTATTGTAATTCCCTTAAAACAGGACGGCTGAATCAGAATTTGCGCTGACTATAAATGTTCTATTAATAAGGCGCTGCAGGCCAATCCGTACCCGGTGCCAGTAGTGCAGCACTTGCTGCACTCCCTGGGTCATGGCAAGGTATTTGCCAATCTGGACCTGGCCCAGGCGTATCAAAATTACCGGTTGATGAGCTGACGGCCATGGCCCAAACCATTGTCACTCACCGGGGTGCATTTAAATGCACCCAGCTTCAGTTCGGAGTGAGTGTTGCCCCGGGAATATTCCAAAGTATCGTGGAACGATTGCTTCAGGGAATTCCCTGGGTGGTACCCTACTTCGACGATGTTTTGGTCTCCGCTGGAGACCAATCCGACCTCCTAGCCAAGCTGCGGTCCGTATTAGGCCGTTTGCGCAGTGCCGGACTCCGCCTCAAGAGATCGAAGTGCATTATAGGAGTTCCGGAAGTGGAGTTCCTGGGGTTCCTCATCGACGCCCAGGGAATCCACCCTACCCCTTCCAAGGTCGTGGCCATTAAAAACGCCCCCACGCCCACATGCAAGGCGGAGCTGAAGGCGTTCCTTGGACTCCTCAATTTTTACTCTATTTTTTTGCCTCATAAGGCATCCCTTGCTGAGCCCCTCCACCGTCTCCTGGACTCTAAGTCGTCCTGGAGGTGGAGTCGCGCCGCCGCCGCGTCATTCCAAGCTGTCAAAGACATGCTGAAATCTAAGGCGGTTCTCGTCCAATACGACGAGAGCATGCCCTTGACTTGCGATGCCTCGCCTTATGGCATTGGCGCCATTTTGAGTCATGTCTTCCCAACTGGCATCGAGGCGCCGATTGCCTTTTATTCCCGTACCCTTTCCGCACCAGAAAGAATTACAGCCAATTGGATCGTGAGGCTCTGGCAGCAGTCGCCGGAGTCAAACGATTCCATGATTATCTTTATGGCCGGTCCTTTACACTGGTCACCGACCATAAGCCCCTTCTAGGGTGCTCGCCGGTGATCGGCAAACCCTGGTCATGGTCTCGCCCCGCATGTCCCGCTGGGTGGAGTTTTTGGCCGGGTACTCCTACCACCTAGTCTACCGGCCTGGCTCGGCCATCTGCCATGCCGATGCTTTGAGCCGGTGCCCTGTGCCTGCCCCGGACTCAGATCCGGCTCCTGCCTCTTCAGTCCTCCTCGTTGAGGACTTCGACTTTCCCCTAACGGCTTCTGATATCAGCGCTGGGTCCCTGGCAGACCCCGCTATTTCCAAGGTCTAAGACCTGGGTCCGTAGGGGTGGCCTGAAGGTTCCGTGCATGCAGATCTCCTGTCCTTTTTCCGCAGGCAAAATGAGCTGTTAACCCAAAAGGGCTGTCTCCTTTGGGGAAATAGAGTCATTGTCCCTGAGGGGTTGCGGCGCCCCATTCTAGCCCATCTACACAACGCTCATCCGGGTATCGTCCGCATGAAGGGGCTGGGCCGCAGCTATGTGTGGTGGCCCGGCATGGATAACGAGATTGAGCAGTGGGTTGCTACGTGCCCCCAGTGCCAAGCATCCCGGCCAGCTCCCCCTCCAGGGAGTGGGAGGTACCCCAGGCACCGTGGGCCCGAATCCATATGGATTTCGCTGGCCCCTTCCAAGGTCATGTTCCTGGTCGTCGTAGATGCCTACTCTAAATGGGTAGAGTTGGCTCTTATGCATTCTACAACGTCCGACGACGTCATCCGGGTCCAGGAGGGGTGGTTCGCAATGAATGGTCTACCTGATACCATACTTAGCGATAATGGGCCTCAGTTTATGTCGGCACAATTCCGACGGTTTGTGGCCAAACTGGGCATTCGCCATACAACGACGGCCCCTTTCTATCCGGCCGTGAATGGAAGGGCGGAAAGGGCCGTGAGATTGGCTAAAGAGGCACTTAGTCGCCTGGGTACTGCAAATTGGCATCAGAAAATCACCCAATACCTATTAGCTCAGCACACAACCCCATGCCCAGATACCAAGACAAGTCCGGCTGAAATGCTCATGGGTCGGCGGCTCCGGACAGTTTTGGACAGATTACACCCAGCATACACACCCGAAGTTCCAAAGCGCCTTACGTCCCAGTGTTGGGCATTCACGGTCGGAGACCCTGTCTATGCACAAAACTTCAGGACTGACTGTAAGTGGGTGCCGGGCCACATCAGCAAATTAACCGGACCCTACGCTTATACAGCTCGATGATGGACGCATCTGGAGGTGGCATGTGAACCAGCTATGGAGGAGGATCCCTTCAACAACAAACCTTCCATGTAAGCAAGCGGCACCTGCGGATGATGATAGGCCACCGCACACAACCATCAATGCTCCAACACCTGCTCCGCCTGCTGTCACCCGAAGCGTTCTCTTTGGCAAACTCACCTGTTTGATTCGGTTCTCCCGCGCCGGCCATTGTTCTGCCCACTCCGCAACCGCAATCCAACAGCTCCCACAAGGACAGCGTTCCGGCTCCGCCTTCGCCAAAAGCCGGCCCTGAACTGAGGAGATCAGGGCGGAGCTGACGTCAGCCAACGTACTTAAATGATTACACATGCGCTGTACTGGTGGGAAGGGGTGTTAAGTCCTCACAGATACGACGCCGTATAGACTTGCGTGTTGCTACCCGTCCCCGATTGGCTGAAGCTTCCTGGGTTGTCGCGCGGGAAGCTGCGCGGCCTCCGATTGGACGATCTGGTTGACAGCCAGCTATTTAAGCAGCTGTCAGCCAGTTTTGTTCTGTTCCATTGCACTCGTTACGTGTTAGCTGTTACGTTAATAAAGATCCGTTCTGGTAATCTCTAGCCCATGCCTTTGTTCTATAAATAGAGCAATTAGACTTTAGTTATTTATCCATGACTAGGCAGATAGGAGTCTAACATGACTGAACATTGACTCACTACAAGCATAAAGGGTTATCTCTTGTAAAATTTCAGGTAAAAAAGAAATGAACAGTGTTTTTTTATTTTTCTTTAGAAATTGGAAAAATATTCAATTGTTTCTGTAATTGTATCTTATTACTGTCTCTACCTCTACATGCTATGAATGAGCAAATTACATTGTGGTCCATGACCCTCAAGGAAGAGGCTTTCATACTGCAAAGGTCCGATTTGAATTGATAAATTGATAAATTCTTCCTTGAGGCTTATGATCTCAAAAGACAGAAAGAAAAAGAATTGTAAGGAAAAATGACTGAAACATTTGTATTAAGAGGAATACAATAACATTTCTTTTTTTCTTTCTTTCAGTAAATGATGTCCAAATTTCATGTTATAGAATTCTTTGTAGTCTGTATTCTCTTGGGACTGGAAAGAACATTTATGTTGAAAGGTACTTAATAAAGATAACTGATTATGATGAACATTTTTATAATTTGTATCAATAGTGAGACTGCTCTAAATATAATTTGCAACATCTCAAATATTGCACAATATTTTGAATTCAGGGTATAGAAATTAATATTTAACTCTGTTTTAATTCATTTTATTAGACTTAAGACAACAGATGGGGTTTTAAACTTTTGGTTCTAGACTCATTGCAATGGTATTAGATTCAATATAATTCCCTATCTCCCAATCATCGTTAGGATGCTGAGAATGGCAAATTGTGTTGCCAGGATTACATAATTACATAGTCCTAAAACCTTAAGAGCTTTTTTGGTCTGTTATTTAAAGATTAGACTTTTGGGGGTAGGGGAGAATTGGACAATTCTTTCTTCTGTAATCTTTTTATTTATTTATTTATTTCTTGAAGCCAACTGTCACCAATCTGGCTAGTAGCTATCCATCAGCTACTAAGGGTGTTCTTTTCCTGGCTAGCTATGGTAACACATCTTCTGCATTCAGTGATCCTAACTAGACTTCTGTATCTTCTTACTCCTCTTAGTTTCACTAGTTTTTTGTTGCACCAGATCACACTGCTCCAACACTTAGGAATTGCCTGTTTTTTAATAACAGTCAGGTCCATCTGACCATGTACTCCAGCAGTATATGGCTTTACTAAAGTTAGTTTTAAGTAGACATTAAATTTACCAGTGCTATTTACCAGTTTGTCCCTTATAAACAAGGATCTCCGTACATTATGTTATTTCCAGGATATGCAATGCCCTTTTCAAATCCCTATTTTAAAATCTACACATTTTATTACACATAGCTATACGGAATAAACTTTATGGTTTATCACAGTCAGCCAGATGTTCAGACTGGATTTGACATCTTTATCCACCTATCAGGTCCTTCCCAAGGTAGCTGGGAAGGTAGCCAATAGGTAGCTGTTGATGTTTTATGGTATTAGAGGTATCATCTGCAGGATGTAAGATGTTACAAATTGACTTTTGCAATTGACCGATGGTGAATTTATCAATGCTGATGATGTTCAAGTGGTGCTCCAGGTGTTTGGGGATTGCACCCTAGGCGCCTATTACTATTTACTATTACATACAATGGAAATTGAAGAAAATAATAATTACTCTGGTAGTTAGTCTCCAAATTTATAAATAATCCAACAATAGGTGGATAACCTATGGCTCTACTGCTATGTGTGATACCCAATTTTATGTAGCCCTCAACCCAGGGGTAAAATGCACTTATCTTCACTACCAGATCGGAAATGTGAGCACGTGTGCCTCTTCTGCGCATACGCAGAGGGTTAAAAACGGGACGTAATGACATCCTGGTGGATGGGCGGAGCCTCCCGCTGCCAGCCCTACCGACTCGCACGAGCCAGATAGTTCCAGCCGGATTTCACTGCTGCCTCAACCTAATTTCAAAAGCTCACTGCATGCTATAATTTCAGACTTAGACAACAGCAACTTGATCTAGCCTGCTGTATGGAAAATAGGATGAAAGAAAAGGTGTTGTCAGAAAGAGAAAAGCTGAAAAAGAGAACTTTCAGAAAGTGAAAAGAGTAAAAAGGGTCTAAACATCAGTTTGCCACTCTTAACAGGAAAATTAAGTCTATATATGATATAGAATTTAGCAATATTTAAAGATACTGTTTTTACACTATGACCTGATCTCTGTTTAGAATTATCTGGAAAAAAAATATGTGTACAATTGCTTATGTTACTTCAGTTAAAGAGCAATGCCATTTTGCTCCTTGTGGGAAAAAGCTAGGAAGACCCAGCTAGCTACTGAATGCATTACAGACACTGAAGCTTTATATTCCTGTTAAGCTGCAGTAACTTAGCATCACTAATGCCATGCATCAGAGGGAGCCTTAATATTTTATCTATTTTCCAGCTCCAAATCATCCCCAAGTGTATTTTTAATCTCATAGAGTATAACATGCAAATTTACAAGACAAAATTTATATTTATATTATGGATTTATATTATAAATCCTAGATGTGGGATGAAAATTGAAAGTGGATTTACAGACTATGGTAAAATGGAGACTTGGTCTGAATCATAGCAATACAAAGCTATTCTTAATCCTAGGAACAGAAGGTGGGAGGAATGTTCCAGAGATGAGAGGAAATGTTATTTGTGAAATACTGAAAAGAATCTTATAAATTTATTTTAGAAAATTTATGAGATGGGCAGAACAGCTTGCTCAAACGGTATCAGCGATAAATTTCAAGTGGAAATTCACATACACACACACACACACACACACACACACAAATGAAGATCATTTTTTTCTCCCTTTGAATCCATGAAAAACAAATAGGTGAATCACTGAGGAAATAATGGTAAATCAACGCTGACTGAATTCCTTCCCATTTCCGCAGAAATATATAACAATAAAAATAAACAATCATCAGCTTTTATTCACTCTTTTCATAAGGCTGTTATTTTAATCAAAGTAAATCAGTTATACATCCAGAGGTGGGTTTCAAAACTTTCAGCAAGGGGTTCTCTGCCCGGTTGCTGGGTGGGCCTGGCCATGGTGGGTGTGGCCTAGACGGCCTCCTGCACCACGGCAGGGGGTTGATTTTGCCCTCCCCGGGCTCTGGAGGCTTTTTTTCGAGCTTCCGGGAGGGCGAAAACGGCCTTCCTAGGCTCTGGAGGCCCTCTGGAGGCCAGAAACAGGCCCATTTCCGGCCGTCCCAAACTTCCGATAGGCCCATTTTTTGCCCTCTCCGAGCCTCTGCACGCGCCCTGTACTTATCCAAAACAGGCTGCGTGGGGACTCCTGGGAGGGGCGAGGTGGGTGGGGCAAACCAGGAGTGGGATTTTGGGGTCCTCCGAACTGCACAGAATCTTAGCTAGAGGTTCTGCCGAACCGCTATGAACCCCCAGCAGCCCACCCCTGTATACATCTCACAAGTGTAGTTTAATATTTTAAAGTACAAAACGAAGTATACCCAGCCACCAATAATAATGTTTGGCCCATTAGAAAAGGATTTCACCTATACCTTATTTAAAACAACAGAAACAACCAACAGCAGTTCTTCAGTTCTTCTAAAGATATTTTAAAATACATACTGTTCCGAATTGCATTCTGAAGCACTATTTCATTTCAAAACATTTGTTATGCAAAAGCTGAGGAAACATCAGAGCTCAACTCCAATGTGATTTGGATAAATAGATTCATTTCTTAAAGATTTAAAATATTGAGGATAATTTCCTACATTAATAATATTTTCTTTCATTTGTAGGCAAAGACCAGCTCTTGGTGAGTGCTTAGCTTCTCTTGTAGCAGCAATTCCAGTAGCCTTCCTCGAACCTTCTCTCAATCTTTACAACCCCCTCTCTGTCTTCAACACAAAGTCAGCCAGAGAGAAAGCGAGTGAGTACTTCAGAAAGTATAAAATTCTTTGTAATGAAGACACAGCATCTTTTTCTTTAAAAAATGTCTAAAATTCTTATAAAATTGTATTAATGCGCCCTTTAGTTGTGCATGATAAAAATGTCTATAACAAGACTCCATTCCTTTTGGAATGAATAATATGAATTATATTTAACTGAATTCCCATTCTTATAATCTATTTAAATCTCATAGGCACAAATTAATGATAGGCAGTTTTCCGTGTTTTTAATAGGTACCTCATTTAAGTGTTTTCGTTTCGTGGTGTAGTTATATTAATTCCATATTTATGTAATCAGACTTCATAAGTAATTTAAAGCCAGAGTAGAAATCTGTGATCCTGATCTCCTTTGATGTTTCAGAGGTGGGGGTGAATAAAGTTCACAAATATAACCCTGAGGTAAGGGGCTATAACATTTTCTACTTCTATCACATTTTTGATTAGCATCAGCTTCCTGAAGTTGCTATTTGCCTCTTGGGAATGGACATTCAAGTATCAGCACATTTCTTTCTATAAGCAAAATATCGTCTTCAGGTGTAATTTCAAGAGAAGAAATCGTATTTTTTCTCTTGAAGGATTAAATATCCCACTGAGAAGTAGACCCAGACTTCTACTGTTACTGGATTTCATTTAATAAGAGTCGGGGTTGAATCAAGGCAGCATTTTGAAATACATCCAAATCTGAAATGTAAAGCTACGAGGCAAATCAAAACCAGAATCAAGCAGCAAACCAGGAACAATGTTTAAGTCAGGAGGTAGGACTGAGGAGAGAGACAGATATAAGCATTAAAAGCAAACAAAATATATAGAAGACAGGAAGACCCTGTGAATTCATCAACAGATATTGGAAGAGTAAGCCATTGAGTTTTATTCTATGCATCTAACGGTAGCATAGAGTCAGTCCATGGATAAAATGTCCTTAATGGGGACCTTGCTACTTGGAGTTCAGTGTTTCAACACATAGGGAGTGGCATATGTATTCAGCCTTAATTTTGAATTTTCATAGATTCAAAAGTACCCCTCCCTAAAAAAAAGGCTAGGTGAAGACAAATATGAAAACTGCTATATATTAAAGATACTGACTCTATAAGATTCATTTGCGATGGTTCACACATCTTAATTTTCTTCCCTTTGGATTGCTCATGATAGTCACAACTGTGAAATAAATGATTCTTATGGCTTCAGGAACCGAACATTTATCTCAGTGTTTTTTTTAAATATCAAGTTTAATTTTCTAAGCAAATTGCCCAGATTATCCTTGATTTTAATAATAAGCAGGATATATCAAACTTTGAATATTTAAAGTAATTGCCACCCTTTTTAATTGCACTAGCACTTAGACTTATATACCACTCGATAGTGCTTTACAGCACTCTCTGAGCAGTTTACAAGGTCAGCATACTTCCCCCAACAATCTGGCTCCTCATTTTATGGATGGAAGGGTGAGTCAACTTTGAGTCCGTCAGGATTGAACTCCAGACTATGAGCAGAGTTACCCGTACAATACTGCATTCTAACCATTGCGCCATCAGGGCTCTTAATTAAAAACAACTCTTGAAAATGCCATATGCTAAATAATAATAATAACTCTTGAGAACAGGTGATAGTTAGCTAGTCATAACCCCACAATTTACAGTACATTTACTGAAAATTCAACATTGGAGAGAGGATTATCGAAACAATAGAGGACACCTCTTTAGACTTTTCAAGAGATAATCCTCTCTATTAGTTTAATTCACTTTTATAAGCAGTGGTATATTTAGATTACTTTTCTGAGAACGTTTGTCTGACTGGTCTTATTTTCGTCTTAACAACATAACACCTATTAAATTGTTGTACTTCGCAGCATTGTGCTGATTTCTCAGTATATCTCTAGCAGAAACAAAAATACCATATATCATAATATGCCGCTGTATGTGGGGATTTTTTGTGGGGGTTAGGATGCAACAATCAGTTCCTTTTTGTATACTGAAGTGTTATTTTGTAAGCAGGAACTTTCTTCCTTAATTCCTGATGAGAACAAGGCTGCTGACATGAAAGGACTGAAAAACTCCATGTGTAGCATGCAAGCAAAGTATCTAATGCTGTTAGACAGAAGTTAGAACTGTTGAATCATGTTTGCTGCTATGGTCAGGCAGCCCAGAGTCTCTTTCCAACTAAGAAAGCAGGGGATAAAAATATGGATAAAAATGATACTAATTAAAATTATTAGAGAAGGCTCGCAATCTGGGAGTCCTCCTGGATATGCAGCTGTCCTTGGAGGAACATCTGACGGCTGTAACCAGGGGGACCTTTTGTCAGGTTCGCCTGATTCGCCAGTTGCGGCCCTTTCTTGATCGGGATTCCCTGTGCACAGTCACTCATGCCCTCGTCACCTCTCGCCTTGACTACTGCAACGCTCTCTACATGGGGCTCCCCTTGAGGAGCACCCGGAGGCTCCAGCTGGTCCAGAACGCAGCAGCGCGGGTAGTGACGGGAGCAGCATGGCGCTCCCATGTAACACCGCTCCTGTGCGAGCTGCACTGGCTCCCAGTTGTCTTCCGGGTGCGCTTCAAGGTGTTGGTTATCACCTTTAAAGCGCTCCATGGCATAGGGCCTAGCTATCTGCGAGACCGCCTGCTGCTACCGACGACCTCCCAGCGACCCGTGCGCTCCCACAGAGAGGGCCTCCTCGGGGTGCCATCAGCCAAACAATGCAGGCTGGTGACCCCCAGGGGGAGGGCCTTCTCTGTGGGGGCACCTACCCTCTGGAATCAGCTCCCCCCAGAGATAAGGAGAATCCAAGACCTCAGTGCCTTCCGTCGCGCCCTTAAAACCCATTTATTTAAACAAGCCGGGCTGGCTTAAGATGAAATTTTTAACTGTTTTTAAATGTTTTAAACGTTTTTAATTGGTAAATGAGTTTTAATTGGGCCAAATTTATATATCTTTTAATTGTTTTTAATATTTGTTCTGCATGTTTTTTTAATCTGGCTGTACACCGCCCTGAGTCCTTAGGGAGAAGGGCGGTATAGAAATCCAATATAAAAAAAAAAAAAAAAAAATGTGCTTTAGCTTTTTCAAAAAAAAATAAGTATGCTAGTCTACTTAAACATATTCTTATATAATATAAAGTTTTAGGCATGCCTGAGACAGTAGAAGAAATGTGTCCAGAAATCCCTCATTTGGATGGATTAATGAAAGAAATAAATAGTTTGGCTGAATCTGGAGCCAGGTATACTGAAATGCCGCACGTAATTGAAGTGATCTTGCCCATGCTATGCAACTATCTGTCATACTGGTGGGAAAAAGGACCTGAAAATAATTCAGAGAGTGACGGATCTTGCTGCACAATGGTAACCTCTGAGCATCTTAGTATAATACTGGGGAACATTTTGAAAATCATCAACAATAACTTGGGAATTGATGAAGCAACTTGGATGAAAAGAATTGCAGGTACTTACTATATAGAACTCTTTCTACATTTGCCGGTTATTCTAATAATTTTCCTAAATTTTGATGAAGATGTTTCCACAATGCCTGGTTTACATTTAACAAGTAATATACTATGAGTTCAGCATTTGATTAAATATCAGTATTAAATATAGGCTTCCTTTCTAGTGGAAACTTTTAAGTGAAGGCAATAAAAACATATGAGTTTCCTATTTAACAAAAGCAGAAATACATCACCTCTTCTCTTTCCAGGAAGTGTAGTTAGATTTTAAGCATTAATCAAGGCAATTGAAAGCAATACTAGAAATAAGTAGAACCATGTTCATCCATTATTATGTATTCTGTAAGGAAATATGTACATGAAAAGTGTAGCTAAATCCACTAGACCTGCACCACTGAATAGGTACTGAGTATCTCATTTATGTAGTCTCATAACATCTATAGAAAAATATATTTAATTCGCAATTTTAAAGTGCTTTTTAAAACTTTGTGGCATGCTTGGCTTCCATTTCATTTAAATGTATTATTTTGGAATGGATATTATATATGGTTCTCAGATGTGGTACATTATGTTCTAAAAAAATGTTCTTTTTTGTTGAAATTTCAGCTTAGTGTAGATGTCACATCCAACCATGTGTTAAAAAATAATCCATGGTAAATTTTGGGCTACTTTGTTCTGTATTTTATATTTAAGAAGCAACTTGATTTTTCTATCATTTTAATTAAACAGCAGATTCCCATTATATCCAAACAGAAAGTTCATTTTTAGTTAACAAACCAAAATCTGCAGTCACAGACTGACTGTTGATCAAACCACAAATAGCATAAAACACATTTTTTAGTTTGGGGATAATGGCAAATTGGCGTGAAATTACAGATCATGTACAGAACAAGTGTGCTATTGTTATAACTGAGTTGAGTCTTAGACTTGAAGTTCATTGCAGCAATAAACCAGTACTTGAATAAATTTGTATATATAAAACTTTTCAATGTAATATTTTCTGTTAAAAATTATTTATATATATATATATATATTTTGTATATAGTGTATGCTCAGCCAATCATAAGTAAAGCCAGACCAGATCTGTTGAAAAGTCATTTTATTCCGACTCTGGAAAAGCTAAAGAAGAAAGCAATTAAAATAGTGATTGAAGAAGAACAATTGAAAGCAGACAATAAAACTGATACGCAAGAAGCAGAACTTCTCATTCTAGATGAATTTGCAGTTCTTTGTCGAGATCTTTATGCCTTTTATCCTATGTTGATCCGCTATGTAGACAACAACAGGTAGGAGAATTTAAAATTTCACATTTATTTTCAGAATTTATAATTTGTAATTTCAGCATAACATAAATGTTCCCAAAATGATTAACAAAATGAATAAGCATCAGTACAAATAGATTAAAAAACAAAAACACCTAGAATAACTACCTTTTCGCGCAAGCCTGGAGAATGTCCACTATACCAACAGACTGTGCAATAATCCAGAAAATTTTCAAATGTGCAGAAATGGACAAACTTACTTTAGAACTAAATAATAAGGAAGACTCAGAATACTACTTAACTTGGGAAAATTGATATCAATGGATAGAAATTAAAAATAAGGAATGTATAGAATAAAATAAGATACAAAATGTGTTTAAATATGTCGATTAAGTAGGAATATACGGGAATAGATGAACAAAGTTAAGAATTACGTACTGTCAGAATGATGTTGAATTGTATAATTATTACGGATGTATTTTTGTTATAGATGTATTTTAACTTGTATTTTTGGATTTTAAATGTTAATAAAGGTTTATAAAAATAAATAAATAAATAAATAAATAAATAATAAAATAACTACCTTTTGTTTGACCAAATAATAAATTAGCTCTATCTATAAATGTCAGTACTGACATTTAAAAGCTGACTTTTGTAGCTTTTAAATACCATCACATACTTTTTGTGATCAAAGCACAAAATTAAAATCTAAAGCTAGGTATCATGCAGGAAATCTTGGTTCCCGCATGACACCTAGCTAGATTTTAAGTAATTTTTGAATTTTTAAAGTTGGGAGAGAAGAGCTGGGATAACTTCTGGAGGAGCCAGTGGATGCCAGAACACCCTCAAGAGAAGGTTCCAAATAAAAATCATTAATGAAAATGCTATCTCCCTTGATTGCCAACAATAGCACTCTAGAAATCTACAAGTGAAAATAAATAGGGAGGATGCAAAAGGTCCATATTGGCTTTTGGTTCAAGTAATGCTGGGCTGAAAAGCAAAATTTTGAATCTACCTCAGAAAAGTATGAGAGTCAATGAGATTTTTCAGGATAGATAGATAGATAGATAGATAGATAGATAGATAGATAGATAGATAGATAGATAGATAGATAACTTTATTGTCATTGTACGTGTATACACAATATACCCATACAACTATTCACTTAACACCAAAGACCAGGTCCAACACACATAACAATCCCCAAACACATTCCCACCCACCGCAATTCTCCATCCCTAAACCACCCAAACATCCACACAACAGACCAAGTAATACTGTTCAACAGTTTACTGATGGTGGCCCTTTAGTTCATTGTTGAGTGCAATTATATCTCTGGGATAAAAACTATTCAGAAAACGTGTGGTCCAAGTTTTAATTGTTCTGTATCTTCTGCCAGAAGGCAACAGTCCAAAAAGGTTGTAAGCAGGATAGGAAGAGTTTCTGAGAATGTTATGCAACTTTCTCAAACAGCGAGATTCGAAGATGTCGTCCAGGGCTGGTAGCTGGAATCCGATGATATTCTGGACAGTTTTAATGATTCTCTGTAGAGCTTTTTTGTCTGCTACAGAGCTGCTCCCATACCATGCAAGAATGTCGTATGTCAAGACACTCTCAATGGTGCTGCAATAGTAGGAGAAATGTAGATGCTGAGATAGATTTATCTTCCTGACCATTCATATTAACATATGATCTCAAGATCTTGTTCTTGTTAATAATCTAGGTATTATGTATCATACTTTCTTCAGTGAAAGCCCCACATAAAATACACAACAATATTACAAAACCTGAATGTTGCAAACACTGTGTCTTGTTCAATGAAGGATACAAAAAAAATACATACAAACCAAAGTCATGGTGGATGGTAAACAGCAAGGATAGTTGAAGTCCACTCTGAAAGTAATACTGTACAATCAGAGTCTAGATTAGTCAACAAGGAAATTCTCCCAGTGGCCAAATGGATGCTATTTATTTATTTATTTATTTATTTATTTATTTATTTATTTATTTATAATGCAATTTATATGCTGCCCTATCTCCAAGGACTCAGGGCGGCTCACAACGGTAAAGATGCACAGTTCCTCATTAAAAGACAACATAAAATTAAAATTCCAATTTAAAACAATTTAAAATTCATTAAGAAACCCCCCATCAGTCCAGGCTGCGGAACAACCAGGTCTTCAAATCGTGGCGGAACGAGCGAAGGTCAGGGGCCATCCAGAGTGCTATTGGGGCACTCTCATGCATATAATAGAGATATACTGCTGACCTGCCATTATTCCCTTGCTACGCATATTCTGGCCAACCTGCAATAAGTCTCAAGACATCCTTGATACCTATGTTCGCCATCCAATTATGTATTTTAACAATCAATAGCTATCACACATCTTTATTTATTTATGAATCAATAAATAGACATCCATCTCAGTAAAGGTAAAGATAGATGTATAGAATTCATTCAGTTTGTCTCTAATATACATATTTCCAGGAGCATCATTTCACTCCTTTATCATCTAATGGTTGGGCCACTTACCTGGCTGTGTTATTTGCTTCAGATGTATTTATAGAATTCCTCAGTTTCCCTTAGTGCTTAATTGTTATTGTTTATTTACACATTTATATGCTTGCCCAACTCAAGCACTGTGACCCTGACTGTCTTTTAGCATTAAAAAATTCACAAAATAAAATCCATAAATCCCTACCCCACTCTCATCCCCTTGATGATTTGTTGCTGTTGGCAATATATTTCTTGAATTGTTTTTCTGTTCATTATTAACCTTCGAGGAATTAAGGTATATTCTGGAAAACATCCCTTTAAAATATACAGTTTATCAAACATTTCATATGATGTGTAAATAATAGATTCTCCTTATCTTGAATCAATCATCAAGGGAAAAAAGTCAAGGTCATTCACAAGAAATGAGTCAGGGTCACTTCATGGATCAACAACGAGTGTTAACTAATCCTGATGAGTGGAAAGTTTGATAGTGTTGACACCTGACACAACAAAGAATAGAGTGCTTTCTTGAGAAAAATCAATAATGAATAGGACAAAGGGAGCATTATTGTCCTCAAGCTTCACTAAATTTAGGATAGTCAGAAAAAGAAACATTTGAATGACTGCCTTCATATCAACTCAAATGGATGTCAAGCCAGCAAAATAGTAAGGATACTTGAGATTTTACCGAAGATGTATAAAAAGCTTTTAATACTCTGTGTTTCAGCTTCCCAAAGCAGTTTGTTGCAACATTTACCATTTAGGGATTTATTATTGTAAAAGTGACTGAAATTATTTAACAATATTGATAAAAATCATGTTTTTCTAATCCATGTGGCCCAAGGCAGTTTCGACTATTTCTTTGGTAACATGAATATTCTTATATTTAAACATAAGCTTTTTCTAATATTGCAGTGTTAGAGAGGATATATAATTCCTGAAAGGAATAAAAAAAGAAAAAGACTATGGATTCTAATCCGTGGAAATGTATTAAGGTTTTAAGTTGCTAAAAAAGGAATATTGATTGATTTTGGTGTCATGATTGACAGATATCCTTCTACGCTTACTTAGAACTAAGTTCCGTTCTTAAACTCAAAGGGATTTACTTTTGTGGAGACGTGGATTGAATTGCACTATTAATACATCCTGCCTCTAAAAGGAATAGCATAGTGAATAAGTTTCCTATACATGCTGATAATTTGATACACGGTACCAGAAACAAAGTGCTAAAATGAAAATTAAAAAATCACATAGACTTCAGTCTAATAATCTTATGTTGCTTCTCTTTTAAGATCAAACTGGCTTAAAAAACCAGATGCTGATTCTGATGAACTTTTCCGCATGGTGGCAGAAGTTTTCATCCTGTGGTGTAAATCACATGTAAGATAGCATTTCACCTGCTAGTTTTATAATACTGTATACATGTCGATATGTATGTAAAATAAGTGCTCAAAGACTGTATTTATCATTTTTTTTACAGAATTTTAAGAGAGAAGAACAAAATTTTGTGATTCAGAATGAAATTAACAATTTGGCATTTTTGACAGGTGATAATAAGAGCAAGATATCAAAAGTAAGTGAAAAGTATTTAGTATTCATACGTACTTTGTTGTAACAATTGTGTTAAACATAATCTATTTTTTGCTGAATTTGAGTAGTAGTTAGTTTAAACTGGAAATCAATTATAATCATTCAATTACATTATGTAAAAAGGCAATATAATCAATTTTTAAATTTTAAAATATAGTTTCTTGATAGAAACAAACTATAGAAATATACCAGTAGAAATTTGTATTAAAGGGGTTTGATTTTCGGGTTTTTTTTTTTTTTTTTTTTGCTATACTGAGACAAAATGAACCTAGCACTTCTGTTTAATCTGTGTATGCATGCGTGTGTGTGTGTGTGTGAAAGAAAGCTTGCATTTCAGTAGCTCTAGGGAATAGCAGAATTACCAGAACAGATCCACTTTATCTAAAAAATTGAAGTGAGATGCACATACTATAGACAAGAGTAATTCTTAGATATTTTTGAAACTAGTATATTTTTATAAACAAAAAAGAAAACATTAAAAACTTTTTGTTTATTAAATTTGAGAATTACCATTTAGGAAAAATAAAACCCATTCTTTCTGAGATAATCCATGGATTTGGGGCAAGAAAAGGATTAAATGAATAATCTGTAAATTCTTGGTAGAAGGCTGATGATCTGAAATGAGAAAAAAGTATTATGATATGTTTGAAAGGGAACAGAAATGATTTGACTTTAATGCCTAAGACCGTTTACCAGGCATTATGGCTGGTAAACCATCTTAGGTTTCTATGGCTATGGCATTCACCATGGCTCTATGCAATGGGTAAAGGTGTCCATAATGATCTAAATTGACTCCCACAGAGTCAAGGAATAGGGCTAGCTGATCTGGGTCCCCATTGAACTCCCCCCAAATCCGGGTGGCTCGTTCAACACTGCCCCTCCCTCATCTTGTTGGGCCTTATTTGCCTGCACTTGGTGCGCTTGGCAGTCTCCATTGGCTCTAGCCTATGGAGCGGGGATTGGCCCCCTTGGGCGGTTAGCTTGTAGTGTGGGAAAGCCACTGGCAGTAGCCTCGGGCTCAGTCTCCTTCTGGCGGGTAGAGAGGGGAGCTGCATTCTCATCTGCTTCCCCATTTCAGGGTGGTTAGGTGCACGTGGGTGCCCTGGAATTGCTCCGTGGTTAGCTCCAGCTTAAAGTTAGGGCTGGCTAATTGGAGCTTATCGGGTTGGACTTGGCTTCTCCTCCCTCTTTCTTTTTGGCAGCACGACTGCTCCTCGTCATGAAGGTGGCTCAGTTAAAATCCTCCCTCAATGTCTCCAAGGATTCACCTAAGGTTCCAAATAGAGATTTTGGGGGTTTGGCCTTGTCCCAATCCTTCATCCATTCCAGTCTTCCTAGTTCGCTTATGGGTTGCCATAATGGGAGTTAGGGTGGGGGAATTCAACCTCAGCTGCTTTGGGGATTTTTTTCCCACCAATACTCATCTCTTTCTGCTTCAGTCGCTGAAGTGGGCACCCCAGGCATCTTGCTTTCCATGGTCAGAGACAGCTGCACTTGGGTTCTGAGTTCCTGGAGTTCCCTGGATGGGAGTAGGGTCTGCCTCCTTCTGGGCTGCCTGAAGCAGGCTTTCTTCAGAGTTTCTGCCCTCTGCCATGGTATCCTGAGTTTCTCTCCATGCACCCTAGGTATCGGAGAGCAAGTGGAGAGTCCAGTGCTCAGGAATTCCGAGCTCTGGGGGAGCTGGTTTGATGTCAGGGTTCTGACCAATGCCCTAATAAAATTAAGAGTCTCAAGCCGTTTAGCAAGAAAAATCCAGTTGTTTATTAGGAGTGCCATGTTGGCACTACCTAGGTGAAGCCAGCTCTGGCTTCACCCAATTCACGCCTTGCATCTGACCCTGTTTCCCCCTCGCCCCAGAGTGTGTCACCAATCACATTCCCCAACAAAGCAATTTCATGTGTTGTAGAAGTCACTCCCTCCAGCCATTGCGGGTTTCCGTGGAGATGGCCTTGACTTCGGCCAGCTAAGCTGTGTCTTGTTTTGACTGAGGTGTGATTTCCTTGGTGCAGCTGTGAGGCGTGATTCCCATCCCCCTGCCTATGGCAACTCAGGAACAGATCAGGAAAGTTTCACAAGTTGACACAAAATATATAAAATGTTTATTTTCCTCTGTATATGGCTAAGTTTTTTGAAAATATCTGGAATGACCAGATCTAAGAAACTGCAATTAGTTGTTGTCAGTAATGTAGTTTTCCTTTTTTGGGTACAAGGCATAGAATAATCAAAGCCTTTGTAATCTGATCTTCTATTTAACTGTTTTAATAGTCTAAGAATTAATTGATTTGATTTTTGAGGTATATTACTAAATTTGCTATCCTGAACTTATGAAAAAGCAATGTACACAAAGGCCATTAGCTCCTATTAGAAACCCTAGCAGAATTATTTAATCTTGTAGATATAATATTTGACAAATATTAAATAGAGGCAGTTAAGAAATAGCAGTGGAAAAGAGCTGTTATTTAGAAAAGAGAGTATTGGTTGTGAAATGATGGTGAGTTGGATGGGGGAAAAAATGAAGAAAAAAGATTTGACTTTTCTTGGTTAGATCATTTCCTTGCCCACAAATCACAAAAAAAGAACAGTGGTGGATGAAAATCAGCGAACCTATCCTGCCACACTTCCATGTACACTCAAAAATATCCACCCCTGACATACCTTATCATCAAATTGCATTGTTTCTGGAGACCCTCATAGCCAAAGAACTTATATAAAACCTTGTACGTCTCACATAAGTGACAGAATATTCTGTCAGCTCTCTAGAAAATCAAAGTGCCTCCAGAAAATATAAAAATCTAGTAACAGAAGAAGATGACATTGTGGTTTCATCTGTCACAGCACTCTATATGTCCGTCTTTCCAGAACTAACAAAATAATCCATGGCAGCAGTACTACACAATACATGTAACCTAGTCAAAAACTCTTAAGGTCAAAATACTAAGAATCATGGACTTCATCAACCTTTGCCTCACTACATACTTTCAGTTTTACGGGCAAATCTACCAACAAATAAGAGGAACATCCTGGGATAATCACTCTGTCCATGGCAGAGACCATTGGTGAAATCTAAAATTTGTTACTATCGGTTCTGTGGGCATGGCTTGGTGGCGGGGTGGGGGGGTAATGTGACTGGGTGGGCATGGCCAATTATTATTTTTTTTTACTTTTAAAATCATTTTTTCTACAACCTCTTCGGCGAAGAGGTTGTAAAAAAATGCTTTCAAAAGGCTCTGACGATCCCAGCTGAGTTGCCTGATCGGCAGAGACTTTTTTTCTTTTAAATGCCTCTGACGATCAGGCAACTCAGCTTGGATCGTCAGAGGCATTTAAAAGAAAAAGGGTTTTTTTTTCTTTTAAATGCATCTGACAATCCAAGCTGAGTTGCCTGATCGGCAGAGACTTTTTTTCTTTTAACTGCCTCTGCCAATCAAGCAACTCAGCTTGGATCATCAGAGGCATTTAAAAGAAAAAAACCTCAGAGGCATTTAAAAGAAAAAAAACTCAAGCTGAGTTGCCTGATCGTTAGAGGCATTTAAAAGAAAAAAGTCTCTGCCGATCAGGCAACTCAGCTGGGATTGTCAGAGGCATTTAAAAGAAAAAAAGGTTTTTTTTCTTTAAAAAGCCTTTGATGATCCCAGCTGAGCTGCGTGATCATCAGAGGCTTTTTTTTTTTTACTTTTAAAAGCATTTTTTGGCCAAAGAGGTTGTAGAAAAAATGCTTTTAAAAGTAAAATAAAAGCCTCTGATGATTGTGTGGCTCAGCTGGACATTGGGGGGGGGCAGAGATTTTTACTACCGGTTCTCCGAACCACCCACCTCCATCGCTACTGGATCAGGCGATCCGGTCTGAACCAGGAGCATTTCACCCCTGGTAGAGACCATTATGCAGCATCTAGAAACTATAGCATTCCCAGACATAGAACCAAAAGTATGAATCTGGTATGTAGATGACACCTTCATCATAATAAAAAGGAGTAGCAAGAGAAGGCATATGAAACAATCAACAGTATCTTCAAAGGAATAAATTTACAATGGAAGAAGAAAATATCAACACACTACCCTTTTTTGATATCCTTATCAGCAGAGAAAACAATGGCAAATTAGAAACACAAGTCTATTGAAAAACAACCCACACTAACCTACTGTTCCATTACCAAAGTAACAACCAAACCTCCCACAAGAGAATCTGTGTAAAATGAAACAACCCAGAACACCATATATCAGCAACCAACAGATTACTACAACCACCTGGCATCACTGTAGCACACAAACTAATTAAAGCCCTCTAAAACATCTAAAATAAACCAAATGATCAGTAGCCCAAGAAGAAAAAATAGGAGTCAACTATAACAAAAAATGTAAGAAATGCAATAGCCACTATGTAGTGTATAGAGAAGACTAGCGGAGCACATCTATGAACACCAACTAACAGACAGAGGGCACAATGAATACTCCTTAATCTCACAACACAAAAATAGATTGAACCAAAGCTTCAAGTGGGAAACTGTAAGCATCCTAGACCAAGCTAAATCCAAAAGGTCTCAAAAATTTCTGGAATTTTCAGACAAATCAGCCATCAATAGACACATTGAAATAAACTATATTTACATATCACTCAAGAGAGCTCAAGGAGCACCAAGAACTCAAGAGTTCATGCCTGAGCTACATATATTCTCTTTTATATTGTGGGACTTTTTCCTAGACTTCTATGTATTTTTGTGATCTGTGCCACTTGATTAATGCTACTTCTATATTGCTATTATGATGTCTGTTTATTCTATTAACTTATTTCTACCCCAATATCCTAAGGCTATTTTTTTCATTATTTAGTTTCTCGTTATCTGCAATATCTATCTTCTACGGTATTTCTATATTGCTGTAGTACTACATCTGTATATCTCTTTAGTGTTATAGCTCTATATTTTCTATTCTACTAGTAACTTCCTTTCCAATCCAATCTGTCTGCCTTTTATCTTTGGCTTTCTTTTTCTTTCATGCTGTTTTGTCTGCCAAAGGCCAGCAAAAGCTCTTCAGCTTTTTTTGTCCCATGTGTTACTTTCCTTTTTCTCTCAATAGTGAATACGCCGGTGGGAAAAGGTCAAAGATTTATCTCTTTCAGACTGGAAGATTGTTTGCTTTCATTGAAAAACTGAGACTGGAGGGAATGGAGAACAATTTTCACACCCCAGTTTCCCAACTGCTGCCATCCCTGATGCTCTCAACTCAGCAGGACTGTGGCTTTGCTACTCTGCTTGGGTTCAACCTTTCCAGTAATCCCTATTGGATTCAATCAGCATTTTATACAGCCAAGAGAAGCTTTACTTTTCAATTTTTTCTCTTGAGTTTTCCATTTTTTAGTTTAGTTTTTCATTTTTTTCCTCCCGAGTTCTGTTGTTAGTCCATCTGTCTGCCTACCTACCTTTAATGGACTTATCCGTGGTTATATATCAAAATGCTCATTCCGTGTTCTCCCCTACCTCATCAGTGATTGAATAGGCAACTGTGCTGTCCCACCACTGGGGAAAGAGCTCAAAAGGGAAGAAAAAGAACTAGAACAGGTCCTCATCTATCCATTCAACAGTTCCTCTTTCCACACCAGGAGAAAGGAAATGAAATGATGAACTGAGTAAAAGGAGATTGCTGTTGGAGGGGTGGATGCATGGAGATGAAATGAGAGTGGAGAAGTTGTAATCAGCCATCCAGCAGACTGGAAACCTCAAAAGAGTCAGGCAAAAATGACCTAAAAAAGAAGAAGATTGGAGCAGAGGAGCAGTCTGGCTTCCTCAATTCTGTCTTATGCTAAGTCAGTTATGCAAAATAATAGCTACTGTAGCCACAGAAAGAAGGAGTGGAAAGCAGCCCCTTGAAATCCACGAGGGGCTGTAACAAAAAGAAGAGAGATGGCAAAAAGATCCTGCATTTATCTAAAGGAGAATTCCCACAGAGGGCAGAAAGGCAAGAATGGTTGTTGCAGCAACATAAAACAGACAGGTAATTTTATGAGTAACCAACCTGGTTGGGATCATTCTACAGATTTAGAAAGTGAAGAACCTAACCAGCTTCACTGAACCACAAGAATCAGCAACAAGGGGAAAGATACTTGGAAAATCACTAGCTCAGTTGGCTCACAGTCTAAATGAGGCAAGATCTCCAGCCCTAAAATATATCATAAATTACGAACAGTAGAGCCACAAAACAGAGCCTGTCTACTTGAATGAAGAAACATGACTCAGCAAGGTAATCAAGATAGCAGTCAGGTCTATAAAAAGGGGATATCTGTCCAACAAGCAATTTTTAGCAAGTAACGTGTAATTTTAATGTTTTAATATTTCAATTATTTTTCTACCTCTTTTATGATTTGTAAGCTGCCCAGAGTCGATACAGAGATGGGTGGCATAAAAATGTAATAAATAAAAACATTCCACCCTCCTTCCTGAAATTCTCTGTTCACTTTGCAATTACCAGACTGAACTATGAACTGGACACTAAGTATTCTTGGATCTTTCCTGATCCTGTGATTTGTCTCTTTGGACCCTTTTGGCAAAGTAAACTCTTGCCATTATGTTCTTTCTGTATATTTAAAGCAGAAATTTAATCTACAATATGCATTTGTGTTATTTCCCTCAAAGATGTATGATTGCAATAAATAACTTGTTTTCATGCCAGAAATTGTCTTTATGCAGTTGTCTTTATGCACTTGAAGGAAGAAGCTGGAAGAAACAAACAAAAGTGAGGGGGAAAGAGCTGGAAGAAAGGAAAAGGAGAAACTAGAAAAGTAATAAAAGTCTAAGAGTTTAATTGCAAAGCAATTAGAGGCAAGAACACATTAAACAAGATAAGCTAATGTGATCCAAGAGATGTGAGGATGATTATAGGTGAACTTTGGAAAGAAAAAGATGCTAAGTACAAAAGTAATTTCAAAGTAAAGATTGAAGTTTAAATATAGGAAATAAAATATGATAGAAAAGGAATTATCCAGATAGGAAATCATCGTTTTTAATATCTTTAGCACCCAGTATATTGTATTTTGCATATATATATATTTTCATATAATTGATAAAGCTTTTATTCTGTGGTAGAAGCATGTTCTGCCTGATTGCCATGGTGGTGCAGTGGTTAGAATGCAGTATTGCAGGCTAATTCTGGTGACTGCCAATTTCCAGCAGTTCATCAGTTCTAGTCTCAACGACTCAAAGTTGACTCAGCTTCCATCTGTCCAAGTCGGTAAAATGAGGATGCAGACTTTTGGGGGCAATATGCTGATTCCATAAACTACTTAGAGAGGGTTGTAAAGCATTGTGAAGTGGTATATAAGTGCTATTGCTACCTTATGCAAAACATGAACTTATGGTACAGAATCTGATAGCGCTTAAGCAATATCCTGAAGCACATAGCACTTAAGCAGTATCCTGAATAACAGGAGGCCAGCTTCCTATAATCTTCTTGGCTGTTCTTACCACTCTCTGTATGGACTTTCTATCTGAGGCACTGTTGCCACCAAACCAGACAGTGATGCAGTTTGTTAGAACACTCTCAATTGTGCCTTTGTAAAAAGTGGCCAGGACAGAAGGAGAAAGATGTGCTTTCCTCATCTGACGCAGGAAATGCAGATACAGGTATACTTGAACCAAGGTAAAATATTTCAGTAAATAAAACAATGCAACAACAAAATCATAATAAGTGTGTAAATAACAAAAAACATTACATGGTTACTTCTAATCACCTTAAGCCCAAAGGACTGCTAAAACAATCCTTTATTTGCTATTTCACAGTTTGTTTTCTTTTTTTTTCTTTGTGTTTTTAGACCTAATCAATGATAGTAATAAAGTATTACACTTTGTGTAACAAACTTTAGATCCTTTATCCACTTACCATATATTACAAAGCGCTTTGCAATTATTACAAATGACCACAAATAATTATTGAACTATCCCCAGATGAAATGTATACCTTCCACATATGAGAGACATATTGAAATACTGTATATTGGATTTGTTGATCACAAATATATAAATTTAAAAACTATGATGGAACTGACAAGTAAATTAGGCTTCAGATCATAAAATATTAACTCACTGAAAATTATTATTCACAGCTTTTAAAGCAACTACAGAGTATAAAACATGTTAAAGATAATTATGTGCATCTTTAAATGCTTGTGAATTAATATTTTAAAATACTTCTTTTTAAAATCCTCTTTTCAGTTTCCTATTGTTACAGTTTTCATGATTTGACACTGGGGGAGCTTAATTCAATCCTTAGTGAAATAAGTTTTAAATACAAGTTTAAAAACTTTCTAAAAAATCTTTTGGAATAAATAAAAAAAATAGTGTGCCGAGACCTAGGCCCTATTTCCTGGCAGCATTAGGATTGATAGTAATAATTGTACTTGGTACCTTATACATTTATTTTGTACTTTCTTAATTGTTTCAAATTGTTTTTATATTTTATGATGCATGTTGCCCAGAGACAATTGTTGAAATGGGTGGCTGTAGAAATCAAATAAATAAACAGCAAAAACCAAAACAGCAATAGAACTTTGATTTTAGAAAATTATAAACAAACTAAGGGTTCAGATGGATTTGAAATAAGCTTTTGGAGTTAATTGTAAGAATCTTTCCTGTGAGAAAATACTTTTGCTTTGAATTTTCTTAAAAAATAATAGGACAAAACTAATAAGGAGAATATTTATAGGTCAGGTTGAAATGAAGGGTCTTTGGTGCTCTCTGAGCTTGGTTGTTTTCATGCAGTCATTTCATTAGTCAAACTAGGTAACATCATCAGTGCTAGTCAGGATGAAATACACAAATAATTATTTGTGATTTCAAGGCCCAACTTTCAAGGTTGGGCATTAGAAACAACTAAAAGGAACTGAAGATTATAATTAAAGGAGTAGAACATTTAAATTTTACTAATACAGAACAGAGCAAAATATTATAACATTGGACATATTGAAGGATATTTTTGAAAAATGGACCTAGAACTTAATTTTAAAAGTGACTTTTCTGACCCAGAAAAGGTACCACAGGTACCAACCACAGGAAATATTTCCTGTATCACCAAAATTACCCATTATCTACAAGCTAAGGAGGAGAAGTATACAAAGCATTTGAAAAAGCAGCTTCCTAAAGTTTGTTAACCTGAGCAAGGCATCACATTTCAAAGCATCCAAGCTGTCATGATTTCTGCAAAGCTGCAGCGACTGCTTGGAAAACAGAACCTGAGTGTCTGCCTGTGTGAGAAGGGAACATCTGCTTTACTCTGTTGGCAATCCCAGAAAGAAGTAATTGTTTACTTGCACATCCAGACTATCAGGAGCTTTGAAGCAGCTTTGTTGAGTTTTCTGAAAAACCCTGCTGCTTTAATGCTCCAGGCAGATGTGCTTTGCTTAAGGTTAACATGCTTTGTAAAACATGCCTGGGAAACCCTAGTTGTTTATTAATTAGGCAAATAAAAATATATATAAAATTATATATATATAATGTGTGTGTGTGTGTGTGTGTGTGTGTGTGCCTTTGTGTGTGTGGGTGTGGATACCTGTGGGTGTGGGGTTTTTTTGTGTGTGTGTATAATAGATGCAGCATGTGGCATGGTATAATATACTTTATTATTATACACAAAAGGTAAGTCTAGTAACTGTTGTCACTTGTTATATTAGAATCCATACCGATAGATCAGAATGCTTTTTTAAAAAAATAATAACATAGTTTATTGATCTTTGTTAAACTAAATTTACTTACAACTGAGCAAGATCTTTTAACTTTTCTTTTCTGATAATATGGCAGCAGATTGCTCCGAGGGGAACGGTAAGTTAGAGAACATTTAGTTTGACAAAGACAGTTAGTTGGTGGTACTAAAATAACTGATTTTTTGTTGTTGTTAAATTGATTAATGAAACACAACATTCACTCTTTTAATCTGTTATTTTTTTTAACTTTGTGTGGGTGTTTTCATAAAGGACACATGCAGCTATTTTTAAAATTATAGTTTATGTCACATCCCTTTCTAAACATAATGCAGCATCTGTTTATAATTGTATTACATTCAGGTCAGATTTTTAAAATTAAAATAGTATTTGCCTTATAGGTATTTAAAATGATTCATATGCTCCTGACTTAATCAAAGGAACTCAGGGTGAAATCTTACACTGAAAGAAGAAATTAGAAATGTTCAGAATCAAGTCTTATTTATATGGAAATGACTGACACAGAACATTTCATTAATGCTAAAAAATATGCAAAATCAGAGTGAATGTACATCACATTTGAATCATCATGCAGAAAATATCAAACCTTGGGGTTTTTTTCTTCACATAGTTTAGTTTGTCAGGTTTTTATTTTTAAAAGCCCACGATCCCTATCTAGAAATTAGCTATATCTAAAAATTGAGGACTTAAAACTAAAATTTTCTTAAAACGACAAAACTTGCCAATGCTTCAGATGCTTGTGTAAACAGTACATATGGAAGACTGCAATAGCACACAACTGAATAACTGTTTTGTCTGTGAAAATGTTTTCTTGGCAATGCTGGGTGAAATCCGACACAAATGGTAACTGGAGGAGAAATCACTCTTAAGGAAAATGTGGCATTAAGCTTGGCTCCTCTGCTAACAGAAACAAGGAAATATGTTGTGGGGGGGCAGGGGAGGGAGGCCAGATAGCACACACAATTTCATGATCAAAGCCCTACCCCTTTGTATTTGCCTATATGTCACACAAGGAGGCAGGGCTTCAATTGCAAGATCTGTTCATCCTCAAGCAGTCATCCCTGAACAAAAGCAAAATTATATACAAACAGTGTTTTCTTTTTTCACTTACAGAATTGATAATGGGTGGGAAGTTGAAATTTTACTTATTTTATTTAAATTATGAAATGGGTACTTTCAGCTATTCTTGTCACATAATTTTGGTTTAATTCAGTCCCTGACATTGCTGCCTAGATTCCATGGATGATGGCTTGGTTCAATGTAAAACATTGTTCCTTCAGCGATGAAATCTAAATATAAAGCGATTGCGTGTTAAAATATTTATGAAATTTATATTGTAGATAAGATTATTTCTCTTTTGCTTTTTAAAGATATGGTTTCATTATTTAAAATGGGTATCTTTTACCTGGAGTTGTATACCATCTTTCCTCCAGGAACATAAGGCGGGGTTATTCCTTCCAATTTTCCTCACAACAGTCCTGTGAGATAGATTGGACTGAGAAAGAGTCATTGGCCCAAAGTATGCTAGTGAACTTCCATGATTGTGGGTAGCACAATACGACTTCAGCAAGAGATGGTCAATGCCTAGAATGCACTACCCGAATCTGTGGTTACATCCCCAAACCCCCATAACTTTAACCTTAGACTGTCTACTGTTGACCTCACCACATTCCTAAGAAGTCTGTAGGGGGCATGTATAAGTGCACCAACGTGCCTACCGTCCCTGTCCTACTGTCCCCATTTATTCATATCTATTTCTGGTATTCATAATCATGTTTATACTTATATCTGTTATCTTAAAAATGTTTTGACAAACTAAATAAATAAAATAAATAAAAAATAAAGATATTGATGGTTGGAAGGATTAATAATCTCCAATATATTCTTTATTATGAGAATTACCCTTTAGTAAGATCAACAGAAAGACATTTATTTACTTGTATACTTTCTTATAACATTGTTTAAGAGAATATGTAACTGTGTTTTGGTTTCATGAATGAATTATTCTTTATTTATTTACTTATTATTTTTTATAATTATACCTGATTATGATCCCATAGGATACTTGGTGGTTTATATGTGTGCCATATTTTACAGTGCATATATATGACTGCATTTGGGTATAGGTTCCATGAATTATATTTACTTTTAACTGGCTTTACTCTCGAACAAAACTATTAATTTTTCTGGGCTTATTTCTAAGAAGTTGACTGCACTGTTAGTTGCTTTGCTGACATATAACATCTTCTTTCTGAGTAAATGGCAAAATGTTCACCTTTTCATCATCCTTATTTACTTTCTTTGTTGTTGTTTTCTTTCTTTCATACAGGCCATGCAAGTAAAGGTACAGGTCTAAGTGTATATAATATGTATATATGTTTTAGTTTTAGAAATGACCAAGGTCTCAACATTCTTTCCATTGATCATACAGTGGCGTCACAAAGGGAAGATGCATGTCCTTTCTAATATAAACCCTATTGGAAACTTGGGCAGATTTTGTCTATTTTTATTCTCTGGTATAAAAGCTAGGTACTGACTTCGGAAGTAGGAAAATAGTCCAATAATATATCTCTTCTGCCTCTGTCACCTTCTTCATGTTATGTAATTGATTTTACTTAAGTATCTTAATTCCTCAACAGAGCAATGGATGAACAGGAAATTTTACTACTGAAAACAAAATAATACTAAAGTAACATGGTGGTCACTAAAGCTACTATCTATTATTATAATTAGAGTGTTGTTTTTTTTAAAAAAAGTGACCTTCATATCGACCTTAGCTTTTCTTACTCAAGACATACTGAAATATAACTTTTTGGGGTATATTAAACCATTTGTATAGCTATGTACCAAGGCTATTTAAAATCACTTTCTTGAAATATAGGTTCAACAGACAGCATCATGCAAAAATATGCAATTCACTGGTTGTAAGACAATTATGAGATGATTCAATTGGGATAAAAATAGAGTTAAAGAATTAGAAGGTAATCTTTAATACGATTGCTTCCTTTATAAGTCAGTGTCTCCATGGCTACAAAAGTGCAGGGTTTTTAAAAAATATAAATTCATTTAAATACACATGAAGAAACAGCATCTGTGCAGAAATAGACATTTGTTTTTTTAAAATAATCCCTATTTCATTATCTGCATAGTTTCAAGAGCAATGTTAATGCTGGATCAGAAGTAGAGGCTGCATTTAATTGTCTAGCCACTAGTGGAGTGGACATCAGTGGGAGAAAAAAATCTCCATTCAATTCCGATCTCCTCCAGAAAAGAAACTGCTGCAATGAGAAACCTTTGCAGCAGATTTAGGAACAAGGAAATATGGATGAGGTAGAGGCAAAATAAATGTATTTCTTGCTGTACAAGCAAAAGTCTGCTTATACCATAGTGGAAAGTCATCCATTTTTGACCTCCAGAAGAGAATTAATTATGTGATAATGACTTAAAAATTAATTCTATTAGTGCCTAATCTATGGCTTCCATGCACACAATAAATTACCAGCCTTCCACAAATTTACTTAAATTCAAGAATTTTTGAAACTCTGCAATCTTCAGGACAGGGAGAAAAAATATTGATGAATCACCTTCTGTGCCTCTAGCTGACAGAAGTACATGTATTTCTTTTGGTATACCCATGTTATGCCTATCAGTATTTCTCTGTTTTTTCTAACATTTGCAAAGCTATTGCAGAACACTTAGTATTTTAACAATATATAACTGCATGAATTATATACATGCCTTAATTACATGTCTGAGGCATGTAACTGAAAACCTTTGAACATACTAGTTTCTGTGGGAACAAATGTATTAGCAGGTAATGTGCCAATAGGAGCACATAGGAACCACCAATATTTGGCTACTGGTAGCATATTTGTAATTCTGACTGTAAAGTTGTTCTTATAAAATAGGAAACCAAAAGACAAATGGCTTCAGCTATTCCTTAACTCTGATTTCCTTTTTCTGAGTAAATAAAAACACTTCCAAACAAATAGATGAGATAGAAGCATATACATTATAGGATCTAGAAATGCCCTTGAAGTTTTTCTGGCTGGACCAGGTAGGCATATCTCTCACTAAAACAAGCATGGAGCTTTCTCTGCTCTTCACTTTCACCCTCTAATTTCAAGATTGTCTCAATATAGTTATTCACTCAGATGAAGAGTTTACCCAAGGAGAAGTTATGCCCTCCCAACCAAATATTGAATTGGGTAATGGAGCTCCTACCAGAAATTCTGGGTAGCACTAAATAGGAAATTCCCCTTCTCCAAAACATAGCTTTTAAAAAAGTGTCTCCACTTTTTTGTTTTTAACCAGAATTACTAGGCCAAAGTGATTTTGGAGCACGTGGTGCTATTTGAAAACTCAACACTAGAGTCACAAAGATTAAAGGATTTTTAATTCAATAAAAGGAACAAAGTAAGGACCTGAGGAAATGAGTTAGCTGCATTAATTTCCATGAGGCTGACATTTTATGCTAAATATATTAATCATTAATTTGTAAACAAACTGAAGGAAACAAAGAGAAAGAAGGTCATAGAGTAGGAGCAAAAATAAAGCAATATAATTGATTAAGAGCTGCACTGAACATGAATAAAAGATCCTTGCTGTATCTTCATATACTTTCCCTGAAAACTTTACTGTTTCCATTCTCTAAAAGTTTTCAGGACAGAGGGCATGAGTTCAAGCCCAATTAGAGAAATTTTGTTCTTGCTCTTAGGAGGATCTCCTGCCAGTGCATGTCTGGGCACAGAAACTTCCAATTCTCTCACTTGTGGAGTAGGAAATAGTCTTAATCTATGTGTAGAGTTGCCAGCTAGCCTGCTGAGCGATATACCTTCTGTAATGAACCTATCAGCCTTGTGAAAATATAGATTGTACATAGGAGTGTTGCTTTGTATCATGTTATATCATGTTATATTCCTTTAAAAAAAAAAAAAAGACACACAGTAAAATAAATTAGATGGGCCAGAGAGGCATCAAAGGCATCAAAGAAGGCGAAAGTAAGCACATTGGTATCCATTAGCTTACCCAGGGTTAATGACATAAACCAGATCAATGTCTATAAGCTTATTTGTGACTTGGGGCCTCTTGCATATGTTACAAAGAACTAATAACTGAGAGACATCAGCAGCAACAATATTTGAGAAATCTTCACCCAATCTGGAAAAAAAAAATCACAAAATACCTGACCGCTTCAGCAGTCATTTCCAAGTTGGAGTTTATTATTTCAAAATCTATCACTGAATTGAAGGAAAGAGATAGTATTTGAATTTTTAAAAAGTATGTCTTCCCAGTATTCTTTATGTATTTTAGAGTACCTTTCATATAATATAACATGCATTCATAAGTGGATGAGTAGGTGTAGATAGATTCAGTATATCTTCACCCACATGTTTCTCATCTCAATATTTCTATTTATGGTAAGCAACATTATAGAAAGTGCAGAAAAAAATCCCAGAAATCGTAAGAAAAAGAAATCAAAGGCAAGACATGAAAGAAAACAAAATGTATCTATATCCAGTTAGATTAACACCATTCGCTATATTTTTTTTAGTTTTATTCCAACTTTACAAACTATTTTTAAATTTCTCATCTTTCCCTTCTTAGGAATTTAATCAGTTCCATCTATGATTTTCTTGGTCATATCACCACAATATCCTGGTCACTCTTGTATTTCATCTACATTAATTACATAACCATTTATTCTTTTCCCTTTCTGTTTTTGTTTTAACACACACACAACATGCAGGCAGACACACACACAGAGTCCAACTACATTCAACTTATTTTTATGTTTCTCCTGATACATTCAGCTCTTCCTTTCATCTAACAAAGTTTGCAAACATAGCCATTTTCTCATACTGTATGATGATACTTTTTCATTCCTTGCAACAGAACATCCATTTTCTTTCAATAATTTATATATATTTATAAACCCATCTTCCTGTGTTTAGTTAATATTCTACCAAATTCTTTTATTTGATCTAGGATTCTGCTATTTATGCTTTGTGTATAATTCTTCACACCATTTTTCCAGACAAATCTACTTAGATTTACAATCTAGTAATACTTGATGAAAATCATTCAGGTTCTCGGTGAACAGCATGGCATCATCTGCTTATAGGACACACACACATACACATACATTCCTAGTCAATAAACTTCTAATGTCACCACAAATTTATCAATAATACTTGATAAATAAACTAAAAGGACATCACATGAATTACTTACTCTCAAATACTGAACCATTTGTAGAATCAGACTGTGAACCCAGCTTTGCAGGAAGCAGTGAGCTAGAGTACAGGATACAGTGGCATCTGATATGTCTGATATTTGACTTACTAATATTCCCTCCCCCAAAAATCAGATTTAGGATCAGGAATGAAAGGAAGAAATTCACTTTTATTTTAAGAAGAACCAATTATTCTTCATCTTCTCAAAACTTGAAGGCAATAATCATTTCAGGTGAACAGAGTCCTGCCGCAGTGATGGATGGAAAGATTTGGGATGTAGAAGATTTGTTTTTCCATTCCTGTTTTTTTCTCCTGCATTTATAAAAAGCAAAATACATATATGCTTAATTTATCTATGGGACAATGAATAGAAGAAAGTTAAGAACTAGGCCTATTGATAGCTGTCAATCAGCATGTAACAAAAATGAATCAATATTACATTAAGAAAGCTTTCATTATTTGTTATGGATGTTTTAATAATTGTCAGTAAAGGTTTCCTTTTAGAAGAACTGGAACTTGGTGGCAGAGACAGAATGGATAGATGGATAGATAGACACAGAGAGAGATTTATAGTCACACAACCTGAAAATATTTCTTTATTTGGGGAAAAAAGGGGGGGAGTTGTGTCAGATATTCTCCTGCCTAAGAGAATAGTGACGTCATTGAGTCCTGTGATAAATTGTGACATTTGTTTGTCTGCTATGAAAATCAAGTAGCAATTAATGTCATTAAACCCACTGCTACTATAAAAAAAAACTTTTTGAAGGCATTCCACAAACAAAGCTTTGAGGCAAAGTGTTGCAATTGTGTGTCCTTGAGGAAAGCCATTGCATAATATTTTGGTTTCCACTGAATGCCAAAAATATGGCTAGATGTTTTGATATATTTTATTAAAATGAGAGCTTAACAACAATTTTCAAAATATGTGACTGCTCTGAGCATTCTTTTCTGTTTTAATAGAAATTATTAATAAATTTTATTTTATCAGTGTAGCATACAGTGTAAGGCCCAGAGCCTTCATATCTCCTTTGCAGAAGGAGAAGACATGATGAATTAATAGAAAAGAGTTGCTAATTTATTTATTTATTTTATTTATTAATTCAATTTAATTGTGGTAGATGCATTATGTGAGCCCAGTCTTGAATTCATGCCTGTGGCTCAATTCTCATTAGGGTCATTGTTCATCTTTTTTATGCATGGGATTCAAAAAAAGATAACATTTGTAACTGTTTAATCTTAATCTGTCCCTAGTATCATTTTGGTGGTGATAAACTCAAATGCTGTTGCCCAGAGCTTTGATTTACTGCCTTAGTTTAAAAAGTTTTTTTCCCCAGTGAAATTGTACGTTGTCTGCATCATGAACAGGTTAAATGTAATGCTAATGTGCAGCCTATTTGATATCTTTTTCCAAAAGCTTATTCTCTGTATATTTCACGTGATTAAAGCTGCTGATAATGTAGTGTGATCATTTGACAATGATTCTACAGCAAAGTAGGACCCAGTTTGTGGGGGCAATAAGCTGACTTTGTATAAAATATACAAAAGTATGAAGGCTATTGCTTAACACACTGTAAGCTGCCCTGAGTCTCCGGAGAAGGGCGGCATATAAATCAAATTTTAAAAAAAGAAAGTAGTTTTCTAGTGTGCTTGCTTACAACTGTCCAGTTTTGTGGAACTTACATTTTGTATTTCTTAGATGTTGTACAGGCACATATCTCAAACGCTGAAATCCTCAGAATTATAAATGGTATCACTGTTTACCCATTCTAAATGTAGTTTGTGTGTGCGTGTGTTTTATCACTATATACATACTGAAAAATTACAGAGGTATTTATTTCCTTAAAAATTGTAAAGATATTTGAATTCTTGAAAATTACAATTTCTACAGTATTTTTCTTATAAAATACCACTAAAATCATGCATTTTCATGATAGTCTTTTGGTTCACTTTGGTTTTACCATTCAAATGGGTAAATGTTCAAATGCTTTAAGGTTTAATATGAAAATCTAAATTTAGTCGCATAATTAGGAACAGTAATTATTTTAGTATGAAAGAAATAACTATCCTTTGTACTTTATATGTCTCTTTTTTGCAGTCTGGAGGTCATGACCAAGAACGAAAAAAAGCAAAACATAGAGGGGATTTATATTCAATACAGACTTCTCTGATTGTATCTGCACTTAAAAAAATGCTCCCCATTGGGTTGAACATGTGTACCCCTGGAGATCAAGAGCTAATTTCTCTTGCTAAGTCCAGGTACAGCTGTGTAAGTCAATATTTTACTCTTACTGATTGTAATCTAAAAGGTTTTAAATGAAGACATGCAGTATTTGAATCTGAAGTGGACAAAGGTAATTCAGGTCTGATGTTGATACACTCAGTGTGCTTATTGACAGCTCTTTAAAGGCACCACAACTTTTCCTGCTCAGGGAAATACTTGTTTCAGTTCAGGTGTTGCCAACTCCATAATAATTCCTTAACACTGAAGTGTTAAGGAGTTAGTGTTAAAACTAAGTGTTTTCTTGAACTTAAACTCAAGAAAAGCTCCTCTAAGGATACTCAGGATGGGTTTGAACCATTTTTGCAGTCTTCAGATATGAGTACCATGCATGTCTAGAAAGATACAAAGCATGAAAATGATCAAACAAATAAATTTAAGAAAGGCTTATTAGAGGGAGGGAGGGTTTGATTTGGTGCCAAAATCCAAAATCTGAGTCATTTTTATCTCTATCATCTATCATCATCTAACTAATCTATCTATATTATCTTTTCTCCTTACGATATAAGAAGTATCCTCCTAATTCAGATACTCAGATTATCTCACAAATATTTTTAAAACATTTCAGAACCTAGCAAGCACACTGAATATTTGTATATTATTGAACTTTAAACTACACAAGGACACATAGCTACAGGAGGCTCCTTACTACAAAACTTTGCTCTCTTTATTTTTATTTTATATAGAGTATGCAGCTATATCCCAATAGGTTGTGTTCTGTCTTATTATTGGTCAAAATATATTTAAGAGGACCCAGATCAATATGCCTTTATTTATCTGCAGAAAGACACTGAAGAAGAAGTTAAAGAACATTTACACAATAACTTGCATTTGCAGGAAAAGGTAATATTCAAAATGTCAAAAAATCAGTTAGTTAAATATATTTCTGAGTTCAAAACATATGTTAATATATTTCATCATTTAATAGAGTAATCCTATAGCTAAATTATATTTATTATGAAGAAATAATATGAATGAGCAACATGTTGATTTCCATATGTTGAGGTACACCTTTTACCAGCTCTGGCAGTCATGCCAGGGAATGAATATGGCACTTATAGATACAAAACTTGTAGCAAGCTAAAGAGCTTACTGGAAGTTTACTGACACCAAATAGTGTGGCCATAAAGTATACCAATATAGTATCCCCAACATGCTGATCACAAGTTTTCCTCTGGCAGGCAATGTCAATGTTGGAGTCACAGACAGGATAAATGTGGCACAGAAAAGGAATATATTTATACTATAGCCTAATTTCCTCCAGAATTTACTAATGGTGTAACAACAGTTTTTAGACTAGCATAAAAAATTTCTTTCTTTTGATTTTACTACAAGGGGAAGAACTAGAAACAAGCTTGTACGTATAGTGAGAGAATTCCTCCCTAGTACCATAGATGGGAAGAGACCTTTAATAAGAGTCCCATTGGACCAATGTAGGCAGTACTCGAGAAAAAAAGAGATTTTATTTAGTCACTTAGATATATTTATTTATATTTTGTGTTTCCAGACCTCCCATCTCTCTCAAGGAGAGACTGGAGATTATCCGGAGACAATCTACAAAATAATAAAATTGCATACTCGTAGCACAATAGAGCTCTGCAGTGTCTTCCTGCCTTTGATTTTGTAATGCATTATCATTTAGAAATATCACATTTTTCTTCTTCCTAGCAATAAGCATATAGCTTTTCCCCCTTGCTTCAGTACAGTGGTGCAAAAATGGCAATAAATTTTATTTAAATAAGTGTCCATATTTAATATTAAGTATGCATAAGAGTGGATCAAATTTTTTGATATATAGTCAGATGACCCTGCTGTGAAATGGCAGTTGAATCTCTACAAAGATGTCTTGAAAACTGATGAACCTGCTGATCCTGAGAAAACTATTGAACGTGTGCAAAGGATCTCAGCAGCTGTCTATCATCTGGAACAGGTAAAAAAAATATATTACTTTATGTTTAAAAGTGAGACATATGGGCTGAAGATCCATGGTTAAATAGAGTAAATAGGAACTCCACAAACTGATCTTTTTTTATTAAATTTTTTTATTAGTTTATAATATGGCATACAAAGAGACTACAAAAGTAAATAGTAGGGAAAGGGGAGGGAAAAGGGAAGTGGATAGTGGGGGAAAGCAAGGGGAAAAAGAAAAAAAACGACATTGACTTCTGATTCCTTTGGTGCAGTAAAATAAGGCATTAACTTCTAACCTCAACAAACTGATCTTGAACAATGAATATAACTAGGATGGGCTGGGCTGGGCTGGGCTGAGCTGAGCATTTTATATCCAGGGAAATTCTGTAGCCCTTAGGGATCTTTATGGAGGATTAAGTAGGATGCTGAGACAGAGCAGGGAGAATGGATGTTTGCATACTAATAACCATCTTTGATAGTGTGCAAGGGATATTTGCAAAATGATTATAAGGCAATCTAAAGATAAAATAGTATAAAACATTATTATTTTTATACCACAGTTATAGTCTAATGGAGGGATTGATAAACAAGCCACAAGATTCCATATACCCCTAGATACTATAATATTAAATTGATTTTAAGATTTTCTTGAGGAATAGTTAAAATTTTAGGAAACCACCAAATCTAATGACATTTCCATTTTCTGAATGTCATAAGTTTTAGTTCAAAAATTATGGCATTTTTTTTAAATTTCCAATGAAAATTCTATTTTTAATTGGGGAGTCAAGAAATGTTGCTAACATATCATGTACTATAAATATTAACTTTTTTGTCATTGGATCAGGTGAGAATCAGTTAAAATATCTTTATTCATATTGTCCATAGGTTGAGCAACCGTTAAGATCAAAGAAAGCAGTTTGGCACAAACTCTTGTCTAAACAACGTAAAAGAGCTGTTGTGGCTTGTTTCAGGATGGCACCATTGTATAATCTGCCAAGGTACATAGTTTTTTAAAAATTCTTATATATGCTATTTCTGAATACTGCTTGCATTGTTGAAAAGCATAATTTCTGGTTCGCACCCTGGGAAGGTGTGAACCAGAGAAAATGGCACCATTTTCAAATCCCTTTTATGGTCTTGTGGGCATGAATGTATTGATTGATTGATTGATTGATTATTAAATTTCTATGCACCCATCTCAACGATCTAGTGACTTTGGGTAATTTTGAGCCTGTCATTGTCTCTCAGCCCTAAGAAAGAAGAAATGGCAAACCACTGCAAGGATAGTCCAGTCAGTTGCTAGGAGTCAAATGATTTGAAGTCACCCACACTATTCATTACTTCTGTCATTATTAAATGATTTCAGGGTCTTGCAAATGACCTTCAATGGCCTTTGGTAAAGTTCTATCATTTTTAACCAATGTGTTTTACAGAAACTTCTGATTACTTTAAAACAACTGAGTTGAGCTTGATTATGTGAATTACCTAGTTATTCAATGCTTTGGGAGATCTTTATATATCTCCCCAGATACATAAATCTAACCCACTCCAATCTAGACTGGCAACATGGAAAAATGGACTGTATATTTAAATATAGTGTTTTTTTCTATGCAATTAACATCACTCATTTAAGGATTTTGTCAAAAATTAAAAAAAAAACATTACTTCCTAATGTATATCAATTATATGTTCAAAGTTCATAGAGATACGTAGCCTTACCAGCATTTGGTCATTCCATCCTTTCATCTCTTTCATTCAGCGGTTGCAATGGAAACTGTATCCATGAATCAAACAAAATAATTTTATAGATGCTACAGAACATGCACAGAACTAGCTATGTATGTTTTTGGCATCAGGAGAATAGGGGAGGCGGTGGAAGAAGAGCGGAAGAAGGCGTAACATTGTTGTGGGGAGATTTTCTCTCTCCCACATATACAGCTCTGTAAAGATGTATTGTTCCTGAAGTTGTTTGAAGAGATAGCTGGATATTTTATTTTGAATAACCTTGATTGTTTGCATATGCTATGCAATTAGCATTCTTTGAACATAATTGCCAACATGCTTCTTATATGCAAATCTAAGTTTCTGGCATTCTCCTTTTTTTAACTTGTAACTTATTTGAAACAAATGGGAATTCAAAATGTGACAATTAATTTAAAAAAACATCTGAAGATTTGTTTTATACTCAACTCCTATACTCTAGGGCAGGGATGTCAAACTCAATTTCATTGAGGGCCACATTAGATTATGTTTGACCTCAGAGGGCTCCGGTGGGAGTGGCCAGCTTGATGTCACTCATGTTGGGGCACCTGTGGTGGCCCAAGCACTCCTCCAGCGAAAATGGGCTCCTGAGCTCTGTTTTCGGCTACAATGGCATCCTGCAACCATATGCCAGTGAAAACTGAGCTCGGGAGGGCTGCAGACAGCCCTTCGAGCTCGGTTTTCACTGGCAGAGATACTGTGGGCTGGTCCTTCACTGTTTAAAGGGGCGGCCCCATGAGCCAAATCTAAGCACCCTGCAGGCCAGATCCAGTCCCCGGGCCTTGAGTTTGACACCCCTGCTCTAGGGATTTGGGGGGAAGGCAGTTCTTTCAGATATAATTGCATGATCTTCTTGACTGAAAACCCAATGTTCTTCACAATTTGGAATTTCTCCTGCCACTTAGGTCTTAATGTTACTAAATATTTTAAAGGCATTAAAATATAATGAATAGATAGTTTTCCTTTCCAACAGCTACATTTCTAATAAACTTAGCGTGACTATTTTCCAGCAGATATGCATAGTAATTATCTTAAGTTACTAAGTAATGTAATTCTTCATATCAAATTATACATAGTTGAGTTGGGAAAGAAGAAAAGATAAGTGTATCTGCAGAAGCAAGCTTTCTATGTTGTGGCCATTTGTGCTTCCCTTCTGGCTTTATTCTTTTTAATTTTATTTATCAAATTGATGTGTTGCCCATCTCACATAAGGTGACATTCAGCAGTGCATAATAAAATAATGGATAATTTAGGTTAGTATATGGGGGAGATTTAGTCAGTCCAAGTCAGGTATGGATCAAAAGAGCCCTTAGCATAACAGAAATTCATGAAAGGAATGCCTTCCCATATTCAGCTGTCTTTTGTTAATTGGAGACATCTCTATGGTAAGAGGAAGAAGACTTCTGTGAAATCCTTCACCTGAAATTCCAAGTAGCTTTTTGTCTGCTGTTTACATAAAAAGAGGGAAATAATCATTCTCAACAACTTTATTTTTGTCTTTTGTTTAAAAATCCCCCCTTCCTCCCTTGCTCTCTCCCTTCCTTCCACATAACAGTAAAGAATGGAAGGAGTGTGGAATGGAAGAAAGGTGACATTATTTTTCTTTTAAAAAAAATAAAAATTCTCCATCTTCTCATATTTAAAGAGACTGTAGAAGACTCAAAGACTGACTGAATATTTGGGGGCGGGGGCTTTCACTGCACTCAGCTCCAATGAAATACAACATTCTGGTTTACCCATATTGAACTAAATTCTATTAAACTAATTGCACACATATTGCACTGCAACATTATATCAGTTGCAATTAGTTATGTTACAAACTTCTATAATCTTCTATAATTACATCATTTGCAAGGAGTTATTGGAAAATTACACCTCCTTTTTGATTAACCACAGTTCAGTACTTGTTGGAACCCTAAACTGTGATTAATATTATGATTTGAAGTCCATGTAACCATAAGTAAGTAACTCCATAGCAACAACGTTGCTTTTACTCTATAATAGATCAAATATTTCAAATACTGGGTTTGAATTGAAGAAGGTGGGGAGAATATTTTATGGGTTTGAAATTCAGCATGGATAATTCTGCCATAATCACTGCCCAGATTCAAACATAATATTAAAGCTTCACATAGTTTCTACCAACATGGGTTTGTTAAAAAGAGCTCATGCCAGACCAATCTGATTGCTTGTTTTGACAATATGACTAGGTTAATGGAGCAAGGGAATACTGTGGATGTTTAGACTTAAGTAATGCTTTTGATTAAGTAGAACACAGCCTCCATCTAGACAAATTGAAATAAAGTGGGAAGGGTTGCTCCACTGCCAGATGGATCCAGTTAGCTGAACAATCATAGCCGCCATCATCACCACCACCATCAATCATCATTTAAACTTGTATGCCACATGAGTCTCGATAACTAGATGGGATGTTCATAAAATGTGTACATGGCACAAAGCTGGAGGAGATACTAAATAGGTGCAAAGATCAAAAGGATTTAATTGATATGAAGTTAACAAACGTTCAGTGGTAAGAAATGTATTTTTTCTGCACTTAAGCAGAAAAACAATATGCTCATGTATAAAACACTTGGCTCAGCAGTAGAGCTTGCAAGATAGATCTGAATGTCCTAGTAGACGATAGGTGAGCCAGTAATGTGCCATAGCTGCCAAAAGACCCAATGTAGTTTTAGGCTGCATCAACAGAGGTGTAATGGTAGCATCCCAAAAAGCTCTATATTACACTGATCAGATCACATCCAGAATATGTGCCAGTTACAGTCTCCACAACTGTTGGTGCTGGAATATCCTTTGCCCAAAAAAAGACAGTTGTTAACTTAGTTGCACCTGATTTTACAATCTTTTTCACCATGGTTATCAAGCAAATCACTGTAGTTGTTAAGTGACACCCGTAGTTAAAGGAACTTGGTTTAAAAGAAAAGAATGCTAACGGGAGCATGATAGTGGCCTTCCAATATTTTAAGGGATGTGACAATATTTTAAGGGATGCGTGGCTATATTCTCCATATTACCTGAGGGTAAGAAACAAACCAGTGAGTGGAAGCTTCATAGAGGGAATTTAAACTTGAAATGTAGAGAGATCTTTCTTATTATGAGAGTTTGTAAACAAATAGATAATATTTGCCAAGGTGGTATGAAGACTCCTATATTGGGCTTTGCACTAAAAACCTACATAAGATTAGAAAGAATTCCATGCTTTGCACACTTATTAATTATGGAAAAACGTAAGGTGCAAATCAAGTAATTATTGTGTTTTAGAGAAACTACAATTTAAAAAATCTTGGTTTAAAGTTATAAGTGAAGTTGATGGTAAACCATATTGATAAATGAGAACATCATGATTAGACAAAGACAAAGTGTAAAGAAATTGCATACTTAAGTTCATTTTATGTTATGTTAAAAATAATAACCCTAAAGTAAAATAATAAAGATGTGAAATGGATAGTTCATGTTTTTAGTTCCTTTGCATTCAGTGGACATCATAGTGGTAAGGAGTCAATTTAGAATTGCATCAAAGTAAAGTATGTCTTTTCCCAACTGTCTTTATTGAAAAGAATAGAAAACCAAGGATTTGCATCTATGGGAAATGGAATTCTAAAGTGTTCAGTAAAATATAAGCATATCAATAACCTTCTTTTCATGTTTTGATTTCTATCTGGTGCAGTTTATTAAAACAATATTTGTCATCTATTATTTAATCTTTGTTGAACCTTCTTTAAGTTTAATGCTTTTTGAATTGAATTGAATTGTACAGAATCTATAGGTTTTTACTGGTCTTCTAAGCTTTTTTATTTTATTCTGCTTTCCTTCTGGATTTCATTTTCACCGCTACTCCTAGGCACCGTTCTATTAACCTGTTCCTTCATGGTTATCAGAAATTCTGGATAGAAACAGAGGAATATTCCTTTGAAGAGAAACTCGTTCAGGATTTGGCTGTAAGTACAGATATAATTGGGCTGAGTCCACAATGCCTTCTTGTCTCCACTTATAAACACTTTCATATATACCATTCTGCTATATTTTGTGCCATGATATGAACAGTGTATCACATTTTTATTTTGTTACTGTATATATTTGGACTGAAACTAATTAGATCAAATCACAGCTAATTTAATTCCTAAATTAAAATTTAATTTAAATTAGTTTAATTTTTTGAAGGTTTAAATACGGTGAATGCTTTTTTGTTAATTGGCATTTTGTTTATTGAATAATGTTTTGATTCATTTTAATATGCCAAAGATTGTATTTTTAGTACAAGCTATCTACCTTTTCCTTGATATTATAATACATTGCCATTCTAACAAATTAGAAACAAATGTGACAGATTTGTGTTTTAGGCAATGGGATTTTTATTTGACAATGCATTTTTTAAATCCAAGACAAATTTTAACTCTTTTCTTTTTAACTGATTAATTAAGCAATAATTTATAGAACTATTATTTTCTGTATGTAAAGTGATCAGTTCACCCTACTTGCCATGTTTTCTTGGCAGAAAAGCAACATCCAACAGTGTAGAAGAGACTAATAGATTTATGAGTTGATGTCTTTATATTCCTTAAAATGCATTTGAATCATTGATGCAGTATTTCCACTAACCTAACATAGGCTAATTCTACATTGGTATTAAGTATAGAATTACACTGTCTCTTTCAATTACATTTCACAGAAGGTGGCAGATCACACATTCATACTTCTGGATTTCTCAATGTTCTCTTAATGTTTTTAAGAAGATGATCCCTGCACAAGTAGACCTCTCTGATAGTCTTTGATAGTACTCTTTAATACTTTTAAAGGGCAAAGGTTTCTTTCTTCTTTTTTACTTAAAGGTATTGAATAGATGGACAGATTATTCACTTAAATATAGCTGTTACTTTTTTATAAAATGGTGGAAATCTCTGTGAAAGATAAAGTGAGAATTTTCTAAGCCGTTTCTGTGCTAGTCTATTGCAGCTTAAAGAACAATGAATCATATGGTAACTTAGCAACGAAAACATCCATTACGCCATCAACACAATAATCAGATTATTATTCTCATTCATCAGATGGTAACATTTAGTTGAAAATATCATTGCAGGGAGGTATATAACTGGTAAATGGTATATAACTATATACATCTCTCTTCAGAGGGTTTGCTTTAATATTGTTAATTTGTTGTAAAACATGTATTGAATTTCCTATGATGGAAATTACACAATTGTGTTCTGCTGTGATTAAGTAGATATAAAACTTTGGTCCAGGGCATGCAAAAAAGGGAGGGAGGAAAGGAAGGAAGGAAGGAAGGAAGGAAGGTCATTCAAATTGAAAGAACTCTAATTTCCAGGGTAAGGGAGACGAATGCCAATCACATATATAAATTGCTTCCTTTGCTGCCAGTTCCAAATGATTCAATGGTGTTGATACAGCAATTTCCAATCCATGTTGCAGAAGCAAGCATGAAGATTCTAGTTTAGTGAGCATAGGAAATGGTCTTGAAGGACAGGAGAATGAGGTGCCACCAAGACAGTGATCAGGCAAGCACAGCTTGAGCCTATTCCAAAAAACAAATTTTGTAAACATTTCAGACCTGCCCCTTTCTAGTTTATACAAAAATAAAGTGAGGGATGGGGGGGAAGCACATTCAGACTTGCAAAACTCTATTACTTTAGCTGTACAATAAAAGTAGCACTTGTCTATATGGCATTGGTTTGTTACTCTGATCTACCTTATGGGGCTAAAGTCACAGACTACACATAACGTGCTGTACTATAGTGGGCAGATCTAAAGGAATCTAGATAACCAGACAAACCAAATCTGACTTCAGGTAATAAACTAGATCTGTTTCTAGAAAAAATAGTCTGATTTTTAATTAGGCTCAAGATTTTTTCCATTACAGGTTCTGATTATGCAATCCTATACAATTTTATTTATAAGTAAACACAAGTCAGTCCAAAGGGAATTAAATGTATGAATATTTTACTATTAAAATACTGATCTTATACATATAAGAAAAGGTGTTGCATAATTGAATCTTCCAGCTAAAATATCAATATGAAAATATTAAATATTAAAATATGGAAATGATAGTTGTCCCACTTATTTTTTTTCTCCTATTACATACTTTTTATGTATAAAATTCCAATGTGATGTTTGCACAGACTCCACCCAAAACAACTGAAGATGAGGAAGAAGAGGATGAAAACCATCCAGATCCTCTACATCAGATTATTCTTCATTTCAGTCGGAGTGCTCTCACTGAAAGAAGGTAACTAACTTCCTACTTACCTCCTTTTCTTCCTGCCTTTGTTATGCTACCCAGCTGTATGAAGAGCAACATTAAAAATAATAACATACAATGAATTTGACAAAAGAAATGATAAGGAATAGCAATAGCACTTAGACTTACATACTGCTTCATAGTGCTTTACAGCCCTCTCTAAGCGGTTTACAGAATCAGCATATTGCCCCCAACAATCTGGATCCTCATTTTACCGACCTTAGAAGGATAGAAGACTGAGTCAACCTTGAGCCTGGTGAGATTTGAAGTGCCAAATTGCAGTCAGCCGGCAGTCAGCAGAAGTAGCCCGCAGTACTGCACTCTAACCACTGCGCCATCATGGCTAATAACTAGAAAGTAATTACAAGATGGTGATGCATATAATATATCAAAACATAGGACTTCAGAAACAAAGAGTCACTTACCTTACTCCAAGTTTTCTTAAATACCTTTTTTTTATTGTTTTTAAAGATGCTGAGAATTATCAAGTTGGACATGGCATCTGTTTGCATGGTCATTTTAAAATGTTTTCTGGATTTTTTTTAAGTCAAAGGTGATACTGTGCTACTTAATGCAGCCTTAATCTTAAAGATTAAGGAGCATAAAAAAAGGTAATGTTTAAAGTCGAATACATATATCTCTTTCAGATTGAATTTTGCAAGTTTCCCAAAATCCTTTTAACATAATAGTAAAACATTTAGAATTAATTAAGGTTTTCTGCTGTAGGAACTGATTTTGTATTTGATATGATCAGAGATCAGCTGTATAGCAAAGCCATGGCTAGAATCTTTGTAACCATTTCCAAGGCATAATAGAAAAAAAAATTCTCATGTGGGGTAGATAGATATATTCTTCAATTGCAAAAGCACTGGGTAAATACATGTTTTAATAAAGAATCTGATATGGAATCTATACCTATAAGCTTATAAGATCGTATCATGTATCATGGGGTTGTAACAAGATGAAAGTTTCCCTGTTTTAATAAATCCTGCAACTTCAGTTCAGTAACTTGTAAAGCCTTTCCGGGAACAAATGTATTTCTTTCTTTCATACTTTTCTACAGCAAACTAGAAAATGATCCTTTGTACACTGCATATTCAGCAATGATGGCAAAGGTGAGTAATTTAAATATCTACCTAAAAACAATTTATATTTAGAATGTCATCTCTGTTTTTTTCAGGTACATCTGAAATCTTAAAATAATATTCAGCATTTTCTATTTGTGACTGCCATTTTACTGTTAATAATAGATTCTATTACTAATGATGTTACTAATCCATCTTTTTAAATGACTGTATCAGCAAACCATCAATCATAGAAAGCCACAGAAAAAACAAGGTAAATAAAGAGATAAAACAATCCAACAGCAAATTTTGGAGGAAAAAGAAGGATTCCTAGTAATAAAAGATAAAATTGACTTTTAGTTGCGCTGGATTTCATCGTGTTTTCATGGAAATATCTGCAGCTTTCATAGCAGTAATATAGAAATTGTCACTGCCTTGTTCAGGAACATCTTTTATTTTCCAGTCTAATCTCCAGTTTGACATTTTCTGGTTATCTTCCATCCCACTACTAATCAATCTAAATAGTATTTAGTTTTTTCAAGATCAACCAATATTATATACCCTGTTTCCCCCAAAATAAGACATCCCCTGATAATAAGCCCAATCGGGCTTTTGCACACATGGCAATAAGGCCAAGCGCTTATTTTAGAGTTCAAAAAAATATAAGACAAGGTCTTATTTTCGGGGAAACACGGTATTTACAATATAAGGTAAATTCTGTCCCCAAAGACTTTTATCTCATTGGATGTAAATCCATTAGAATTTACTGCTAAAAAATAAAAACCAAATCAAAATTTGATAAAATCATTTCTTCATTAAAGAGTTCTTCAACAGTTGCCCTCTATTGATGAATTTGGCTCTTGATCTTGCCAATTTAGATCAAAGTTTCCCTTAAATGTAGAGATTTAGAATATTATAGGATCTTAATTTCCCTTCGTACTGTACATCTTTGGCACACATAGATATTCCTACCCAACTCTTTCTTCTTTATTTATTCAATAAACCACTCAACTCTGCAAAATCATGGCCAGATGGAATAAATTTCTAAAAACAATTCATACATGGATGAAATATAATATATATACATTATAAAAGAAAACTTACTACTGGCCAGTTTTCTACTGAATTTTCATATTGCAATCTTATTCATGATTTCCCCCTATTTAGTAAACATTCCACTAAAGTATGTACATTTATTTACTTGCTCTATTTTTTTGCATTCTTTTCTCTTTGAAACACAACTGCCTTGATCTTTGAGACATTAATTTGCAAATCCATCCATGAAATGGTCAATCCTCTGCTTATGAACTGTTTTTTTAAAATGTCTTTGACTTGTTTCAGCTTATTATTTATTACTTATTATCTGAGTCTGTATTTTTTTTCTAATGAGAAAAGAGCTGTCAGAGTGAGCAAGATGGTAATGAGGAGGAAGAGGAAGAAGAAAAGGAGAAGACATTTGAAGTTAGTTGTTTTCTTTAAAATCAGATCATTCGTAATTTATATAGCTATTAGAAATGATGCAGTCATTTCAGATAGGGTGCCCATTTTATTCAAACTTCATAAATTAACATAATGTTATACATAATCATTATTATTTTTTAAATTTTTGACAATCATGTCTTTATTTCTTTCTCCTTACTTTTTTTCCTTTATTCTTTTCACCTTAATTTCTATCTGTCTTTTGTTCCATATTTAAAAAAAACCCACAAATGTTGCTTGCTGTTCTTTTAAAATTTAAACTTTTCCTTTTGCAGCATTTATTCCATGCCTATTACTTTATCAATTGTGGGTAAAACTTTTTATAAAAATCTGTTAGGGAAATTATTTTAAAAATAAGCCCTTAACAAATGTTGCTGCATTAGAGTGATTATCATGGCTAATTTATTCTTTTAATATGTGTTTTAATCGGTTTGTGAAAGTTTTTTTTTTAAAAAAAAGTTTATTGTTTTCAAAGTCTTACAAATTTGGTACTGATGGCAGATACCACAATATGTATCTTTATTCTGACATTCAGGAAAAAGAAATGGAAAAGCAGAAAACCCTCTATCAGCAATCCCGACTCCATGAACGTGGAGCTGCTGAAATGGTATTGCAGATGATCAGTGCCAGCAAAGGTAATACAGTAAAAATGGAAAGGTTATTTGATTTTTATTTATGTATTTCTTTGCATGTATATATTTCATTCTGTCTTGAAAAGAAAGTCAGTCAGTCATTAAACAGGCTATAATAAATTCACTTCTCACCTCTATGGATGATGTGTGCCTTCCTCAATTTCAGGTCCTCTCCAGAGGCCTGAGAATTTGAGAGTTTTGCATATTATCTTAGCTATTCCTAGCACTGCACTCTTCTGGTCAGAGAGCTTGTTGAATGTGGGGTCAGAATGTGGGGTCTCCCTTATTAATATTCAACAGAGCTTTCAAGTTGTTCCAGAATCTGTAGATCTGTGGAGGATTCCAGGACCTTCTCCCAGTTTAGGAGTCACAGCCTGAGTGTTCTTGCCACCACTGGAACCATTCTGGCCTTTATTTTTCACATCCACTCTAATTCCTCCTTCAGGCCCTGGTACTTCTCCAGCTTCTATACTCCTTCCTGATGTTGCAATCACTTGGCAACAATTGGCTATTACCTGCATATCCATCTGATTTTAAACTTGTTTTTAAGCTTAGAACTTTTTAAAATGATCATTTTGTGACCACAATGTAAGCACTGTATTCCTGATCGACAGGCGAAATGGGGCCCATGGTAGTTGAAACCCTGAAGCTTGGTATTGCTGTTCTAAATGGAGGTAACTCCGTTGTTCAACAGGTAACCACATTCATAGTTATGCAATTGTCTCTGTGGGTGCATATGCTTTTAAGAATTTTAAAGGCGACAATACCAGTTTGCATGAAATTTTATATAACTTTACTTTTATTTATTTGTATTTGCACATATTTTTTGATTCAAAATTTCTGAACAAATAATGGCCAAATTAAACTACTATTGCTCTCTGAATAGCACCTAAGCCCACCGAGTAATGTTCTTCACTTTTAGATAACATTGCAACTACGCCAAGATAAAACCTAGATTTAATGTCTGATCTTCAGCATGGGGTGATGCGGCGGGCTAGTAGTTAAGACACTGGGTTTGTTGGCTGGAAAGTCAGCAGACCAGGTTCGAAACCTGAATACCATGTGACGGGGCGAGCTCCCGTCCTCACCCCAGCTTCTGCCAGCCTAGCAGCTCGAAAGCATGCAAATGCAGGTACATAATAATAGGTACCACTTCAGTGGTAAGATATCAATGCTCCATGATGTCATGCTAGCCACATGAGCACGGAAATGTCTTCCGACAGAGCTGACTCAATGGCCTTGAAACAGAGATGAGCACCTATAGTCAGACATGACTAGTGGAGTAAAATTCATAGGGACTCTTTTATCTTTACTTCAGCGTGACTCGGGCCATCAATAAGTTGGAGGCCATGAATTCCTGAATCCTAAACACAGTACTGCTGGGAGACAGGTTAAAATCCCCAAGAACCCATTAGGCTTGTGCTTCAGCTTCTAATGAATGAGTATAGCATTTTAGGCAGGGATATAGCAGGAAAGATGATGCACAGCAGCAATAAACCTAGCTAATTTTTGATGCCCAACTTCACCCTCACTTCTAGTTATTTATAGTGTAGACCTTTAAAAGTGACGAAGGGCTCTCAAATTACTACTGCCACCACATCCATCTCTCTACCCTGGTTTGGAGCTAGTGCAAATTTCCAAATTTGGGTGGACAAATTTCCAAGATGGGAATTCCTACTCTGGGTCCACACAGGTCTGAGCTACACAAGCCAAGTTGGTAGACTTCTGCATGATCAAATCATGCATCAAGGACCTGATCACTTGTCCTACAAGAACTTTTATTAAAGACTGGAACCTATTATGGATTTTTTTTGCAGAAAATGGGGAAAAAAACCTGGTAATTTATGGATTTGCTAATTAAAAATTGTTGAATATGAGCAGAAGAGACTTATGATGTAATTTTAATGAGGAAGGAGTGAAAATAGATTTTGTAACTGGTGTAAAGAAGATTGGAAGTAATTTCTTTGGATATCTTTTGTTCTTTTTTCCATTTGAATTTCTTTTCATTTTTTTCAAATCTCACTCTATATTATTTAATGTTGATTCACTACTTCTGTGAAAATCCTTAATAAAAAGTATATATTAAAAAAAAATAAAATAAAAGGATCCTGTCACCTATCCTCAAGGGTGAATATTGAGGGTTGGTAGGTAGAAATTATCATAGTTATCTAAGAAATCAGCCTGTGAATTGTCTCTTTCAGATTGCTGTGATGTCCCCTGTGCCTGTCATAATACTGATGGCCCTTACCTCACTCTATCTCAGCCACCCCTATCCCCTCCCTTATTCCAGGCTTTACTCTAGGACCAACCCACCACCTCCAATTCCATGCCCATTTCCAGACTCCCCTCGTAGCAGCAAGGGGTCCAGCCAAGACAGCCTTTAAACATACCATATATAAGCTTACATTATCCAAGTTCCCAAGCCAAGCCCAAAGGTGCCAATAGTATGTTAAGATTGTAACTTATTCTTGTTTTAGCAAAAATATATTCTTGTCATTAAACAAACTCAGACTGTTTTTAATATAAATATTTTTCAATCTCTGATTCAGAAAATGTTGGATTATTTGAAAGAGAAAAAGGATGCTGGTTTTTTTCAATCTATCTCTGGCTTAATGCAATCTTGCAGGTAAAGACTTTCTGTGCTCAGCTGCATGTATGAATGGAATTTTGACTATATGCTATCACGTTGTTGTCAATGTCCATATAAATAGATTTTCTCTATGAAGATCTGTCCCTAATCTGATCTTTCACATCTTCAGTGGAATATACTTTTCCAAATTCATGTTTTTTCAAAAACTCTGGAGAAATGTGATAATGTGAACTGAGATGCAATGGATGGATTTTGTTCTGGGGCATGCATTAGTTTGCCCTTTAAGAATCTTTACAATATTTTCATGCCAGCATTCTTAACTGGTTCTTATTGTTAATAACAACAACAGTTTAAAGAGTAAATCTGTTTATCCAGGAACACCAGATTCTTACTGCCCTGACCATTGATGAAAAAAAGGAGAAAGCATTTAGTGGATTAAGCTAATTTTTGTCTCAATTGATATATTGCAGTGATATCAACAGAAAGAATATTGAAAAACTGGTTTGGGTTTAGGAGGTAATATTGATAGAGAAGAATTTAATACTGATTTCAGTGAAACTGTTCATCTTTCAAATGTATCATTTTTAAACCTTTATAATTCATTTTTTTATTGTTTGAATGATTTGCTAAATTATTATTCAGTCTTATTAGTTTCGGCAATCTTTTCTTTATTGTCTTTTTTTTAATAAGCGTTCTTGATTTGAATGCCTTCGAGAGGCAAAATAAAGCAGAAGGCCTTGGAATGGTTACTGAAGAAGGAACACGTATGTACAATGAATGAATTCAGATAGATTTACATTTATTTTTATTATTTTTTTTCAGCCCAATTGTTCAGTTCACTTAAGGTCTCTTTATTTAACCTCCTTAAAATGATGTGCGGTTAAACTATGCTGTTTCATTTAGTTTCCAAGAAAACATTTAATAAAATATATAATGTAATTATAACTTGCTTATTTTGTATTCTTATTATTTTTCTTTGATCCACAGTCATCATACGTGAGCGTGGTATGTTTGGGTTTACAGCTTTTGATGCTATTGTGTGTGGCAAATACAGAAAGAAATCTTCTTTAATTGCATCTTCATAGATATCTTTTAGGTTAACTTTCATGGTCTGCAGATGATTGTGTATGGGGCTTGAAGAAACAATTTGATGCTTAATTAAAGAAGCGTCTTTCATACCTAAGGCATGGTTTGATAATGACTAACCATTTCCTATTAGATTTTTAGTCCTGTAGTTTGATCATGAATGCTTTGGAGTGCTAAATATTTTAGCTTTGCTTTTTCTGTTTTATAGTTTGCTTTTATCATTTCCCCAAAGTATTTCTTTTTTTAAAAAGAACGAACTACTGTAAATTAGCTTACAGTATTTGCTTTTTATTACAATCACTTAGTTTGAAGGATGCTGTTGAAAGACTATTTGTTCTGCATGTTTAGAAACAATTGATTATCGCGTAATTCATTGTACTGTATATTTTCAAGGTGAGAAAGTACTACAGAATGATGAGTTTACTAAAGATCTATTTAGATTTTTACAACTGCTGTGTGAAGGTCATAACAATGGTAAGTGATGTGCAATATATTTTCAGCAATTTACTGTTTGATTTAAATCTTTGGGGAAATAGGTTATTCCAATATCTTTCATACTTAAATTGATTTTCAATTCTTCAATAGTTAATCAGTTTCTCAGATGAGGTGGACTCAGAAATAATTTTTCACATGTATAAGTTCTTTCAAGATACAAATCAAATTGCTATTTTATTAAATTCAAATCTAGTAAGTGAGAAGTTTTGCTATGTAATATGTTATGCAATTACTATTTCATATAACTTTCATTAAAAAGATTGCACTTCTTTCATATTATTAGACACAATTACTGTGGTATCCATCGGGGTGGTTATGAATGCAATTTCCTTTCAAAACAATACACAATTTTTCATTTTCTAAATGAACAAAAAAAATTATGAAAATAAGGAAGACTATATGAAATCTTTTATTTATATAGCACACAAATTATTTTACCTTTCAGATTTTCAGAATTACCTGCGCACACAAATGGGCAATACTACAACAGTGAATATTATCATTAGCACAGTAGATTATCTTTTGCGGCTTCAGGTAAACGGAAAAAATATTTTATATTATATCACTCTGTTTTGAAAATCCTTTGCCATTACAGGTTTTGGCTTTCATCATACTTGGTGTCTATTCTTTTTCCTTCTTACAGTTCCATGATGCAGTAATTGTGTCCTCTTTTTCAATTATATTGTATTAATTAAAAGAGAAGCAGCATGGCAACCAATTTGAATAGAAAGTGTAAAATCTAAGCTTGAAAAAAACCTAGAAGTATATTGATGACTCTTCCTAACTTTAATTTGCGGTAAAACATATTGGGATTTAAATGTTTGATTTGAATCACACTCAGGTTTTTCTTTTCCTACCTGTACCTTGAAGCTGAAGTATTTGATGTCTGAGGAAAAATTGATTTTTAAAATATTGCTTTACTTTATGCTTGCAGACACTGTGAGGGAATTAAAAATGAATGCTGTTTTCCTGAGAAAACAAATAAGCTGCTGCTTGATTTTCAAACATCCCCTGGTTTTATACACAGCAGTAAAGACACTGATGTGTAGAGATGTTTAGGCCAATCTTACTACGGCACTTAAAGAGCAGTCCAAAGAGGCTTGCAAAACTAAAAAGAAGGGATTTGTTTGGACAGAATGATTGGGAAGTTGTGAGCTGATTCCATCCAATTCCCAGGAATGTGAAACCCAAGCTTCAGGAATATCAGTATCCAGATCCTGACTCAAGGCAGAATATTTAAGTAAAGCAGCCTTTTCTAATCCAGGCACAAAAGACTTGAATTTCCATAATTTCTCAGACAGTTTTGTCATGGCTACGAATTCTGGGAATTAAAGTCAGTTTATTTAATGCTCCCAGGGCTAGAAAAGCTGAAGCAGGCATTTAAGTAGGTGCAGCATGCAGTCATTAACTTTTTTTTTAAATCTACATTTTAAAAGTTAGTTTGTGAGTTAGTAATTCTTCCAATTAGATTATCAGAAGTTAAACCCTGTTTAGGTTGGAATCCTGATTCTGGAGCACTTTTCCAGCTGGTTTTACTTGATCCTGACCTCAATAACTCTTCAGGACCAGGAGAAAATTGTTCTTTTCTACAAAAAAATAATAATAATAAATAGTATACATTTGCTCATTATGTCTTACAGTTTGTATGGGGACATATTTTGGGTTAAGAGTGTTTTGTTTTAAGATGTTTTAAATGCATATTGTGATGTAACAGTTTGTTACATTGTTTAACATCGAAAAGTAAACTTAATTGAAAGGCAGCATAGGAAGTGTTTTAAAGTAGTGTATAGTGACTGAAATAATAAAATATTCTCTTTTGGAGTTTTAAAAAAAGTGAGTAGTTTTTTATTTGCTATTGTTTGGATTCAGAATTTATTGGAGTAGACACAGATTTTATCATAATAATTAGAAAAAAAATGATAAATATAAAAATGATATATACGACAATTTCCTTCTGGAATACTGTTGGATTATTGTTTCATTAATATATACAGGAAAACCACATATTTTTTTATTCTTAGGAATCAATCAGTGACTTTTATTGGTACTACTCTGGCAAAGATATAATTGATGAATCTGGACAATATAACTTCTCTAAGGCTTTGGCTGTAACCAAGCAGATTTTTAATTCACTAACTGAATATATACAAGTAGGTAAAAACTTTCTCCTTGTTATATAATTTGCTGAATGAATGAATGAATGAATGAATGAATGAATGAATGAATGAATGATTATATGGGTGAATGAATGAATGACATGAATGGATGCCAAAGGTTTACTTTACTGGAATTAGTGGAATTTTATGATTACTGCCATTTGTAAAATCATTAAAAAAAAAAAGAATGAAGATAATATCTACAGATTGTATATGGAGATTCTGAGTCATCCAGGTCATGGTTGTCAAAAAGATGCTTTTTCAAGAGGCAACTGGACTTTTTAACAAACTGCATTACTGTTTGGTTTGGTGGCAGCAGTGCCTCAGATAGAAGAGCCATACAGAGAGTGGTGAGGACAGCTCGCTTCCTATTATTCAGGATCCTGCTTATAAGCATGATGTGCTTAGAGCTCAAAGCATTCCACACACCCACTTTATGGTCTGTTTCTGTTGTTCTGGGAGGAGGTTTCAAAATATTTCTATCAGGGCTACCAGAGGCTGTAACAGCTTTGTTCCCTATGCCATCCATCAGATAAACTTGCAAGATTTGTTTTTCTCAGCATGTATATGTATACATCCAAACTAGACTGTGCTGTTGTTCTGTGTCATATAATATATGTGGGTATAGTTTATGCTTATTTATTTATTTATTTATTTATTTATTTAGTCATGCTTATGTAGTGTATATTGGAGGTGGTGACCTTTGAGAACTGTATGCAATGAAATTTGATTTTAATGTATGCCAATCAGTGTAGATTTAGAGTGACAACGAAGTTATTCTAAGTCTAAGACTAAGACTTTCTGGTTTTTCTTTGAAGACGTTTCGCTTCTCATCCAAGAAGCTTCTTCAGCTCTGCTTGAATGAGAAGCAAAATGTCTTCAAAGAAAAACCAGAAAGTTCAGTTGAACTTTTGAAGAAGCACCTTCAGAAAGTTGTTTCAGAATGCCTTCTCACCTTCTAATACTTGCATCCAATTTCATTTTGTTTCATGTTTTGTTTTTCCATTTACCTTTGCTCATTGCATACCCTCGTTTATGTCTTTTCTGCTACGATCTAGTTTTATGGAAAGTATCTCTTAGAAGCTGCTATGTTTGACCTGTCAATAACAGATTACTAGAAGTTCTTACAGAGTAGTTTTGATGAAGTTTTAATAAATACATATTATCAAATTATTTTATGATGATTTTATTACAATTCTTATTCATTGTTACTATATCTCATGCTTTAGAGTATATTGTATCATTACTGTGTGTTTTAAGCTTTATATTGTTCATTGTTGCTAAATGGTCAGAGTTCTTTGTAGATTTAGAGCATGCTATCAATAATTAAATAATAACAATACTTATTGAGATAGATGCTTAAAAAGAAGAATTAAAACATCATTCTTTAATTGTAGGGGCCTTGCATTGGAAATCAGCAGAGTTTGGCTCACAGTAGACTATGGGATGCAGTTGTTGGCTTTCTTCATGTTTTTGCTAACATGCAAATGAAGCTTTCACAGGTAAATTTTATTCATCATCTTTGCTAAAAATGTAAATCAGTTGATCAAGTATATACATTTTATTTCATATTTCATAAACTAAGGTTTGTGAAGCTAGAAATAAGCATCACAGCCATGTGCCTGCTGATTTGTCCCACTACTCTCCTACCACACACACATAGCATTAAGTGCTGTAATCCTGATTTGAATTAAACCAGAGATGCTGGTTCCCCACCTGAAATGGGAAAGCTTAAGTTTGATCTATTAGAGAGTCAGGATTTCTGATTTAAGTGAACACGGGATTGAAACACAACAAAGAGCACATTTGAATTTAAGAACATAAGATTTTGATAGTGGTTTGCTCTCAGAGCTTGCCATTTAGTTTCTGAATGTTTCATTACCAGCTAGGTAACATCATCAGTAGGAGTTTTGTAGAAGTGTCTTGTCCTATTCTTCTTTGGCATGTATATGTCATGTGTGCCAGTATGGTCAGCTGGCCGTTTGTTTGGTGCTATATTTAAATTCTGAGAAGCTGATTGGTTCCCTCTTGATTGGTCGTTCAAATGGTCTGGGTTTCTTATGTGTTCATATGCTGGATCTAAATGAATATGTTTGTTAATTATCTTTTTGTAGAATACCCGGCTTCAATAAATTCACATGTGTGGCGGATGTTGGCATGACCAATGATTTTTGTTCCTTCCCAATTGAACTGGTGGTGTTCATTGTCAATGTGGTTTGAGATCAGGGATTTTTGGTCATGCTGTTTAACTGCTAGCCGATGTTCATGAATTCTTGTTTTCAATTGCCTTCCTGTTTGTCCGACATTGAATTGATTATAAATTTTGCAATTCATTTTTTATGTTGTATATTGTTGTTTATGTTATATATTATGTTGCTGTTTATATAAGCTAAAGAGGAATAAGACAAAACACTTCTACAAAACTCCCACTGATGATGTTACCTAGCCTGGTAATGAAACATTCGGGAACTAAATGGCAAGCTCGGAGAGCAAACCACTACCAAAATCTAAAATCTGAGCAACAAGTATTTTCTATTATTTCAATGTAAGATTTTGGTTAGAAGGTTGATCAAAGGCTGTTGTGATCTAGTATTATAAGTCACAAGTTGGCCAGCTAAATGCACCAAGAAAGCCCAGCAGTGTGCATAGAAGACAAACCACTCTCTACTACAATTACTCCCTAACAACTGGTATTTAAGGTAGGCTACTTCTGATTCAAGAGATGGTAGATAGTTAATAAGATTAGTAGCAATTGATAATCCGATTCTTCATCTATATTCTTTCTTTCAACACACTGATGCTGGTTAATCTCATAATTTAATGTACTTTGTGTAAAAGAAAAAGCAAAAATAAAATGTCTAGCACAAGATAGTTCTTTACAATATGTGTAATTTACCTGCCAATGTCCGTCACATTATCCTATCTATTTATTCGAACATCAAGAGTACTTCCTATTTGTCTTAGGAAATGTCTCTTTGATGTTTCTTGAGAAGGCATACATTTTAAAAAATGGCATGAATCCATTTCCTTCCAGAGATTCACAGAATAATTTCCTGTCACTAAAAGGCAGTTTTTGCTATTACTATTTCTCTTTCCACCCTTCTTCATATGTCTTATACTGTTCTGGATAATTGTCTAATCCTCTGGGGCAGATTTCATAGACATCCAGACATTATGGGAAAGAACAAACTGGATAATGAGAGAATGCCTTGATCTTGAAAGTGGCATCTTGTTCAGGGGGCATCTTAATATAACTCAGTCACCAAAATCTTTTAGTGTAATTGTGTAGTGTTATTCCAGATATCCTTTTACCTGGCATAGTAGTTCAATGATCAGCTGCATTTAGGTATTTATAAAATTTCTGCCATCTCTTTTGGTTCCAAAGTACCTTCTTTGCAGTTGATCTCAGATTTGGTCCCTAGGGCCTTTAGTTAAAAGGAAACAGCTGCTATGGAAGATTGCTGCTTGACACTCTGGAGTTGGTAAATTGCCATGTATCCTCAATGGAATAGATAAGGTAGCTTTCATTGTTCTATGCCTTACCTTGGATAGCATTTTCTGCACTTAAGCATTCTGCCAGACACACATAGCTCATTGGTTCCAATCATGTAAAACATAACCATGTTGAATTGAGTCGAAGTTTAGATCATTTTAAAAGTAAATGTTAACTTTATATGTATCCTAGGATTCCAGCCAAATTGAATTGCTGAAGGAATTACTGGATCTTCTGAAGGATATGGTGGTGATGCTGTTGTCACTGCTTGAAGGTGGAATTTTTTATAAAGTGTTATTCCTTCCATTGCTATAAGTCACAATAAAATTAATTTGAAAAAAAAATTCTCAATTTAAGCTGTATTGTATTTACCACAGTAATTCTGCCTTGTAACTTGAAAAAGAAATTGCAATAGATTTAAACATATAATAAAGTTGAATAGTAGTTGCAAAGCTAATTTAAAGCAACATTATAAAACTGGAAATAGTTGTAATCATTTCTAAAGGTGATTATAGATTAAACTTTATATCTGCATTTCAATTAAATGTTTACATTTGTGATTTAGGTAACATTGTAAATGGCACAATTGGGAAACAGATGGTAGATACACTGGTCGAGTCATCGAGCAATGTAGAAATGATTTTGAAGTTCTTTGACATGTTTCTCAAGCTGAAAGATTTAACAAGCTCAGAAGCCTTCAAAGAATACGATTCGGAAGGAAAAGGAATAATCTCAAAGAAGGAATTTCAAAAAGCCATGGAAGGTCAGAAGCAGTATATGCAATCAGAAATTGACTTTCTACTGTCCTGTGCAGAAACTGATGAAAATGATATGTTTAACTATGTTGATTTTGTTGAAAGATTTCACAAGCCAGCCAAAGATATTGGGTTTAATGTGGCAGTGCTCTTAACAAATCTCTCAGAACACATGCCAAATGATTCACGCCTTCAAACTCTATTACATCCGGCAGAAAGTGTCCTTAATTATTTTGAACCTTATCTGGGACGTATTGAGATCATGGGTAGTGCCAAGAAGATAGAACGAGTTTATTTTGAGATTAGCGAATCCAGTAGGACACAGTGGGAAAAGCCCCAAGTGAAAGAATCAAAAAGGCAGTTTATTTTTGATGTTGTAAATGAAGGTGGAGAGCAAGAAAAAATGGAGCTTTTTGTCAATTTCTGTGAGGACACCATTTTTGAAATGCAGTTGGCTTCTCAGATCTCTGAAACTGATACAATTGACAGAATTGAGGAGGAGGAAGAGAGTGAAGCTTGCTATCTGAGGGAGGTTGGAGAAGACGAGAAAGAAGAACAATCTTTTGAATCAGCTTCAGCATTTGCAATGGCATGTGATGCAGTGAAGAAATACGCTGCCACAATTTTCAAGACCATTAGACTGAAAAATCTAAGGAAACAGTATAGAAAAGTGAAAAAAATGACCTTTAAAGAACTGGTGAAAGTGTCCTTTTCTTCTCTTTGGATGCTATTTATAGGATTCTTTCAAATGTTTCTTACTATAATATGGAGCATTTTTCAGATTCTTTGGAGTACTGTATTTGGTGATGGCCTAGTTGAAGGGGCCAAAAACATAAGAGTTACCAAAATTCTAGGAGACATGCCTGATCCAACACAGTTTGGAATTCATGACGATGTGCTTGAAGCAGAAAAAGTGGAAATTTTGGAACATGGCATTGCAGCTGAAATCGTGCAGTTTGTAAAAAAAGAAAAAGGAGAAAGCGACCTCTTATCAGATATTTTTGATATTTATACAAAAAAGGAAAGTGGATCAAAACATGGTCATGATATTGGCCTTGGGGACATTGCTGGTATTATTGGATCAGAAACACCTCCTTCTTTGGAAAGTGCAGTTCATAAGAAGAAGAAAATTCAGGTAGGTAAAATAATGCATGTGCTATGTATTATAGATAGATAGATAGATAGATAGATAGATAGATAGATAGATAGATAGATAGATAGAAAGATAGATAGATAGATAGATAGATAGATAGATAGATAGATAGATAGATAGATGATAGATAGATGGATGGATGATAGATGGACGGAAGGAAGGATGGATGGATGGATGGATGGATGTCATCAACATGATTTTAATTAATTGAAACATTCTGTATATTTTCAAAAAATTTCAGCTACCTGAAGTTACAAGGGATGATGAATCAGAAACAAGAACAGAATCTGAGAAGGCTGAGTAAGCTATGTATAGTTAAACACTGTTGATGTGTTTTTTTAATGTTAGAAAATGTGGTTGAAGAAACTTTATTTTGAATGAGGCTTTCTAACAATTTTACAATGAAACAGTCAACTTTTTTCTCCATATTTTAAGTCCAGTTAATTCTAATGGGGCTGACAGACAGAAACTTTATTTTGGTCATTCATCAATAAAAAATACATTCAATAAAACAAACAAAGCAAAGTTAAACCCTAACATCAATGACTAATGGCAATAGTTGTGAGGGAAGCTTACCATAATATAGCTTTTAGCTTTTAGAGAGAAAGCTTTATTGTGGTTATTTAATAAATAGTACAAATAACCATTTTTGAAGTGTCCCCCCAAAATGGATAAAAAAACGGTAATCAGCTGATAGCAAATGCCTTGTAGAACTAGCAGTACGAAAGAACATGGGTTTGGTTTCAATGGCACTTTTGTCACAGTGTTGCTTTCTAACAAAATATTTGAAAACCAAAGCAAATATTTTTGTTAATAATATAGTTTATAGAATTGCCTGAAAATTTAATCCAAGAGCAAAATAAATAAATAAATCTTAATTACAGTCTTTTATTTACAACCACAATTGGGATTGGAAAATACATTAAGTAGTGTGATTGTTAAGTGAGGCATCGTGTGACTGCATCCAATTTTGCAACCTTTTTTGCTGAGGTCATTAAGTAAGATAGCACATGATTGTGATTTGCAGCTTTTACTGCCTCCATTGCAGTGGTGGGTTGCTACTGGTTCGCCCCGGATTGGGCAAACTGGTAGCGGCAGCAGGAGGCTCTGCCCACCCGCCCGGACATCTCTGCACATGTGCAGATGTGTCATGCGTGTGCCCAAGCGAACCGGTAGCGACTGAAATTGAAACCCACTACTACCCCATTGACTTTCATGTCTACGAAGGTCACAAATAGCAATCATGTAATCCCACCATGCAGCAGCAGACATAAACATGAGACCATTGCTAAGAACCTGGGCTGCAGTCATATGACTGCAGAAATGCTACAGTGATTTTATGTATGTGGTAAATCACATTTTTCAGAGCAATTGTAACTTCTAATGATTGCTAAACAAATGGCCCTGAGTCAATGACCGCCTGTATGGTTTTGTTCACATTTTCACTCCTTTTTTAGTTATATCAACACAATAATTTGTCTTTTTGAATAAAAAAAAAGATCTATTTAAATTTTATATTTAAAATTATCTAACTCTCCTTACATTATAAATGCATTTATACTTACTCTCAAACTATATAATATTTAAACTATTAGGCAACTGCTGTTTCACCATATATGTGTGTCCATAATCCCCTTGACTCTCGTTGGCAAGATTACAAGTATTAAGAGGCAACATTTCAAAGTCAAGGAAGTAATAAAATGTGATCTGTTTCCACTGTAGTTTGAAAACTGATTACACCTTTGATCATTATTGTTGCATATTTTCAATTATTATCGTCTATTAAACTGTTGTTTATGGAGTATTAGCCCAGAGAAATTCTTATGCCTTGCAATCTCTACAACCGCAGAATGTAAACCATGGGAATATATTAAAAGGCACCTTCATGCACAACAAACATCTGATTGGAAATTTTAATGGGATAAGTGTCCTAATACAGAGAAAATTGGCAATTAAAAACTGATCCTGGCCAATCTTATTCTACTAATTTGTATTTTCCATGTAATATGCAATTAAAATGTTATTATTACGCAGTTTTTGTACTTCTCTAAATTTTGTTTTCATTTGCCAAATGAAAAGATTAAACAGAGGAAATTGCTACAATGCATGCATTCATTAACATTTGTATATAAAATGCTTTTTGGGCAATTACAGAAATTGATATATGTATATTGAAAAATGCACATCTTCAAATTCATCTGTCCTAAATGTTTACCTCTTAATTAACTTTGTACAGTGTCTGACTTTCCATGGTTTATATCTGGGCATTGTAAAAATCTAATTCATAACATGTCATTTCCCTATAGCATGGAAGATGGTGAAAAACACGATAAGATAAAGGATGATGTATACTCTGAATATTTGGAAGTGGAAGAGCCTAAGAAAAGAAAACGACATGGACACAAGTTAGAGAAGCCAGAAGCAGTTATGGCTAATTTTTTTAAAGTACTAGAGATCTATCAGACAAAAGTTTTGGTATGTTGAATCTCTTTTAAATAATAGCATTTTAAACTTAAAAAGAGTTGTGATGGCTCAGCGGTTAAAGACGCTGAGCTTGTCAACTGGAAAGCTGACAGGCCAGGTTCAAGACAGGGTAGAGTTCCTGTTATTTGCCCCAGTTCCTGGCAACCTAGCAGATCAAAAACATGTAAATGTGAGTAGATAAATAGGTACTGTTTTAGTGAGAAGGTAGCAGCATTACATATACCTTGGTATATAGTCATGCTGGCCACACCACCACTGAAGTGTTTTTGGACAATGCTGGTTAAGAAACGGAGGGGAGCACTGTCCCCTAGTGTTGGACATGAATGGACAAGGGAAACCTTTACCTTTACCTTTATTTTAAACTTAAAATAACAACTGGGGCAGGAGTGAAATGCTACCAGTTCGGACTGGTTTGGGAGGACCGGTAGCGGAGATTGAGGCTAGTTCGCCGTACCGGTAGCAATTGGTGGTTGGCCATGCCCCTGAACCGAGCCACGGCCTGCAGTCCTGCCAAGCTTCCCTGCCTTCCCATGTAGCCTTTCCGTGTCCAGCTTGCGAAGGCAGGCAAGTGGAAGGCCAGGTGGAAGGCAGGCAAGCTTCGCAGGGCTGTGGGGAAGGGAGCTAGCAGTGTACACCCTTCCCAGCGTGCCCTCCTCCTCTCCCAGGTGACAGCCAGGGCTTCGCCGCCACCTCTTTTCCTCAGAGGGGCAGCATCTGCCTCCAAGTCCTTGCGGAGGGAGGGACACACACACACACACACACACACACAAACACACACATCCCTGTTGCCCCACCACCACCACTACTTTTGCTGTCGGCTTAAAGTCAATCTTGAAGAGCTGGAAGACATTTCTTTACAATGCCGCCAAACTCATTGTTGGGAGCGTCAGTGATCTAAGGAAACGTCTTTTTACACCTTTTCTCCATTACCCCACCTCCCATTTTTCCATTCTTTGCCTGGATTCTGCTAATTACACCTTCTCCTCCCCATTCCCCACCTTGTTTTTCCATTTCTGTGCTGTATTCTGCTTCTGCAAGAGAAGGCTCCGATGTTCACTTGGGTGGTGGAGGGAAACTCAAAGCGTTGGGGGCTTCAGAAGGGCAGAATGAGCTTCAAAATGTGCAGCTCCTGGTTCTAGCAATGAGTGACGTCAGGTTGGCCACACCCACCCAGTCACATGACCACCAAGCCACGCCCATCAAGCCACACCCACAGAACCGGTAGCAAACATTTTTACATTTCACCCCTGAACTGGGGTCTGGGTGGCCTTTTGTAAGGGAGATTGAAAAGGGAAAAGAAAATTTGACATGAAATATAATTAATGTTAATATAATCAGTTTAATTGAAACAAATTAATAAAGTTATTATGATTTGCAGTTTGAAAAATTATATAGATTTCCTTATCATAACATTTTAGCTCTGAACCTTTTTTATGATTTAATTATATTCTTTATCTTCTTTTTTTTTCTCCAGCACTATTTGGCAAGAAATTTCTACAATTTACGATTTCTCGCACTTTTTGTTGCCTTTGCCATCAATTTTATTCTGCTCTTTTACAAGGTAATGTAAATACATCTATTCTATGCATAGTGTCTAAATTTTCAGAGTGATATTTACAACATTGAAAATCTTAGCTAATTATTACTATAAATTAGGTAATGAAAGTGAATACTAGTATTATTGCTCGAATAATGTTATATTCCAAATACATTGATGCATAAATAGTTCCACCTATTTGCAAAGAATTGGTCTCTAGGAGAAGCAGAATTGGTAATACTTTTTAAAATTCTTTCTTCTCTCTGCAACCTCCAACATCAATTTATAAGCTGTTCTGAAATATCCTGCAAGAGGTTTTGAAAATCATTCTGGGAACTGCAAGGGACAGGAAAGATAGGAAACATTTTTCCATTCCTTTCCACCAACTCTATAGAATCTATTTCCATATCCATCAATAAGTTACTAATTCAATTAAATCGCAAACAGATGAAAAATCTTAGTTACATATTTTTATGTTATTATTGGTTTCTATTCTAGTATTTTATATGTCAATAATAATGTTTTACAAATGAAAGTATTACGTGTGCTTCATATATACTATTTTTGTTATAGGACTTACAGTCTGGTAGAACAGGACAATTCTATTGTTACCTTGGTTGTTTTCTTTAAGACAATTATAATATTTTATATTTTCATTCACTAATTAATACAAAAATATAGTATGCTTGCGATAAGAAGACTCATAGCAAGCCATTTGAATTGCTATCACACTAATCCACTGATTTTATGTTTGAATAAGTTATGCTGTGTTTAAAATAGTATCGTACATATTTTTATGGCTTTGAGAAGCATTATCTAGGAATTTGTTTTATACCCATATGAAGAAGGTGTGTATGTGTGAATGACAGGTGACAGAAGAACCATTTGAAGAAATGGAAGAAGATTCTGATTTATGGCAATCTTTAGATGAAGATGAGGATGAAGAAGGAATGGTGTTCTTTGTCTTACAAGAGAGCACGGGTTATATGGCACCAACACTTAGGGCCCTCGCTATTATTCATACTATTATTTCTTTCCTATGTGTAATTGGATACTATTGTTTGAAGGTTAGTCATTTCCTTTATCTTGATGTAACCATTAATACAAATTCCTTTCTTGTCATATCACTATTATATAAAGAGACACATATTTCCTCACTTTTCCATCAAGTCACTTGGCTACTATGTATTTATTGGTTAGACAATATTAGAAAATTTGGAAAAACTATGTTTGCCAGCATTCCAGATGGTTTCAGGAGGGTACGTGTTGGTCTGGTCCAGTGAGAAGAGCTGATTTTTTAGCTTAACCTTTTCTTTTTGGAAGTCTGAGAATAAGGATAGGAAAAGATTCTGAGAGATAAATTTTTCCCACCCCTCCCTTAAAACCATCCCAGAGAATACCAACCTCAGAAACCATGAAATGAGATCCAAGATTGAAGAACAATGAGGATCATAAAGAAAATTAAAAGACAGAACGAAAGACCAAATCAGCAAAATCACAAATGCAAAATATATTGAAGGATGGATAGATTCTGTATCTTAAATAACGATAGCGTGTCAGACAATCGTAGGCAATAGCTTAAACTAAAGTAGCAACAACTAAGTTCAAACAGATATCAGAACCCAAACATAAACTAGAAGATATGATCAAAAAACAAACCAGAATTCAAGACAATGAACAAGTCCAGAAATGCCAGTCAAAGTAGACTTTTTTTTTTAAAATTTGATTTATATGCCGCCCTTCTCTTCATACTTTTGTATATTTATACAAAGTCAGCTTATTGCCCCCACAAACTGGGTCCTCATTTAACCTACCTTAGAAAGGATGGAAGGCTGAGTCAACCTTGAGCCTGGTAAGATTCGAACCTGCAGTAATTGCAGGCAGCTGTGTTAATAACAGGGTGCTTTAGACCACTGTACTACCAAGACTTAAGTTATATCCTGTTATTAAAGCAAGAGTCATCTGGAAAAGGATGGTTTTTATATTGCTTCTTGCCCAGATAAAGCCAATACTAAAAAAAAAGTATATTGAAGAAGGACATTTAAAGACAATGTGCAAATCCCTGCACAAATCACTAATTTATCATACAAGCAAAGTTTTGCTTAAGATTTTACAAAGAAAGTTAGTGCCATATGTGTAGAGAAAAATTTCTAATGAGAAGACATGAGATCAGACTACTAATATAAGGTCCTTCAAAAGTTATGCAGTTCATCACAGAGGTTTTTAAGAAGAAATTGGACAGCCATTTCTCTGAAATGGTATAGGGCAGTGATGGCTAACCTTTTTGCCATTGCGTGCCAGGAGGAGGGGCGGGGGAGGTTCGCGTGCACGCGTGCCCACACCCATAATTCTATGCGCCCCACCCTGCGCATGCGCGTACAACCCCCACTCCCCCCCACTCCCGGCACGCGATGGCCCGGTAGGCCCGTTTTTCTTTCTCACCTGGCTCCAGATCCTCTCTATGCATCTGGGGAGGGCGAAAACAGCCTTCCCTACCCCCTCGGAGGCCCTCTGGAGGCCCAAAATGACCTGTTTCCCAACTTTCGGTTGGACAGGAAGTGACACTTTTTGCTGTCCCCAGCCTCCAGAGTTATGTTCCAGTGGTTGGACTAGAAAACCTCTAAGTTCCCTTCCAGCTCTGTTATTCTGTAGTTCTAGAATCTGAGAAAGCGACTTACCAGAATAGTTAAAGTTACAGACTTTTCCTGGTAGTATGCAGCTATTTACTTATATTCATTTATTCCTGGAGGAAATTTATGTGGTTAATAAGAGTTGACACTTGCTTGATGACACATAATCAATATTGATTTATATGGCCAATAATTTCACCAATGGCAACTTTGGGCAATGAATGAATAAAAAAAACAACAGCAAAAAGTACAAAATAATACAATACAAACATAATGGAATCTGAAGACAATCTAACTGAATCGATATAATAATAGTCGTAATATCAATAAGAAAAGCACCCAAGCTATGATAGGTGAACATTGAGAAAAAGAAAAAATTACAGATTTGGAGATGGTTATTAAAAGTACCCTGGATTGCAAATAGTATTGATAAATCTAAAGGCTGAAACAAATAAAATTGACTGCTTCCTTTGAATGATTATTAGCAAGCAGAAACTCGCATATCTGGGTACATGATTTAGATGAATGATGCATTTCACAAAAACCTGTGCTTGAGAAGTAAAAGTAAACAAAGACAATGGATCAGGTGGATGAATAACATCAAAGAAATTACTAGAGTGTTAGAAGAGCTGCAGATCCTGGGAACAATGTGAAGTATTCTTTATATAACCAGAAAGCACTGGCCTGATTCGATGATATCTTAATAACATACATAGATCTTAAATGCATAGATTTCAGTTAACATTAAAGATTGTCTAGCACTGAAAAAAGTATCCAAGTCTATGCTTACATTTCATCTTATATATACCTTATGTATTCTTATTTAATTGTATAATTTGTGCTAAATAAAAGATCCTTCGTCTGTTATTTTATTATGTTGCAAACAGGATTAGATCTAAATATGCTTATTAATAATTTATAAACTATTGATCAATAGATACATTGCACTAATCCTGAACCCAATTCAATTTCTAGATCAAATAGCATTTATTATTTATATAATATTGATTATCAGATGGTTGCACATACAGTCATTTAAAATTATAACATCGCTTTGTAAATAACAATATCATATTTGTTATAATCATTCACTTTATCTATAATGTTTTTAAAAGCAGATTATTTAGAGTGAAACTCAGTTATGCTATAAGTGTTCAGTCAGCTCCAAGACAATGTAAAATATTTACCTTCATTTCAAAATTTGAGATCACTAAAATACTTCAAAATATCTTTCCCTAAAGGTTCCCTTGGTTGTATTCAAACGTGAAAAAGACATTGCTAGGAAGCTAGAATTTGATGGTCTATATATTACTGAACAACCATCTGAAGATGATATTAAAGGGCAGTGGGATCGTTTAGTCATAAACACTCCGTAAGTGCCACATTGTTTATTGAATTCTAATAGGATTTTATTAAGGCTTACTTTGACAGTGTACACAACATAATTCTGTACAGGTAAAATTATGATATTTTATGTATGATACAAATCACCATTTGTATTGATATAGGCACTGACCAACTTTCTATATAACAAAATTTTGTGTGTAGCAGCATTGGATATGGCAAGTTGCTTAAGAGAATTCTGCTTTCCAGAAGATACCACTCGTCTGATATAATGCAAGATAACTTTATATGTTCATTAGCTGCAACAATGATATTGTTGTTATCTATATGGTGTTTTAGTAGTAATTGTTACTATTGCTATCCTTAATTGTCAGTCAGGAAGCAAGAATGGGAAATATGCTCTTTTATTTTTGCCTACATGGAAAATATTTAATGATGCTCCTTATCATCTCTTCACTTCAATAACTGACTAGAGAAGCAACCCAGAGTCATTATGATGAGATGGAGGGGCCATAAAGATTTAAATAAATAAATAAATAAATAAATAAATAAATGAATAAATAAATAAATAAATAAATATTATTATATTATTATACATATTATTCCAATGTAATATTTTCTTAAGCAGACAATTTACTCCCTTCTTTGTGAGGGCTTAGTCTGACAAGATCTGAACCAAATGCTGGATTAGTAATAATGCATAGGTATAAGCCTTTTTTGCTGGTCAAAAGTTTGAGGGGCCCCAACCCCTTATGGCACACAGGCAGAGAAAAGGGAAAAATAATTAAATATTGCTTGTATATTACTTCCATATTACACTTGAACATTGTTGGATTTCTTTTTAATGGTCTTTTGACTATTGTGATAAATATACTTAATAGAAAGTTGTAACTTTGAATCGCTGCCTCGGAGTCTCTAGTGTTTTCAGAGAGAAGTTTTACATGCTTGTTGTTTTGTAAAATTTGAGGTGAGAAGGACCCCAAAGCTGCTTTTTTCAAGAGGCAACTGGACTTTCTGGGTTTTTTTTTGAAGATGTTTCACTTCTCATCCAAGAAATTTCTTCAGCTCTGGCTGGATGGTGGAAAATAGAAGGATTTATACTCCTTGCAGACAGCTGGTCATTTGAATTCTTTTTAGAGAGTCATTGAGGCTACCTGGAGGTTTATCTGTGTCATCAGGGTCACCTGAGTAGTATAAATGGGTGTGGAGCCTTTTTGGAACTCTTGAAAAGACTACATTGTAGACTGGAGATAGAAGATGTTGTATCCTTCCCCCTCTGTTGAGAGACAGCTGTTCAATTTTGACAGATTCAATTTTGACAGATTCAATTTTCAACAGTTCCAAGAAGGCTCCACACTTATTTGCACTACCGAGGTGATCCTGATGACACAGATAAACCTCCAGGTGGTCTCAATGACTCTCTAAAGGAATGCAAATGACCAGCTGTCTGCAAGGAGTATAAATCCTTCCATTCCCCACCATCCAGCCAGAGCTGAAGTGGCTTCTTGGATGAGAAGCAAAACATCTTCAAAGAAAAACTGGAAAAATCAGTTGCCTCTTGAAAAAAAACAACTTTGGGACAACCATGACCTGGATGATCAAGAATCTCCCTAGAGATTGAGATGAGTAGGAATTTCTTGGTCTAATTTTTATTTAACTACTGGCTGTATACTGAGTAGTAATGCCTGTTGAATATTATTTACAGTTTAGGTAAGAATGCAAATCTGACCGTGAGATTATTAGTATTAAGCTAATTCAGAAAAATCTCAGAGAAGAACCAAGTTCAGAAGCCTCTTGTTACAAAGGTTTGCAAGCATAATAAAGTAGAATTACTAGTCAGCAGTCCTTTGTTTTTAATCTCTTTTTCTGCTGCTCCCTTCATTGTGGAGGAATTTTATTACTTCTACAAATAGTACTGGAAGCAGGGTTTGCCACTCACACAGTCATAGCCATATATTTATCATATACTTCAAGATCATTTACATTCCCTTAGCTCTTCGTTTTAGGAAAAACTTATTCAGAATTGAAGCATAGACAAATAGTGTTTTATACAGTATCCAATTCTCCCTGAGAAAACACCTTGTTCCTGCATGAACAGAAATTTGTGAATGAAGTTAAATGAATACAATGAAAGTAATACATTAAAGGATGAATTCTGTTTCAGGGAAGAACTTAACTTTTCATCATATTTATCGATGGGTGTAGATATTCATAAATGTTTTACTTTTAATACTAAGATGCTTGTTTTCTTATAGGATATTTTTAAAAACAACTAGTAACCCTGTCTCAATAAAATCTGATGAATAATAAGAAAACCATCAAAGAACAAAAAACAATCTAAGTTTATCGTAAACATAGATCCATTTAGATCAACTATCAATTTCAAAAAATAAGAATTTTTAGACATATATACTTTTATAGACTAGTTTCTATTTCTTTAGATACATAGATAAATAACGAGGGAGACGGGGGGGAGAGGGAGGGTTGTGACCACAGGGTGGGGAAATAATTAAAAAATGGGGAAAATATAGGCAAAGAAAGGAAACTGTTCCTATGATGCCATCATTCTCTTGAGCTTTTTTGCCCTGTCTGATACTCCATGAAAGAAACTTTTATTCTAGAGTTTGTGTGAACATAATATCTGCATAATGTGAACTAACATAAGAAAGCACCAAGGCAATTAAAGTATTTTTAGTGAGAATGGGATTGTGGATTTTCTTCTGGTTTTTTTTATGTGTGTGCGTAGGAGGGCCGTTATTACTGGGTCATCTTTTATTGGTGGTTTGTTTGTTTGTTTAATTAAATTTGAATAATTATTTTGTCTTTGTACAGATCTTTTCCTAATAATTATTGGGACAAGTTTGTGAAACGAAAGGTAGGTTCCTTAAATATTTTTTTTTCCAAAATAAAAATATTAAATAAAAGATAGTAACCCATGTTTGATAATAATAAGCACATATTGGATTGGTCCAAGATGTTTCTGCAGAACATTAGGAACATACATACTCCAAAAACGATCTCTGCATACTCTTCTCAATGGTAATTCGTTTATTTTTAGGATTTTGTTATGTTTGATTGCTCTCACTGGGGAGATTTCCCCCCCCCCCTCAATCTACCCCTCCTTTGTGTGACAAAGCAGTCTTTGAAAGAGCATCAACTTTGAAATGCAAAATTTTTTAAAAACTTAGTGAGAACTTGAATTAAAACATGATATTTTATATATATTTTTTTCTTGAAGGTAATCAACAAGTACGGCGATTTATATGGAGCAGAGCGCATTGCAGAACTCTTAGGTCTGGACAAAAGTGCTCTGGATTTTAGTCCTGTGGAACATACCGAACCAGATGAAGCCTCTTTTATTTCATGGTATTATTTGCTTTTAGGTTTAATAACCTGAAATGTATTAAAATAATACAACAGATTTTTTTTTGTTTTATTTTTATGTTTGTGGTTATGCATAGACAGCCCTGTGATAGAAAGCCAAAGTCTTAGCAATCTAATCCTATGCATAGACAGCATGTGTTTGTGAATTATAATGATGATCTGGAGAGTTTTGTGCTGTCACAAATTATGTTATTATTCAGTTCATGGATCTCAGCAACCTAATAAGAACAAAATATAAATAGCAATACTGTTATGGTTGTTATAGCTTTGAGGTTCATTAATTATTTGGACAAAAATATCTATTTTTAATATGGTCTGTTGTGAGAGATGGAATATTTTAACTATGCTTTTATGAATTACGAATTGTTGGCGATCTACAACTATACTTAATCAATCAATTGCTTATTTCACAGGCTAATATGCTTAACTATAATTATTTTTTTAAAATGCTAGATTATTGGGCATCTTTGTTTTGAGTTTGTAGAGTAACACAATAAATTATAACTATCATTCTTTCTAATAGAGAAATCCCTTACAGATTGCACCATATAATGGAGCTTAAACATTTTGCTTATGGATTGTCGCTTGAGAGCATATCACTATACATCAGTGGCTAATTATCTTTATTCAATTTCTTTTGACCAAAATTACTTTAAGAAAGATTAGGGAGATAAAGTTTAGATGGGAGTGTAATATTACCTTGAAAGCAGAGAGCTGGCCTGATTCATTACAACATTATTACAAAATTATCACATACGAATGGAACACAGATATTTTTGGTTTTTTTGGTTATATATACACTGGAGCTGAAGTACTTATGCCTACCATTTATAGTATTGTAAGTAAGTTAAAGAGATCAATCATCTTAAACAATAGCATGTAACTGGCACATAAGATACCTGATTTCTTCTTTTAGCTTCATTACTTTGACATACAGTTTTAGTTGGAAGGAAGTACAAGAGAATATACCATTAGGCACAAGTTGCACTGCAGGCAGTAGCTTCTTTGTGTTCCTGTCAGCAAAACACATGCCATTTCCCTTCCTCCTCAGTTTTCTATTTTTCTCCTCCTTTCCATAAGCATTTCAACTCCCCTCAGAATAAGACTTCATTGGCTTGTTTTAGAAATTTCTCCTCTGAGATTGTTTATTGAAGATTTTGTATTACTCAAATTCTGATGATTCCCTTAAGTCTGCGGATACTTTCCTATTATACTGAATGATGTTTCCTTGACTACATAAAGGACCAGATCTCGGAGAGCTGAAACGTCTGTTAGTATATATGTTACATTGTTCAAATATAATGTTATCATTCATCTAAAGGTCATTTTCACTGCTGAAATGTTTGTTTTCAAAAATATTCCGGTAAACCTCCACAAAATTCTGAAACGTTTTAGTGGACATACTATCAAGAAGAAAGCCTAACAAATGGGGGGGAAAGATAACATTATAATTAGTGGATGAATAAATATCTTGATTAATTTCAAATTATTTTGTATATTACTAGGTTAAGTTCTATTGATGCAAAATATCAAATCTGGAAGCTTGGTGTAGTTTTCACTGATAACGTAAGTTAACAGTTCTTTTAATTTTTTTAAAAAAGAAATCCTTTGCTTCATTCTTCTTTCTTAAATGAAACAAGCCTTGTGCTCATGCATTCTCTCTTACAATATGCACAACTTTAATATGAACTTAATTCTACAAGCATAAATACTCAAATGATAGATGCCATCCTTATAATTCTATGTAACTTTTTGAACATCTGTTTTCAAATGAATAATGGCAAAAAGAGAGGAAAATAAAGAAAATATACAAAACTAATCAATTAAGATGAGAAATGCAATTATACTGTTAATATATCAGTTAAGGAAATGGTTTTTTTGAGATGAGGATAGAAATTCTATTTTCAGTATGGCAACGAATAAAGCCAGAATTAAAAGGTAGGATGATAGTATATTGATAAGAATATTTGAGCAATAGTCAATCATAAATAATCTAATATGAGCAAGTTACTGATTTGTTCCACTAGCCAACCTATTTCAGTTTTGCAAAATTGTTTAATATTTTGTATGTGTTAAATTGGTTGTATTTCATATTCTGCAACATTATATAATGATTTAGCTAAGATGCGCTTGAGACCCTGTGGTCTTAACAAGCAGCCTTGTATACTTTTTAAAATTATCAAGTCAAATTTAGGAATAGCAATTATATGTAATTTTCACATTCTTCTTTCCATTTACCTTGACATATAAATGAAGACTGCAAAAACAAAATACATGAGAGGCGAAGGGATATGGCAAGAGGACATGTCCATAAGCATCAAGGCTCCTCCCCATCTGGAAAGGCCTTGTTTGGCTTATGGCTAGATCTTATTGTGAGAAAAGAGGATTAGCTCATGTAGTCATTTCTATTAGCACAAAACACTCGATAACTATGTGGATACCTTAAGAAGAATGTAATGCACACTTATCTCTTCCACAATAGTCTTGTGTCTTTGGTTAATCGTTTATGTAACCGTTGCCAAACCTACTATTAGTATTAATATAATCTAGAAGGATTCAATTTTTTGGTCATTGAGATATAAGCCTCTTTGTAGGCATTTTAATACAATAGCACAAAAGTGTTTTATAAATGAAATGTAATGACAAGAAATAGTATAATGCAATGAGAAAAATAGCAGTGGTTCTCTGACATTTAACATTTTCTTTAGTCTTTCTTGTATTTAGCTTGGTATACAACCATGTCCATTCTTGGCCACTACAACAACTTCTTCTTTGCTGCTCATTTGCTCGATATAGCTATGGGTTTTAAGACTTTACGTACTATTCTGTCATCTGTAACTCACAATGGCAAACAGGTTAGTTATTAATAATATAATTCATGTCGTATTATACAATTGTTACTAAAATTGAAATATCATTTAATTGGCTGTGATTAAGAATGCTTTCAAAAGTGTTAATGTGTGATGAATGTAAAATGTGATGAAAACTTATAATGCTATAATTTAAAAGTACATAGTGATCAAATGAATGAGGAATATTAACAAATCACCAGCTACTTATGAATCTATATCCCTAGATTATATTATTTAAAAAAGCAAATGGGAAAAAAAAAATCAAAATTCTGAATTCTACTATTTTTTAACAAATTACAAAAAGGTAACATATCAGCAAAAATCTTGAAGGTTAGCTTGTTCATAATATGTTTCAATGTGCAGAATGTTACTTTTACACAAGAAAACATTTGGATACTACCACTTTAAAGTAATAGTAATAGATTTTTCACAAAGCTTCATGTGCTATATATCTTAACTTTGGAAAAGAGGTGTTGTTGTTTTTTCTCATTAAAATAATAATATTAGTAACAACACAAAAATATTTACCATATGTAAATATAAAACAGACACACATTTTGATTGATTATATAATTAGCTGAATTAAGGAATTTTCTCTGCATTATATAAAAAATTCACATATTTACATAGTTTAGAAACATATGCATTATAATTATTATTATCTTCTAGATGGAGAATCATGTTCAATCATATATCTTGCTAAAATCAAGACAAAGCAGATGTGAATAAAATTTATAACTATAAATCTCAGTCCTGTCTGCCTATTGTAAACATTTTCTTAGCTAGGTATTAAAGATTTTATAAATTTATAAGAATTGTATATTTTGCTACTAAACATTTGAATGTTCAAATTATTGCAGTATTTATCATACAGTACGCTTTGTTGAAGGAGCAGTATTTAAATCTATTTCTACTGCAATTTATTATCTCTCAATAGTTCTTAAGCACTGAAACATTTCAATACAGGGAGTCCTTGACTTAAAACAGTTCATTGAGTGATTGTTCGAAGTTGCAACAGCATTGAAAAAAGTGACTCATGACTGTTTTTCACATTTATGATCATTGTAGCATCCCCAATATTGACATGCTGAAAAATTCAGACCCTTGGCAACTGACTCATATTTATGATGGTTGCAGTATCCCAGGGTCATGTGATCTCCTTTTGTGAACTTCTGACAAGCTAAGTCAATGGGGGAACCAAATATATGTAACAATCCTGTTACTCATTTAATAGCTGCAGTGATTCACTTAACCACTGTGGCAAGAGAGGTCGTAAATTTGGGCAAAGTTCACTTGACAACTGTCTTGCTTAGCAACAAAAATTTGGGGCTCAATTGTGGTCATAAGTCCAAGAGTAACTGTATTTCTTTAACTATTTGGTATCTTTAACTCTTTGGTATGTATATGGATGCGATGGCTCAGTGGCTAAGATGCTGAGCTTGTCAATCGAAAGGTCGGCAGTTCAGCGGTTCGAATCCCTAGTGCCGCGTAACAGGTTGAGCTCCTGTTACAAGCTGTTGTCCCAGCTTCTGCCAACCTAGCAGTTTGAAAGCATGTAAAAAATGCAAGTAGAAAAATAGGGACCACCTTCGGTGGGAAGGTAACAGCATTCCGTGCGCCTTTGGTGTTTAGTCATGCCGGCCACATCACCATGGAGATGTCTTCGGACAGCACTGGCTCTTCGGCTTTGAAACAAAGATGAACACTTCCCATTAGAGCCGGGAATGACTAGCACATATGTGCGAGGGGAACCTTTACCTATATAATGGCTATTTTTGATTATACCAACTCCACAGAGCCAGGAAAGGCCTCTACCTTCAGTCTGGACTAAGGTTTGAATGTCTCAAGTTTGAGTGTGCTCATTTCTTCTTTTTCCTTAGTTCAGTTCCTGCTCAGCTCCTGGGCATTTCACAAAATGAAAATATGCAAAATACTTCCAGACTATTTTGAAATATCAATTTTTAGAAAGGTTAAAACTTGAAGTTACTGAGCTAAAAGGTTCAGGCAAGATAAAAAGAAAAAGGAAGCACAAAGCTAAAGTAAGGAAAAAGGGCACTTCATTGGAATTTATCTACTATATCCTTTTCTTTAGTTATTATCCTCAATTCTCTTTCTTTTTTTAAAAAACAGAACTTATATTAGTGGGTTTTAAAATTCTTCACTGTATTTTATTCTGTATTGAATGTACTTGCCCCATCCCAAGTGCTACTGTGTTGCCTCATTATAATGGGGGGAGAAGTCCTGGGAGGGGTGAATGAAGAATAATAGAGTATGGCAAGTACACTGATTTCCAGTAGGTTCACCAACAGTAGGAAGGTCATCCCCGCTGCCATCTATATTGGACAGCAGAAAGATGGTGGAAGTGATGGAATGTCTACTGAAATATGGCAAGCAACAGAAGATAAATCAGCCAAGTTTCCAAGTGACTAGGCCAACAAATTTGTAGAAATACATACTGGCCAACTGATTGGAAGAGGTCTATTTATATTCCAATACCAAAAAAATGAGACTTAATAGAGTGTACACTACCCTTAATTTCACAGGCTAGCAAAATAATTCTTAGGATCATTCAATGCAGATTAGAGCCCTAGATGAAAAAAGAGATGTCAGATGTTCAGAGTGGCTCTAGAAAACAAGGAACACAATACATGTTGAATAATTGAAAAAGCCAACAAATGCCAAGAAGAATTTAGTATGTGCTTCATCTACAGTAAAGCCTTCATATCAATCACATCAAGCTGTGGAATGTGCTCTGAGACATGGGAATCCCATGATGTCTCATTGTTCTCATGGGAAATTTATATACAGACCAGGAAACCACAGTACAGACACAAAAAGGGTGTTTCCAAGTTGGCAAAGAAGTGCAACAAAGCTGTATGCTCTTCCCAGATTTCTTCAATTTATATGCTGAATATAAGGGAATTGGAAGAAGATGAGTGTGATTTTAAAATTGGAGGAAGAAGCATTAATGACCTGCACTATCTAGTGACAGTATCCTGACAGCCAAAAATGCAAAAGTCAAAGAGCATAGTGAAGACATTCAAGTATAAAGAAGACCAAATTATTGAGAACAGATAGAATAACCAGCCTTAGAATTGACACTGGACTTTGGAAATATCAAAATGGTGGATAGCTTCTGCCTTTTAGGGAACCATCAACATAAATGAACTAGCAGTTAAGAAATATGCCATAGACTCAGTAGAGCAGCCATGAGGTCCTTGGAAAAGATACTCAAATGTCATGATGGGCCTGCACCTACAAAAATCAGAATCATGCAATCCAAGGTATTGCCTCTGACACTCTATGGAAGCAAAAGATGGGGCTTAAAGAATGTATTGATGCTTTTGAATTCCTGAGAATATTGTGGACCCCAAGAAAACAAACTGATGGAACATTGAATAGATCGAGTTCCTACTGAAGGAACAAATGACCGGGCTCAAATTTATTTTTTTCATAAACATTATGCAAAGACCAGCAATCTGGAAAAGGCTTTAATTCTGAGAAAGGAAGGAGAAGAAAACGACCATCAGCAAAGGGGAGGGATACAGTTACAGAGGCAGTGAGTGCAGTGTTGGAAGATAAAATATCTTTTCTACAATAGAAAAGGTTAGGAATAGATCACCTTGGAGTAAATCTATGAGGTTGCTAGGAGTCAAAAACAATTTCATGACAGATAATCAGTCAATCAATTGTGCCTGGCCCCTGCCCCTATAAGTTATTTTAACCTGTTGGTTTTTGGCTGCAATAAAGCATACTTACATATTAATTACAATTTTATCAAATGAAAGAAGCAACAATAAGGGAATGAGATGACACTGCACTTATTTTATTTAGCATATGCAGTTTAAAAGAGTTATTCCTGCTCAAATGCTATCTATGATCTCCTATTAAGCCAAGAAGATGTAGGTGAGGTTTGCCAGAATTAAACTGCAGATTTTTCAATGCAGCATGGAGTAGTAGTGATGGGATATATGTATTGCCCTGACATCTGCTTGGTGATTAATTCTGCTAAACATGATCCTCCAGGAAAGATTTATAAGAGCCTTCTTAATCACCAAGAAGCTAGCATAGTTACCATGACAAAATCTTGCTAAGTATCCTTATCCTACTTTCTTGATTGAATAACTTGTTTAGTATATTGTGGGAATGCTGTAGGTATAATGCATCTTGATTTTAGCAAAGCATTTCAAAAAGGACATTATGACTTTCTGATTAGCAAGATAGTTTTGTGTAGGCTGCATAGCATGACAATTAACAGGATAAGTAGCTGGCTTGAAGCTGATGCTGAAAGTTCATCAGACTAATACACATCAGCCTAGAATGAGATACTGAGTGGAGTATTCGATTCTGGATCTTCAACATTTAATGACTTGGAGGCAATCAGAGGGAACAGGAAGAGCTGTTCACTCTGAGGAGTTCAAAAACCAGGAAGAGAGAAGAATAAATAAAGCAGCAGTGTCTTTTGAAAGATTACATGCTGAGTTGTGGGGTTGCAAAGATCATGTTTTGAAGAGCTGCTGATGGCAAAGAGTGACGGACCTGAGAGCTGATGGATAGTAAGTGGGTGTCTCATTCCTTTTTGAATTTAATGTAAAGCTGCCTGGTTTTAGGAAGGAAGCCTCTCAGTAAGCCAACGTGTAAAGTGACCTGGGAGTTAAACAAAGATTTGAGGGGATAAAAAATATTTTATAGAGTGAAGAGTTAATAACTGGGTTCATAAAAGTAAGCCCAAGTAAAGCCTAAGTAAAGAACAAAAAAACCTTCCTACTTAAAGTGCCCTAAGAAGGAAAAAAATGAATATAAACAGGTTGGTTGCCTTCCTTCCTTAAGACAAGTTAAAATGTATTTTCAGTAAATGCAAACTGGTTGAAGAAAAAGGTAAAGGATTTGGGCCATGAATGGACATACTTCAATTGATGAGAAAGCCAGCCAGCCAGAGGACCAGGTGCAGTAGATGGGGTACACAGAAATACACAGAATTATTCAAGGTGCTTGGTGGATGAGAGGTCTGAAGGAGCATTCTCATCAATTCTTCTGGTCCAATTAAGAACAACCCATTTCCCCCTCAAATATTTTCAGCTGCTATACTCAGTATTTAAATTATTCAAAGTAAGCAAAATGTTAACAAGTAACAGCTCTTGGCAATGAATGAGTGTAGGGCAAGTGGATATTTTAAGCAAAACCCTGCAATTCGTTTTCATCTGGTGCTAACTTGGTAGGTGAATAAAAATGCCATATCTGACCTAACTATATGACTGTGCAACCAACGGTAATAATAGCAGGGGGATCAGGCCTGCTGGCAGGATGCGTCACGTGCTGGCCACGCCCACCCTATTTTAGCAAAGGGGGGAAAAGTCATGATGCATCACATGACAACAACATGACGACGTGAGTTTGACACCCCTGATAATAGTAATAATATCCCATGACATACTGAATGCAAGGATATTAACTGGATATATACCCAGGTCAAGAATTACACTCACAGTGTTCATCAGTGGTTTTTCCGTACATTGTCTTGCATGGGATTGTGTGCGATTCCAAAAGGGACCAGAATCAGTCCTGGGTCTTGTACTCAAAATTTAATGACTCATGATGATATGGGGGGAATTCTTATTAAATTTGAAGATGATACAAAATTGGGTGGGATATCTAATATCATAATAGGTAGCAATAAATTTGAAATTCTGGATGGGGTGGAGAAATGGTCTGTAAGTAATAGAATGAACTTTAACAGAGATAGCTAAAATACTTCACTTCGTAAACAAAAATGAAATATACGTTACCTAACTTGATAAAAGTATTTTCAAAGACGACCTTGGAATAGTAGCTGATTGTAAACTGAATATGATAGCAGTGTGATGCTGCTGCAAAAAGAGAGTAAATGCAAATACAGATTATAATTGAATGTTAGAGAAGAAATTCAAAAGAGAAAAAGCAGTTTGGCAGTGGAACTACACAGCAAAATCAGCTTCTTTTTACTGAAAATGTTCAGTGGAGCCATTTGCTTGGATTGCTTTACTTTTACTTACTTGCACTAAGGATAGGATTGGAGTCTAAGGTTTAAACAGTGATCCCCAGGGATCAGTTTTGGGACCAGGGACAAGTTTTGTGGAAGACAATTTTTCCACGGTTTAGGGGAGGATAGTTTTGATTTTGCTCCCTTGCCCACTGCTCACCTCCAGCTGTGAGGCCCCGTTCCTAACAGGTCCTGATCTGTGACTTGGAGGTTGGGGACTAAATGGTCCCTTTCAACTCTATGAATGTAAGATGCAGAGAGAAAGTTGAACAAATTACTGGTGGGATAATTAAAAGGACTAAAAATAGAAATAAAATTTAATAAAGTTCCATATGAAATCAAATCCCCTGGTATAGAATGAGGGCTATCTGACTTAATAATAGCATTTATTCCAATTTCATTTAAACCCTCCCTCCCCTTAAGTATTGTGCTCATAAAGGAGAATTCAAAGAACTGGAACAGGGTGACATAAATGATCAGGATGCATGTATTATGGAGAGAATCTGAAAGAGTTAGGGATGTTTAACCTTGGAAGAGAATATCTATTGTGCAGAAAATGTTACAGGAAGACAAATTCAGATTGAAATAATTACCCATAAAGAGGATAGGCTCTCTTTCATTGTATATATTCAGACATCTTCTGGGGATGCGTTAATTTGGATTTTGCACAGAGCAAGGAATTGAATTGCCTAAATTCCCTTCCCCCCCTTCCAATTTTATGATTTTGTTACTCCGTGTTATAGAGAGAAGAAAGCCCCATCAAGATGCTTTCATTTGACAGCTCTGGTTAGAAGTGCAGTAGTGCTTTGATCCTTTAACGAAATTAGCCTATCATTCCATTTCGTGGTTAAAATAGGCAAAGCCTGGAAATTGAATAATGCTGTAGCAGAGGTCAGTGCTGAATTATCTGCTTTTCCAGTAAATAACTAGGGTTATAATCCTGGAACATCCAATATGCGGAAATTCCTATATGTGAAATCACTACTCAGTTAACCCAAGAGAGTACATATAAATTGATCAAAACAATGACACAATCCTCAACAGGGGATCAGACGGACAGAATATCATTTGGGACCCCTCATACATAAATGTGTTTTTATACTAATCCATTGTATATCATTTTGCATTATTCATGAATCGACTTTAATTCAGGTAAGAATCTACCTTGTTTGTTCAGAAAAAAATATATTTGCCCTTTCTACTTAGAAAGCATCTCTTCATAATGTGACCACTGAGGCAAAGGCCAGGGTAGTACCCTAAAACTGTGTGTTCTTTCTAAAATCTCACAAATCCAATTGACAAAGCGTAAAAATGTGTTCAGTCAAGCATGGCTACAGCTTCTCTCTATACTGTACAGCATTTGAAGATTGAAGAGGAAGGCCAATTGTTCCATGCATTGCTACATGGCTAGATTATTAAATCTGGTGAACCAAAGGTCTACATAAGAGCCATTCTTTTCCATAGGAGAGCTACGGAGATACTTCTTTACTATATAAACTAGGTTTCTGGGTTGGCATAGTAATAAGTAGTCTGTTCTGTTGTATGTTCTGCTTAATATAAGTACTAAAATATGTTATGTGTGCTAAAGGATTAGAAATACATATCAGAATCGAATACTTGCACACTCATTTATTTAGATTATTTGTACAAACATTCAAAAGAGTTGCTGCATAATCATAGGGCGACAGCTTGGAGCAACATCTGAAGCAGCTGTAGAACTATTGTTAGACACAGTTGCTTGAATGATTTCAGACAGGTGCTTTGCTCATGCTCCTGGGCATTATAAAGCAAGCTTTTCAAGCGCTTTGCAAATGAATGCTTCAACCCTAGCTGCGATTTAGCAGGAGTAACCTGAAATTAACAAACAATCAACTCAATGGATTTTCCCTCCACTTATTTAATGAAGAATATTTTGCAATGTTTCATGTGTCTTTTGCATACGCGTTGCTAGGTTTCAGGAAGTATCTACTCCTTAGCCCTGGGGCACCTAAATACTGAAGTTTATGGACAGCTTATGATATTTTGAATGAAATTGGTTTAGTTGGCTCTGGTTTGTCCCTTTTAGACAGATATTTATGAAAGCCTAAATATGGTTGTTGCATAGAGAAATACAATGGAAAGTGGTCCACTATATATGAACATTTGAAAGACAATTAAGAAGCAGTTGGAAAAGCTTAAAAGTACATAATTGGTTTAAGCAGCCTAACGCACTAGTGTAAACTCAAATCTTGATTGGCTTAATATATTTTGAATGACATAATGTTCAAAATGCTCCAGCCCCACAGTGGAAATAACTATCTTTTATTGTAGGCAAGATTTAACTTCTTAATTGTTGTTTCTTCTCTACATACCATTCACCATTTATTTTGTATTGCTATATTATAGCTCGTCTTAACTGTTGGACTCTTGGCTGTGGTGGTATATCTTTACACGGTTGTTGCATTTAATTTCTTCCGGAAATTTTATAACAAGAGTGAGGATGAGGATGAGCCAGACATGAAATGTGACGATATGATGACTGTAAGTACTAGAACAACTATGTGAATGTGAAGATTAGTGCCATTAGCAAGAGAACAACAGGCAGGCCTCAATAAAAACTATACATTGGAATTATAACCCTTGAAACTGCAACATTTCAATTAATCAGAGTCTAATATATTTTTTAACTGAAAACAGCTACAATATAAGATTACATTATACAAGTAATTAATTATCTAACTTAATGCTTTCTTGAAAACCATTCTTTGAAAACCTGTTTATTCTTGATTTATGCTCTGGCCCTTAGCATGCACTGTGACTCCTGGGGACATCCTTTGGGATATTTTAGCTCTCGTAGGTAAACCAAAGAGTAAACACAACCAGATGGGGTAATGCTACTTTATTGTAAGGCTATATTAACAGAATCTTACAAGTCTGAAAACACAGATCTCCCGCAGTCACTGATGCATTAGGGTAGATCCTTTTTAAGAATCTCTCCTGGTTCATTAAGCAGTTGTGGACTTCTTTTTTTAAATCTGATCATTCCCTAGGCAACATCTCTTTCCCTCATTCTTCAGGGTCACTTCCATGTACCATTAGAGTAGGTTCTTTCCTTCGAACAGCCCAGTGGCAACCAGGCAAGGTTCATTCCAGACTTCTCTCTGTGTGTCTTATTTTTGACCTATGCATCTAAAGGACTTAGGTTACACTTCAAAAACACTTAGGTTACACTTCAAAACAGTTTGAAGAGTGTTTTCATCCATATTTGTAGTGGCCTCTCCTCTCTGGGTCTAAGAGTTAAGAATAATATATCTTGACATCAGAACATCTTAAATCTGAGACTGCTTTGAGTGGTGCATAGTTCACCAACAGTTTAAAATTTTAGGTTTCATTTTATTATTTCTTCAATAAATTTGTAATTACCTTACAAAATATTTTTTCAGCTATGAATGTAAGTTGTGTATATAGATATGCAAGTGGGATAGGGTGGGAAGTTACCCATGGGATGAGAAAAGCAGAGTATGGTGAGGCTGTAGAAGACTGGGAATACACATATATCTTTGTCACACAAACGTTTGTGTGAGCATGCATGCACAGGAGTGTCCCCTCAAACTCGGCTGGTAACTGATAATATCCTCAACACCAGAAATATATAGGAAAACCAAAACTGTCTTCATCTATTTTTCCAGAAAAAAGTAATGATGAAATTAATTAAGAATAAATGTAAATACAATATACTTTTTCAATTAAAAGCAGGCTATTAAAACATCATGTGGAAAAGGGTAGCAAGAAAGGAATTTGGAATTACTATAGGAAATAAACAAAACAATGTTCTTTGTTGCAGTATTTTGAAATTCAAGTCGTTCAAGCTGAACGACTTGAATTTTCATATGCGAGTTGCATTGAAATAAATACATGCAGTTGTAAGCTAATTATACTGAATTTTAATCTTAGCATTTCTGTAACGTATTTTAAATGTCTGGAGATCTATCCGTGGTGAAATCTAGCAGGTTCTGGAGAACTGGTAGTGGAAATTTTGAGTAGTTCGGAGAACTGGCAAATACCACCTCTGGCTGGCCCCAGAGTGTGGTGGGAATGAAGATTTTGCAATATCCTTCCCCCAGGAGTGAGGACGGAATGGGCATTTTGCAGTATCCTTCCCCTGCCATGCCCACCAAGCCTCGCCCACAGAATTTGAATTTCACACCTGGATCTATCCTCTAATATATGATATAAAAGTAATGACCTTTTTAAAATGTCTTTTAATTCAAGATGGTTTGATTATTTTCCATAAACTGTAGTAAATTCTACCTTTTAGTGTTACCTGTTCCATATGTATGTCGGGGTACGAGCAGGTGGAGGTATTGGAGATGAAATTGAAGATCCTGCAGGAGATCCTTATGAAATATATCGAATTGTTTTTGATATCACGTTTTTCTTCTTTGTCATTGTTATCCTACTGGCCATCATTCAAGGTTTGTTATTGTTAATATTCCTGGGGTTTACTAATGCTTGTACTGCAAGCCATATATATTTATTGCCCTTTTAAAAAAATCATACACATTTCTTATCACAGCATCTCCTGGCAACAATTTTCAGACTTTTAACTATACCCTGTGTAGAGTACTTCCTTTTATCAGACTTTAATCTTTCTGCATTTAGGCTGAACTGGTAAACTCTAACATAGGAAAAGGGAATTAATAATTTTCCTTACAAACATTGCCATGCCAAAAATAGATTTATGTACTTCTACAGGACTGTCATTGTTTAATTTGCTTTCTAAGCTATCATCCCTTCTGGACGGGGGGGGGGGGGGAGAGAATTGCTCCTGCTAATAATTTTACTCTATACAATATTTGATGAGTGGTTACACTTCATTTTGAGTAAGGACATTGCTATATTAATGTAAGAAAGACCTATCTTCAATCTTCAATTATGGTTTTAGTATATGATTTCATATGTTCTTTTCAACTGATCAATAAATATTTGTTTGAGAGAGAGATTCATTTTCAGGAATACATCATGTTGTTGGCCACTGAGAAAAAAATGACTGAAACTTATAGATGATGAATCTCAAACAAGATAATTTTTTTTACAGTAGCTAATGATATAATACCTTCTATAAATTGAATTTAATTTCCAGTGCCTACATAAATAACATCCATTAAGTTTTTTTGACAACAGTTCAGACAAGGTTCACTATAGCCTTCTTTGGGAGGTTTGACTTTCCAATCTTTCCTGTAGCTCTAGGATTTTTATAATTATTTTTATCCAAGTTTCAACCAGGTTTGACCATACAAGGTCTGCAATATTGTGCCAGCTGTCATGAAGTTTAGTGCCATATTCTCCAAAGTGGTCAATAGGACCAAGGGTCGACAGGACTCTCTTTTGTTGCTATTCATAGTACCATTAGTTAAAGTAATAGTAAATTATTTTCATGTAAATAATGTTTGAAGTTCAATGAACAGTTTGAGGTATCATGGACGGGTTGATGAGCTGAAGAATTTGGGACCCCTAGTTAAGTGAAACAAAAATTAAAATTCTTGTGTTTTCCATTCCTCTTCACCAAAAGTTACTGATTTTGTATACTCCCTTAGATTTTTCCCTTATAATCAATTTATCAGTAATGTTTTTGAAGGCTACAAATCAGGGGAGTGGGACACTCCCCTGATGTGTATTTTCTGAATCAATATTTGCATGTGATTAAAACTAGTTTAGTATATAAATTTCCATTTTAATGAAGTCAGTATTTTACTTATATTGTGATTTTTCTTTCTTCTTCATATGTATTTCTTCTAAGAAATACATTAACTGAATAGGAAGAAAATCAATGTATCCTAAATGGTAGTGCAGGATGTACATACTGCAAATATGTAGTAGAGTTAAGATTTTTAGCAAGTATTTGTGTCTTTTTCTTTCTAATAATAGGTCTTATTATTGATGCCTTTGGCGAACTGAGAGATCAGCAAGAGCAGGTCAAAGAAGACATGGAGGTAAGATGATGATTGTATTGAGTTAGTTTGTTTTCAGTAAATGTGAGAGAAAAACTTTGCACTAAATTGTCAAGAAGGTTACATTAATTCTTATATTACTATTTTTTTTTTTGACTTTTAGACGAAATGCTTTATTTGTGGAATTGGTAATGATTATTTTGATACAACTCCACATGGTTTTGAAATGCATACTTTACAAGAGCACAATTTGGCCAACTACTTGTAAGTAAATGCATGTACTGCTTTATTAATGCATGTTTCCTTAGAAATGATTGTTAGCAATGTTAATAGGGTTGTCCAGGCTCGTAGCACAATGCTAGGAATATCTATCCAGAAGTGAGTTCTATGAGACTTACTCCAAAATCAATGTGTTGCACTCCTGTACTCCCAGACTCAGGACTTTGTCAGGTTTGGATGCTTTAATGACGTCATATGGCAGCTAATGTTGTACATTTCTTAGAATTCCACTGTGAGGGATGGGGTACGGTGAGGGGTACACAATAGAGCTTATCATAGGGCAGTGATGGCTAACCTTTTTGCTGTTGCGTGCCAAAAGCGAGGGCGTGTGCCAACATCTATAATTCAATGTGCCCCACCCCACCCCATGCATGCACGTGTGTCCCGCCGTGCTCCCCCCACCGGTGGGCCCAGTAGGCCCCTTTTTCAATCACCCCAGGCTTCAGAGTCTTTCTTGGAGCCTGTGGAAGATAAAAATGGCCCGCACCCTCCTGGAGGCCCTCCGGAGGCCGGAAACGGCCTGTTTGCTGACTTCCGGTGGGCCTGGAAGCCCAAAAATCAGGTGGCATGCGCTGAAGCTGAGCTAGGGCAACACTTGCTTGCCCATTGATATGGCTCCGCGTGCCACCTGTGGCACGCGTGCCGTAGGTTCGCCATCATGGTCATAGGGGAACCAACCTGAAACTATAGCCAGGATCAGTTTCAGGATCACTAAAGGAAAACAAACCAACCAACCAATCCAAATATAGTACTTCTACCTCATGCCTGCTCAGAACAAGCTTTGGATATGGAAGGACTCCAGAACAGGAGTGTTCTGTCAGTGTCTAGACCAGTATCTTTCAAATTTGACAGCTTTAAGATGCATGGACTTCAACTCCCAGAATTCCCCAGACATTAATCTATATAAACAGTAACGCTCATTAACTTGATTGAAAAGGAGAGACATTATCTTTGGAAAGATGAGCCATAGTATGAGCCATCAGAGGCTTTTGCAGCAGGAAAATTAATATTGCTCCAAGGCAAATTTTGCTTCAGAACCAATTGGTGTAGGGGCTGTCATTTGACTTCCTTGAAATGTAAATGTAAAATACAAGGTACAGTTTCTTATTGTTCATGAAAGAAAGAAAAAAATATAGAACTGGTCACCACCAAAATAAAATATTGTGAATAACTAAACAGCTGCATCCACAGCTTCGTATTAACCGTTTTCATTAATGTTTTTTGTACATTTTTTTTCTTCCAATGCATTTCTTGATGAGGATGTCTACTTTTTTGGATTGTAAACTCACAAGCAGAGACTTGTGCAATTTTACATACGCAAAACTCTTTTACCAATGTAAAATATTTCACTATTTAATATCACCATTCAACTCTTTCGGAATCCTATAAAATGAATAATAAAACAAGTCTTTTTTAGCCTATTGTTTCACATTTTTAGATGGAAATAATTACTGTTTTCTTAAGAAGCAAGAACAAGATACTACCAAAAACAGTCATGTATATTTTCATATTCTTTCTCCAGATTCTTTTTGATGTATCTTATTAATAAGGATGAAACTGAGCACACTGGGCAGGTAAAGCATTAATTGATTATGTAAATGAAAAGAAACAAGCATTTCTAAAAACATTCATCAAATATATAATCAACATTTTTTTTAGAGATATACTGTCACTTTATACAATTAAACGATTACCATTCATTTTTTCCTCCAAAAGCAAATTATTGATCATTTTAATCTATAAACATATGACATCCAAATGTTTAAATGTTCTTCCATTGAAACTCATGTACTCAATACTGAATAGTGTAGTTCTTCATGCCTTCTTCTGAATATTTAATTTAATGTATTATAAACATTAATTGTTCATGACCTGTTATTATAAGATTATCATTTTGTAAAAAAAAAAAATGTGCTGTCATCGCATACTAAAGCAAAGTTGGCTGCCAGCCTGTATTTAAATGTGAAATGCATTTATCTGAAGTAATCACTACTTAATTACTTGTTTAGCAAATGAAAGTAATGTTTTAATATCTTATATAATGAAAACTATATTCCCTAAGATTAATAACCGAACTATAAATTGATCAGATAGATTCATCAACAGAAAGGCTGCCTTGCTCTTTATTCCCACTTGATGTTTCTAATAGAGAAAATGTCCATTCATTAATCTGAGAGAAAAATATGCCTTATGTATGAAAGGTATTTCTTTTCTCAAATAAATCTTTTGAAAAACATATATTTTTTATTTTTAGGAGTCATATGTATGGAAAATGTACCAAGAAAGATGCTGGGATTTCTTCCCAGCTGGAGACTGCTTCCGTAAACAGTATGAAGATCAACTTGGATAAAAATACCAACAAAGAAACTACTATATTCAATGTTAAACAAAAATAGAATTCTTACAAAATAACGGCATAACATAAATATTGCTTATGTTTGACCTCTAAGTAAATGAAGTAGTCCAGTTTTAAATTGATCTAGATTAGTTTTTTGTATGTGGCAGAAACAGGCTCTGGATTATTTGGGTTATTATTTCTGTTTTGTTTGTTTTTAAGTGGGGCAGAGCAAAAAATAATGTTTAAACATTTCAGTTCAGTACTTTAATTCAGGAATCATTACTTGTTTTTTATCAGTCCTTTGTAGAAAATAATATAGTTGAAAGGGCTCTATCATTGTTTTGCAACTGAAGACTCTGTCAGGTGACAATAACTTAATCATGGACTCATATGGTGAACTTAATATTTCAATCAGCCTTGTTTTCCCTGTGCCATTTCTTAGTGTAACAATACAGACAGAAAGATTTTAAGTATTCAGTGCTTAAAATTTCCAAGTATTTTATTGTCTCTAAAATCTAAGTGCCTTAACTCTTTCCAGATCTAGCTATGCAAAATACTTTTTTTTAATGTTAGTCTTTTAGATTGACATTTTTGTTATTTGACTGTGTTGCTTTCTGGTCTTACTGTATGACATGAAATTTAGTCATATACTTGTTACAAAACTGCTTACTACATGCAGCTGGTTTAAAAACCTGTCTTACAACTGAACAGAATTAAACTAGTGATTAGTTGCAATGTTAATGCGTTTTTTCCCTCAAATAACAATATGCACTGCAATAAAGAATTTGCAAAACAAAACTCTCATATTTCATTATGTTATTGGTGTCACACCCAGACATATTCCATAATTCTACTTGCAAATGTAATTTATTTTATTTCATAGACTCTAAATAGGCTTTTATACTTTTACAACTTCAAATTAATATTGTTAAATTTCTTAAGGCAATGAAATCCAGAACACTGCAAATACACAAATAGCATTTTTAAGCTTCAGATTCAGCCAGTCACCAGATTAAATATTTGTAAACATTTTTTTACAATTAGGAACTGTCATCTTAAAATATTTTTCACATACTTGTACTATCTGATAAACAAAATGTAGCTTTTAGGAGATCATACTATCTAACCAGTCCTCAAGTTCCTCTTCAGTAATATTTTTGGAGGCAGCTTCCGGTGGTTGAGATGTTGAGCAAATTTCTTCAGTTCTACCTGGTTCTAAGTGATGTAACAAAAGAAAAGAAAGATAAGTTAAATACAACTCTTTTGTGGGGGAAAAAAAGGAAAAATGATAAATATTGTGATTGTCAGCTACGAAACAGTGCTATTATGATTTCATCTTAGTTCTCAAATCACTTAGGAAAATACAAAAATACAACCTGGAGACCAAACATTTGTTATTTACCAAGTTATAGCATGTGGAAGCTTCACTTGCACAGCACAAGCTCAGTTATTCCACCCTTCCCTGTAATCAGAGGTGCCTTCTAGGGTTCCTGTTCCAGGACCTGCCTTGTCATTGGCTGGATCCTTCCTATCATTAGCCCCAGTGACTTCTAGAATTATTCCTGTGTAGGAATAATTGATAAAACTGGAAACTTTATCAGGAACCTGATTGGCTTGCAATGTTGCTAATCAATCTAGCTGACTGTGCGATGAACCGTAGTAATAATACTGCTTGAAAACCCGGAAAAAAAAGAGAATGCAAATTAATCTTAAATGAAAAATTCAAAGCTGGAGAATTTCAAGAATATTACTGACAATGTTCTGTTGATCCTAGAAATGATTGTTTGAGGATTTTATTATTTATTTAAAGTTTCAAAATGTCTGGTAGTTGAGGCTCTTTGGACAGTTTACAGTAAAACATGAACACAGGAAAAATATGTATGCATATTCAGAAAGCTGGAGCAAACATACAGCTTTGACTTTTTTTCAACATTAGCAACAGCATGGTAAACAATACTATGTGTGAAATAGCCTTAGCAAGATTTCATACTGTAGCTATTAGTGAAAGTGCCGACACAGCTATTGGTAATTAGATGATATTCAACTTTCAGTTTAGACACTTATAGTCTGTAGAGGATCAAAACTCGCTTGGTGGAATATTATATTCGCAAAGCTGTGATGTTATTGCAACAGTTTTTGCAATCAGAGTATTAAAAAAACACAAGCTTGATTGTATCATTCTCTAACTCTGTACAATGCTGAGCAAACTCGGTGATACAGCAACACAACTAAATCCAGGAACATTATACTTGTATCCTGAAGACTTAAGGATGTATAGAAAGAGGTAAAACTGATAAAAGTCACTGATGCTCTAAGAACTGCTTGCACTTGTTTTCTATTGATTTTGTGTGTGCGCATATGTGTGTGCACACACCCACAAAGTGATTTCCTGAAGTGAATGTTTCTGAATACGAATCAATGATTTTCAGACCTAAATCTTATTTTGCAAAATAAGGTAACAATGCAACAATCCATGACAATTCAATTTCTAACAACTGCTAAACAAACTTTAAAAGTTCCAAGTCCTGATGTTTGCTAGTGCTGCTTCATTATTCATGTTGTTTCATAAGCGCCCTTCTTGAAACATATCCTCTGGCACACAGTAAATTAAATCATAGGGCAATATTTTGGTGATTCGTTTTCATTGAGTGAAAAAGTTAAGATTCTTTTATATATGAACTTGCAAGAAAATAATCAAATGGAAACTAATTTCATAATTACTTTTATAAATATTCAGTGTGCTCAACTGTTAGTTTCCAGAGAAATTAAACTCCAAAATTGGTCAGAGTTTGACGATACAGAAACAGAACAGTATAATTTCAGCTGTGGCATTAAGCAGATCAATTTCTTATGTTCCAAATACAAAGACTTTCTTACCAAAAATACCATTACAGTCAATCAGTACCATGATTTAAAATTTTAGAGTAGGTAAAAATCATCAGAAACAAATTCTCAGATTGTCTGGATTTGGTTTTGCATATCAGAACCAACTGTCTCATAATTTAGCATAATTGGTGGGATATTCCTAGCATCCAGGGCAGACTATAAGAGTGATTTCAATTTAATGCATGCTTTGAAAAACAAATTATGGAATAGTTTACAATTAATTTATTTGGTTATACTTAACTCTCTCTGTAAGAGTTATCGAACTGATGGAATGATCAGGCTGGGTAAAGTCTAAAAATTGCAGGAAAAATAATGATGTTAAAAAAATTTCTCTGAAATCTCTGGGGAATTCTGGAAATTGAAGTTCACACATCTAACATTGCTAAGGTTGAGAAACAGCACACTAGCCTCGGGCCCACTAAATAGGCAAGAATGCATGTAGTATACCTTCATTTAGTTTCATGTGTATTTATTAATATTGTAAAATTATTTTCATCATACATATTTTAGCAACCCAATAGAGCATATCTTTGAACTCTGGTTTACAAAATGTCACTAAAATGTGTTGCATACACAGCCTATCCAATAGGAAAGGCAACACTGTCCTCAAAGTACCTGTTTGGCTTCATTTAAATTGTAAATAAATACATTTAACTGTAATTTGTTAAATGCTGGACTTAATTTAAATTTTGCCCTGACCTATAATGTTAGTTAGGTTTTACCCTAGCCCAGACCTGTTAAACTCCCAGCCCATGGGCTGGACACGTCACGCGCTAGCCATGCCCACACCTGGTTTAGCAAAGAGGGAAAAGTCCTGATACATCATGTGACGCCGCCATGACGACGTGAGTTTGACAACCCTGCCCTAACCTATGTTTTTAGGTTAAAAGAAAAGGGATCAGAAAAACATTCCATTAACTGCAATTACCAGACTTTTCCTTCATGAGGATTAGTATACTGTTTTATCATCAAGAAATTTTAAAGATCACTCAGGTAAGCCAGAATCAGAATCATGACCACCTTGATTGATATATACCATAGTTTTTGATTCCTAAAGAACATATACCGTTTTCCCGAAAACAAGACATCCCCTGATCGGGCTTTTGAGTGCATGTGCTAAAATAACCCCCTCTTGAAAATAAGCCCTCCCCGAAAATATTTAAACACATGCGCTGCCAGTCCCCGCCATTTCCTCTGATTAAGGTCAGGGAGACAGAGCTGGAAATCAGGTACGACAGCAAGTGGAGTCCTGTCTTGCTCCACACGCCCCAAAATAATAAGACCTCCCCAAAAATAAGGCCAAACGCTTCTTTTGGGGTTCAAAAAAATATAAGACAGGGTCTTATTTTCGGGGAAACACAGTATATAGATCTCCAGATATATAGATCTGGAGAAATGTTGCCAAATCCCTTCCCTGATTTATATAAAATTTCGCATGCTCAATTTGTCTAAAAATTTTAGTTTTCCTATAATTTTTATTCCATTCTACTGAAAAGCAAGTTTCTATTTGTACTTTTCCTATAAAGCATTATGGGACATTGAAACTTTCTTTTTCTTAATCTTATTCTAGATCTGGGCATCAATCCAGATTTAAGTGATTTAGACCAGATCAGTCTGGTCTGAGTTTAGAGTTATGTATGTATGTATGTATGTATGTATGTATGTATGTATGTTATGTATGTTTTTGCATGCCCAGACGCCAATGTAAAACATTTACAAATAATTTGGAATGTGTGAATGGACTAGAATATTTATCTTAAAAATACAATGTGAAATTGGAAAATAGTTTAGCGTATCATCATAAACTCACTTTTTAAGAAAAAAAACAGTAAATATTTTCCACAAATTATATATTTTGATTTTTGTTGTGTGTTTTTTCTTTAACATGAAATTTAAAAATAGTTTCAAAATTTATTCTGGATAGTTTTGTCAGTATATGGCTAAATAAAAAGGTATAAAATTAATGAGTCACATAAAAGCTTTACTCTCAACTGTAAAATGTGACCTTTTTTTTAACCATAGCTAGAATATCTATTTTCCTTTTGTTCCCACTTGCACATTTGTATTCTCACAATTCCCACTCTATATCCTAATTTTCCCCCAATAATATAATTTGATCATCTTCAAGGTACTGATTTTAAAATATGGAAGGCTTCAAAAATATGTTCCAGTGAAGAAGTATGTTTAACTGTTCCACTTAAGCCCACACAGGAGCCAACTCACAGTGGAACTTAAATCGTGGTGGCATTAAAACCTTTCTGTTTTTAATGTATTCAGTTTTCCACTCCTTTTATTAATGTAATCTATATAGTTTATACAACAATACAACTATTAGCAATGAACACTCCACTGTGAAACCTAAAAGGCCAGATTGAAGACAGATCATTGTAGAGAAAATCTAGCTATGTGGTTGCTAAGAGTTGAGACCAACCTGACAGCATCTTTCAATACTAATAAGTACACAAGGGAACAACAGATTCTCATGTAACTGGATAGAAGGACTAAATAATCTTTTCCAGGAGGAGGATTCAGAAAACAGGCACAACAGAGGATGGTTAGAGATAATTTCTGAGACAGTGATGGATTGCAGCAAAATGATTTGTGACAAGAATGCTGGGGGAAATATAACCTCAGCCAAAGAATATACTGTAACACCTGGTGCTCACTCATCACTGGAAAAAGCAAGCTCATCCACCTGATACATTAATGTGGTTCTAGTTGGTAGCGATCTGCAGAGCCCTAACCTGAATGTTTTATTGCTTCATTCTAAAGTACTACCTATTATTGAAGTCTAGCATGTGTTCTGAAATGGGCTATAAACGATGAACTGAGAACTTGTTTCTGTCAAATTGCTATGTTCCATTTTCAATGAAGGAAGATCTCCATCTACTTTTCCAGATTGGAAGAGAGC